CTGCTTCCCTCTAGGTAACCCAATCCTAGAATTCGAATTCTCCGGTCTTATCGATTAAGATAATAGCGATTTCGATGTCGTCTATGTCTCTCTAAGCCGTACAAGGGTATCGTCGCAAATAGCGTTGTCTCTAGCCTGGTCTTGCCGATTCTCGCTGTTCTTCCTAATGACTGCCGCCTCTTCCTAAGTCCGTAGTACGTTGCCTAGCACTATCTGTCTCTTGCGGTGGATCTATAGGGGCCGCCTTCCAGGGCGATCTTCCCTGCTATAATCCATCGTCTACGCTTTCTATCTCGTTGGTCGGATATAGCCTCTATTCCCGAGGTTATAGGTAGCTACCTCCCTTCCAACTGATGTCTGGGTCGTAGTCTTAATGCTATAGGCGTCCTAGAATTATGTCCTTTTTAGGCCCTATTTCAACAATATCAAATACTACTTTAGTAGTTTTCTCTTCTACTATAATCTTAAGTGGTTCTATTTCCTATTGTATCTATTGGGTGTCGAATAGTCCTTTAACGATATACTATTTCTTCTTGACCCTCTACGGGATCCTAAGTCGATTGACAAGTGTTAGCGAGATAAGGTCGACCTAGGATCCTCTATCTACTAATGCCAATGTTTGGAATCCTTTCTAGTATACTATAACCTAGATTCTATTATCGGGCTTGTCGTTCTGAATCGTAGCGGCTTCTTTTTCGCTCGCTAGGAGATTATAGATCCTTTTCCTTGCGTGGTTCTTCCTATATCTACGGATCTATTGTCGTTATAATAGATTTAATAGTTTTTAGGCCCCTTGGAGGGCCCTAAGCTGTTTCCTAACTCCGTCTAAGCATCTAGATAGGCGTCCCTATCTTCTTATGCCTCTTAGTCACCGTCCTACGGTCTAAGTCTCGGGAGTTCTTTAAACAATTGTCGAATCTCGTTGGCTCTCTTTTCTTTCTATCGCCGTTTGCAAGGCGTTATCTACCTTTATATATATATTTTGCGTTTATAATGCTCTTAGAGCTTCGCTTATATATGAATTAAGCAATCCTAGCTCTTATATTATTGAGTGCTATTGGGCTACTGCTGGCAGTCTTCTAGCTAGGTTCTTTACGGTATTACCCTAATTCTATTGTATACGTTGGTCCTCTCGACCTTCTATAGGAACTAGTCGGTGCTGGTCCCTATATCCTAAACCTATAGGACTAGTCGAGGTTCTCTGTTTCGGTCGGTAGGCTTATTAGGCCAAAAGTCGTTATCAAGTTTTGACCGGAAATAGTATCGGCATTTATACGCGATATACTAGAACCATAGGACGTAGATATAATCGTATCGCTAGGGTTGGAGTCGAAGTACGTCCTTTTTATAGGGTTCGTAGCGCGGGCTAAATCCAATCCAGATATATACTGCACTGCTATCCCCGACGCCGTTATACGGCTTCTTATTCCAAAATGTATCCCAATCTTATAGTTCCTGCCCCTTAAGTCTTCGTTGGTTCTAAGCCTTCTGGTACTTGGTCTCGGGGTTCTTGATTTCACTATTTCTCCTATCCTGGCCTAGGTCCTATGCCGGTCCATCCTACAAGTTCGAGTACTATTCTTCCTAGACCCTAACCAACTTGGCCTTGACAAATTCCAGCTGGCTTATAGCCTAAGCCTTTTCTTCCGCGAGTCTTTATATAACCGTTCGAAGCTCGGCTTATTCCTCCTCAGCCTCCTAGAGGCGCTAGGCAAGAAAGATAGGGTTCGGGCCAATAGGTTCGTTGTCCGATTGTTATATCCTCTATTGACCTTCTTCGTTCTAGGTCAACTGGAATCCCTAACCTTCTGCAGGTTATAATACTATAGCAGCGGCAATATCGTAGCCTATAATAGGTTCTTCGAACGTGATATAGGGGCTATTGCTTCCTGACCAAGAGGAGTTATCAATGCTTCCTTCAGCCATGCCCCGGTCGACTGCGTCGTCGAAGTCATCCTTAGTATAGCTTGCCATAGCTACTTCAACTATACGGGTTGTTTTATCGATTGTAGCGTTTTCTTTACCAGGCACCTGCTTCTAATTCTTCTTGCTACGGTATTCCCGTTTGAAATACCCTTTCTTGCCGCAGTTGAAATAGGTAACCTGGGACTTGTCCTTACGTTCCTTATCCTTACGCTAGGTGGCGTCTATATCTATCGGGCCAATATAGGTGCTATATAATATACTAGGGTATTATCGCTTCTTTTTATTATTGGCCTTGACAAATATAGGCTATATTCTATATCTTTTATACTACTAGTGCCTAGTATAAATCCAATTGTCGATATAGATAGCTATAGCAATATATTCGTCAAGCGTATTAGGTCGGTCCTTTTAATATAGTTTATCCTTGACTTCTTCCTTTAAGCTATTATAGAACAACTATATAAGGCCTTTGTTATTGATCTTATACCGAAGTAAATCCTAGCGGAACTATATAGTATAGGCAGCTGCTGACTTTGTCTGCCTTAGGCGTACAAGTCGCTCCTATACGTGGAGCTTCTTATTATAGTCTCCGAACACCTTCTGGATTTCCTGCTCAAATTTATCATACGATTTGAAAATTTCAATAGTGAAATCGTCCTAAGCGTCTGTACTGTTGGTTAGCCAATCCTTAAGGGTGGGTTTAAACCATCGAAGTACCTTTCCCTCGAGCCGCGAGGAGATAAATATAACTTTAGCAGATTCGTCTATAAACTTGTCCGGGTAATACTTAAGGTAGGCCCTTATAGATATAAGGAATCTAGTAAGTCCTTCTTTGTCGCCTCTATACTTGGGGGGTGCTTCGAGTTTGGCTTTGTCCTTGGGCTTGCCGTTATAGGCCTTATTAACGAGCTGCTGTATATGGCCGTTTTCGGCCTTAAGCTGGGCGATTTTGGCGTTGAGAGTCTCGAGAGCCTGCTGTATCTGTCGCATGGTTGCGGCCTGGCTCTAGGATTCCGGGGTGCTAGATGTCTGGGGCGCCATGATGGTCGGTGGTACCTTCGATCTGAACCGTGATAGAGTCAAAGGGAGTGAACAACGTATGACGAAACCATAGGCAGTCCTGCCTTTGAAAGGGTTCGCCAGTCGAAGGTAACTGCTGGTCGGACTATAGGTCTCGGTAAAGCCAAAAGGTTCACAACAATACTTGCCGCAATGTCTGTACAATAGGTATGGGCTATTGCTTGTAATATTGCTCACTGGAGAACTCCCAGAGTCCTCTAGAACGAGTGACTATATACTGGCCATCTTTGGGTGCTCTCATATGCTCTATAGAGCTCCCTAGAGCTCGGTGCTCTGTTGACTCCATCGAGAGCTTCCATTTCCTTACGTTGATTGGCTTAGCTCCTGAAGCTCTCGTCTGCTCTCTAGAGCACCTTAGAGCTCCTTCTTATTGGTCCTAAATGATTGGTTCGGGTGCGCCCTGCGCCACCCGTCGGGTTGTCCCACCTGCAGCTGTCCTGTTGGCTTAATTCGTGACATTGTGTTGTAATTGTAGTTGACTGTTATAGTATGGTGGCAAGTGTTCAATTTGCTTATATGTTCATCTCGCTTATAAGATACGTTAACCTATTTTATTCAACCAACTGATTCTAATCCGACTTGTTTAGGAGACATACAATACAATTTGCGGCATTCCGAGAGAAACCAGTCTTGTTATTAGGTACCCTTTCTTCTTGCCTGGTCGTCACACTGTTGCCGCTGCACAATAGTGAGGAAACCAGACTTGTCAAACGAGGTATGCATTACATCCGACGATCTCAATGTCTTTAATAAGGTCGTCGTGTGTTGAGTATAGTGGCTTGTTGAGGACCGGGGGGGTACCAGTCCCGTGCCAACGAGCGCCCGTTCACTGTACAACAGGCTGCATTTTTCCCTGCGACAACGAGTGCTCTTAACTGTCGTTTGTTCCACGCATGCCAGAAGTGGTGAATCGGAGAAGATTACAAGAATGCAAGGTTCCAAGTTGCTAAGGCTGGATCCAGACATCGTACCATTGAAGATCTAGGTCGCAGTACCATTACCGGACTAACACATCAGTGGGCAACAAACACTGAGGTGGAGGCCACTGTCGAGGAGCGGCCCGAGAGAACCAAGGGGAACATCAAAAAGGGAAGGAGTAAAGGGGAGTGGGGGACAAAGGGAGCGAGACAGGAAATCTGAGAAGGGCAGACAAAGCAAGGACCCGGGCCTGGACCCAGGGCAAACGAAGGCGGGCACGGCCTCCTCAGATGCAGGAAAGTGTCACGTTGAGCGTCCTGCCGCATAATCCCCTCCCCCAAGATGCCTAGCCCGCTGCAAGAACCTTCGTTGGTTCGTGAATGAGGGCGTTGCCGGGTGAGAGAACGGCTCCGTCCTGCAGCTGTGGGCTGCTGCACGCTTTGAGGAGCGTGTAGCTTCTCCTCGGGGCGAGAACAGCCTGGCCTTTGCCTTCATTGGTCGACGGAGCTCTGCCATGGTGGCACTGCCTTTAAGCTGAGGTAATTTTGGCGGTGTGTGTGTGATCCGTGGCGAACTCGTGCGTGAAAGGGGGGCGGGGGAGGGGGGTGGCTGTGGGATTCTTATGGTTGGGATATTTCGGCATGTGCGCAAGATATGCGGGTGGGGTGGCACCGATATGAAGACGGTTTCGTTCACCACAAGCCAGGAATGGCGGAAGATACGAGAGACCGAGGGGTGGGCGCCGAGTTCGCGAAGGGAGAGGGAGAGAGGAGAAGGGGGTAAGGAACGGGCCGACAGGGAAGGGCAGAACGAGTAGCCGGGGGTGGCAGACCGGACTGGCAGCGAAAATAAGTTAGCGGTGTGGCTCTTGAATGTATATGGCCCTGTTCCCGTAAAATCTCGCCCCAGCGACTGCACCCTCTCTCTGTACCCTCACTGTGATCAACGCTGGCGTTTAGTACGTGAGAGCCCTGGCCTCACGCTCATGTCCGCTTCTGATCGCAGAGTATCGTCCAAGATTTCAAACCATCCTTAGTATGATGAATGTGGCGTGGCTATGGTCAGCATTCTCGGCGATGAAGGTGGAAGCTCCTATGGAGAAGCCGCTTGATGAAGATCAGATCGACCTCGACAAAAGCAGCATGGCCTCCAACGACGCATCACACGTGGACATGCCTAGTCCCAGTGTGGGCTCAAGCGATAGCCTTTCTCATGCCCTTCACATCAGAGTTGATGATGAGATGCCGACAGAGCACGATGACCAAGACTCGGCTAAAGCTGGGATGGGCTCACCCAGCAGCAGTCCCGTCTCATTAGCGTCTCCGGCCACTCCTCCTGTTGTTGTGCCGTCCCCTGTATGGAAGTACTCATCTCAGCCCATTGGACCATACGCTAACTGTTGGGCTAGTTTAATGGAGCCGGACCCAGACGATCCACTGCAGGAGAGTCAGTCTCTTTCGAGGAGCTGCCCCCAGTTACCTTTGGACATGTTTTGGAGCGGGTGGAGACAGCGAGTCCTGGTTTCTTTCTGATCATATGCCCTTTCTTGGTCAGGGAGATTAGCTCGGCTAGCGTGGTCGGAAGCGAGTCGGACAGCGTTCCTTTGACGAGGGACCGCTTGATCAGCCGCCTCTCCGAGATCTCGGATCGACGTGAGTCAGATGCGAGCGAAACTGCGCAGTTGGCTTTGCAGGTTATCAAGAAGTCCCTACGCGAGGACCACCAATTCCACCTTGCCGATGAAGGCAACATGAAAATCACTTTTGATCGCCTTCACCGTCTTTACCCTCCCGGCTCGACCGTGTACGGCTTGGACGATGGCGGGTGGCGGGCGTATAAAGTCGACAGAGTCAACCGCCCCGGCGGTCTCGAGGCGGATCTACATGTGCACGTCTTCTTTCTCGATTTTGATGAAACTGGCTTGCGTCTTGTCCCGCACCCTGCATTGCTGGTTGTCCCGGCGTATCCGTCGGCGATGAAGGTTCGATCCCTCCCAGTGGTACCAGATTGGTACATGCAAAGACCCCCTCGTCGCGTGGTCGATGATCTGCGCAGCCGTGGGGGCAGATTCTGGGACTGCGGAGGGAAACCAAAGTGTTTTGCATATAAAGGTGATGCCTGGCCTGGCACGCTGGATGCTGTAAGTGTTCTCACGTCCCCAGGCACGGTCGGTCCAGTAATCGCGACGGCGTTTGCTGGTGGACCGTTTGCTGACGGCCTCAACAGGAGCCCGTAAGAGTGATGGTCGACTACACGACCCCGAGCAAGCGTCCCCGCAGTGCCGTTGGCGGCCAAGCCCGCCGATGTGCTGTCTGTCTTGGGGAAGAGTTGCAGCTTGGACCATTCGGCGCGCGCAGTCGCGAGCACGACAAGGACTTCTGCATCGGGCCGGGGCAGGTGTCTGAAACCAGCCAACAATCCGAGGCTACACAGAGTTCGAGTTCGCTCTTCCAGTACTGCCCCTCCAAGGTCTGGGCCTTCTCGTTGGCACACAGGTCCTGGCGCGAGGTGCGCGTCGGGGACCTCCACGAAGTCGTCTATCCGGATACCACCGGCACGAAGCTCTACATAAGATCCGAAGGACAAGAACTCTTTGAAGCACTCGTGAAGACGCACATTTCCGCCACTGAAGCTACGCCATCAAACGGTTCACGCAGACCTCGCAGTTGCAATGTTCTACTTCAGGGCAGTCCTGGGTCAGGCAAGACGTTCATCATGGGTAGGTAAACGCCGCCATCTCTGCGTTGCTGAACGCGTGCCAGAGTTGCAAGTAGAGCGTATCCCGGCTGATGTAATCTCTGCAGAACACCTCGCCGACAAGTACCGCGTGCCTCTCTACACGGTCAACTGTGCCAGTCTTGGGACAGAGCCAGACGTCCTGGAGACGCGGCTAGCGGAGGTCCTCCGGAGCGCCGCCAACTGGAAGGTGGTGCTGCTGCTCGACGACGCGACCGTCTTTCTCTACGATGATGTCAACTCAGATCACCGGCTGACCGCCCTCAGATCGGCCTTCCACTTCCAGCTGACCCGGTCGGATGCTCTGGTGTTTATGACGGCCGTCGAGTCCATGTTGCCGGTCAAGCGGTTCCTGTCCCACGTCAGCGTTGCGCTGCGACTCCAAGGGTTCAGCGACAGGCCGTTTGCCAGGAGCGAACTGTGGGCCAGCGCCATCCGGTCGCTCATCGGCGACCCAAAAATACCTGAGTCCGATCTCACAGACATCGTGGAAAAGGTCCTGAAGTCCGGTCTTGCCAAGAACATGGATGGGCGTCAAATCCACGCTTGCGTTCGAGCTGCGATGGCTCTGGCAAAACAGAACGATTCCCCCATCAAGGAGATGCTGGAGACCCACATCCTCGAGGTGATGAGGCTTGCGGACGATTTCAAGAAGTCTTTCGATCGGTCGAGCAGGCCCAGCCCTGCGTCGTTCCAATCGTTGGACAAATAGCGGCAAGAGGTGGCGCATGCAAGACAAACGTGTGCGTGCGTTGTGGAGGGATGTCATGACACGGTTCAGGTGGAAGTGGTTGACGGCGTATCTGCAATTTTTCCTCTTGAATTGCGTTGGGGGGTTTTGACGGCTTTGACGACTCTGAAACGTGTTCACTTGTCTCGTACATTTCAGTCTAGCAATTCATTCGCACATGTCAAAGCCCAGGTCTATGAAAAAACTTAAACGTGCTCAATGGCCCCACTGTTCGAGTACTAACAACTGGTTTATTGTTACCACAATGGCTATTGGTACGGAAGGTGCAAGGCACGGTCTATTTCGTCATCCCCTGGGCACACAGTCCCAGGGCCACTTCGTCCTTCTTACAACCCACACAAAATGAACTGATTGATTTGTTACATTTATGACTCCTAACGCCTACCTAATCTAATCCAACCCAGCCCCCTGATCTCCTGATTCCCCCGCTAAAACACCTCGTCGGATCTGCTCCAGCGGCTCTGATGAGCCGCTCGTCACCATGACACGTACCGCCGGCCCTGAATGCATGAGCCATCTCAAACCGTCCACGAAATCGGCAAAGCTCTCTAACGCCTGATCATTGCTCCTGCACCGCCCGTACAGAGCGTCGATTCTGTCGAGGACGATGGTCACCGAATCGATGTTGGCTCTTACCATGCGGCCCCTAAACACCATCCATAGAATGCTGGCGGGGCTAGCATTTAAGATGCCGTCGCCGTCAAGCAGACTGAGTCTTTCTTGCCGCCCGTTAACGCTGCCGTTCGTTGGTCCTGTGTCGTGCACGATGGGGAGTTGCGCAAGCAGGTGACGCACGACGAGAGGCGGCCAGGCCTCGGAATCTCTTGGCCGCGCGCCGCAGAAGTGGTGGCAGACGGGCTGCCCCCTCGCTTCGGCGTCACGAACTGCCTCCACCGCGAAGCGGGTCGGCCAGTTGTGGATGTGAGTGTACTCGGACCCATCTATTGTCAAAATCGTGGAGCGGGTTGACGAGACGAGCCACTGCTTGAGTGCCTCCTGGATGCTGTCCCGGTGGGCTTCTTTGCATGTCCTGGAGATCCTTTCCGGGAACGACATCGAGTCATGAAGGTCATACCCGCGTTTGTAGCCTGCGTAGACGCCCTCGTGGCCTTCTATCCTTGAACAGACCGCTGAGGCGTTGACAAGCTCGTCAAGGCACAATTGTGTCTGGGCTGGGGTCTTCACGGGGTTTGTTTCGTCCTCCAGAGCGGCCGGGTCTTGCATTTGCAATGCGACCCCTTCACCGCTTGAGCTGGCGCGCAGGGACTGTATCACAAAGTCTCGGACTGTGTTCGATTAGTAAGTGATTCAAGGGTACTAGTAAAGACGGTACGTCTAACAAGCAGACGGGGATGAGCGTACTGTGGCGGTGTTGCAACTGTGAGGCCTTCATGGGATCCGGAGTGAACTCTTTGAGGAAGATTAAATACAGGTTGACAATCAACTGCTTGTTGTACGAGTTGTCGATATCAATTCTGGCATCCACGTGCGCGCCGCCTGAGGCATGCACTCCGTTGATTCCAGCGTTGGTTTGGGGGCGGGGACCTCGGCAGTCGTCCGCCATGGAAACAGGTATTTGGGCGGCGACATGCCAGATGGGCTCCAAAACACCTGGCGCGCTGCAGCCTGGAGCGCAAGCCAATGGCTAATGTTTGGGCAGCAGCGATGGGCATCAACACGTGGCCGAACGTGTTGAATGCAGAGACAATATGAAGCGATAGGAGGGCACTCTGGGTGTCCTCAAATTCTGAAACTGTCCGCACACACAGGAATCATGAATGTCCCAAGCGGTGGCAGAAGCGACGCACCCGGGTAGTCAACATCAGGCTGCCTGCCTTGCTCAGCTCATCGCGGGGTTACATAACCCCTAGACACGGGCCGGTCGGCGCAGGAAGAACGAGTGGCGGGGTCGTCACCTATGGGAGCTATTGCAGCATGTAATCTTATACCGGGAGAGCCTCGCACCTCCCGTCGCCTGCGCCCAATTTTTACGCTCCCCTGTTCTCCCCGCAGTGGAAGCCAGCCCTTGTGAAGGCGCTCGCACTCCCCCAGCTTATTAACCACAAACACCTCTTCGGACCCGCTGTTACCCAGTACGCAGAGCAAACCATATATGAGCACAAGGCCTGCTCCGTTGAAGCTTATAAGTTATGACCACGCTGCTTGGTGCACCCGTACTTACTAGGACCTGACTCCGACCTGTCACTTACAGAACTCGTGGAGCCGGGAAGACGGTGCTTCTGCCCCACCACTGCACCCTCGGCACCCAATCACTAGCGAGTATCAGCAGCGCTGAGTACCGTATAAATCCGTGAAGATGGGATATGTCAAAGTGGGGCTCGCTAAGGGTTTGGGCATTAAAAGTGACGGGAGCTCTCTGATGGGTTGAAACTCGAGTTGCTGCTCCACTGTAGCCGGCAGAATCGCCATGACGGCCGAGAAGACAGCTGCGAGAGACCAGGGCGCCTTGCGCAGCGCCACTTTTCGGGCATTGCAGGCCATTCGAGCCCTGTAAAACCTTAGCGGGCCCCACGTAGCATATTATCCCATCTTCGAGGATTTGTACGGTATCACTATCAGACTCTCCCCACCCAGTGGCGGTTGCAAAATCGGCCCATATAGATAGTCCGCGTCTGTCCACTGGAGTGACCACAGGCTGGTCAACCTTATCATCTTATGTGCGAGTCCATAGGTTTAATGTACTGACAGGGAATATGCAGTCCGCTCTTGTGGGGGTCAAGCAAGTTGCGTCGGCGTCTGGATTGGATGGTGTCTGGACTCAACCGTCTGCCGCACGGTGTTCTATGCTAGCACGCAGGCCTATGCTGGGCTACGACATCACCCCTCCCACTTGGACGTCGCGAACGACGGAGATGCAGCTAGCCGATGACGATGGCGGGACTGCATCATGACCACTTACACATCATCGTCACGAAAAAGTATCTGGACGAACGTGATTTGAGCACTGCAACTACTATCTCAAGCGGATACTCTTGAAGTTCCGAGCAGAGCCTCGACTTGTTGCGCGGCAGTGCGCAGAGGCAAGGGAAGACAAACCCCCAAAGTTCCCTCACCATCCTCGCCCTTCACATATCCAACGCATTTCTATGCTTGGGCAGCATTCTGTTCCAGGAATACCCGGTGGGTGTACCGTGTAGGCACGACACTGCTAGTGGCAGTGTCCCATCTTCTCCTTCATTTGCGCTTGAGCAACTCAAACACGTGCTCGTCGCTGAGTTTCTCCGAACACTTCTCCACTAATTTCCTGTTGATCAGATGCTGGGAGGTTGCGATGATGTTGACTATGTCCGTGCCCTGCCCGTCCGCAGAAATTTCCGAGATTTCGGCATGGATGTCGCGGTCGGTCCGCACGATGGCTTCGGTTGCGTTCGACATGTGGGCGCCGGCTGTTGCCCTGAGGCGCGCTAATCTCGGAAGTGTTGATGCGTTTTAGCAGTGCTGCAAATTTTCAAGAAGACTAAAGGGGGAAGGGGGGGGGGGGGGGGGGGGGGGTGGGGGAGATGTGAGGGCACCGCGTACAGATTAAGAAGGTGTCCGTGCCGGTTTTCACCTTGGCAGACTCCGAGGCCACAGCCGTGACCGGGATGAAGGGGCCAACGCCGGCGCTGCGCCCAATCTGGAAGTTCACCGTGGCCCCAGGACAGGCTTGACTAGTCGTGCCACCGGATATTTGTTGGCCTCATCGGGCTCGTGGGAGAACTGGCGCAACTCCTGGGACATGGCTTCGTCGGCGACTAGGAAGACCTCTTCGGGCTTCAGGTTGAGGCGCTCGGCGATGTGCGAGCGGAGCTGGGCAACGGTCTCGCTGAGGCTGAGCTTGAGCTTCACGGGCTGCTCGGTGGGACCTGTGATATTTGCGTCGCCATCGTTGTTAGCAGAACGCCTTGGGCCTCTTGTCTGCGCACTGGGAGGGGCGGACGTTTGCGAGCTTGGCTGATTTCGGTCGACTGCTGCGCCGTGCTGTGATGTGGGAGAGAGCCTCACCTCGAACGTCAAGCTCGTATGAAGCCATGGTGCCACAAGTTTCAATACTTGGTGTTTCAGAAGAAGCTTGTGGTTGGACACACAGTTGAGACTGCCTTGTCGAGGTAGATGTTCAAGATTCACGATGTTGTGGGGAAAGTCCTCCGTGGAGAGCCTGACTTCGACGACGCGGGGCGTTGGGGGGACAGAGACCAGACGAAAGCAGCCTTCCCTTCCTGGTCTCGAGCAGAGCCGCATGCCCTTACTCACTAAGCTTCAGTGTTTGGTTGCCTTAGCACTGTGGTCAGGACGTTGTCTGCCTTGGAACTCCCACCCTACCACCCTCCCTATGCAATAGATGTCTACCTGGTAAGCTGAGCCTCTGATAGCACTGCACAGGCGGTTGCACAGGCGGTTGCGTGGGCAACCGTGAATTGTCGAACTGATACGAACCACACCATCAAGGCTCACATTAGCCAATCATACGTGTCAGAATACTACTGGCCATCAGATGCTGACCGAAGTTCCCCGATGGTCTTGTCTGTCATCCAACCAAGTCCCGCAAGTCCCGCGAGGCTGAGAAGACTTGCCCCGGGCAAGCCACGTTGTTTGTCCGGTAACACGGAAATCAACGCGGAAAGAAGGTATCATCCCGCGGAGCAATGATTCCTTGCTTGACTTGAGACTGACGAGATTGGTAAGAACCGTAGTAACCAGAAAGCCGGTGTGTGGAATATACTCTCACCTGCAGGAGGGTTAAAGTCATATCTACTTACATGCTAAACATCTACTAACAATACGTACAGAGAATGCAAGCATGATACTCCAGACCCACTCAAGACAGCCCCCACCGATAGGACCGCTACATGGCCGTGTGCGGTCGCGCAGTAGGGAAGGCGGAGTGTGTTGCGCACGGGTGTATTCATGGCGTAGCCGGCCCGGCCTGGAGCAGGATGCACACCGTACACAGGTAGCTGTGCGTGCAGCGCGGTCTGCTCGTTAGCTTACCGTGTCCACCACGATGGGAATGCCTGAGACCCAAGGTATATGTGGAGTAGCAGACACCGGGTAGCGATGAGAATGCTTACCTTGCAGCTCAGCCGGCACAGCGAACTGCTTTGCCTCCAATGGAGATGACGTTCCTCTGCCAACTTCCATTCCACGCCTGGTTGTCCTTGATCCATGCCGTCGGCAAACCCAGGCCTTCCCAGACTTCGATTGAGTTCTCTTGTTTGGCCCCCTCTGCAATGTTGTTGTTGATTTCGAGCTGCGGAATATCTTCTTGGCTCTCGATGTCTTTCCGTATGCTCTCAACTCCCGCCTCGATTCTGTTGACCACCTAGCCACGCCGGTCGTGGACCCGACGTGTGCCACGCTGATGCGGTAGCCTAGTGTATCTTGCGCGTCTCGGAGGCGGCCGACGACATCTCGGACCTCAGACTCGTCCCGTTGTCCCAAGACCAGTGCGTGTACGATCTGAAAGGCACGACTCCTCGTCTGCAGCTTTCTCATCTTCTCGACGGTCGCCTCGAGCTCCAGAGCAATATCGTATATCTCTTCCAGCTCATCATGTATCGGCTTTATCTGCAGCGCCGGTTCGTCCATGACTTGTTTTGCGGTGTCGGATAACCTCCAGAGTTGCGAGTCGAGGTCTTCGATGGCTTTTGGAGTTCGGCCTTCAGCCACTAAAACGCAATGACTGTCCAGCAAGTGATTCACTTGCGCTACAATGACCTTGGAGCCCTCAACGTGGAGCTCACGAGGCTGTTCGGAGAAGAGAACTATGTGGTCGAGGTGTGTTACCACAAGGCTTTCTTCGCAATTCAGGAGGCTTCGGCTGACTTGACAGTAGTTTCAGATGGGTCAGATCATTTTGACTCTGCCTCGTGCGCTGGCTGAGGTGAGACCGCTGCTTTCGGTGTCTGCTTTTGGTGTTCGGACTCCGGACGGGCTTCCCTGCTTCTGTTTCCTGTCCGCTCTGTGACCTGTGTTTTGTTTCCATGCCCATGATGAAGGGCTCGGTTGTTGACAGATTTTGGGCAGTTCGAGATCGTGCATATCCAGAGCAAGCAGCGGCACTATCAGCGTCGGTCAGACCGACGCCGTCGCGTGTGACTCAGGTGCTTATCGTGCCAGACCTGCGGCAGCACTCGGTCTTACTTTGCATAGCAGCTTTCCCGTTGAGCACCCCCACGCCCAAGGCTTCTTTGGATAACGAGGCTTGGAATCCGGCCCATCTCTGTGAACTACAATCCACGCATTTGTTCTAAGCTCAGCCAGATCGGGATTTGAAGGGACAGATCGTGTTCCAAACTTGGAAAAATGAGTTTCAGTCGGATTAATCGCCCCTACCTGGGTAAACATTGACGAATCGAAAGAACGTAATTCAAGTCGCAGCTTGAAAGAGTGTTAATAGGTAGGGGTAAAGATTTGACATAGCTCCTTCCATAACACATGGCGAACCCCTGCCCAAAATACAACAGGTACCTCCCAAGTGACCCCGCATAAAAGGAAGGAACCCCGAATATGGAAAGTGTGGATTGGAAAATTGTGGCGGCATTACACCGCTCATACGGCCCTCCAAGCGAATGGGTAATGTTTGGTTAGGTGGGTGTGTGACACAAGGGTCTCGGTGAGCTTCGCATGGAACCTGGAACCTCCCCAAGGCAATGGTCAGGCTGTCAGAACTTGAAGTTGTTCGCTTCGCCCTGTATGGCTGTCTGTCAGCGCTCGGTGCCGTCCCTGGTCAGAATTTCGTCGAGGTGTCTGTACCGGAGAGATTGGTCGTGGCGCGCAAATTTTATACGTATCCATTTCCACCCTGACAGTGTATTGTCCGCTCGGAAAAAGGGACATGAGCAGAGCACTGAGCTCACTGGCGCCGATACGACTGCATGGGATCTCGCGCAGCAAGGCTGGCTCCTGGAGCGTTATCTCGACTTGCGAAGACTGCGGCGGCGAACGAGGGCGACGAGTGTGATTGGCCGGGACCTGGAGATATTGCGAAGACATGATTGCAGGCGGGAATTTGTCGGTTTAAGCTACGGGTTTGCTAATGAGTGTCGTGTCGAAGTGCGTCCTTTGAGCAGCAACAATGCGTGAGTTTTTAGGACCCTGTGCCTACCTTATTATATGTGTCTTCATCTTTGACCCCTGCCGTACCAGTCCAGGGGTTCGGTTGCCTTGGCTGCTTTCCCAGATGTCCGATGGTTACACATCCCTCACTGACCGAAATTGTGTCACCCACCACCTGGACACAGCAGGGGGCCTCAAACGCCACCAATGCGGAAGGACACACCAAGACAACAACAGTACAGCGCAGCCGGACCACGAAAGCCTGGCAGTATGCCGGTCAATTCTAGGCCAAAAAAGGCTGTTCTCTAGGAATGAGGCTCTCGCATGAAAGGCCTTTGGCAACCAGGATGGTGAGCTGCGCCAACCGGAGAAAGAGACTTATAGGTAGGTATAAAATCTTCGTCAGACCACCTGGTCCGGCCCAGTCGCGGCACTTCCAGGTTGTATCCCAGACCAAACAGTTTCGTTGGCTGTACAGATCATTCCACTACCCAGACACCACATCCATCATTTTGAACCATCAGGCGGCTAAATGACACAGTCAGCTGAGCAACACCAGCCTCGAGATGACTCCTCTGGCACCTCTATGGGCACTCCATCCCCCGACATTGTCCTATCCCCTGATGGGCCTGGCGCTGTCCGCGAGGCTGCCAACCCTGATCCGCAGATAGCCGCCATCCGCGGTGAGGGCATCCCCTTCATCCTCTACGACGGCTTGGAAGCACCGCAGCATGCTGGCAGTCGTCGGCGGGGAAGCGAGGCCAGCGAGACATCTCATATTAGTAATATGACCATCTGGGACAGGGGCGAAGCGCAAGTATGTCAAATCCCTGCTGTCTATGCCCCAGTATGACCGACTCGGGAGTCTTTGAGTTTGTGCTCCTCAGACAGGCCTTTTTGCTTCCAAATTGCTCCCAAGACACTCTAATCAGAGACGAAGTGGCTGACATTGTTGGGCTAGTACCGTGCTGAACACCCGCTCGAGTCTCCCCGGCCAGCCAACGGAGTGTTAGCCACCCCGACCAACGAGTCTCCGGAGCCTCTCGTCGACCGTCTGTTGGGACTCCGAACCGAGTCAGGCCAATCCAACGGCGCCTTCTTTTACCCCCGCGGTGAGGTGGAGGCCCTGATTACTGCGGATGAAGTAGCCCGAGTCATCAAGCAAGGAAGATTCTTTCTCGGGGACAAGGTTCTGACGGACGACGAGATCCGTGAATATGCCTCCCGCGTCTGCTTAGATACACTACCCGACGGGACCAGAGTGAGCTACAAGAGAGTCTTTGCCATCTTGTTGCTTCTCCGCCGGGGCTGGAATGTTGTTCTGTTCGTCGACGAGCACATCTGGTATGTCAATTTCGCACTGTTTATGCCCTCGTCTGGTCCTGATACAGGGCCTTAATTTCTGAATTTCTCCCGAAGCATTCTGATTGGTAACAAATGACTGACCGAGTTGGGCAGCGATGCACAGCTCCCTCTCAAAGCCGTCCTAGTCAGCGGCAAGGTGAGGATGCGTCACAGACGCGCCGATGCTGACCTTCCTTGTCTACGTAATTGGGACAACCTTGCACACTCGGACTTCGAGCAAAAGCAGTGGAGCATGCTGGCTCCCTTTTTGGCCAAGCCTGAGTGCAAGAGGGCTTGGTTCTACCAGCTCTCCGACAAGGTCGTCCTTCCGTGGACAAGCAAGAAAGCCTGTGTACGTGAGGGAGGTTATGGCTCGATATCCAAGGTCAAGATTCACGCTAGCCATCACAACTTCGACGGAGGCAATGGTTTCTTCGCTGTCAAGGAGTTCAAGCCGATCAAAAGCCCCCCAACCTCTGGAGCGGACCTCTCCAAAGACTTTGAGCGCGAGATTGAGATATTAATGGTATGTCAAGCTCGCGGCGCAAGCCCCTATCCAGCTGGCGCGGGAGTCTTTGTGTTTCTCATACAGCGGTTTCACTCATGAATTACGTTTCTAAGGCATCTAGATTGAGGTGAGAAAGAAATGGCTGACATTGTTGGATAGCGCTTCAGCGGCGACGTCCACAACCACCTGATCTCACTTCAGGCGGCTTACCGCCATGGTGATACATACTGTGTCATCCTTCCCTGGGCCGATTGCGACCTCAAGGCTTTCTGGAAGCAGGATACCATCCAGGAACCTCTAGCGAAACGCAACCTCGCATGGTTGCTCAGTCAATGTGTCGGCATAGCCAGCGGTCTTCAGAAGATTCATCGTTATGTCACGACCGAAAGCACGACAGACGAAAGGGCCGATGTTTCGCCACACAAAAAGATCTACGGCCGGCATGGAGATATCAAGCCCGAGAACATCCTGCTTTTCCGCGACCATGAGAACTCCAAAGATCTGGGAAGGTTGGTCCTCGCTGACTTTGGCCTCTCTCGCTTCCACAGCGAGATCACGAAGACGTATTTTACCTACAAGGATATTGTCAGTACTGTCACGTACCGGCCGCCCGAGTGTGACATGGAGGAACGCCACGTATCCAGGTCCTTCGACATTTGGTCGCTCGGGTGCGTCCTACTAGAATTCGTCGCCTGGTACCTTGGCGGCTGGAACCTGGTCACCGAATTTGTTACCTGCCGCCAGACGTTTAACCCCCTATACCCTAACTGGCTGGTCGATGACTTCTTTGAGATCGTGAGACAGGAGAGAAGTTCACCGGGAACCGTTTTTGTCCGGGTCAAATGCGAAGTTCAGAATGTAAGTGCATACCTCGAGCATTCTTCAAGAGGGAAACTTGTCTCAACCAACTATTAGTTCGTCGATAACACACTCCACGCTCATCCGAAATGCTCGAAGCCAATCCACGATCTCTTGGATCTAGTTATGGAGAAAATGTTAGTTGTTGAATCGAAGGACATCGGCAAGCGAGCGGACTGCACAGAGGTGCACACGAAGCTCCAGAACATCTACCAGAAGGTCCAAACCATGGTTAGCAACCTCCAACCGCTGGCTGCCACCCCCCGGCAAAAGGTGGATAGCCTTCCGGTAGCGGTCGAGATGCCCCTCAACTCACAGGCAAGACAGATCGCGAAGGCCAAGTACACCGAGTTTCGCACGCATAGCGGCATGACCAAGACCCTGAATGCAAATGGCCGTCGTTCCTAATGGTCAGCCTCGACGCACAGCCACATCCAAAGTCCTGCCGACACACAACCACACAACCACACAACCACACACCACACAATACACAAGAAACATGCATTACCTTTATCCTCAAGCCAAGATGATCACAAGTGCGATCATGGCCCAGTGATCGCGTTGGAGCCTTTTGCTGGATGTTTTTCTAACGTTTCTTTGCTCCTGGTATGTTCTCTTCACGAGTCATGACCTTGAGGGCTCCGCAGATATCTTCGTCTGTCGCCCCGCCATGTGAGGCCGAGTGGTGCCGGGTCGAAAGGTTATCCTTAAGGGATCATGTTTTCTGCATGGCAGGTATTAGTGGTGGGAGGCTTTGTTAGGAGTTTACGGAGTTTGGACGACACGAACAGACGGAAGGCATGGCGGCATCATGCTGGATGGAGAGGCAACTTTGCGACAAAAGGAAAAGTCATTGTTAGATTTGTTGGTTCATGAAAACCCATATGTTCTTAGAGCACTGTACCGCAAGGGAATTCAGAGAAAACGACACCGTGTTCAAGTACCTAAGCATTCAATACATTACATTTATCTGATCATGCCCATCCTAGCCCTATCGCCACCATTCCCCCGCGCCGGTTCCTGCCTGTTAGACTGTCGCTCGATGCATCCATTGAGTATTCCGCCGCTAGAATAGATCGTCCATGGCGCTGGTAGCAGATCACCCTTTTCCCAGCATCTCTTCCGTGTCCGTGACCGTTTCGATTGAAGTCCCATCGACGAAACGACCGCTAGTCATGCGTGCCAACCCCGGTTCATATTCCAACCACAATAACCACATGGCCGCTGGTACCGCCGCTGCCGAGAAGCTCGTTTTTGTTCCAGTTCGCCAATAAAGACGTCCATTTGCGTCGTTTCTGTCGACCAGTCAACATCAATCCCAATCCCTGGGGCTACTTGCCTGGTGGGCAACGAGGAGCTGGAGCTCCTCGCTCAGGCCCAGTACCTCGGCCTTGCGGATGACCCCAAGAGCAAAGGTTGCGATATTCCCGTCAGTAGTGCATTCTGGAGTGGCGCATCAGTTGGACGCGATTCAGACCCCCTACCGATCTGCTTGACTCGGGAACGTGCATCCCAGCAAGCTGCGTCTGCCTTGCTACTGCTCCATAGCCGCGCTGATGCAGGACTGCGCCGGTGTTAGGTCGGTTCTCACGCTCATCGCTAGCGTGCGACGTGGACTGGCAATCCGCCTTCGGGCGATGTCGGCGCCGCAATTGGTCGTGAACCTTGGGAGCAGCGCGTATACTCGTTGCCAGTTCTGCTCCTGGCTCGCGTGGCTCTGTTGCGGTGATCGAGGCTTTCCCTCCACCATGAGCAGCAGGGTAGGCTGGGTCAGGCCGTACGGGCGACGGGCGCGTCTAATTTGGCGTTGATAAGCTCGGTCAGGTTGAGGAGCGTTGGGGCAAGCACGCCAGGTGACTAAGTCCACGTTGTGACCTTGACGCTCCTTCTATAGTAGCCCCACCGTTGGCGTTCGGCATACTACGGAATGACTCGCTCCTAGGCCGACGAGGCCGACAGGTCGCCCACTGGTGCAGCCAGTCGAGTGGGGCTAGTCGAGGGCATGAATTACGAAAGCGGCTATTAGCTAGACGAGGAGGAGAGTCGCAAACGCGTTTGGTTGGCTAGAAGCAGGATCTACAACGCGTTAGGGGAACTCAGTTACAAAAGGGGATGGTAGGTTTACACCATAGTAAAGCTGGGAAAACGGCGTTGATAAACGGAGTTGTGAAACTAAGCACGAACGCGTTCCCTACCGTTTCAATTATAAATAACGGTTCTAGCACGTGATCAATGCTCTGCTGAGTCAGCAAGCTGACCCAAATGAAAAGCGAATTACTCGGTTTAGATTCGCGCTTTCGGCCTCCCCACAATAGCGACATCTTTCTTGTCTTCGTTGTTGTTCAAAGGGGCGGTTTCTTGTCCTTAGAGCGACCAGTTCTGGACCCTTTTGAGCGGACAGGGAAGGTGTATAGGCAAAATATAACATGTATAGACCGCGACAAAGTATCTACTAGAAGAAGCTGATAAACTTGGTACCTATATACCCTCGACCCACGGCCCTCTTGGATTAGGGGCTGTCCACCGTCACGGACAATGCTAGTAAGAATAACCGGCCTCTCTTACAAGGCATTGGAGAGGGCATTGTACGCCGCCTTCGGCTGGTAGTTGCGGTCGAAGAGAAGCGGGTTCTCGCTCGACCTCCAGCTGTCCTTGTCCGACACGCCCCAGACGGTGATGCCGACGCACTTCTGGATCTGCAGGCAAGCGTTCACGACAGTGGTGTAGTCATTGGCCGCGGCGCCGGCGATGTCGAGCTCGGTGATGGCGATCTCCTTGACGTTGGCGGCGGCGAGGGCCTTGAGCGCGGCGGGGGCGCCCGAGGCGGCGTTCCATCCGCCCGGGGCGGCCAGGTGCGACTGCGAGCCGATGCCGTCAATGGGGATGCCCTGGGCGACCCACTTGTTGACGTGCTCGACCATGCCGCGCGTCAGCTTGGCGTAGTTGGCGATGTCGAGGTTGAAGTCGTTGATGTACAGCTTGGCGGCCGGGTCGGCGGCCCGCGCGGCGCGGAAGGCGATGCCCACAAAGTCCTCGCCCAGCACGCGGCTGAAGACGCTGTCGCGCAGCGACCCGTCCTCGGCGAAGATCTCGTTGACCACGTCCCACTGCAGGATCTTGCCCTTGTATCGCGTCACCATGGTCGTGACGTGGTTCTGGATCACCTGCGTCAGCGTGTTGCGGTCGTTGATGTTCTGCACCCACTGCGGCAGCTGCGAGTGCCACAGGAGCGTGTGTCCGCGCATGAGCTTGCCGTTGGCTTGCGCAAAGTTGACGACCGCGTCGGCGTTGGCGAAGTTGAACTGGTTGCGGTTCGCTACAACAATGCACGGACTTGGGTTAGTTATCATCACGCCTTTTTTCTGATGCGATAGCGCAGGGTAAGAAAAAAGAAGAAGAAAAAAGCTCACGTTCAATGGCATCCCACTTCATGCTGTTCTCGCAAGTGAGTTGTCCAAAGTCCTTCTTGACGATGCTGATCAACGGCTGGTTGTTGAGATGGTAGTGATCGATCTCGGTGCCGAAGTAAAGCTTCCCCTTGGCCTTGAACTTATTGTTCAGACCGTCTGCAGCACCACTGCCGCCGGTAGGGGCAGGAGCGCTGCCCGTAGTCTTGCTTGTTTCAGCAGGAGCGGGAGCAGCGCTACTGCTGGCTGTCCCAGGCACACACTGGGAGTACCAATCACTGGGGAAACCTGTTAGCAAAGGGCCTGGGCAAAACAGAGCAGGTCTCCATGAGAGAGAGACACTATGTGTGTGTGGTTACTGACTTGCTCTTCTGGCATACCGAGCCGGCAGCGCAAGTCGTGGGACCCGTCCAGCCTTGACCGCCGCCTATTGAGAAAAGGAATTAGCAAAGCACCCGAGTACTGAGAAAGCGAAGACATACACTGGCCCCATAGAGGGGATTGGGCAAGCACAGCCGCCGGGCCGACAGCGAGCAGGAAGGCGAGAGAATGCATGGCTGTTAATCAGATCTCCAAGCAAGACTGCACGTCGAAGCGGGCAAGTGGTTATGGAACGACAACACTGCAAACCCCCACGGAACGCCCTGTCCATTATATGCTTTCTCTCCTTAACGGAGCGCCCTCCGTGATGCCTCCAAATGGAACAGTTACACCGGCATTCTTTCCTATCAACAACATCATAACATGACCTACCCCTGTTAGCCGCCCCTATCACAAATTGGGAGGAGCTAAGGGAGTGGGATTGGTTCCGGGTAAATTCATCGACGACAGCCTTACAACAGCCCGCTCGGGTCGCGTTCCGCAAATACCCCCTGCAAGAGGTTAGTGCCTCGGTAGATATCCGGATGCTGAAACAGAATTTGCGGCTGAGTCGATAAGCGATGGGCTGCTTCTGAAACCTGGTGGAGACGTGTGCTTGCCGAGGATGTCATCCGTTAGAGGGGAAACACGGTGATAATACGACATTGTGTTCCTGATTACTGCTTTTGTCCACACCATGGCGGGCTTTTACAAGGCTTAGGTCCGTGACCAATCCGGCAGGTTGGCATATCTTGAACCGAGGGATATCAATGCCGTGGACGCTCCTTGCAGAGCCAAGAGGTTTTGGGACGTTCGGGCACAAGAGGACCAGCTATACATGGCGCGTAACAACGAGGGCGGAGGGCCTACAGTGTATTAGACTTTATGCATAACGTTAAGAATTAAAGGAACGGGTGCCGACCAAGCCTGGCCCCTACCCGACACACAAGTGGATCTTCGCCTTGATTTGCATGGCTTTACTAAGACACTAACCATGACACCACCCTTCATATCGAAGGTCTCCCCTAACAAACATCGAAGCATCTCACCGCCTGGTACGTAAAAAGCGGCTTTCTTGCCGAAGATTCCGCTGGGTTTGAAACGTTGGCTCGCACGCCGAATCCCGTGTGAAGTGTCGGCGTGCAAACTATCCTAATACGACTAACTTGTGCAGTTGTGTTGACGAGCATATATCCAATCTGGGAGCGCCTTGCGGGCAACATCATAGCGTCGGTTTTCTGAAAATTAGCGAAGGAAGGGGATAGGCGAGGACTATTTTCACAAGAGCAACCTGACGTTAGTAGTATCAATGAACCAACAGTTTGCCAGCGGCAGCAACACTCATCAGGCTTGTGTTGTGATAGCTCCAATCTCAGCGTCCTCGAGCAGACTGGGGTACCTTAGGCGGCTAAGCCCGCGTCTACGCCTTTGCCGGCGACGAGCATACGGAACTCATAACGGCTTCCATAGTAGTAACCCGTCGCGGTGGTCTTCTGGACACCCGTCGTCTGCAGGCAGGCCACTTACTGCCTTGGCAAGGATGGGATCCGCCGCGTTAGGTCCGTGCTTAAGAGTGAACTGTGTCGCGTTGAAACTGGGTGTGCGAACGAGTCTGCTGGGCTGTGGCCATGCTGTTCAGTGACTCACCGTCCTGTTTGTTTTGGAGATCATCTAGCAGCATCTGTTCGGGAAGGGAGCTGCGGCCGCATGTTGTAAAAGACTACAACTTGTTCTGCCCTTGCTGAATGCCAAAGATGTCCGTGACGTATCCAACGCCCACCTTATGGTTCTTACATACAGCCTTTCTCAAAGATGCACAGGTTGATTGTGAGTTAGTGTAAGTGGACCTTCCCGGTTGCCCTGTGGGATTCATCGTTCCATTATTGGCTGCTCATTTGATGGATTGGTCAGTTTCCATAACGGAAGCAGGTTAGAGTTCCAGAAGCAGGTTCGGAGGCAGGCCAAGGTGGCGCAAGTGGCTTGGTGCCCGTTGCGGTAATTCGTCCCGCACACGGCCCGAAGATCCCCTCGTGTCCTGCGGAAAGGCTTTTCAACGAAGGTGATTCGGGATGCGCTGCAATCAGCTTGGACGTTCAAGTGAGCACTTTTCCTGTGTAGCTGCCTGATACGGTTAGATCCCGCCTTGAAACGGCTGAACCTCTCAGGCGGGCCTTCGCTACCACGCGGAGCGTACATGTAGTCCTGTAGCTCCCATATTAATTATCGGACCGGATCGCTCCACGGGCGCGATGACTGGCGCGCTTCTCGACTGTTCCACTGCATGGTGTCGATGATCATAACCTGAGATCTTGGATCTGGGGTAATTAACCGGGCTGCCGGGCCTGTGTGGCGGGTTCAAGGGTTGCATCGGCTGGATAAAGTGCTAACTTTATGCTTCTTGTGTTCGAGGTGTGGTCAAAGGCTTCCGGTCAGATCTGGGCCGGGCTGACATTATGGGATTCCTAATGTTGCATCGGATCTCATTCCAATCCTTCGATATCCTTCTCCTATAGGGGTACTCAACGTGCTGGGCAAACTGATGATGACGTCCTCTCCAACTCGGATAGAGCAGGGCAACCACGCCGACGGTAGGCTCGATGCGTTCTTCGCCTTTCGCGGCATCGCATGTATCACAGCAAGCCTGCGTATCTCCTGGCGCGTACGGCCAGTCCGGTATATGGGCGCTGACGACTCGACTCTTTCCTTTGCCTTGGTACTAGGGATACACACAAATCCCAGACGTAATTTAGCCCGTCTATTCTTCTGACGCTGTGGACTGTCATTAGCGTTCAGGTATACATGCTTATCGTTGGCACGACTATGTACCTCGTTAGATGCCAGCCCTTCTCGACGAGGAGGGCACCTACGGCTACCGCACGAGGTACCTATACGCCGTACTTCATGACTTACGGCTATAAGTGTCTACAGCGGTAAGCTCACTTCGCATCGAGTCCATCTCTGCCCCAATAGCATCACCAATTCACAGTCCCGTCCGATCTTATCCTCTCGCTGCTACCGTTGCCTTCGTTCCTACCCTCCACCGTTCTCGGTTGGAAAAGGTCTTTATCGCCTGCCAGAATGGCTGCCACAGGCTTCAGCGTCGCGCGCTTGTTTCTTATCATGGGCTAATTACTGAGCAGAGGGTGGGTGACCCTGGTGGACGTCGAACAGGATATCCTCTGGAGCATGTAACTGGCCATCCGTGTATTGACGTCCTCTATCACACCCCTCTAAGCCCTCGTGTACCGCCTTGACGCAAACATGGCCCCTTCTACGCTTCACTTCTGTGACCGACGTGTCGTCCGAGAGCTTCCCTACACCCGCCCCTGCTGGGTTTGGTCCTCGTCTTGTTATCAGTTTGTCCGATACAAAGGCTCATCAGAACAGGCGATCAGAATGAGGAGAGTCGGTGACGGCGATGCTAACCAAGTTGGCTGTGGACACAGAAAATCACCCGTACAGCCGGCAAAGAACTCAGCGATGGGCGGTGCCCTGGCAGTCGGTATATGGGCCGTTTTGTTTATGAAGATGCTCGAGTATCAGGGAGCGGATCCTTACAGTGGTCACCGCATCTCTAGTCCCGCGAACCGGGACCTTTAGGGTTTGCTCATGAACAACCATTGGACCATGCAAATTTGCACAAGCAGCGACAAGATTTCGTCGCTGGTATAAGGGCAGCCGGTATCATAGCGCGTGCTGCCAGTAGGTACGCGAAGAATAGGAGGGATCAAGAGGGGAGAAGCAGGAGAAGAGAGGAGGTTACTAGTAGTTACTGCTAGTGTTAGCAGCTGCCATCCACTCATTGATACGCTCAAACAACATTTGCAGTGAACTAACATTTCGGTATCCTGTCTCCAAGTCACTAAGGGCCGTCCACAGGATTTAGCACAATGCTTGCACCGACTCCGACACCTCGTATTGATCCTCCCGCCTTAAGAACTTGCGTTAGACTTTGCTTGCAGGCAGTTAGTCTTCAACAAAGACCAATAGCTGGGATAGTCGGTCCCAACAAGTGGAGCATTCATGATATACGAGGCTGGATCTGCATAGACACAGCCTCAACAGCCCCGTACGCGTAGGAGAAGGAACGGGCGTGAGTAAGCAACACCGATCGACGGACTCGAAGATGCCCACTCCCGTTACAACCAATTAGGAGACGAGCAATGGTGCCAGATGCATATAGGAGTCGTGTGAAAGAAAAGGTCACTATAATATACTCCCACGTCCGTCTCTTCTTTAGCTCCAATGTCGATAGAGACCACCGTCGCAAAACGCTCTCGTCCCACGTCTTCATTACTATTAGCCGGATCCTCACCATGAAGCCCAGCACCTGTGCCCTGATGCTCTCAGCCGCGGCATTCCCCTCTTCGGCCTCCGTCTCACATCACGAGCAGCGCGACACCGAGCATTCATCTACCCACAGTGGGAGAGTCAAGCCGATATCGTGGGACGAAGCAGTACAGATCATGCAAGTAGGTGGAAGTGGTAGTTTCCGAGGCAAGGTCGCCGCGCTCGGCAGCACCAGCAAAACCCAGCCCCGGCCCAAGTGCGCCAACCCGACCATCCGGCCCGAGTGGAACAACATGGCCGACGCTCACAAGCTCGCATATGTGCGAGCGGTCAAGTGCTTGATTGACACGCCACCGCTGGGCGTCTGGGACAATGCGACGAGCATCTGGGATGAGATTGCGTGGGTGCACGACCAACTCAACGAACGCATCCACGGCGTCGATACCTTTCTGCCCTTCCATCGGTACTATGTCCATATGCTCAAGACGCTGCTGGCAGAGCACTGTGCCTACACCGGACCGATGCCCTGGTGGCGCGAGACAAACTACACGGGCAACTTTCCCGCGTCCGGTCTCTTCACGGCAGACTACTTTGGCGCGCTGCCCCCGTTGTCTGAGACGGGCGAGGGGACGTGTATCACGGACGGGGTAAGTAACTCCTCATCCCATCTGCCAGCAACCTCCTTTCTTTCTTGCTTTTCTTTTCTTTTTTTTTCTTTTTTCTTTTTCTTTTTTCTTTTTTCTTTTTCTTTTTTCTTTTTTCTTTTCTTTTTCTTTTCTTTTCCTTTCTGCTTTTGGTAGTCCTTCCTGACCGCCATCTTCCTTCCTCCTTTCCTAGGCATTCGCCAACTTCACGGTCCGCGCCCCGGACCCGAGCAACCCATCGTGCCTCTCCCGCGGCGAGACCAAGCAGACGACCGACGAAGCGACGACCGCGTACCTGGACCTCTGCCACGGCAACGCCACCACCGAATACACGCAGCACCGGCGGTGCGTCGAGCAGACAATCCACGCCGTGATGCACGAGGGCATAGGCCCCACCATGTGGCTGCTGTCGACGTCGCCCAACGACCCGGTCTTTTTCATGCACCATGGCTTCGTCGACTGGCAGTGGAAGCGCTGGCAGGATGCTGTTCCTAGCCGGTCCATGACGAGTAAGTATCTAATCCTAAGTATTAATCTCCTTGTAGCATTGGGCTTGGACTTGAGAAGCGGGAGAGTAGGCAAGGTGATGAGCATCACTAGAACCAGAAGCTGATATTCTTTTTATCCAACAGTCACTGGCTGTGCGGAATATCCTGGCAACGGTAGCCCGTGCCTCCCATTGACGCCAGATACAGTTTTGACGACGATGGGTCTGATCCCTGACATGACCGTCGGGGAGGTGCTCGACACGGAAAACGACATCATGTGCTATACCTACGATGAGTTCTGAAGAAGCCATGCTGTCCACGAGGGGTAGACAAGCGGAGAGGTCAACGGTTATATGAGAGATCTATAGCCCAATTAGTACTGGCAACGCCCGGTCATTAAGCCCAGAACGAAGATCGAGAAAGATGATCGATACACCGGATCCTGTAATTTGGGATAAATCATCATCAACACATTGAACGTAAAATGTGACGTCGAACATCAGCATCCCGATACTAAACATCCGTTGTAGACACTTGCCTCTATTTGACAAACAGCCCCGTAGAAGCCATACAAAGATGCCAATGAGCGCACCGATCGCTCCGCTGAGTAGATAAAGAGCAGAATACCAGGTGGCAAGGCCAGGAAGCCGCGCGAGAATGCTTCGTCTATGACCATAATACAGGGAAACTGTAGTTGAGTCTCTGTCAGCCAAAGCACGCAATTTGCCAAACAGAAGGATGGATGGACAGACAGAACGTGTCCAGGATGAATTCTCATCCCTAAAAACAGAGATGTAAGGAGTTGACGTTGGTAAAAGTGGGTGGGCTGGAGGAAGCCGTAGATAAAACCCAACAACCCTCAAGGCCCCCTCCTCGTATGCATACATAAGAGCACCTGCGTCTCCCAGAGCCGCTGGTGGGTGGCCACTCGTTCCGCTGTGGGTTAATCATCTTGGTGATGGTGGGAGTGGAGGTCGGGTCTCAACAAGCTTGCTCACCACGTGGCGGCTACCTCAACAGCGTGTAGATGGATGCGGTGGAAGACCGCGAGGGAGGCGGCGCCTTGCGTCTTGGAGGGCTGGAATTCATATTCTTTTTCCGCCTCCCCGCCTCCTTCACCCGTCGCCGCCTGCTGCGCCCTCCGCGCCGTCGTCCTCAACAGCGGCAGGCCCAGTGCTTGAAGACGCTCGGCATATCTCGGCGTGATGATATCCCAGTGCTAAGGTATTTTATGTAGTCTTTTGGCCGTTATATGGCTTGTCGAACAATACTGTCAACAACGACAACGACGTTGGGAGCCCTAATGCATGTGCAGGGACCACTACGTGCAGGCCGAAGCCGAACGGTTAAACCGTCCAGCTTCCATTAGCCTAGCTCCAGCCCAAGCGGCCCAACAATGTGCCGAAGCTTAGTACGGTACCATCGTTATATAGCGACGCCAGGAAGGCTCTGGTCGACAAAGTCATCACCGCATTCGTCGGCAGTAAAACCTTGGGTGTCAGCGACATTAACTCAACACTACTGGGAAGCCAGGAAGTTGTTCAGAACACGGACAACAATAATGGCAACGACGACGGCGGCCACGACGACATTGTCTGCATGCCGTATCTTTAGCGGAGTCTGGCGACAACGACGGCTATGGTGCCAGTGCGGAACAGAGTATTGTTTGTTTCAGGGTTTCAGTGGCGTTGGTCTGCGCAGTCTGGCGATGGCAATATGCCATGCATGCAATGTATGGTCTTCAATTTTTATTGCGTTTTTGAGCTTCCACCTCTGGGTTGCTAAGATGGCTAGCTTCCATGTAGTTTGTTCATTAGTGCGATGATAATAGTAATACTGTTTTGCAGACATAAGCCTAACCCTATTTTGACAGATAATTGCTTGACACCAAAGAAATGGACAGACAAATGGACAAATGGACCAAATTATCACCATATGCGAGATGACCATATGAAGCTGGATTCGGCCGCTTTGGGGGGCCCAGTGAGTATACGTTGCATATGTGAATTTTCGGTTTGGAATCATCCTCTTCTCTTGACTCTTCGGCTTCCAATCACCATCATCGGAATCCCTTTTTTTTTTCCATCATCTTGTTGTAGGCTTGTGCACAGTGTATGGATGACGTAACTACTGTGTAAGCGAACACGCCTATGATCACGTGGTCCTGATCACCAGTTCTAAGGCCCCGCAGCGTCCCCCGGGTTCAAGGTTTTCTGCCGAGCCTGGCACGTCGCTATCAAGTCTCTGATAAGCAACTGCCAGAAAAAAAGTCCGCCAGCAGAGGTTGTCAGCATTGTCGGTATCAGGACTGTTGCGCACAACGAACAAGATGGCTTCCGACCTCAGCAAGAAGAGGAAGCTCACAGATGCGAAGGGCTCAAAGCCTGAAGCAATCTCCTCCACCACTTCCAAAGCGAAGAAGGTGAAGAGGGATCCCACGCCGGAGGAACGCGACGCCGACAGTGGCAGCGACAACGCCCCAGAGGCCGACAACCGACAAGCTGAAGAGGAAGACGACAGCTCTGACGGGAGCGATCTTGAGCATGATAATTTTGACAACGATGGGGACGGTGCGGACGAGCAAGATGGATCGGCGGAATTGGACGACATCCCGCAAGGCGACGGCGCGTTGCTCCCTCCACCGATCTCGAGCAATGCTCAAGATTTCTCCGAGCTCAACCTTTCCGACAAGACCATGCAGGCAATCAGCGAAATGGGCTTCACGAAGATGACCGAGATCCAACGGCGGGGCATTCCACCCCTGCTCGCGGGCAAGGACGTGCTGGGGGCGGCCAAGACCGGGTCTGGCAAGACGCTCGCATTCCTGATTCCGGCCGTCGAGATGCTCAGGTCTCTGCGCTTCAAACCGAGGAACGGCACTGGTGCCATTGTCGTTACGCCCACCCGCGAGCTGGCATTGCAGATCTTCGGCGTTGCGCGTGAGCTGATGAAGCACCATTCGCAGACCTGTAAGTGTCCCGCTGGACAGGAGTCGGCCGTGTCTGGAGCCGAGCTGACATTCTTTTTGTTCTAGACGGAGTGGTCATCGGAGGTGCGAATCGCAGAGCCGAGGCTGAGAAGTTGGGCAAGGGTGTCAACCTTCTGATCGCAACCCCCGGCAGGTTACTTGATCGTAAGTTTTACCGAACGGTGCCTTCTCCCTCGTGTCGGATGCTGACGACGCCACAGATCTCCAGAACACGCCATTCGTGTTCAAGAACCTGAAGTCTCTGATCATCGACGAAGCGGATCGGATATTGGAGATCGGTTTCGAGGACGAAATGCGCCAAATCGTCAAGATCCTGCCCAAAGAAGGTCGCCAGACCATGCTGTTCTCGGCCACACAGACGACAAAGGTCGAGGATCTTGCGAGAATCTCGCTCCGACCGGGGCCGCTTTACATCAACGTGGACGAGGAGAAGCAGTTCAGTACGGTCGAAGGGCTCGATCAGGGATACGTCGTTGTCGACGCGGATAAGCGCTTCCTCCTGCTCTTCTCGTTCCTCAAAAAGATGGCCAAGAAGAAGGTCATCGTGTTCTTCTCGTCCTGCAATTCAGTCAAATACTACAGCGAGCTTCTGCAGTACATCGACCTGCCGGTTCTCGATCTGCACGGGAAGCAGAAGCAGCAAAAGCGGACCAACACCTTCTTCGAGTTCTGCAACGCCAAGCAGGGAACTCTAATTTGCACGGATGTTGCCGCTCGTGGCCTCGACATTCCCCAGGTTGACTGGATCGTCCAGTTCGATCCGCCGGATGATCCCCGAGACTACATTCACCGTGTCGGCCGCACGGCGCGGGGCAGCAACACCAAGGGTCGGTCGCTGCTTTTCCTGCAGCCCAGTGAGCTCGGCTTTTTGGCCCATCTTAAGGCCGCCAAGGTGCCGGTAGTGGAGTACGACTTTCCAAAGAACAAGATACTCAACGTGCAATCCCAGTTGGAGAAGCTCATTCAGAGTAACTACTACCTGAATCAGAGCGCCAAGGACGGCTACCGGTCCTACTTACACGCATATGCCTCCCACAGCCTCCGGAGTGTGTTTGACGTGCACAAGCTGGATTTGGTGAAAGTGGCCAAGGTGAGATTGCTTCCCGACGCCCACAGTTTCTGTCATGTGCCGTGACTGACAAACCTCACAGAGCTTCGGTTTCTCCACGCCGCCCAGAGTCGATATCACCCTCGCGGCAGGGATGAGCCGCGACAAGAAGCAGCAGGCTAGGAGAGCCTACGGCAGTCAGCCGCGGCAGGGCGCCCACCACCGCAAGTAGCTGCTGATGTCGGGCCGCCGATTTCCTTTGCGCTTGTCAGGTTGTGGAGTTGCGGCGTCGAAAAGAATTGGAAGGGATTTACATACCCGCAGGCGCAGGGTAGTTGCACCAGTCAGGTGCATAGGTAGTCAATTTAATGTGTTTTTTCGACTCTTCTGCAGCCGTAGAGGAGCTGCTTACCTATTGTAAGACAAACTGACAAGCCCCAATGTCAACCCTAAAACCCCCCTTCTCCCGCGGTTCGTCTCAGGACTAGTCTTCGTCGACTTCAGGGCCTAGGCATACTTCAGGGCGCGCTTGTAGGACGGCCATGACCTTCCCTGTGAGACTGTGTTCTCGGAAGACAGCAGAGTCAAGCTCCTCTTTTGAACGAGGTCGCAGGGACAAAGGGGTAACAGGGGTGGAGGGGAATATCACGGCCGGGTTTCAAAGCACCCGGCCGACGGGTGAGGACTGAGGAGGCCGGAATATGTTTGAGTGTGGTGTATGTTGCCACCATGAACGCTAAGGGCTTTCTGTACTGCGTTTTACGACAATGCCAAGGGAACGAACGAGCGGCAGGCAGAGTCAGGGTGAAGGAAAGTGCATTGCATACCTAGGTAGGTAGCATCTAAGTTATTTGCCGGGGACGGATGTGGCGCTCAGAGCTTCAACCAGACAGCCACCCAACCATCCTGCATAATTCGATCAGTTTATCGGTGTGTTATCAAGAGGAATGGGGTGTGGCACCAGGGGGTGTAGTAGCTGAGGCTCCTGAGCGCCGTCGGCCCCGCAACCCAGAAGTCCCTGGACGGGTCCGATGTAGACAGTAGAGCCCAAGCTACATCGAGACATTTGGGTTTCTGAGTGGCGCACACCATGTTGTTATCAAACAGCTTTGTGGACCTAAGGCGCAGCAGTGCGTGAAGAACCTATAGTTCCTTGCTCATGTACGTCACGGTTTGACTGGTCCGCCACTCGCTGCTATTGTGCATTGCGAGTATCCAAGTAGGAACTCCGCAAAGCTGCTGTGTTGGCTTGTCGCGCCCAATACGAGATCTACTAACTACTACTAGTAGGTGGCTAGGTGCTCGTCCTCAGGTGACTGACTCGGACCCCAGGTAACAGGCCCGAGCCGTGTGATGGGCTGCATCGGACATAAAACTTGGCCGAACAACGTTTTGCGAGGCATCCCACATCATGTCATGACAAGAGTCCAACCCGGGAACCTGGAACGGTGGTGGCATTTGGGCGACCGAGGGCGTGGTTTTAGATTGAAGTGTATTAAAAACCGTATCCGCTCCGGTATTGCTTTTCTGCCGAATTTATGAACCGGCAAACCATGGGATGTCTTGTTGGCTATGTCAAACTTTTCTCTCAGAGCACATCGAGCCATGATTCCAGAGGCACAGCTCTCAGGCTAGTCCTAACCCCAGGGCTTAGGTTGCAGTGACGGGGTCAATCAATTTCCTGCCGTCCGCAACGTGCCGTTCAGTGGTCAGCCTGGGTTTGCTTTGCGCCGTTCTCCTCAGCTTGGAGACCATCCATGGATCAGTTCCCCTCTCCTAAGGTTGTATCGAGCCAACCTGGCGCAACGCAGTCAGCTTCCTCGCCTTTTTCCTAGCGAATAACCGACCGCAGTCTGATTCTCTGATCTTGGTTCGGCTCCGCAGTTGCCCTCTGCCGAGTGTCCGAGACCGGGAGTGGTGAGGGCGCTGATTGCTCGTGCAACCGGGGGACTGCCTTACCTACTTCACGCTCATGCGACATCTCATGCTATCCGCAAGTTGCGCGCAGTATTCCTCCAAAAATAGAGTTGGATTCATACAACACGAAACCCGAGGGCATGGAAGCGACTGCTTTTCACTCTAAGCATCCCGACTGCTAGTAGATTCCCCATGCCACTGGATGGACCACTGGAACAACTACGTGTATGTCGGTGGAATTGTCTAACTTCCAAAGGCAGGCGCAATGTTTTGGCAATGAGCTTTGCGACTAAAGCGGCCGATTTCCGGCCGGCATGGAAGATGAAGTTCAGCGAGTCTCGCAGGGCTGCTTGGTCCTTTCCTCCTGACTTCTGGTTAGGGTAGCTCACCCACGACTGTTTCCTCTTCTGTGCGTTTCCGGTAGGATCCCTCGAGGCACCGACACGGCCCAGCCCGAGCTATGTCGTATCGTCACCGTCACGAGCTGCAGTTATTGGCAAGACCTGGTGGCAGGGCAGCATGGAGCTGCATGCCAGGATGCCACTTGGGAATGTCGTAGCAAAGCCACCGCTTCCTAGAGAGTCATCGAAGCCATGGCGCTTCGATGGCAGGCCGCCGGCAGTTCCGAGCGTCTGAGGCATTGCAACCAACGGGCTGTGACCTGGCTGGGTTCGATAATGGCCATGTAGGGAAGGTGGCAAGGGAGCTTCAAATGGGTATAAGAGATAGCAGCTGTCCTTCCCCTCGTGGTTGTAATCAACAACGGCCCTTCGTGCTAAATCCCCAGTCAGCCGGAGCTTTCCCTAGAAACTACCAATCTATCCTCCCCTTTCACTGAGTAGCATACCGATCATGAAGCTCATTGCCCTCTTTACTGTTTGTATGAGCCTCGCCGTGGCTCTGGACCCTGCCCGGCCCGAGACGCGCGTAAACCACCCTCGCAGGCGGATCGCAAGGTCAAACAAGCTCACCCTTGACTACACAACCTCGATCAGCACGCCCACGGATCAGCGTTCCAAGGCAACGCTCCATCAAGTCCCAGCCGAGCTCGTCCAGTCCGCCGTGCGACCTCGCGGCGAGAGTTCCAATGCTCCGCAGATGCAGCGCCGGCAGCTAACGGCCAATGACTTCTTCGAGTGCACCAACCCGGTAAGGAATCTCCCAACTCTTCCCGGCAGCTCCCTTAAAAGCGAGAACATTGAAAGAAAGAAAGAAAAAGAATTTTTAACACTCACTCTCCTTCAGAACCCAAGCCCATCCAGCGCGGACTGCAACGTCATCGTCAACCAGGTACTCGCCACCAGCCAGGACTACCTCTTCGACGCCAACACGTGCATCACCTTCTCCTTCGGCACCTGCCAGGCCTTCTTCTGCTCGCTCTGCGAGACGCTGGCCACGTCGTCCAGCTTCATCGGCAGCCAGCTCGACACGGTCGCGGCCCTGTGCGTGGACAACGGCCAGGCGGGGACCATCGTCGGCGAGGATGTGCCCCAGTGGGACGCCGGCTTCGTGCGTACGGGACAGGGCCTGCCGACGTATGACGTGTGTTGATTACCTAGATACCTACTAGTACCTAGCAGGTAAAATGCAGCGCCCAAAGGGGGGTTGTGCAACGGGGTGTTTTTGGTTGCGCATTTTGATGTCTTATTATCCATGAGCTTGTCTGAATAACTTGAACACGGAAGTCGTGCCTAGGCTCCTGTTTTGTCAGCCCATTGCTTTTATTTAGGATGGTACTAGTACTTAGGTCTGGCATTCTGCGCATATGTGCACTTGCCTAGTAGAGCCTGATTCAGTTCAGGCGGTTCCTGTACAGTGCAGTCATAATTACTTGGTACCGCCTGCTGTTCTGGGCTTTATTGAGCATAGCGTTTGGGGCAGGGCTAGGGTTAGAACCTTAGGCAGCTTCCTAAGGTCGCGTCGCGTTGACGACGGCAGTGGAACGGCGATGACAACGGTAACGACGACGGCTCCCGAGAACCCAGAAGAATCCAGATAGCAACCATTGCAGCATATATAAATGCAACGTAGTTGTTACGGTACATGTCCGCTATACCGGCGATAACTGCGCTGTTATTGGAAACAGCCTATCCGTACAATTCGTGCCAGATTTCGCACCATGCAGGCATCCAGGCCATGGTACCATACCGGCGGCGTAGTGTTCTCTTTCGAATTGCATGACACTTGGCATTTGTGCGAAGCTTCGGAGACAAGGAGTTGGGACGATTGCCGAGACCTGGCCGGCAATAAGAGCGGCATGGGTACCCCATGGCCTTCCGATTTCAGCCGGCAAGGTGCAACTCCCCAGTGGGGGATCCCGAATGCTTGTGACACCACCCCTCGTAATTTCATTAGACAACGAAGACCTTTCCACTGACAATAGCGCGGAAATGAACAGGAGAATCATCACAGGTTCACATTTCGCAAGCGCGGGAATGGCGGTCTGCATGTTTCTGCAAGGGGAAGAGAAAACCCGTTTCATCACCTGACATCACCCCAATTCCCCAGGCCCCACACCCGGGTGGTTCTCGGGTTCACCCGGACCAACAGGGCTAAGAATGCGGGAGCAGGGAACGACAGCAAAGCAAGGGACCAACAAATGTTTAAGAAACATGAGATGCGCCCCTCGTTCCGAGACTTTCAGATCCGGCGGCCTTGTGCAACTGACAAAACGGTGTTTTGACCTTCTCCTCGCCTGTTTCCAGCAGCTCCCTCCGTTTTGCAGACTCTCGGTGTCTTGTCCACCGTCGATTGCCGCCTTGACCACGACAGTCTCAGCAGTGGAGGCGTGACGTCGCATCAGGAACCTAACGCACCTCTGCATCAGCAGCGTCACTGCTCTTGGCGGCGACACCATCCAGAGCCCCACGACAGCCCACGCGATCAGCCACTGTGAACTCTCCACGCCGTCGACCACGGAAGTACGCCCCTTCAGGACCCAAATTAGGCCGCTACATGTCTCGGTTATCTGGCCTGCCCTCGTCCGCCTCCAGATCGTTGCTACAGCGGCTATCGCTCAGCAAAGATGGCTCCAAAGAGTAACGGCGTCGGAACCATGCCCGACGACACGCGCATTTGCGTCGTCATGGTCGGTCTGCCCGCACGGGGCAAAAGCTACATTGCGCAAAGAGGTGAGAGCACTCGCGTCCTGTAGCTGCCCCGTTCCATCCCTTGCTGACATGGCTCCTGTTTCCAGCACAGCGCTACCTGAGATGGCTGTCGATTCCGGCAGCGACTTTCAACGTTGGCAATTACCGTCGCCACGACGCGCCGCATCCCTCGGCCGATTTCTTCGACACCAACAATGTCGAGGGCGAGCGGAAGCGGCGAGCAGCTGCCGAAGCAGCCGTATCAGACATGCTCAAATGGTTCAAGAGCGGAGGGGTCGTGGGCATATTGGATGCCACCAACAGCACCAAGGAGCGCCGGAAGTGGGTCCTGGAACGGGTCGCCAGCGAAGGCATCGAGGTCATCTTCGTCGAGTCCAGGTGCGACAATGAGGAGTTGATCATGGCCAACATCCGCGACGTCAAGACGACATCCCCGGACTACGTGGGCCAGGACCCGGAAGAAGCTGCGCTGGACTTCCGCGAACGCATCCGCAATTACGAGAAGGTCTACAAGTCACTTAACGACGACGGGGACGAAGACCACTTGACCTACCTGAAGATCATGGACGTCGGTAAAAAGGTCTTTATCAACCGCATCCAGGACTATTTGCAGAGCCGCATCGTCTATTTCCTCATGAACCTGCACATCCGCCCGCGCTCTGTCTGGCTATCCCGGGTAAGCCACATTTCCCTGCAAGTGAGACATGGGAGTTCCGCTAGAGGCTGACCCCTATGCAGCACGGCGAATCCCAGCTCAATCTAGAAGGCCGCATCGGCGGCGATTCACTATTATCTCATCGTGGCGAAGAGTATGCGCGGAAGCTCCCTGAGTTGGTTCTCGAGTCTGTCGGTGTAAGTGCTCCCCGATCGTTGCGTTGCGCCAAGCTGCAGCTCGACCTTTTTCGGAGTCATGTTCCGCGCTGCCAGAATCTGACTAACAGCCCGCAGAGCGATCGACCCCTGACGGTCTGGACCTCGACATTAAAACGGACCATTGCCACTGCTCGACATCTGCCGAAACATTACAATCAGCTCCAGTGGAAAGCCCTGGATGAGCTCGACGCCGGAGTGTGCGATGGCATGACATACCAGGAGATCGCGGACCGGTACCCTGAAGACTTCCAGGCGCGCGACGAGGACAAGTACAACTACCGCTATCGCGGGGGCGAGAGCTACCGAGACGTGGTCATCCGTCTAGAACCGATCATCATGGAGCTCGAGCGCAGTGAGGACATCCTGATCATCTCGCACCAAGCCGTCATCCGCTGCATCTACGCCTACTTCATGCAAAAGTCACAAGAGGAGAGCCCATGGGTGCCCGTGCCGCTACACACCCTCATCAAGCTGACGCCACGAGCGTACGGCACCGAGATACAGACGTACAAAGCCAATATCAAGGCGGTCAGTACGTGGCGTGGAAAGGGTAGCACCGCCAAGCACGAGGACCCAACGCCCGAGGGTGGCATCTGAAGAGCTCTCAGCGCTTTTTGATACTTTTGCCTCAGCCTCACGATTGGATTATTGGTTACCTATCTCAAGTTGGTTTTGACGCATGTTTTAGACCTTGTCTTTCCGTGTGCTTTAGCACCGGATTGCATCAATACTCACCACTGGCGCTTCATACATTTGGGATGGGATGGCATGGCATGGCGACTTTTTCATTGTTAAGCAAGCTATCGAGAGGACAGTCCCGTCGGGACGTGACGTTGTACTAGTGTCATGGTATGTCGGTTTGGGGCGGGCTTCGAAAACGGATTGGCATTGGGGTGCCGGAAACATGGAACCAGGGGCTAATAATCATGATGAAGGATCCGGCACGGTCAGGTTTAGATGGAAAGATGGAAACAAAAAAGTGGGGGGTTCCTTCTGGGAGTTTCGGGGCCCGATACTGCAAAAGGATAATCTTCAGGAACCATCATAACACAGTTGGGCCGAACTGAGTAGGTGTCCGTCACTGCATCTGCTCTTTCAAGAAGCCGGGCTTGTATGGTGTCCTGAAATGGAAGCCTCGGGCTACGGGACTTCTTAATTCCTAATCGTGACGGTGTTTGTGGGCCTCGTTCCACCATAACCCAATTCTCAGCAATGTAACGATTCGCCCGGTAAGGCGAGGACTTGCAGGATCAACAAACTCAAAAAGAACGAGATCAGATTGGGGCGGTTGACAGCATGTGGTCTGATGCCAGTCACGTGGGTCCTGGGTGGCCTGACGACCGGGTCGACGGTTCATTCCGATCCTTCAGCCATTGTTGGTTTCTTCCCGTTAACAATAGGTACTTAAGACTGTCGTCTATTTAGTACCTAGTTATATCCGCACCAAGCACAACCAACCCCAATACCCACTCTGCATCAACTGGCCTAGCAAGACATCATCCGCACCATTCGACTTAGAGATTGGCACGGGTAGTAATAACGCACCATCTGCTGTCACACGACCAACAAAGTCCAATTGTCCAACCCGGCCACCACCACGCGACATGGCCTCCCGGCAGATCTTCGACCCCATCGTCGCGCTCCGCGCCGCGCCGCTGGTGTCGGCCACATGCACGCTGCTCTACGCATTCGACCAGGACTTCTTCCTGGGCCTCTTCAACCTGCCCGAAAACCGCGCGCGCAGCCGGGCGCTGCTCCCTTCCTACTACAGGCCCTTCTTCCGCCGCGGCGTCGGCTTCGTCGTCGGCTGCTTGGCCGTGACCACCTGGGCGTCCATCGGCAACCTGTACGCCCGCCGCCCGGCCCTGCATGCGAGGCAGTCCTTCTGGTGGTATGTCGCCGGCGCGGCGCTGTCGTCGAGCCACCTGCTCTTCATCCCCGCCGTCGCGCCGCACGTCAAGGCCATCTGGGAGGCGGACGCCGTCGAGGACAGCGACGCGAATGCGTCGCTCGACCAGTGGCTAGCCGCGAACCGCCTCCGGTCGTGGACCGTCGATCTGGCTGCGTGGGTTGCTTGTGCCGTTGCGGTGGTTAGGTCGCTGGAGGCTTGAGCTGTGTTTGTCTGTCTGCCAAGGGGAGAGGGTTCTGGTGCTGTGCTCAAATTCCATTGTGAACAGGCGGAAGGGGGATTATGGGCGTTCGGCGCCGGGAACGTGTGACAGTCTGCAGCACTAGAAGTCATGTATTAATGTAGCTTATCGGGACCTATGTACATACATACCTAAGGTACTTGGATAGGGAGAGGATGAAAACCAAACAGGTAGATGGATATAAAGCGAACTGTTCTGGGCGTATTCAAGCAGCGCAATGTCGATGGCTTGACCCAGGGAAAGTGCTGGAACGCCCGACGTACGTTAAGTACCGTAGCGGCGTAGTCAGTCCACCACGTGACGGGCAGAGAAGATCAGAAAGGGTCACATCAAGTCCAGTGTCTGACTTGCTATAGTAGTTTTTTGACACTACTAGTACCCACCAGATGCGGCCATTCTCGAAAGACGTGGGCAATTGTTCCTCCATGCACAACTTGAGACTCATACAAACAACCTCTTAACCTCAGCCTCAGTAAGTCGACCACCCCCCATTCCGCCCACCCCCCATTCCGCCCACTTTGTAAGTCTTGGCGTCTAAACCACCCATCTTCTTCAACACCATCTATTACAGTCTGTTCAACCCACTACAATACAGGAAGCATCTGATTCGGGGCTTTCTGGCCTGCTCTCTTCAATGCCAGACTCTTCAATACGGCCAGCCTCAATTTGAGCCCGGTGGACCTGTTCAATGGAAGCGAACTGCTTGTTCGGATCCGGGACCACCCTCTTTCTTCTCGACGGCCGGGCTGCCTCTAACTGAACCTTCAGAGCCTCGTTTTCCTGTTGCAATTGAGCCAATTGGAAGTCCTTCTCGTCAAATGCCTTCTCAACCTTCCTGAATAAAAGCCGTCGTGTAGAAAGATCTTGCCGCCGGATAGCTAGGTTGGTTAGGTGACCGCGAAGGTCTACTTTCTTGCGTGGTGTCTGGAATTCGACCTCCTGAGCCATAGTTGTGGTCTGGCTAGGTAGCCTAGATGCCGAGGTCTGTGGTAGTAGTAGTGGATCGTCTTTTCCAAGCGCCTGGTTCGAATTTTCCAACAAAAGAGGGCTTATCAGTGGTTTCGCTATACTAAGAGGCTATAACCCGGATGCCTTCCACCCAGCTTTGATATTATGAGCTATAATTGCCTCCCTACGAGCCTTGACGAGGCACCGCAACATCAACTGCTTGCCTAATGCCGTAGTTTCTGACCAGCTGGTTAACTGGTTGAGGAGCTTGCGGTAGGTATGCTTCAGGGGGGAGAACACTGATAAATCCAACGGCTGGAGGATATAGGAGGTATAGGCTGGTAAAAAGAGTAGTTGGATATTGTTGCTGAAGCACTCCCATATAAACTCAGTGCTTATATGGCTATCGTAGCCGTCCAGTATCAATAGACGCTTCTAGGTAGGATCTTGCGGCTAGGTCCAGGGGATGAAGACCCGTTACAGCCATTCCAACGCAACCACCCTATTTACCCAGCCTTTTTCAGTTGCAATAAATAGCCAGTCCTTTAGTTTGTCCTTGGCGATAGGAAACCACTGCTATTGAACACTCTTGCCCTTGAAAATAATAGCTGGTGGGAATGATACCCCTGTTACAGAGACGCACTCTAAGAAGGAGGTCCACGTACACGAACCAGGGACTTTCCGTTGCACTGCGCGTGTATGGGCACTTCCAACTACCAAGCCGTTGATACCCTGACCTTCTATAAGGCCGAATTCATCAAAGTTCCAGCGGTTAGCCGGTAAGATGTCCTTGATGGCTGGGATTTTCAGGAATAGGAACCAGCTGCGGATAACCGAGTCAGTAGCGCCATTGATACGGGCTAAGTCGATCTTACGGCCTCGCTAGGTACAGAGGACCGGGTTCCTTCGGATAAACCGGTTGATCCAGCTCTTCCCGATAGTCTTTTCGGGTGCTCCTTGGGCCTGTAGAACCCGGCTGGCGAACTCCTGGATCTGCGCATGGGTTGGTGGGACACCTAGAGCGACCTGGGCTAAGACCCATCGCGTAAGATGATCTTCTTGTACTCGGCTAAGTGTCTGTTGCGGTTCGGCCGCAGTTGAATGGGTCTGAGTACCACGAAGGCGGTCGCGAATAGTAGAGCGTGGGATGCCGAAGTCACTACAGATGCTTCGCAATGACTGGCGCCCAAGACGGTATTGCTCAACTGCATCTTGTATATCTTGCTCTGAGTAAGCCATCTTGAACTGGCAATCAGTTTGATCCAAAAAAAAAAGGCCGTTTGGCCAGAGATTGAGTGAGTTGTGGTAAGTTGAAGTGGTTGGGTTGAAAAAGCGGTGTGGACTTACAAAGTGGGCGGAATGAGGGGTGGTCGACTTACATCATACATCTAGCCTCATGTAGAACAACTCCCCTCCCTCAGGCCCACATCCGCCTAAACTTCTCATCAAACTGGCTCTGCGCCGGCTTGAGAGTCCGGTACACCTTGACGAGGGACATGCCATCCGCATCACGGACCCAGCCCGGCACGCTCTCGGTAGACGTGCTCTTAATCCCACCCCCTAATACAGACTAGACGCGACCCCTGCTCTCCTCCGCGTCCCGGACTCAGATACGGACCCTGACGGCGGCAGCTCCTCATCCTCCCAGGAGTCCGCCACCACTTTCTTTCCCTTCTTTTGTCCGGTTGCGGGCTTCACACCCGCCTTTGCCTTTGCATACTTCTCGCCATCCCTTCTAACTCCACACCTCCTCTCCTTCACCGTTATAGATACGCATGTGCTCTTCTTTCTCATACCCACCATCACCAACACCACCACCACCACCACCACCACCACCACCACCACCACCATCATCATCATCATCATCATCATCATCAGCAGCAGCAGACATCTCATCCCCCTCCTTCAGCCCCATAAGCCCAGCAAGCCTCGCCATCACCTTAACAAGAACAAGCGACACCTACTTCAGCCGAAACCACACATCACCCTTGCTTTGATGCCACCTTTCTGCGTTAGCGCCGTGGCATCGCCGTAGCTTGAAGAAGAAGTCGAGCAGGGTACGAGTTCAGCTTCCGTTTGATGTTATCCTCAGACTCCGAGCAAAAAGGCGAAGAAGAAAAAGAGGAAGAAGAGGAACAGGGAGAGAGAGGAACGTCGGGGCACGACGCTCGCTTCCAGCCGGCACACCCCGACCCGAGCGGTGTCGCACAGTTCTTTTTCGGACGGTGGCAAAGGATGTGTCGGTGGTGCTGCCTGAGAGGGTGTGGAACGGGGAGCAGATTTGCACGGGGGGCTTGGTAGCCTAACATCAAGGGTTCTTGGGGTTGGGGTGGTTGGTGAGATGGTGTGAACCTGTCAAAGGGAGGGTGTTATCCGGGTAGTGGGCGCGTAGTCGCGGAAGATAGCCAGGGGATTTGGGCGTTGTGGTGCGACAGGATGCCGTATGCGCGCCGTGGGAGAAACGGGCAGCGAGGCTTTGGTCTTTGACGCTGGGGATGCGTAAGAAGAGGTGACTTAGTGTCAGAGACGAGCTCCTATGACATTTCGCGCCAGGCTGCTGGGGACATGGAGGAGGAGAGATCTGGCGCACATTTTGTGGAAGTAGCCCTCTTTCAGCAGGGCGTGGAAGGCAAAGGCCGCGGATTCGGTGTAGTTTAGATGGCCTATCAGGCCCGAATGCCAGTGCCAGTGGAGACAAAGCCATCATCTGGTCATGAGCAAGACGAGCATAGCGGTGCCCGCGGAGCTCCTCGCGCACGGCATCCAACGGGGATTTTGGATCAACCATCTACTTGGCAAGCGCGCCCTTGAGTGCCGCCTCCCCATCGAACAGTATCAGCTTTTCGAACTGCTGCTGGCAAGGCGTGCTCAGAATCCACCGCCGGCGGAACCACGCAGTCAGGGGTTATGTGCTCCTTCATGGTTCTCCAGAAAAGTCAGGCAGTCTCTTTGCTCCAAGTTGGCTTCGTTCAGTGTTTCTCGGTTCCTGTTGTTGGGTGCTCAGCAGTCAGCAGAACTTATAGGCTACAAAGTTGTCTCTCCAACATGGATAAGACAACATACTTGTCAACGACGCGTCCGATCACCGATGGGATGGACAAACAGAAACGGCGTGGTGTCATTCCCACTCAGCTCCGAATCCAGCCCTGGGAAAGGGAGGCGTTCAACCGGCGCAAGACCGGTGAACTCTAAGACGGATGGCACCGGATTGTAGATGAAACTTCCGCAGGTCCGACCGTCCGAGGAGCGCGACGAGTGAACGATCATCTCAAAAACAAACCCTTTGACCTTCTGGGAGCGCTCCGGTCAATCCCTGAAGTCGGCCCGGGGGTTTCCGACGGTGGCAGACAGTCGCGATGATGGGGCAAAGACCGAGCAGCAAGAGCTGTTCCCAGACCACATGCTTTTGTCTGACTGGCCGATGCAGTGCAACCTCATTGAAGACGATGCGCTTGAATGCGCCCGCGAGAAGTTGTGCGGTCCCCTGGCATTGACCGGCGCGAGGAGTAAGGATCTGCAACAGCATCTGAGGCACGGTCACGAGAATCTGATAACCTTTGACGTTGTGGATGCGATAGTCCCGCGTGTGGATGGCCCAGACAAACTTCCCCTCCTGGGCATACTTCCTTGGAGAAGCGCAACTGGACTTCGGCCGAGATCTGATTGACCAGTGCTTTAGTAGTCGGAACCACGTAGACCAGGATGTCGTCGTCGTCGCCTGCAGCACCTTCTTCATGGCGTAGAAGGAGACGAAGATCTTCCCTGCCTAGGTGGACGTCACGGCGGGCACGCCCTTGTGTTGGCGTCGCGCACCTTGCGCTGCCAGGCGTCCGGGTGGAATGAGGGGTCCGGCGCCGAGTCGAAGCTTCTCTCCAGGTAGGGCCCGCAATGCTCCGGCTGATACCCCCGGGCGGTGGTGTCCGGAGGTAGCAACGTCACTGCTTTCATCGTGAGGGGCTTGAAGGGCAGCGGCTTCTTGGTCGCAGAGGCTGGAGTAGCGTTGCGCTCAAGTGAAACCTGTGGGCAAGTCTCAAGTGCTGCTAGTTGAGAACCGACTTCCTCCGTCAGGGGCAGTTCGCTAATGTCACAATCTTCATCATGGCGTGGTGAGCCACACTCAAGACTATCAGCTGTTCTTCTTGGCCCAGGAGAGGTGTGATGATGCCCCGAGGCGCTGTCATCGAGAGGAAAACCTGGTGATGTATGTCAGTGCCGAACAGCCAAGGAGTACCCGTGGCCGATGTGTGTACCTTTGAACTTCTGTAAGCAATATCCTCAATGAACGCCACGCAGGACCCGGCCGAGGCCATAAGATGCATCATCTGCAGCGTTCTTGTGTTCTCTTGGGCATCATCCACTCCACCATAATGAAGTTTAGACCCGAGAAACAAGTGCAGAGGATGCCCGTAAAGATATTCGCAAAACACGCCGCTCTGCAGACTCGGAAATACGCACCTGAGTCTGGCAGCGCTCACCTTCCCAGCGTTCATCGGACAGGATAGGTGTTGGATGAGAACAGCGCGAGCGCACCTTGTCCGCGAACACGTAGGTAGGGATGCAAATATCGGCTTCGTTTTTGAACCACAAGACGTTGACGATGCACCCGCGATCCCTCAGCTTGGCGAGAAAGGTCTCAACGGCATGAACAGCATGCAAATTCTTGAACCCACCTAGAGAGAATAAGTCAGTCAGCAGACAACCCGAACCTGAGGGAACAGTCAGAGGTTTGAGACTCCGATTCAAAATTCACACGGGCATTATCTAGGTAGGCAGTGGGTCAGCAAAGTCGCCGACGATGTCGACTTCGACCGGATAGAGCGAGGCCCGCGTCGAAATCAAACGGGCATTGACTGGCTTCTGGGCACCGTCTTAACTTTCATTAGAGCTCAAAGAGGGTACAATTGCAGACTAAATTTGAAGCAACTCAGCTAGGACCTGGAGTCCGTTAATCCCTCCAGCATCAACCGATTCATCCCACATCGACACATGTTCCCCGTGCCTCTCCTGCTCCCTAGCAGTACATGTTGTCCACCAAAACCATAAAACAGCAACGTGCTCCGCAGACATTGATCGAGGTGTGTGTTACATCAGTAGTGCTGCCGAGGGATGAAACGCATCTTGGCCTCTCCAACATCAAAGACTACCATCGCGTTCTGCATAAAGGCGTCGCCAAGAATGTAGGGACCCGAGCCTCCGCTCGCAATCGAAGTCAAACATAGCCCAGTCATCGGATCCACCATGGTGCGATAGATCAAGTCGACCGGGTTGATGTAGAACTTGATGCCATCTAGCAGGACTGCAACCTGGGGCGCGATGGCGTCGCACGACGTGAAGTATGCGCCATACATCCACACGTAGGTGGCAGGAGGGTCAAAAGCGGCATTGATGGCGTCCGCGAGATCTGATATCGAGGGAAAACGTCATCAGCAAACCGAACATCGAACCACAAGCTGGGGGGAACGGGCCCAAGGCTCAACCGGTACTTACTCGGGGGCAGATAGTTGAGCGTCGTGCCGCTGTCAACAATGTATGGCAACTTCTTGGTACTCGTCGTCTGGTCGTAATACCAACCGTCTGGGACAACGGTGTAGAAGGAGTACTGGTAGGTGCTCTCCGGAATCTCGCCGATTGTGGTCTGTTCTGATGTCAGCGGGGAAGTGACACGCCCACCCTGCGTGGAGACTCACAATGACCATGTCCAGAGTCGCGGCTTTGCTCTGGTCCGTGTTGATCACTGGAGCAACCCCGCCGAAAGTGAGCATCCCGCTGGATGCATTCCGGTCAATGGCGATGCTGAAGACCGGGTCCACCAGGCCCTGGCTCACCATGCTGGTAAAGAAGGGCGAGTAATGCACCTGGTTGCCGGGGTCGTGCTCCGAGGACTCGCCAAGGTAAGCGTTGGTCAGGGCGGGAAACGCAAGCCCCAGCAATCCGCTGGTGTAATTGTTGCCGTACCAGTACGTGGAGTTCGCCAAAGCGACCTGTTGCTTCTGGACTGTGATGTTGCCCACGGTGACATCGGAATAGCCCATGGGTCCCGTGACAATCTCACCGTCGCCGTATTGGATGTACATGTGCATCTCCGGGTCGGTAGGACCATACTGGAAAGTATCCGGGTACGTCTCACCAAAGGCGCAAGCCTTCTGGGGAAGCGATTCGCCCGAGTAGTCGATGCAGTCGAAATTCTTCTCGACCGCCCACGTGTCAGAGCTTCCCGTGTCAAGGAGCAGCGGCATGCGGTGTCCGTTGAAGAGTGCATCAACGGCATACTGGGTGCCGTATGCCGTGGTCGTGGTGATGTTTTCGTAGCCGAAGCCGCCAGCGAGGCGCTGATGAGCACCGAGGATTGCGGCAGCAGATTTGGGATTCACCTTGGTGGTACGACCGACATTGACCGCGCGCATTTGCTGGGCGTAATGGCTGGATTTGACTGATTTCACGGACGCCCTTGGGTGCGTTCCTTCAGGGACCTTGTAGCTGATGCCGGGAGGCGCTTCCTCCAGGACATCGGCAAGGCGCTCAGCGGTCGCCCGGGGGGCGGCGGCGAGGGCGCCATAGAGGACCCAGGCAACGTTGACCATCTTTGTTGGCGAGAATGGGACGCGTTCGCAGTTGAGAATGACGAAGATGGGAAAAGAGGATTTGTAATGTTCCTCACGATGAATTCGTGATGGAAGCACGACCGGAGAATTCGGAGAGAACGGATGAAAGAAGGTGGTTGATTCTGACAAGGAGAGGGTGAAGCGGAACCAGGAAAGTAACAGGGAATTCAAGTTGTATTCGAAAGTCGGTGCGGTGCAGTGACTCAGTGCTGTCGGGAAGTAGAGGAAGGAACGACCGTTGATATCTTCGTGGAGGGGCATGTTGAACAGGCAACGGCCACCAGCCGGGTCATGCCATTATGCCGTGCAAGGAAAGTACGGGGCGCCCGCAGGCACATCTCTGCGTCACGGCTTACAAAGTCGGCCGATCCACAGAACTTGAAACCTTGAAGACTCGCGGCTCACACAGTGATTCTGGACAGAGTGGTAGAGGGAGACCGAGCTGTGCTTCTCAAACACACAAAAATGCCGGAAGACATCTGGTGTTTGCTGCCAGTGGCGCCTCGGGAGTTCTGCCTTGACGGAAGGAACGGGCAGGTTTGGGGCGGCAGTCACCAGATAGGTGTTACCATGACCATCCCGCTTGCTGTTACAAACGGCGCCGGGAAATTGGAAATCACACAGAGCGTACAGGGTACAATACAATGTCTCTCCATAAGTAGTAGCAAATCTCTACGGTGACGCATCCAAGATACCTGCAAGGTGTTTCCCTTGTGAGGTTTCGAGATGTCCCGCCGAGTCTCCAGCAGCTGGCCTAGAGCTTAAACCCTGAGATCATCCGCCTAAGGATTTCCGGCCGTTTTAGAATTGAAAGCCAGTATGCCATCACCATATCAAGGTGGTTGAGCTCGACCATTGGCCTACGCAAGATTACTATGTGTTCGAGTCGAAAACAGTTAGACGACCAGTGTTCCACCATCCAGGAGTACCACTGCTGAGTGACACGGCATGTGTTGTGTCGCGCTTCGTACGCCTTGGAATCCGCCCGATGTTTGTTTCCCATAGAGCCCCTCCATGATTCCGTCTCTCCATGCAATGACGGGCGTCTCAGTCCTGGGAAACAGAATCCGAGGGCGGGATATCAGACACGAGTGACAACATTCCATCTGGGTTGTCCCTCGTGGTGTTTAAGTCAGGGGGAAATTGCGTTATGACTGCCATTTGTTCGGTACCCGAACCGCAGGTTGGCAACATCCAGAAAAGCTGCAATCACCGACGTCGTTGTGGTGTGGTTGTCACCGTTGAGTCGTTGACCCGAGGTCCGATTTGCGCTGAGCCCTACTTCGTACTGCTGTTGATCTGTGCCAAATTGAATCTCCGCGATGCAATCTGCCGACACGCAGCTACCTAGTGTGTGCACTCCAGTGTCCTCATACGGCTGGAAGGGGGCTGGCGTTGCACAAATTGGAAACACCTGCCGGATCTTAGTGAGGGGTATCATCTCTCACCTGCAAGATCCGCTGAGTTGAATTGCGATAGATGATATGCAAGCAGTCCTTCATTAGCGCACCTGCCTGTGCGAGAGGTGGTCCCGGGACGAAAGGGCGATGCGATTGTATAGGAAACAGCATGGCGTTCGGGCTGCAAGCTCCCGGCCGCTGGCCTGCCATCTATCAAGGGGACTTTGATCTGTGAATATCCCTGAATCAAGAAACTAACAGCCAGGCGTCGCGGAAACTCCAGCGAAGGACCTTGCATCGCATTACTAAACACGCTATTGCAACGGGCATGAAATAACCTCCCGGGGAACCTGTAATAGACCCTTAATAACCACCCCCACCCCGCCTCTCCAACCTCAACTTCACCTCCGCATGATCCAAGACCCACATCGTTCTCGCTATCCACCTACTAAAAGACTTGGCCGTAGCCTCTTCGGCTGTGACCTTGGATTGCGCATCTGGGCGGCAGTCCAGTAGCCCAAGGGCGGGGAAGGTGGCGGTGCCGGCTACGTCAAGGGCTAGAAGACGCAGTTGGTAATCTGGGATTTGAGGTCGAGCGTTTGGTAGGGTAGGCTTGTTGAGCTGGTCTTCGAAGTCGGCCAGCCTCTTGTTAAGATAAAGGTCTAGGGGAGGGATCCAAGTTTCCGTCTCGAGATTCCGTATAGGGGTAGCCTTATAGGCCCCGGCTACGATGCGTAGGCTTCGGTTCTGGGCCTTTGCTAGGTCTCTGGCTAGGCCTTGTGGTGAGCCGTTGAGTGTTGTAGGCTTGTGGAAGCTGGATGCCCCATAGGCTATTGCACTGCGAATGCACTTGGTATAGACCTCTCTGGCCCTGATTAGCCCCGGGCCCCAGGTCTTGGCTGCTATCCTTCATAGAGCAAAGTCTTGGGTTCTTAGCTTGGTAGCTATGCTAGCTCCGTGGGCCTTCTAAGAAAGCCTCCAGTCAAGCCAGACCCCTAGGAACCGGGCTGAAGCCGTTGGTTTGACTATAGTATAGTCATAAGGGTGGCCGGGTTTGGCTAGTTGTAGTGGTTCGGACCACTGTTTTCGGCCTTTGTTGAAGTGGATCAGCTCTGACTTGGCCCCATTGAATTCCATTCCATAGGATCTAGCCCACTGTAGACACATGGCCCAGGCTTGTTCCAGTTGCCGGCAGTTAATATAGGGGTCCCTTCCAAAGGCTAGGAGGTTGGTGTCATCTGCGAATCCCACTAAGCTAACCAGAGGGTGCTTTTCCTTTAGTACTTTATATAGCGAGGCTATATATAGTATAAAGAGGACTGGTGATAGTGGTGATCCTTGTGGCACTCCAGCTCGAATGTTGATTTCTGGGGCAAGTTGGCTGTCGAATAGGAGTGTGGCCTTCCAACCCGTTAGCCACGACCGTAGCCAACCTACAAGCTATGGTGGGAGCCTAAGGTCCCGAACCGTAGCCAGTAACTGGGTATGATTTACCCGGTCGAAGGCTCCTGTTAGATCTAGCTGCAATAGGGAGGCCGTAGCACGTTGTCTCCAGGCCTCTTGGATCTGGGCCACTACAAGCCGTATAGCTAGGTCTATTGACCTATGTTCCCGGTTTCCCATCTGTTCGTCGGGTAATAGGCCGTAGGCTTCGGCTGCCTCTGTGATTCTTTTGGTAACCACTGTTTCCACTACCTTGCCAATAGTAGGAAGAAGGGAAATAGGCCTATAGCCTCCGGGGGTAAGATAGTCGGCTGGGGTTTTACCGGGCTTTGGGAGCACTATAACTATAGCCTCCTTTAGCCTAGCCGGCACCCATTGTAGTTCGAGGCATCTCTGGGCGAGCAATGCGAGGATCTTGTACAACAGCCTACCACAGGCCTTCAATAGACCTATAGGGAGGTAGTCATTGCCCGGCGCCTTCCAGGGAGCAGCCTGGGCAATGGCATTTTCTATGTCCCTGGCATTAACCACCTGGCTTATTGTGATCTTTGGTTCCCATGGCTGGGAAAAGGTGGGATCTCGGATGTTGGAGAGGTCGGCTAGCGGGCTTGGAAAGAAACGATTGGCTAGGGTCTGGGCCTTCTGGGTATGGGTGGTATAGCCGTCGATGGCTGGGAGCCTAGGGGGGCTAGTAGGCTGGAAGCTCTTGCAACGGGCCCACTGTTCTAGGCTCCAAAGGAGTGATTCGTTATGACTAGCTTCCTGTAAGGTAGATCTCCAGGTCCTTATTCTAGCCTGTCGTATAGCCTTTGAAAGGTCCCGGAGTCTCTGGTTTAGCTGGGCCTTATTGTAAGCCGTAGGTACGGCTTTAGCTGTGCGTTCGGCCTTCCGGGCCCCTTGGGCCTTTTGTTGTACCTCGTTCGTCTACCAGGGGGCTTGAAATCCGTTGTTGAGCTTCCTTCGGGGAGTGCTAGCATTGGCAATCCTTGTAAGTTCTTTGACAAGCCAGTCGAATGCCTTGTCTAGGCCTTCTATTGACTGGGTATGGCTCTGTAGGCTTTGCGGGCTAGGGTTATCAAGCTCGCAGAGGCCTGGTAAGAGGGCTGCTTCGGCCTTTACCCTCTTTTTATCCATCTCTTTCCAGGACCAACCAGGGGGAGGTGGGGTTATAGGGGGGTATTCGAGGTAGACCTCTACTACTTGGGGGTAGTGGTCAGAATCTCCCCTTTCCTTAATGCCGTAGTAGGAGCAGGCAAGGTCTGTAGAGGCCCAGATTAGGTCGATAGTCGATGGGCGCCCCTGTTGCCTACCTTGTGGTTCCCTAGTTATAGTACCCTTTGGGGTTACTAGCCTAAGGTCCCAAGAGGTGGCTAACTGGAGCAGGTTATTAGCTTCATTGTCGTAGCGTTCGTAGTAGTCCCAAGCTGGGTGTTGAAGGTTAAAGTCCCCCGTAAGTATTACTTGGCTGGAAGGTCGGGGGTATTCTTGTAAAAGAGTGGCTGGTATTGTCTTGATTGCTGGGGGGTTATAGACCGACCAGACCTCAACCCTCTGGCTATCTTCGTAGCCTGCAAATCGAACCCAGCACCAATGTTCGGCTGTCCCGTAGTCCCACTGGCTAAGGTCAATCGTCTTTTTAACCAGTATAGCTGCCCGGCCACTAGGTTGATGGACTAGGTGGTACTGGCTGCGTCGGGGGCAGTAGGTGGACTTGGTTTGGTGGTTGATCCATGGGTCCTGTATGGCTAGGACGTCGAACTTAGCCTCCTCCACTAAGATTTCTAGTGGTTGTTTGATGCCTCCGGTATTCCATTGTAGTATGGTAACTACCATGTAGTACTAGAGGGTTGGCTAGCTAGGTGATCGGTTGGTTGGCTGGCTAGGTGGTCGGTTGGCTGGCTAGTTGGGTTGTTTTGGTTTATAGCCTGGTCTTTAGCCTGGCTTATAGCTTGGCTGGTAGGTTGGGAGATGGATAGTCGCAGCTGCTTAGGGTCTTGTTGAGCCTTTGTTGGCTTACCCCGTGGTCGCTTTCTAGAAGGGCCTGCATCTTGATCATCGTGGCTTAGAGAGAGGGAGCCAGGAATAGAGGTTGTGGTTACAGTTGTAGGGTAGGTTGTTCGGGTAAAGTCGAGGTCGAAGGTTAGTTATTGTAGCTTGGAAGTAGTCGATTCGAAGGTTCTAGGCCTATGTTGGTAGGCCTCCTTAGCTATAGCCCGTATCCGGAGCTGTTCTGGGCACTGCTTGTCCCTAGCCGAGTGGCGACCCCCGCAGGCTGGGCATCTAAACTGGCCTGTAGTATGGGTAGGGCATTGCTCTTCGCCTTCCTTACCACCAGGCTCATGGGTTCCAGTACCACAACGGGGGCAGAGGGGGTCCTTCCTACAGTAGCGGGCTATATGGCCCCACTTCCAGCACTTAAAGCACTGCCCTGGCCGTAGCGGAGCCCAGTATGGCTCGCAGTTAAAGAGCTGGGCCCGGTATAGGACCCCTAGGTCGCAAGCCTTTTTAACCTCCTCCTGGCTAGTGAAGGCTATAACCACAGGGACTCTGGTGAAGTCTGGGTTGTGGGGGTACTGGAAGATGATCTTTTCCACGGCCCGTAGCCCAGCCTCTTCTTGAAAACTAGCCTCTGTAGCCCCCTGGAGGTCAGCCTTCCTTAGGCCCTTAACTACCACTCCGTAGGTCCGTCGGGCTTCCTTTGCCTGGCTTCCAAAGGCCTGTTGAATCCAGTCGTGGTTGGTAGAGTGCCATTGCTTAGTATCCGGGTTGTTGAAGGTGACTACTATGTCTCCGCTGGGCAGTTTCCGAGCTGCAATAGCCCCTTGTCGGCTAGAGGCCCTGTTGACGGCTTGGATAATTTCTAGGGGGGTCCTCTTAGCTAGATCAGGTGATAGATGGCCCCCCCGAACAAGGATCTCGCAGTTCTGCTTGGCTGGGATAACCTTGGCTGGCTGGGCTATAGTGTCCTGTAGTGGTTCTCGGACTATATCAGCCCAGGTCCGGGTAGCTTGGGCCTGTCCTGGTTTGGTTTCCCTTAGTGCCGCTCGCACTTCTTCCGCTACTACCTTCCGTAGGGTAGGTAGGTTCAACGCCGTAGCTGTAGCTGCAGCCTTGGCCTGGGAGGGGGGTATGGTAGCTTGTTGGTAGGCTTGTTGGTAGGCTTGTTAAATCTCCGTTGCAAGTGCCCGAGCCTTGCCCTTATCTTTGGAGACTAGGGCAAGTAGGTCATTAACAAGCCTGGTGATATGCTCGTATATATATAGGTGGCTGGTAGACTTGGTCGTTTTGGCCGGTTTGGCCTTGAAGTCCTTAGATTATCACTCTACAAACGTGCTACCTAAGCGTAATCGCGAAGATCCGCCTTATAGAGGTAATCTAATCAGAGAGGCAAGGCCAAACCTCTCTACCGGACCAAGCATAACAATACTAGGCTATAGGACTCTAAGGTTTGCACCTTAAGCCCTCTATAAGAGGCATAATAATTCCTCCCTCTTGGATGACCGATACGCGCGTCTGTCTTCTCCGGCCAGCTATACTACTCCTTTAGAGCCATGAGTTCCTTGTAGCGGCGATACTATATATTTAATCCCCAGCTATAGTACTCTCTAGTACGTCCTATCGGCGGTTTCCTCCTCTATCGTACGCCTCTGGCTAAAGGAGTATGCTCCCCGCCACGTACGATATTCCTATGGGTCCTTCGCCGAGGGAATAGCTATATCTCTTCTATAGCCTAGGTGCGAGCCAGGGCCATACCTCCGTCATCCTCCTCTCGGTCTAGTATAGCTGCCACGGCCTACCTTCCGCCAGGTACAACCCTGACTTCCAGCTTCCTATTGCCTTGCTAGGTCTCCCTTATAAGGCCGACCGTGTCTTATAGCAGGCCGTCGTATAAGCTGCTATACCGGCGTAGCTCGCTCGGTCGCTCTACTACTAACCTGCCCTGATCTACCTGCCTCGCCTCCTATCCTTAGATCCAACTATAGTATTATAAAGGGCGAAGTGCCTTATAAGAAGGCCCGGCCGCCTATATTACCTCCCTTAACGAGCCTGTATTCCCTCTCTCTCCTGCTCTTATAGTTGGTCGTACGATCGGTCGGCAATACCGGCTTTCGCTCTGTATCCTCGTCGCCGTACGACTAGCCCTCTAGCGTTCGTCGCGGGCGCCCTTAGAACTAGGCAGGGCCAGGGGTGCCCTATCTCTTCTTTAAAACGTCGAAAGAGTCGGGTAGTTTTTATACCCAGTATCCCCCTAGTCTTGCAAACTTATTACAGGTAGATTGTCGTAGTTATCGTCAATGGTGGTCGTCGTACGGGATAGTGCGGGATTTTCGGTGCACTCGAAAATCCTCACTTTCTTGTCGCGAAAACCAACAATCCGACAGCCACACGGCCGCGTAAAAGCTGCGCGTCGTTGCAACCCCTTGGAATCGAAAGAACAGATCACAAAGGACCTAATTCCCGATTTTTGCGATGCCCGGCCGCCTGCGTAGGCGGCCCCCGATGTTTGTTCACCGGGAAGGGTGGAGAAGCATATATAGGGTGGCTTTACAGGTGCTGGCCTTATGCTATACGATCCAGAGAGGGTACTTTCTAAGCTGGATATCAAGCTTCGTATACTAACACCCCCAACCTCATGGCCTAGCACTATATAGTCTTAGGTCTTCCAGACACCATACAACTCCTAGGAAGCCAATATACAGTCTATACTCATTAAGACTCGTATTGCCAACCATCAAAATAGCTCCCCAACCTCGATATTGGCTGCTATGGACCAGTTGGCCAAAGGTACAATAGCTATAATGCACTAGATGGCTCTTCTTTGCGCTAAGGTCTCTTTGCTCTGCAAGGCCAACGAGGTACTCAGCAAGCGCCGGAGAGCCAAAAGAACACGCGTGCAGCTTGGAGGATCGCTTGCGGTACAAGATGCAAAGGATCTACTGGACCAGAAGGCCGTGGTTGGGGAGATGGCGCAAGAAAAGGAGCCGGATGGTGGCGGTGCAGGGGGGGCTCATACGAAGGTTCGGTGCTGTGGTGTGTACGGCAAGCCTGGCCATAATGCCCGTACGTGCCAGGAGGTTGTAGAAGGGTCTGATTCAGCTGTTTCTGATGTAATTGTAGTTGGTTAATGGTCTTATTGTATTTCAATTGAGGATGGTTGTTGTAGAGTGGTGGAGAGTGTCCCGCTCGCTTATATGTCCCGCTCGCTTATAAGATACGTTAGAGGTTTGGGGTTTTTGGACTGTTGTTGATTTAACGCGCCATAACGCCCAGTTCCCTGCCGGGCCGAGACCTGGCCTGCCGTGTCAGCCCCGCTGCAACCTGGAACAATATGCTGGCAGTTGGTCGGTTCGTGAAACCAGGGATGTCGGCAGGAGTTATTTGGAGTGGAACCTCTCATCCCAACCACATCTCCCGTCATTTGATCCCAACCACATCCCATCGGGCCTGCACCTATCTTCGACTACTTCAATATGAAATTCAAACCCCAACATCCACCACCACCACCACCACCACGCCTTCACTCCTCAGCCAGCCTGCCACCTCCTCGCTTCCCGTCGTCTCGCCACACAAATCCCTCGCCCATGTCTCGACCTCCCCTACTTGAGGATCTGCCCGAGAACGAGCCATGGCCACCGGTTCCGCCCGACGCGGATTTTGGTACGTTGGACGTTGAAACGCCCGAGCTTGCGGTCACTGCAAACAGCATGATCTACCGTCTTAAAGGGCAGCCCTCCAAGATCTTCAAGCTCCATGGCGAATTCCGAGAATACCAGCTTCAAAAGGCCGCCGGGGACTGCGCCATTCCAGTCCATGGGAAAGTGACCAGCAAGCCGAAAATCGGAAACGGCAAGCTCCAATTCTACGGCTTCATCATGGATCTCGCGACTCCTATTTCAACACCCGGGACCGTGGCGCCGTCGCAACGCCGTACCATCATGCACCAGATGATTCGTATCGTTGAGCGGCTGCACTCCAAACGCATCATTCACGGCGATGTCAAGCTGGAGAATATGCTCCTCGATCACCATGGTCAGGTTCGGCTTTGTGACCTCGGCGAGGGGCGGTATATCGCCGAGGATGAGCGTCTCTGGAATGGATCTTCGACCAAGCATTTCGAGTCGCCGAATAGGCTGCAACGGGCAAGACAAACTGGACGCGATCCACCGCCGCCTACCATAGAGGATGACATGTACGGCCTTGGCCTGAGCATCTGGCAGCTGCATACCGGGGGGATCCCGCATGGGGATATCGCCGGTGACACCTTGGAGCTCGAGGGAAGACAGGAGAAGAGACAAACAGTCAGCGTCGCTGCCGTGCAGGATCCGGAGGCCTGTGAGATTATCACAAGCCTTCTTCGTAGGGGAGGAGCTCAAGTTTAGTGCAATGTATGGTGTTGGTGGTTCTTTGTGTAGCAGTATTAAGTCGTTATACACCGGGAATGGAACATTTGCTTTGCTACCTACCTACTTGACACGTCATGTGCTGCTATTCTAGCACCAGACGTGTCCTGAGTCATGTTGGCTTCAATCCCTAGTACCTAGGTAGCAAATTGAACTTACCGCATCGAGAGGTGCGTGCACTGTTTGTAGTTTGGTGTGTTACCAAGCATACCGTGACATATCTTCATACCATTACAAACGGGAAGCCAAAGACTCCAAAGAGGCAATTCAATCACAGACATCTTCTCCAAAGCCGGGCAGGTACATGTAACAAGGCAGGTACGAGGTAGGCACCTTTCACAACACAGAACGGTACATGGGCACGGCACCAGGCACTGACTGGAGTCTGAGAGAAATGATTGACTCTTAAATTTGGTCTCGATACGTAGCATCTCCATATTCCACCCAGCCGCCTTCGGGCAACCTCCGAGCCCAACCCTGACCAGCAGGGTGGCACCGAAGCCTGGCCCTGTTCACAACCCAGCTGCGCTTTCAAGCTTGGAAATCTAGCTTGGGCTGTGAGATATCCCAGCACTGGCGCCTATCGTGAGCTAGTACATGCGCGGCCCCGGAGGCATTGCAGTCGAAATGTTCAACGCCCATTTATCTTTCTTTGCAGCGGGCCGACCGCCGGAAATGGACATCCGAGCCATCCCTGTGGTGACCGCAACAGAGCTGGGAGTCCCAGAAGAGACGGCTGGACGAGAGGGCGTCGTCGGCCTTGCCTGTCCGGTGGGACGAGCGGGGGCTCTATTGGAATCAGCGGAGTGCGGCTTGACTGTTCTCGGAGCACCAGCACTAGGGAACCAAACGGAGCCCGTTCCAGGCATTGTAGCGGAACTTGGAACGAGTGCAAGTGTCGAAATAGAGTTTTTGAGCCGGCAGTGCGGTCAAGGGGTGTTTTTGAGGTATGGCGTCTGGTGGTGGCGAGTGCTGTTGAAGATGCAAGGTGGATGTGTAATGAAGGAAGTGGTTTTGCCGTGTCGAGTTCGAAGCAGTGGTTGGAAGGAGACCAATGCACAACAACGTAACAGAAAGGAAGGCCGGCTTCATATAGATCATACCTATTCACAAGATGAATGGAGCCTGGCGCCAGGTCTTACTGACGGCAGCCACACTGCGGGTCGACGGTCCAGTTTCCAACATCACCACCTTGAAGCCTTCCGCGAGCTAGGCAGGTGACGTGCAGTGCTGCGAGCATGGCGCTAGGGGGAGAACCTTCCCGTCGCGTTTCAGTATCTCCGTTGGCGCAAGAACAGCCCAGACAGCAGGCTGTGTTAGGCCTATGGTGGCCTGTCTCCATCAAGTAGTAGCCCAGGGAGCAGCTTCAGCGTCAGTCTGAGTTTGAATATGTCTCGGGCTGCGGTTGCACCTAGACGCAGCCAACATATCGGCCCTCGTGTTCTGGCATTTCATTCGTTGTTGGTTTAGGAAGCCTCTATCCCCGTCCGCTTTACCTCCCCCTAGCAACCGAGGTTGGTTTGAGCTTGTGGGTAACTATGAGGCTAACTGGCCCCAAGAGTTATGTACCGCCACCCTCCTGCCCCCAACCAGACTGAAAAACGAGGCTGAGGCAAAACAACGGAACGGGCTGGCCTGAGAAACGGCCAAATACCACCCTGCCATTACCGGCTGTTGTGCCATAACCTGTGTAGTCTATTTTTGCCGCAGCAACTAACATCTCTCCTCGCTGGTCGATACCGGGGCCGCTGCTTCATGTCCCAACCCTATCATAGGGCGAAGGGAAACAGGGGCGGCGAGGCGGTGATGTGCCATGGCCTGGTGCTCGTGTTGCGTCGGCCTTGATCCGGTCGGTCTCATGACTGGGATGCGAAACCAACAACGGGATGCGTTTGGGACCTTCGCATCATGATGGATTCGTCAGGTACCATACCTAGGTAGGCATAAAGAGGCCTGCGAGGAGAAGACAGAGTACTTAAAGCCCGGTCCGATCTACCTCCTGATTTGCTCCTAGACTTATCTATGATCAGACATCAAACAACACTCAGAACCTTTTCTGGTGGCACCTTGGCACATCGCTAGTCCAGCCTGAGTTTTGATTTGCTCGATTGAAGATTGAATTCAGTCCCCTTTCCCCCCACCCCCTACCCCGTTCTCGACTTCTTCAACCAGCAGCACACTTATCTCCCTGTGCATACGAATCGTTTCGGTCTACAACAAATGCAAGGGCTACCATCTTGCGCCGGGTGAGGGGGTCAGGGTCGGCAACCAACTTAGGCATTTCTTCGCCTCGGTTTGTATGTGTACACCGAGGCTCCAGGCCCACCTCGCGGGCGGGGAGCCACTCTTCTGCCCAGACGTTGCAGAACATGCCGATGTCACAACCGGTACCAAGATCGACTGTCCTCATTGAAAAGGCCTTGCTCACACGCTGTACTGGAACCTCAACTACGTGGCAGCTCCGCCCGGGCAGTAGGGTGCGTATTACCAGCCTGGCAGGTCTTCAAGTTGAGGTAAGTTACCTCTCTGCACACATGCTTCCAGGTTTCATACCAACATTATTGACCTCGGGTGCTAGTAGAGCATAAATACTACGGGGCGGTCGGAGGAATGTAGGAGGGGCTAGCTGGCTAGCAGTAGGAATTTGGTTTCAGTCTTTAGCTGGTATCTAGGAACTGAAGTCGACGAGTTCGGAAAAATCATCGATACATGTACGGTATCTACCAACTGATGCGATGCTTGAAATTGCTTGGTGTGTTCCAGCCGTTCTTCTAAAACCCCAAAACATGCCTAAAATCACTTACTGCGGTACCGAGATGGAAACCGACTTGAACACATATGAGTTGCGCCCGGTTCGGAAACATAACTAGGGTTAGGACATGATGTACCAGTGGCCAAAGACTAGCGGAGCATCATTTACACATGCAGGTTGTATCGATGTCTGACACAACTACAGATCGTACCTTACCTGGAGTACCATGAGGTAGTACCATCTAGCCAAGGCTCCCCTTCTGGCCCATTCCGGTGTCTGATGCCCCTGGATGATTCCTTGAACGGTAGTATCCTTGGATCATCGGTCGTAACTGGCCCGGTCCAAAAGCGGGATCTCGATGGTGATGCTCGGCCCCTTCACCTTGGCCTACCTGTTGAACGCATCATGTATCATGTAATGTTACTCCGTATATCTTGGGTGGATTGGTGCTCCTTGGCAACTTGGCCGACGCCTTGAGTGCCTGTCCCTTTTCCAAGACAATGGATTAGCCAACTACTAGTACTTAGGACCTACCTAATACGGCGAACATGGTGACGAGATGAACCGAATCCCAGCACTACTAGGGTAGTTTCCTGTACCATGGCTTGCTGCGAAGTGGATTGGCGATGCACAAACTGAACCGTCAAGTGATATCAACCTCGGATAAGGGGGTGTCCGAAGGGCCGAGCGGGATAGGCGAAGGGTCTGTCCTGTCCCGCATACGACCATGTTGAGACAGTCTCCAGCAAAGGTCCCGACTCATGTGCCCTTGCTGATGATCGACTTGCTGTTACGCCCTTCGCCAACAAACACGTGCCGACTCGGTGGCCGAACCCGGCAGGCATCCTCCCAGGCGCAAGCGGCTATACCTCAATGGTGCTAGGCCTTGCGTCGGCGGTGGGGGATGCTACCAAACCTGGCCCTAGCAATAAGGATCTTCGCGCAGCCGCTTTGAATGCCATCAAGGCCATTGAGATGGTCACCATCATGCGCAAAATCGACTACGAGTCCTTTCGTATGCCTGCCATGGAAAGCGCCGACGAATTTACGGGGGACCGGAAGGTTAACTTCAAGACCTGGGAGCTGGTTCTTCCAGGCGCGCCAAAGGCGAGGGAGCTCGATCTCGAGGCAACTATCGAGGCGAACCCGTCGCAGTCCAATATTGCGGAGAGAATCGCCCGGTGGGAGGAGGACGTCTATTTGGCCGACAACATTCCGAACGAGGACGGAATCATGGAAGGCGGTCGGCTCCTTACTAAGGGCGAGATTCGATCTTATCACAAGGCAGCCATTAGAACGGCGGAAAGGGCTGAGCGACTCGCAAAGAACCTGTCGTGCTGATGTGCAAACCGGGGGGTGGCGTCGGCAGCGGAGTAACAGTGAGGAGTGAGGGTCTCTAAGTAAGGATCTCTGTGTATAGTATATGAGCTGCAACAGAAAAGTCATTGAATCATTGAATGTATCTCCGTGGGCCAGCATCCGAGAAAGTACTAGTCAAAATCAGTTGTGCCTCTCTTGGAGCAAGTAGCAACACGACATCATTTGAAGTCTGTCTTGTTGTTATCGCCCAAGACTGTGACCTTCCCAACCTGAGATTCCGATCCGAAGTAGGTAACATTCCCGGTTGTCTCGATTCCGGTTGGTGCCGCCTCCGCTCCTTGAACAAACGGCACAATGGCAAGATAACGAGGTTATGCTTGTGATGCAACTGCAAGCGTGTCTCAAGGTCTTCGCCCCTGTCCCGAGCGGCGGATAAAACTGGGGCTACCCCGCTGATGCAAGGCAGATCATCCGACGGGAAGTGGGGCAATATTGGATCCACTTAAATCGATCGCAAATCGATGGACAGGGGGAGAATGACTAAGGCGTAAAGGTAAGGTACACACTTTGCAGACGGTATGCTCTATGCTACACAAACCGCGAATCGGGTTCACGATTCCTGTCTTGTATCTCCCCGTCGAAAGCTCTTTGTACAAAGTAAGCCGAGGTCTATCGATCTTGTCGTGCGTGGATGATGCTGCTATTGCAAGTCTTCCAGCTTCAGATATTGCGACCGGACTATATAGCTACAGCATCCACTGGGATGGCATTCTATTTCCTAGGGGAACTCCATCTAGTTTTTGGAGTAGGTTGAACTCTAAGGAGAATGTCTAGAATAGCTAATATAATATAGGTTTTCTGATCAAAGGCTTCAAAGCAACTTCCTTGCATGTTACCGCTGCCTAATACCCTACGTTACACGATCTCACATTCCAAGACCCCCGTGTTCAGGCTTGCACCAAAAGAGGTAGGTAGGTAATCTCCGGTCGATGTTTAAGACACAGCCGATGTGCGGCGGCATGCGACAGAGCAACCTTTTCCTTGTTTCTTAAAGATACTATGGCGTAATAGACCAGGTATAGAGTTGCAGTCTATAGCAGAACGGCTTCCTAATCTAGTCCGGACGTATGCCTTTGCTAAAGCATTTCCGGGTCACTTCCGAGACCCATGTCGTATTAGATGACCTTAGAGCATCTATGGTAGCAACTTTCCATCAGTTCTATTAGCAGTTAGAAAGTGAGTTTATAGCAATACAGCTACTACGTGGGGAGTTAGGGGTACAGCGAAACGTCTACCTAGATTAGAATCCTAGCCTGAAGGTATAGCGCGACGAGTTTATATATGGATATAACGCCTAGAAGACTAACAATTGAGCATAGAACGTGTAGAGCAGGGTGGCATTCCTTATAGTATCGATGTTTGGCATATCTACTAGTATTTGATTCACTAGGGAGATTCATGAGAAAATATGTCGCCATATATAGGCACCTGCACTTCTTCGCCTTTAAGTATAGTGCACGGTATGAAATGCGTCTCTTCACCTTCGCGTTCTTATTTCTGGTTCTAGGGCCGATTCTCAGTATCCACTTGACTATACTCAAAACGGTTCGAGGCAAAACGCCAGCTTATCTACACGACCCGAATACTACCAAGTACTATACTTATTGGTGGGACAATGACAGGAACATATCTTGCACGCTAATGCTAGACACCTAGAGGATCTTACTAGGAAACTTCTTAAGATGGGGGAGGGCCCTTATAACCCCCTAAGGACCCAAGGACCTGATGCTAAGCTCATCTTAGTTAAGATCTCTCTATTACACCTACTTGCAAAAACTTTGTTATAGGAAAGAGATACTATGTTGAAGCTTCTGAAGAGGTAACTATGGCCCTAGCCTCTCCGCCCTCGACTGGGACTATGATAAGTCCAGCGCTTGGCACTACTAATACCGCCGGTCCTAGCAATAGCGTGACGACGCCAGTCTCAATATAGACTGGTATAGCTATAAACTGCAATAGGTTCTACTTTGTCTAAAAGGACTAGATATATATAATGGTGCAACGCACTAATCATGATGATAATATCATTTATATGTATAATAATTCATTATATCAAGTGATGATTCATTATGTATGTTCCATTACATCATGCATGCAAGCTCAGACCTACTCGCATCCTGTATCTAAAGCCTACCTTGCAGTCTCGAGGATTTCTTTCCTCCTACAAGTTCAATATTCTTGCAATATAGTCAGTTTACCACTAAAGGCTTAACTCTGGCCTTGAACGACAGCCCCCGTGACAATATATATAGATATTGCAGCTCTCTATTCTATTATGACGGCGTAGTTCCTCTAATATAATCCTGCCGTAAAAACTAACTGTACTGTTCTCTGGGCTTCTACCGTAAGTAGTGCTATTTATATCAAGAAGCCTCTTTCTATATATTAGTGACACTTACTAATCTATTCTATCTGCTACCTAGTATACCTATGTTAGGCTGATCAGAAGCAGTCCTATACTAACAAAGATAGCACCTAGCAATAGGATCACTACCCTAACCCTGATATAGCCCGGAATAGTCGACTACTATAATAAGTTTTACTACGTCAAGGCTAGCAATACCTATAATAGCATCGCCTTCTAGAACGGAGTCCTAGGAAGCCAGTAGGTTAAGCTTTAGAACAACCTAGCTAAAGACTGCCAATCACTGCAAGCAGACACCTACGCTTGTATCAGCGTCATTAGAGGCATACCAACCCCAACGACTACTATATAGGGCAATGGCATCATCATACCGATGCCGACGCAGTTGGGGATAGTAAATAACTATAAGAGGTTTACCTATATCAGAGCCGCTGATACATGCGACAGCATCGCCTCTGGAAACGGTATTTCTACTGCGAACTTTATCCTATAGAACTTGAGCGTTGGGGGGGCAGGCGTGCCGTAATCTGTAGGCGAATATATATATCTGTATGGGTATCTAACATCAGCTATATGATGACGAGAAGCTGGCTGTCAAGTGGAGAAGTATTATTCTTAGGGTCTTTTATAACCGCCTACTACTAGTATTCATAGCGTTGTCATTCTTATTTCTATCATAGCTTATAGCCGTTGTTATGTAACTCGTGCTCCTGGGGGAAGCACTATGGAATAGTATGGGCTTTTATTATAAAGCACTGCTAAAAGGTTTGACAGTTTGTAGGGGCAACAGATGATGGTACTCACTTCAGCCGCCGGCATCATGAGACTAAGCATGTTCGAAATCTCGCATTACTGAGCGGTCAGGACCAGGCTTCAGAAAAGTCCGGCTGGACCAGAAAAGCCCGTCTAGATCCCCAAGTACCTTGGATAAGCGGAATTATTGAGATGAATTGGGTGTCTGACATATTTGATAAGCCAACGGGCCGGACAAAAGGCCGCAACATCGTCCGACCCGCTGTTGGCTCGGCTTCATGTGCTTAGATTACACATTCGTATTATATATGGAGAATTACATAGCTGCCTTTCCCTTACTTTCTATAATGGATGTGGTACCTTACTGTATATGAACTAGACACTTGTATTATACATGTACAAATATTGATGTAATTGTAGGTTGTATTGGACCACCGCATTATCCATGCAAGTACATTATCATCTCTGGTTTGGAAACATGTGACGGCACCCTCTGCATAATACCAACTTGAAAAGGATCGCACCTGCCACCAACAATTGGACCCAAAATCCATCACCGTCTTTGTACCACTCGCAGGAGTTGCAGCAAGCACATACATGATCCCCAATTCCGTCATTCCCTCGGTCATACCATTTTGACGAGTTTAAGACTTCAAGTGCTACGCACCTGCTCAAACTGCGCCATGTCAACAATCCAGGCGGCGGTCGGCAGCCTAGAGGCGGATGCCGCTCAGAACGAGGCGGCTATATGCGGCTAGGCAGTACCTGATATCTCTTCAGGTGTTTCCGAGATGACGCTCTAGTGCCTCATCCAGAGTATTAGACGGCATAACGGATTTGGAACCGAATTGCATGGGAGCCCCGAACTTCCCGCTATCACGCAGGAGCTTAATGCATGCGCGATTATGAGCAATTAAGTGCTAGACGTAGAAGACAAGGCAAGCATGCTGTATTGCTTCTAGCACCATGATCTCCCTACTAAAAAGACTCTCTAAGCACTGCTCTGTCAGTACCAGGGCAGGTTCTCTTGGCTTTAGTACTAGATTGGCTGTGCTTATACTGTAGTAGAATATATATATCTCTATAGCAAGCTGGACCTGCTCTCTGACATGGCTATTACAAAGGAAGCATAAGATAATATGGTTAATAGCTAAGCTATCTACAAGTTTATAGTGTAATAGCCTATCTAGTATACTATAATAGATAACGTGGTTGATAAGCGCATGCTCCAGACAAGTAGATGCTCCACAAAGTTGTACCTATATAACAAACTGTATATCAATCCCACCAAAACCGCTTCAAATAGATGAAACTACTCGGAATCATCTTCCTCAGACATTTCTACAACTATCTGACAGGTACGCGCATTGTAACCAGGTTCGCCGCAGGTGCTATAACGCTGCGCACGCGTCTCGACCCTCGGCTTCCGACTACTACCCGCCTATATTTCCTCCTTTATCTGCACCTTAACCTCTCTCTAACCCTATAGGTCCTTTGTATCTTATATAGTAAGCAATCCTTCTTGTTAGAGCCGTTGTTTTTTAGCCCTCCGACGCTTGCTTAGTGCCTTATTTGCTGCTTGGAGGCTTTACTTCTCTGCTCTTAACAATGCCAATTAATATATAACTTTAGACGTCCCTTTTATAAGGACATCAACTGCTCTTAAAATCTCGGTTAGAGAGCTATTTTAATGCCGGGCAATTCGATTCTTGATAAGAGCGGACTATAAGGAGGTTTCAGCTAGGTTGTTTAGGGTCTTGGAAACCTAGGTATAGGTACTACTAGGGTAGGAGTTCGAGGGTATTAGTATCTTCAGACGGATGTTGAGCTGGGAGATCACTTTCTCGGGATTAAAAGGAATAAGTCTAGCACTTCGAAAACCTCCTCGAATATTTTCAGGCGTTATAGCAGCCTAGAAAGCCGTATAGAACATAGGAATAAGGTCGTTCTTGGTAATATAGATTATGCTTACCTATATTATCCCCTCGATCTGCTTGCTATATGCTGTCTTAAGCAGGCTAAAACATCTAACATCGAGTGGCTAGAGTATATAGGATAAGTGTCACGGGCATAACCCGTGCCATGTAGGGTTAGGGTTAGAGTAGAGCACGAGGGATGTGGAGCCCTGATCGGGTCCACAGATGCGGTCTGTGCGCAGTGGCCGCTCATAGGGACTTCCCTGCACCACTGCGTCTCCCATCTTCCTTTCCCCGTGCAACCACAATTGCAATATCATACTCCCAACATTGGCCCCGTGAAAATAAGTGCGGAGGTATATAGAGCGTAAAATATTATTCTCTTTATAGTAGACCTCGAAGTTGGTTGAGTGGTAGCTATTATGGCCGTCGAGGATAAGGAGGCGATAAACCCTGGTTGTACAAGCTCTAGTATACTTATCAAAATATTAAATCTATTCAAGACCTCTCTCGTTAGTCGTCCAACTATTCTTAGATATCGCGATAACCTAGTCCTTCGGCAATAGGCTATTCTTATACTAAGAGGAGAGGTAATATTTGCCCTTGACGATAATAAATGGTAGGACTACCTAGCTAGTTATATTAATACCCTAGATCACTGTTGCCCACTCCCAATTGCTAGGCTGCTTTGACTTTGCCCTACTACGCTATTCGGAGCTTATAACAACTATTAAGGTTGCAATAACGCCTATTAGAAACCCAGTCTTGTCGAAGTTGTAGATATCTACCTCCTAGATGTCGTACTTCGTAATTATATTCCATATAAGCGTAAACTAGCCCCGAATAATTTCTGGGTCTTCGTATTTGGCCCTCTAGTAGTCGTATTTCCAATTGAAACGCATAGTAAGCTCGGGGTACCGTTTGACAAAGTTATATACCTAATACATACCGATACGTCTGGTATCGTATTCGATAAATAGTCGATTTGCTATATCTTCTATACCAGACAAACAGGGAGGAAATCCTTTGCAATCCAGGTCGAGGATATATTAAATAATGGCCGATTCTTCTAAATTAATCAACTTCCACGAATTGGCCGGAATATTGCATCGTGATTATATATAACGCCTACGACAGCTTAGCTTAGTATAATAAACCGCATAGATCTTAGCTGCAGCTCTTAGGCTCAAAGTGGAGTCTTTCTCAAGAGCTTGGAGGGCTAAGATTATCTGGCGTTCGTCGTCTTTTAGATGCATGTTGGGTTGCAAAGAAAATGTATGCGGGGAGGAGGTGTTATGTAGGCGCGGTGGAGTAGAGCATTCGCTTCTCTGGAGCATTCGCTTATCAACCACGTTACCTACAGTGTAGACATTGTGAATTGTATTATTATAAACCTTTTTAGCTTCACCGAGACCTATAGTCCGACTAACAGATACCTTCGACCGGAGAACCCTTTCAGAGGCAGGACTGCCTAGGGTTTCGTCACACTTTGACTATGATTTCGTAGAAAGACGGAAGGTATATACTCACAATTTATTCTATTCCACTGGAAAATCGTTGCGGTGATGTCCCTGACAACGGCGTGTACTTTCAGCGGGTCTACGGATCCGTTCCTAGTGAACGATCGTGCCGATTGAGGGGAAGGAGATTAGTGTAGGTAGGTAGGGATGCACTCCGTATTCGACAGGTTGGTAAGGTGAGGGAGTTGTTGCCTGGTTGGGGTCATCTGTAAGTTAAACCGGAGCTAGCGGGTCCTCTGCATGTGGGAATTGCAGCTTGTTTGGCATAGGTTAAGTCGGACCCCCCCATTTGGACCACCCCAGATTCGGACCACTTGGCAGTCCACACCGCTCTTTCAACCTAACCATTTCAACTCACTACAACTCAGTCAATTCGAGGTCAAGAACGCTCATCTTTTGCATACAGCACTGTCAATGCCCAATGGACTATACGGAACAAGACTTACAAGATGCCGTTACAAAATATCATCGCGGTGGCTCCTCAATGCGGTCTATCTCCCGGGAGTTCGGCATCCCGAAGACTACTCTCCGGAACCGACTTAACGGCCACCAGACTCATTCTATTGCAGCCGAACCGCAATAGACTCTGAGCCGGATATAGGAAGACCTCCTTACACAATGGGTCTTGACCCAGGTCGCCCTTAGTGTTCTACCAACCTATGCGTAGATCAGGGAGTTTGCCAGCCGAGTTCTACAGGCACAAGGAACCAGCCGTACGACTGTCGGAAAGGGCTGGATGACTCGGTTTCTTCGTAGGAACCCAGTCCTTCGAACCCAGCGAGCCCGTAAGATAGATTCGGTCCGCATCAATGGGGCTACTGACTCAGTCATCCGCAGTTGGTGGCCGCAACTGAGTATCCCGGCCATCAAGGATATCCTACCAGCCAACCGTTGGAACTTTGACGAATTCGGCATCATAGAAGGCCAGGGAACTAACGGCTTGGTGGTTGGGAGCTCTCGAACGCGTGCAGTTCAACGGAAAGTCCCTGGTTCGCGAGCCTGGACTTCTTTTCTTGAGTGTGTCTTAGCGACAGGGGTAGTGCTCCCACTAGCTGTTATCTTCAGGGGGAAGAGCCTTTAACAACAATAGTTCCCACTTAAAAAGGAGGAAATAAAGGAGTGGAAGTAGGCTACAACCGCTATAGGTTGGATAAACAGAGTAGTTGCATTAGAATGGCTTAAAGAGGTGTTCATCCCCCAGACCCGGCTACAGGACCCCTCCCAGAGAAAGCTGTTGATACTGGACGGCCATAATAGCCATAGAACCGACGACTTCATATAGGAATGCTACATTAACAATATCCAGTTGCTCTTTTTACCTCCCTATACTTCCTACGTTCTTCAGCCATTGGATTTATTAGTGTTCTCCCCCCTAAAGCATATATACCGGAAACTCCTTAATAAGTTGACCTCTTGGTCCGAATCGACGGTGCTAGGCAAGCAGATGATGATCAGATATATCGTGGAAGCTTATAAAGAAGCTATTATAGCCTATAACATCAAAGTAGGGTGGAGGGCATCCGGGTTATGGCCGGTCAATATAGCCAAACCTCTGATGAGCCGGCTTCTATTGGAAAATTCGAACAACACAGCCGGGATTGACGAACAGATAGCTTATATACAAACCCCAGCACCTGTTCAACCCTCCCAATCTTTGACAATAGCCGCTAACGCATTCCTCAGCATACCATAGAAGAAGTCAGATTTACGTGGTCAACTGAACAGCCTGGCCATCCGGAAACAAGACCTCCCTATACACAGGCTTTTATTCAAGAAGGTTGAGAAGGCTTTTGACAAGAAGGACTTCGAATTGGCTCGTTTACGACAGGAAAACGAAGCTCTGAAGGCATAGTTGGAAGCAGCCCAGCCGTCGAGGAGGAAGAAGGTAGTTCTTGATCCGAACAGCGTGTTCGCTTCGATTGAACAGATCCACCAGGCGCAGATTGAGTCCGGCCGTATAGATGACTCTATGGCTGAAGAGAGCGGGTCAGAAAGTGCAGAATCAGAGGTTTCCTGTATTGTGGTGGGTTAAATAGACTGCGATATACGGTGTTGAATAAGATGGGTGGGTTTGCGGGCTAAGATTTGCCAAGCGGTCCGAATCTGGGGTGGTCCAAATGGGGGGGGGGTCCGACTTAGATCTAGGCATGGCGCATGGAGCTGGAGACGGAAGGTGGCACCTTGGGCGGACGGCTCTCCGAACTCAAACGTAAAACGTCTCAATTCCATGATTGAACTCCAAAACAGAGGTGGCGCTATCTGAATATGTACCGTAGCTGAGGATCATCTGTTTGGGACTGATTATCTTAAATTGCGGTTGATTACGAAGAATGTCACGGTGCAAGCAATTGAACGAAGTGTACTCAATGTACTGTGTACAAGGTACATAGGTGCGTGGTATATTGTATTGTACTAGTCCTAACCGTGCAAAGATTACAAGGACCTTGCACAGCGTCAACCCGGATGCCCTGCCCTTCAGCTAGCGATAAACAAATGCTGGACCAAGGTCATCGGATCCCCGTTAAGTTTTAACATGCGTATTCTCATGCGGTAGCCACCCGAAACTATCTATCGGCAACACATCCCCAATCAAGAGCGGCTCCGCCAACGAACTCATCTCATCCCCCGTATACTCTACGCCCGTGGCATTTCTGAAATACATGCATCAACACGTCCGTAAAGATGAACGGCCCTGTCGTTGCCAGGGAGATCCCATTTTCATTTTATTCTATTGTTTCGAGCACAAGAACTCTTAGTAATTACCGCCTAATAGTTTCGCCATCCATCACCAGCTCAGAAGGCCCGATCCCGAGGAGAGACTGGTAACTCAGCCCTAGCCACTGCATCCCTTCCTCCCGGCTGCAGATTTGAGCCGTACCCGTACGCAGGGTTATGAGGATCCCACCCTTGCATCTCTTGAGGTTCTTTCTCGGGCATCTCCGCCGTCACCCCAACAAGACCAGCAGCAGCAACACCCTCGCCACTGCCACTGGCAGGATAATGCCATGGCTCACCACCGAGTGTCCTATCCCCGGGCTCGTACAGTCGAGGTCCTCCTGCTGGATGATGGGCAGCTGCTCCCTTCTCCAGCTTGTTCCTCTGGCGCAGTTTCCAGAGCAGAAAGGCGATGATCCCGAGCGAGATCGCGAGGACCGCCACCCCGGCGCCGATGCCTGCTTGCGCGGCTACAGGGAGGCCACCACTGCTACCGCTCGAGGTCGTCTGCTGTGTTTGGCCGGTGGACTGGTCAGCAGCTCCTGACGAGGTGGAGGCTGGGGGCCCTTGGGTCCATGTTGTTGTTGCGAGTGTTGTTGACACGGAGAGGGATGAAGATGGAGACGCTGTCTTGAGGACCACCACGAACTGGCTCGCGCTCATGTCCCAGGTCGCCAGGATTTGTGGTTTGGAGGGGAGCACCTCGAACCGGGCCACGCCGTCGTTACAGCAGAAGGCTCGGCCAGGGTCGCAGCAGAAGAGTGTGTCGGTTCCGGTGACGTTTTGGCATGAGATGAGATCGGTTCCGCCGCGGGTTGCGCCTGGTCGCTCTTGTCAACGCCACTGAAGCAATCATTATACAAAGTAACAACCGTGGACTCCGGGCCGCATTGATTGATTGTGACAGTGCTTACCTAGGCAGTAATGGGCGCATTCGGGAGCGCTCCAGTCCTGGGCCGTACATGATCCCCTGATCAGATTCCCATCTGGGCCCCTGCACAGCTTGTTGGTGAGACAAACGGACCCAAAGCTTCCGCCGCAACACGGGCTCTGCTCAGCGTTGGGGTCGCAGGGGAAATCGCTGTCTGATTGCACTCCATTTGGGTAATAGCACTTGTTCTTGGCCACACAAACATGGAAGAAGGTCAGGAGTAAGATGATATGACCGAAGGCCCTCATGTTAAAGTGTTGGAAGTTGCCCATCTCCGCCTCTGAGGGTATCGCAGCCCGTGGTCCAAAAGGCAAGTTGCCGAAAGAGTGGAACTACAGAAAAGTTGAAGAGAAAAGGGGGACATGAAGCGCCGGACGAATCTTGGAACAGATATACTGTGGTACGTTGAAACGCTGTTGGTGGCAGGGCGGCAACCCTGCATGCAGATGTTACCCCAGGCCCTTGTTCGAACAGTGGTCGCCTGCTAGGGTAAATAAGCGCGTAAGCGGCAAAATTTGGAGGCGTCCAGCAGCGCCATCATTGCCGCCTCTAAGCAACTTTGAAGTTTAGTGCGGTGTGACACTCCATCGTGATTCGCCCATCCTGTCATTTGTCATTGCTGTATCGTCGGCAGGGGCGCTGGGGTGACCCAACAGCCCCACAGAGAAGCGACTGCTCGCCCACGTCGCCAGCGCTGGTCCAAGCGGACAGCCGGGCCATTCGTTTGCATCTCGCGCCCCTGGACTTCAGTGCTTCTCCCGCCTCTGCGTGCTTATGGGGCCTTCTCGCGTGCCTGCTCCAAGGCCGCCGCTGGTATGCCGTCCCCGCTTGCCGTTCCAATCTATAATTGTGACTCTGCCCAACGACAACCTCAGACGAAGCGTCGAAGCATCAGTTGGGACCCCTCCGCAGTGGTTAGCCTTCATGCCCGGATGGTTGGTCCCTAGGATGAGGCTCGCGTAGAAGCTTGGGAAATCTTCCCCTGTCCCCATCTCGACCCAGGCCCAACTATGTAGGTAACAATTCCCATCCTATCCATGGATTATCACAGAAGTGGGTGGAATTGACCATTGGGTAACACCACCGAAAAGATGGACCGTTGTTCGACAGATAGGTCGAACAACCGGAGTTGCACCCAAGAACCCACACCTGTCACGATTCCTCATAGAGATAGGATGGCGAGGTGACCATTAGGTTTGACTCCGCTTTCTCTGTCCGCCTGCCCAACGAGCTGCTGGTCGTGCCCGGCGACGAAATCGGCCTGGACTCGGGTTTCACGGGCAAGCTCGCCGGCATCATCGTGGCTCTCCACGGGGATAGTTGCTGGCATGGCGGTGCCAGCCATCCCAGCTGGCGCGCTAATTGGTGCAACCGCATTCTGGTTGCTCGGGGGGAGAAAGAAGAAGACAGCCGCGGCCGCGATAGTCGGTGCTCAGGAGGGTTGAGGCCGAAATGGCATGTCTCATGAGGACGCTGTTGTCATTGGAGCGAAGCCCCTTTTTACGCCACATGCGAAGTCCATGCCACACCTCCGCCCCGGAAATGCATGCGAGTCAATCGCTGCAACCTGCTCCTAGATGTCAGTTCCGAGTCGCCAGTGTGCGGCATAAACACAACCGAAGGCAGGGTGGGGTACGGTGTGCGTCTACTGTGGTGAGCCCATCCCGGCTGACCACGGCTGACGACGAACCTACTGGCAGCATTAGGCATAGGGACGCATATGTTTCGTCATGCTTTGAGGGATGGTAAATAGTAAATAAACATTCTGGCGCGAGCTTCTGCATCAGTAAATGATGACATGTAAAGAAATAAGGCTAACGATCCGTTTGCTTGGAAGCGACTCGACCTCTGCGCATCCTTTTAAGTTTTCTTTCGCGGTCGAGCAGCCACCCTATTGCCTACGCCAAGGCTACCATAGACGCTTCGATCCTCGTACATATCTATTATCAAAGTGATGGTCCCTGAACTATTGCAGATAGTCTAGTTAATCCCCCAATCCGCATACCGACGGTCTCCCTCGTAGTCTACACTGCTCTACAGGCAGGAACACACATGCTAAGACGATCCGATGGTATTAGTCGAGCATTTGTTTATCTTTCCTTGGAGGCGTCACATCCCTGTTGGCTTGGTGCGGGTACTTCAAATAGATGGTTCTTTTTTTTTTTTTTTTGGACGGGCTGGACGAGGTGCTTCGAGCGGACGGCACCCTTGCGCTTCTGAATGTCGTCGACGCCCTGACGCGGCCCCAGGGGCTCCAAGGGAAGGTTAAGCGGTGCCTTGGTGCTCGTCGGGAGCCTCTGATAGGGGAGAAACTCACGGCCTGCCCACAGCTACGCCTGGGGCATCTCAACTATACCAACCTTCACCGACACGCTAAAGATACTATTATTCTCCCGCCTCAATACAAAATTTCCATTTCCTGGGGTCCGGAACTGTACGCGCGCAGTGCAAAAGGGCACCATGTCAATTTCAGTTTCGAGAAGCCACCGACTCCCCGCGGGATCCGAGACTGGCTCGTAACCGAGCTTGTCAGCAAGGCCTAGTGAGTCTTTCTCTGGGTCTCTCTGACGACAAAAATGGTCATGGAGGCTCTCTGGCAAGGCGAGATCCTTACCGATGTGCAACACCGAATCGACAGTCTGCCCAGCGAACTCACCAAACTGTACGCCGAAATGTGGGCCAGGGCAAACGGTGACAGTGAGCGTCCCGAGCATCAAGAGCGGGCTGCCCTATACTTTCCATTTGGCTATCAAAGAAATATGTGATGATCGCTTGAGTCTGGTGATTGCCACAACGGCCGGGATGGCCAGCCGAATTCGATACTGCAACCCGTACGAGCCCGGATTCGCGGCATCGCTAGTTGAGTCGTGCATCATGCAAGAAAAAAAATGCGGGACATCGAAATCCGATGCGCTGGTCTCCTCCAAATCAACCCGATTCCGGAAAGCAGTCACCTCTCTTTGCTGCAGCTTTGGTATGGCAAGGAGTATTGCGACCTGATTCCTTATGCTGAGGAACACTTGTATATATCGGCGGCGCCGTTCGACTTCGTCCACCGGACTGCCCGCGACTTCCTAACCGACACGGTGGAAGGCTTAACGATACTGGAGAAAAAAAAAGATCTCAGAATGGCATCTTTGCCAGAGGTTTGCCGCAGCGCGCCTGGCGCGCTGCCGGTTGTTGCGAATTGCCCCAACTGTACAATATATCGATGATAGCGGCAAGAATATAGTGCCTCATAAGTATTACTGCAGCCTCGAGCGCCATTTGGCATCGATCACTTTGCTACTTGGTACGCTGTCTGAGGGAGACAAAGAGAATGCTAGGGGCGAGTGTTATGAACTGCCCCGATTTTGTGAGCAGCTGTTCGAATCTGGCCAGCTTTCCGCAGACCTCAGAATCCCCTACATTGATGACGATTACCAGAAAGAGGGGCCAGGGCCGAATGATTTTCGGACAAGGTATGAAGTGATCGTCAAGCGGGAGCATGAGTTTATCCTCGAGGCGGCATCGATGAACCTGAACATCTGACGCTTCATCTGGGATAAGGTCCAGTCTCTGGAATTGGACAAGCAGACACTTTCCGAGCTTCTAGTGCACGTTTGTAACATCACCCTCACTCAATACGCAGATATATTTTGTTTCCGAGATCAGCAAGAATGGAAAGAATTACGTTTGGAGTGGAAAAATGAGTCTGACTCTTACCGCTTGGGCATCGCCTCACGTCTAAAGCTCGCCAGGTTACTCCTGGAACGGGTTATCGAGAAGTCGCATACGGCCTTTTTTTTCTGGCACAGGGGAGGGGGACTAACGGGTCAAGAGCGCGGATGTAACTGTGATGCGTCGTTGGGCGATTGTTGAACCAACCATGTGCAACCATTTGCCGCCAATATCCAGACCTCGCGAGGTTGCGTTTCGGTTAAGAAATGATATTGCTCGTTTAGGTAGATAGTGCAATTGGTCCTTTCTTTCCTGACTACTTACCTTTCCATGTTCTTTGTTTCCCCTTCACCGGTCTCTAGACGCAGAATAGCCTGTGCAGTGTGCTCAGGCGGCGGAACCCTCATCCAGATGGCCGCTGCGCGTCGTGCCAAACCAAAAGTGCCCAAGATCCTTCGCTATCTTTCTCTTTTGCTCTTGTTTAACCCAGCTACTGCCGTAAGACGGTGCTACCACCCTAACACCGATGAGGCGGTTGATGAGTTCCCCTGCGATCCCGATGCAGAGAATAGCCCCTGCTGTGGAGGGGGCCAGGCGCCATGTGCCTCTCCAACAGATCATGTAAGGGACCAAAGGAGAACATAATCAGAGACTCGTGTACGGATCAGTCCTGGGGATCGCTCGATTGCCCGCTCTACTGTTATCTGAGTAAGTTGAGTTTGGCTCTTCTTCGGCCGTCACTCAGCCCAAAATTGTGCTGAGATACTGACCATGCCTCTGGGACAGCTCCAAACATCGGGCCCGACCTGATATCCTGCGCCAACGTAACTCGAAGGGACACATCGTTCTGTTGCGACGGTACAGTCGACTGCTGCAACACGGGCCTTGGGCGGTTCGAACTGTTGCCCTCGAATCCTGAAGTATGGGCAACTTGGGACAACACAAAGTCCCAATTCGTCGTCGCGAAGCCTCTCTCGCCGGCAACAGCAGTGACTACGTCTTCCTTTTCCACGTCCACAACATCGACTACAGCCATGCAGATGTCCACGATCGCCGCAAACACCGCAACCAGTCCTTCGGCGCCGCCGCCAGCCCAGACCGCGCCGGGTGGTTCCGGTCAAGCTCACCTGTCCGGATTGTCGTCGGCCGCGCAAGCGGGCATCGGGGTTGGCATCTCCGTCAGCGCGATCCTCCTCGGCCTCATCGCTTATTTGCTATGGAAGTTGTACCGGAACAAGGTCCAGGGGCAACAACAAAATCAACCATACAACCCATGTCAATTTTCTTCGCAGCCGGAAATTCACCCCTATCCCAAAGAATTGCCTTGCCAAGAGCAGCGCACTGAGCTGGATGGACTGCGAGAGCCGACTGAGTTGCCGGGAGCTGTAAATATGGTATCACGAGGTAGTGATAAGAGCGTATGATATGGGGATATCTTGTGTGGGCAACCTGTATTTGAGAAAGTGAGGTTAGCCCGTCTCAGGGAGGCCGATGGCGGGCCTCTGCTTGGGACGACCATAGATTGTATCCGCGGTGTTTACCCCGTAGACTTGTCTTGAATGCAACCAGTTACAGACCTGACATCCTGATCCCATATGCGGTGGCGGCGTTCAGATTCATGACCTGCCGGTGGATGTGATGGGACGGTAGCCAGCCCCGTGTCTCAACTCAACCTGGACAATTCACCTCGGTATGCTTCGACTTCCTGGCGGAGAGGTGTGCTCATTTCCATCAGTTACCTTAGGGGAAAAAGCACCCTACCCCCCTTGAATACCACGTGGCTTTCGCTGCAATCTCCGCTATAACGAAGTTAACAAACACACCATGACATCAAACGACGGGCACTGTTACGTTACCAATTCGATCTGTACTCCTTTACAAGCTGCCATCCTCTATGACACTTACAACCATGTCAACGGTGTCACGACACTGGATGATCACGTATATTGTATTGGACCTGGTCTCTCTTCTCTATAGCTTGAAGACTGCCGTGTCATGAATTAACCTGCAGAGGCCGGTGGGGCCGACCTGCATGTCCGCGGGCGGTGCCCGCGTCCAATCATTATGGTTCCAGACGGACCGATCAGAAGAGGATCGAAGGGATCGAGGTTCGATCCCGTCGAGCCAGGACGGATCTATAGGATCGATGTTCGATACCATCGAGCCAGCAGAACCAGGTATATAGATACCTAGGGGAGGAAGCTATATATAGTTCTACCATTCTATTATTTATTCAGATCACTAGCTTTCTTAGTAAGTAATATAAGCAGTAGCCTTTATCTACTATATAGACATTGCGACTAGCATTGTTATAAACCCCTTGGCTTTACCGAGACCTATAACCCGACCAGACTACCTTCAACCGGCGAACCCTTTCAAAGGCAGGACTGCCGAGGTTTCGTCACAACCCCCGTACCTACGGCTATATGCGAGCATTACCGTATTAGGAAGATGAGGCCATTGATGGTCGGAGGATTGTGTCGCACTAGGTGCGTAGAACTGGCTCGAGACTCAAGAGGTGAGCGCAAAGGTGAGGTTGAATTTGGTGTGGCTTGACTCTGCGGCGGCCATCCGAATCGGAAAAGAGGGGTTCCAAATATCCCAAGAGGGGAGTCCGAATAGGCGGGTCGGTCAGCGCTAGCCGGGCCCATAGGTGGACAGGGATCCCTCCTTTTTAGTGGGAAATCGCATCCATCGTGTAGTCTGGTTGGTGGCTTTCGATAGCGCCGATCAGGAGCACCAGACGGGAGTTGAAAAGGCGGTCTCTGATTAGCTAGATTACGGGCCGCCGCTAAGCTAGTAGGGGCTCCCGGCTAGCGCTGACGGCGACTTTGTCGAGAATCTACGGGATCAACAAACGGCTATCTAACAAGAGGGAAGTGGCGGGTAGTCGAATGATGGTTAGGTGAACTATGTCTGAACTCACTATTAAGCTTATCTCTCAAACGCTCCTCCTGCACCCTAAGACACACGGAGCGACATTGGAAGAGAGTCGACCATGTCGACGGCCTTCTTGTTCATTGATGCAACGAAGACTGACGCTGGCACGCGGAGGAAGGCGCGCAGCCATGCCATGAAAGGGAAGAATGTGGGTAAGAAGCATTACAACCGTCGCACGAAGAAGGCGAAGCAATCTCGGCCCAGAATACACGACCTGGACTGCGCAACGTCAATAGATTCAAATCCGCAGGACGACCAGTATATGCAAGACTTCCTTCTACCGATCTCGCCAGTGTTGTTGTACACAATCGGGGAAGATTTCATCATACCAATGCATCTCCAAACCAATGCTACACCGCAGAGTCAGCATGTCATTAGGCAATGTAAGTGGCCCCCCGAGGCATTGGATGATGTGGGGGGGGGAGGCAAACTGGGCGTGGCCAGCTACTTACACAGACTAGTCTTGTCCGAAGTCACGGAGTGCCTTAACCCCCCAGCGCTCTGTTTTACTCCCGAACATGTCAATCACTGGTTGAGCGTGCTCTTCAGTAACCAGGCTGGTATAGTCACCGTCTTATCCTCGCCAGTCGGTCTTAACGATTAACATCTTCCAGCATATCACTGCACCATGGCATTGATGGGGACTTTGAATCGGTACTTCTTCGGCAGGGACGTAGTAAACTCGGACATTGTGTCACACCTTACGCAAGCAGTCGTGCTGGTGAACCAGAGCCTAGACACACACGAAGCAACGTGTGATGCAAACATCTATGTTGTCAACTTCATGATAGTCCATGAACTCCTAAACGGAGCCAAGGACAGGGCATTGGTGCATCTAAGGGGGCTACAGAAGATGACAGAACTGCGCGGAGGGATAGTAGACCTGGAGCCCAACCTGAAGCTCTTGGCCAAGGTGTGCAAGTAAGTCACCCCCATGTTTGGAACGGAGTCCAACTGTGCCATCTAACACACTGGGCTTGTAGGACTGATTTAGATGTGACGCTTCACTTCGGCACGCCACCAGTCTTTTACCGGGATGAAATGGTCGCCATCTCCTCGCACATGGCGTCTTGCGGTTTTGTCGGAACAGCGAGCTTTGCCAGCTTGGGGTGTTATCGGACGTTCAGGCACCTAAATCCCTTCCTCCAGCAGATTCTCCTCGACGTCTGCAACGTCACAGCATTCTTCACCCAGGGGTACCGGATGGACCCCCACATGCTACAAGAGACGATCGCCTCGTTCGGGTACCGGCTTGTCCGCTTCCAACCCGTGGGCGTCCCGCTCTTGCGCAGCCGGCTCGACTCGATCTGCCACATCGCCCTGACGGCGTTGACGACGACTTTGTTCTTCCAGATCGGTCGACGTCGCCTTATGCAGTACGAGCTTGTCGGAGAGCACCTCAAGGCCGTCGTGGCCGCCGGCTTGGAAGACGTGGATCCGGATGTCAGGCTCTGGCTTTTGTTTGTCGGTGGCGTGTCCGTGCTGCCCGAACGGGAGGAGAGCTGGCTGCTTACAAAAATCCTAGAGACCGCTCGAGACGGGTTTATTCGGGATTGGGAAGATGCGCATCGTCGAATTATGCACTTCCCTTGGATCACGTCGCTACATGACCTGGAGGCGGAGCGGTTCTGGTATTCGGCCTTGAGGATGGCGTAGAGGTGGAGTAACATGTATTGTACCTGGATTACATAGGTATCACATGAAGACGACAAGTATGGCTCCATCATGGTCATACTGGGTTTTGCGGACATAATGATCTCCCTACCTAATCTCCGGCAGGAACACGTGTTGGAGGCTGCCGTCTGGTCACCGTACACAGTATATCCGTACTGAGAAAGACCTGTCATTGCGGGGTTGTCCCGGGCACGGCCAATTAGGCCGGGCAAAAAACACCGGGCCCAACGAGACTTACTTCCACAAACGGACTGTCAAAGGAAGTAGTGCCTCGCTTGCTACCATGCCAAGACATTCATTATCTAAACGTGGAAACAGGCAGGCTCAGAACTTGAGAAGTGTGACCGCTTCAGGAATGACTTCTTCACAACTTACAGGCCAGCCTACAAGCCTGAGCGCATACATGACGACGACCGGCACGATGGCACCCTCGGTGTTTGCAGATTCTATCCAGAGGTTCGCATACATAAATGAGCTTGCCGCCATGAGCTTGAGAACATTTTAGAAGAACATCATCGCACGCTCAACGCCAATCGACAAGACCGAACACCACATACCCCTCCAACACCACCAGACTCTCCCCACAATGCCTTCCCTCGTCGGCAAACAAATCGGCTCAACCGGCTTCGGCCTCATGGGCCTCGCCACCCGCGTACCTCCGATCTCGGACGAGCAAGCCATCGGCGCCATGCGCGCCGCCATCGAGTCGGGCATGACCTTCTGGAACGGGGGGGACCACTACGGCACCCCCGAGCGCAACTCCCAAACACTGCTGGCCAACTACCTCCGCCGTTACCCAGAGGATGCGGACAAGATCGTGCTCAGCGTCAAGGGCGCCTTCGACTTCGCCACCATGTCGCCCGACGGCTCGCCCGAGGGCATCAGGAAGAGCATCGACAAGATCCTCGCCGATCTCGACGGCACGCACAGGATCGACATTTTCGAGTGCTCGCGCGTCGACCCCAAGATCCCGCTCGAGACGACGCTCAAGTTCCTCGAGGAGGGGTACGTGAATAAGGGCATCATTGGCGGAATCGCGCTCAGCGAAGTCGCAGCTCCGACTATCCGTCGTGCGGCTGCCATCACAAAGATTGTGGCTGTCGAGGTCGAAGTCAGTCTGTGGAACACGCATGTCCTGGAGAATGGCGTCGCCGCCGCCTGTGCCGAGCTGAACATCCCTATTGTCGCGTAAGACACCCCTTCTCTTCCCCCCGCTTCTTAGCCAAGATAATGAGACTAACCCCCCAACCTAGCTATTCCCCCATTGGTCAAGGCATGCTCGGCGGCCTGTTCAAGTCCCTCGACGATCTCCCCCAAGGCGATCTGAGGCGCTACTACCCACGGTTCCAGCCCGAGAACTTCGCCATCAACCTTGAGCTCGTGAAACAGCTCGAGACCCTGGCCAAGCAGAAGGGCTGCACCCCCGCGCAGCTCGCTCTCGGGTGGATTCAGAGCCTGTCAAAGAAGCCGAACATGCCGACTTTTATCCCCATCCCCGGCGCGACGACCGAGGCGAGGGTGCGCGAGAACGGTGTCCATGTCGAGCTGATGGAGGGGGACCTCAAGGCTATTGACCATGTCCTGGCCAAGTTTGAGGTTGTCGGTGAGCGCTACCCGGCTGGTATACCGACTGATGGCTAGTTGGCTATCAGGTTCGGTTGTAATTGATGGCTAGCCACACGGTTGAGAATGTGATAGTAGCTTTTGCTGCATCGGTGCACTTGGAGTTTGGTGGAAAATCGAGGTAGAACAAATAAGTTTGGCGACCGTACGCTTGCTTTAGCGGCCCAAAGCAGCCGACATTGAGTGGCTGGAGGATGTGGGAAGAGTGCGGACGCATGCAGAGTGTGATGATCTGATGCTCCTGGCAGTAGAGCTCGAATTCGGTCGAGTGGTGGGTCTCGTGGCCGTCAAGGATCAACAACCGGTATTTGCCCTTCGTACGAGGTGCTGTATGGAAGTCGAAGTGCTTGATCCAATCAAGGCCTACGGCATTGGTTGCCCAGCCGTTATCGGTGGTTGCGATACGCCAGTCGGCCGGGAGGTTACATTCTTGATACCAGTTGGCGAGTCTCGTCGAAGTTGTAGATATCGTCATCCACAAACCGCCTGTATGGACCGTGGTGCTGTTCTCGAGAAACTGGTCGAGAAACTCGCGGACGTTTTCCAGGAGATCTTCCTTGACCCGATCATCAAGTACAAACGAGCGCGGAGTCGGGAACTGTCAATCGGAGCCTGCGTTGACATTAATGGATGGCGGAGGCTGCGGCGATGCCCGTGGCCGTCCGGCGGAGGGTATCGGCCTGCTATGTCCAAGTGCGACAGCGCCTTGCAGCTCAGAACGTTGTTTTATCAGGATATATGCCGACCCTGATCCGTCTTGGTAGAGTCCTTCTTGCCAGCCATATCCGCGGGGAGGAACGATGTCGGACAAATCCACGAGCACTCCGCTTTTCCAGTTCTCTAGGAGGGGCGAGAAGGTGCGGCTGGATCCGGCAAGCCAAAAGAAATCCATCGCCTTCTGGATTGTGTCTGGGTCGTTTTTGCCTTCCTCGACATACTCGTAGACAATAGCGATGTATTCCTGGTCAGGTGCTAGGTAACGTTTGATCCTGTGCACCTGAACCGGGGGCGGCCGGAGTGACCAGTGCAGCTCCTGGAATACCTTGCCAGGGATGGTTAGCCAGCCGTAGCATCTCTTCATACGTGGCATGGTCGATAATTGTCGGAGCCCTGGAGGCGGCACTGAGCCGTGATCGGCTGGCGACAGCTGCTTCAGACGCGCCTCGTCAGAAAAGGCGGCGAGGTTGGCGACCGCGTCGTCCCAAGTTATCGGCTTAGCGTTGACCAAGATGGGACGAGAGGCTGCGGCCGTCTGGTCCACCGCGGTTTGCATCATCTGGGGGAGGGCGGCATTCTGGCATTCTCGCTGCGGGACATAGTAAGTGGGAAAGTCGACGGGCTCGGCATCCCAGAACTGGACGCAAGCGATGGTTGATGAGCGAAGCCAGTTTCTCTTGGGCCAGGGAGACTTTGTACCAGTTACCACCTTCCACACAAAAGGCCCCTGGGCTCCGAAGCGGACTTTCCAAACATAGCCATCCACGCCGCCGCCCACGCAGGCTTCCCAGACCATACTGTCCAAGTTGAAAGGGCAGCGCCGCAACCGGGGCATCTCGAAGTCTGCGGCAGTCGTCCCGGGCGGCCCAACCATCGGCGCGTCGTCGCGGAACGGTGTTTGTGCCGCGTCCAGCCATGGCCGTCGGCGTCGCACTCTACGCTGCAAGGCCACCCGCGCCTCGACGTAATCCGACGACATGAGGGGAATGAGGGAAGCGAGTTGAGTGAGCCTGAGGGTGCGAAGAGCAAGCGTGAGACCGTCTTTCCAAATGGAATCCCACGATTTGAGTGAAGAAAGCTGCCTTGGTCCAGGCAGGCAACTGCTAGCAGGTGCACTGAAGCAGTCACGAGGGCCCCACATCACCCGCCCGTCTCGCTCTGCCTCACATGCATCTCGGCTTGTTCGACCACTAGAATTCAGGTAGTGCCCGGTCTCATCAACGCGCAGGTTTGACACCACGGACCAGTCGGGCTTGTACATGCCAACGTTGCACCGAGTTCCGCGGCCGTAGTGGCAGGAGCCTAGTTGGTCTTCCAGGGCGTAGCTGACAAGGGGGGTAACAACCCTCCGGAGTAGGTCCTCCAAGGTGTCCTCGTTGAAGGTGCACAGGTCGTTGAACAGTGGCCTTGGCTGCCGTTCGCCGCGGTATTCCTGGCTAAGCTGGCGCCGGAAGATTTGGGTGAGAGTGTCATAGTTGAAGCCTTCCCATTCCCGCCAGTCGGTGGGGTGGATGTTTGTCTGGATGACTGTGTTAGGCCCTAGGGCAGTTGCGTGAACTTGCGTCTGAGTTCACGTCCACATTTTGCCTTGTGAGGGCGTCGAGGAGGGTGACCATTGTCAAAGCGTGTTATTCGCAGAGGAAGAGCGACATCTGACAGAGACGTAAAGGTAAACTTGACCTCCAGCCTACTGCACGGGGAGCATGAAGGATCCTTGCTTATAGAACTACAAGATGGCCGCGCACCCAGCCATCCCGCAAAGCGGATTGAGGATGGGCAGGCGCAAGCGGTGGGGTATGTCCAGTGTGGAAGCTCTCATCCACGAAGGTACCAGGCGGAACGGCGAAACACTACGGAACAGAGGGTTCATCGCGGATCGACGGCCACGTCACTGTCGACACCCCCCTTCTGTCAAGGCGGTAGCGTCGGTTTCGTGAGGCTGCTTCATACAGAGTCCATCGAGAGCCAACGGTTGGTAACCGACAGCACATGTAGTAAGCGCCACAGCTTCGCATCAATGGTTCGCAGCCCGCCTCGTGGAGGTCTTGGAACTAGGTTCCGGCTTGATCTCTGTTGGAAAAGAAAATTGCCGATGGTGGGATGGGCGGGGCCGTCCGCCCCGTAGATTCGTCCAGCGATGAGCATTCCTCCGGGGTACGGTGCATTTGAAACACCAAAAGCACAAGGGAAGCCGGGTGCAAGAACGCTGTCGATTTCTTCTCGTTATCGATTGGCTTGCCTCCAGCTTGCACACGATCGCGAGCAGATCCGACACTCAGAGGGCGAGATGTGGGCCCAGGCGAGCCGCACACCTAGCCGCCTAGGCAACAGCTCAGCGCCTCGGCCAAAAACGGCCCCTAAATTCGCACCACCGCAGAAGGGAGGCGTGCTGTGCTTCCAGGAGACACCAAGGTCGACGCCAAATGGCGGCCTACCATGGTTGGTGAACAGGGAAACTACGGAGAATGGCAAAACGTCATGGCGCAGATTGTCACCTATATGGCCTTCAACCATTCGCGGTACGGATTCATCATTACCGACACAGTCTTCGTCGCTCTGAGGATCACCCGCTGCGAAGTCGGTCCTGGTCTAGCTGCTGGCCGTGCCCGGCGAGCCATGGCGACAACACACCAAAGACGGCCTTCTGACGAGTCTATGGCGTCGGCCGGCTCGTCCTACCTCGACGACGAACCACTGGAGTGGGAGTACCAGGATCCGGAATACGCCCTGGCGCCCTGGGATGCGCATGGACGAGGGAGGCTCACTATCAGGCTTGCTCTGTGGTGTCTGGCGATGATGGCTGCGAACGGTGACAACCACATCGACTACTGGTATCCCGATTTGGACTCCTGGCGGCTTGCAAAGGAAGGATACTACGTCCACAACACGACGGGTGCGAAGAAAAGGCGGCTGGACCGAGGCGCCCTTCTTTCTAAGACCCCCAACCCCGAAACCCCTGGAGGGAACGGGCCATGGGGTGCCGGCCAGCCACTGGTTGCTGCCTTGGAAGGCGAGATTGGCAACAGCAGTCTGGGTTACTTGGACCTACCGGGCACAAGCACCGGCCAGGATATGCCGTACTTCAGCCAAGCTGCCAGCCCTTTCCCTGGGGGAGAGGAAGAAGCAGGGCGCGAAGAAGACGAGGAGCACTCTGAGTATGGTGAGGAGAACTCGGAGGAGAAGGAGGGGGCGGAGGAGGAAGAAGACGAACACAGAGGAAAACGAAAACAGTGGGCGGTGGCACAAGGGGTTCCCCGGGGCGGAGGCATCGAGACTACAGCGACGATGACAATCGGACCGTGGTTGGACCTGTAGTCCAACGCACGAAGGTCACGATAAAGAAGCATAGGTTTTCGTCGAAGCTCACCTTTGTAGACACCAAAGGAAATGAGCGAGTCACGACAGAGAGGAGTGGAAAAGGTTTCTGGTGGATATCAGCCATGGAGAGGAAGAATGTTTACTTCACGAAGCACCTCCCTTAGGCGGGGCAGCTGCGTCGTGGTGTACTTTGTTGGATTCCTCCTTTTTCCTTGCCCTATGCCTATATCTACCACCCCAACCCCTCTATTTCTCTTTCCTAGATATATAGTTCAGCTAGCTTAGTGCGGCACTTGCTTAGTCTTGGGATCCTAGTTGTCCAGAAGTGTTTAGTTTCTTAGCGCTCAAGGGTTAGAAGCAATGACTCTGCTTAGTTCGCTTTTACGCGCTGACGTAGTCAGGTCTATCTAACCCTGCCTCTTAAGATACTGGTAACTGACTTTTGGCTCAAGTATAGCATCTGGCAGATGGTTTACGGAACTTGACAGCAGGAAATTTGACTCCGACATTGGTCTGCCAACACAGACGGCATGCCCTCGAAGACTCAAGTGCACATCACCCACCCACGGCCACAATTCAAGCGGTTGTGGACAATCCCAGATCTTGACCGTGTCATCGTGCGACGCCGACGAGGCGTCGACTCGGATGTCATAGAAGGATACAAGTAAGAAAAGAAGGCATTGATCCACGTATTTGAAGCCCCAAATGACCAGTCTGAGTGCCATAGAGTTGATCCGAGCCGACGCCCCACAACCCTAAACCCCTGATCCTTTTCTGCCTGCAACAGTAACCGCACAATCCAGCTCTGCTTGTACGTGAACCAGGTACCATTCCATGAGCTTCGGTGTGTCCCCAGTAGTCTTCTTTTGAAATCACCTTCTGGAACAATGATGAGACTGATCTCGAGAGCCAGCCGGCGCCCAGCAGTGGTTTCGGACCTGTCACCCTTACCACCATCAGGGACGCCCAGCAGGGCCGCCACCACGAGCTGGTAATTGGAATTCTTACGGGCGTCCGTCTGCGGTATGATATGGATGTACAGGTAATCGTATGCAGAGCGGTTGTCGATTCGACGAGGATCCCTTTCGTGCATCAAGCACCCGCAAGACTGACAGCCGGTGCCGCTCTCCGGTCCCGCTCCACTTCGGGCCCCGTGTCTCCGGGCCCGCAAGCGCCCTGCGCCGTCTCGCTAAAGACTCGGGCACCCCCTGAGCAAAAAAACAGTTCCACGTCCCAAACCTTCAGAGGAAAACTTGGCGTCATTGAGCCAGGAATCTATCAACCGTTGGGTGTACCAAATCCCCCAGATATTGAAAACAATGTATAGAAATGGAAAGGATAGCGACTTGGCATTAGATACTCTATTTGCATGCGTTTTTGACCTAGTTGTGATGACTTGTGTGGTGGTTGACTTGCATGTGGATGTGGAACTCTTTTTCTGCTCAGGGGGGTGTCGGGCTATAAAGCTCAGTGCGAGAGGGAGATAATCATGGAACGAATCAACCACGTCAGTGGCCTACCAGGAAAATGATTGCTGTGATCATTTAGGTAGGTAAGGTACCTTGCCAAAGTGTAACGGCCTTGCTGAAAGGGCCTACCAACCACAGTCCACTTCAACACTCCCTCTGCTCGGTTTGCTGTCCCTCTTCTACCTCTGGAGGGAGAAGATCTTCCATGACCCTTTGAAAACTTGTCATATACATTGTAGGATCGTGCGCTTGGAAATTCAGGAGAAGCTGGCAGAGCTTCAGAATCCAAACCACAATCCACACGTCACCGAAAAACGTTCGTTGGTGAACTAGAACCTCGAGACCATGAATTAAGCCAACCACCATTTCCCACAACATGGGGAAAATCCTGACCAACATTCAATCGCTCTCGATGTTTCGGGGACTCGGAAGCCGGATTTGTATACCGACGTGGTGCCATGCTGAAGCTCTGTCGCAACGCCCATAACATGGCATGGATGGAAACGGGTCCGAATCCACCACAAGTCGATAGCATCGGACGTTTCTTTGGCCCGAAAACGCTTCCGCAAAACTTCCATCTCCAACCTTGGGCGACCCCGGGGTAACGCAGGTGATATCCGCATTTGGCCAGACCCTCGCACACCACAGAGCGCAAAGAGTTGCCAGTGCTCCACCCAGTCCGTGGCCACAGACTTCGACTTTATCCGGTTCGTTGATGGTGAGGGTTCCTTCATGTCCCAGCTGGGACTGCTAGGTTCCCACTGCCAGGTCGCAGATAAGGTTGAGCAACAAGCCGCGGAGCCTGTCGAAGATCTCCAGGAAGCGTTTGTGCGCCCGTGCATTTGCCGGACCATGGGGCCAGTGAATTTCGTGTAACTTGGAGCCGAACGGGAGTATCGTAATGATATAGCTCCAAAATCCATACACTGAGCTCGGGCGCAAAATGAAATCCTCGTAGAGCCAGGGCGAATCGTAGCCACTAAAGACAACGACTGGGGTGTTGTTATGACGGATGCCCAAGTGAACATGAGGAGTCTTAGTGATGGACGACGTGGGCATCGCGTCGAGCTTCAAATGTTGCGACGGACGAGATGACCAAGGCGATTGACGAAAAGATCATGCAGTATGACCTCTTGGAGAATGTCGAGGGCGTCAGCCAGGAAGCGTTGTTTTGTCTGAAACGGGGAGGGGATTGCGGGAAGATCGAGTTGGACGTTTTCTATGCGGCACAAGATCAGTCTTCCGGTGCAAGTGGCTCGCGGTGGTTTAAGGGGCTGTGGAAGAACGAGGCGGACGACTGGATCCGGTATAGCAGCTCAACTATGCCGGGGACGACACATGAGTTTGTGATGAGGGTAGAATTCGGGGTGTTATAGAGTGTCTTCTCCAAGGCTATCAACGTATAACCGTACTTCTGCCAGTCAAAACTGGCACCTGTGCTCAACGACAGCAATACCGGGTCCAAGTAAAGCCACGGGAATGGATTCCCAATCTGATTCTGGCTTCCGGGGGCTCGCTAGTCTACAAGGTATCCGCGCGGTTGGTAATACTCCAGCAGACTAGGTACCCAACAGTCAGCTAAGTGTTTCTCTCACACAACTCACCTAAGTCACTCATCATGCTCCATGGACACCTTACCTAGCGTTGTGCAGTCATGTCGGTAAATTACGCAGCCTTCCCCATTATCCATAACGGATTAGGAGACCTAGGGCAAGCAGTTCTCGAGCGGCCTCCTGGACGGTGGACCTCGAAAGCTCAGGGCCGTCTGGTTTCTTGGCCTGTCAATGCAGCGCTAACACCACTGTGTAAGGTTTCTTATTAGACATTGTTCCACGGTTGTGAAATTTCCTTCATTTTCCGGAGGTGATTATCGTGACCTTCTATTAGTCTCTGATGCACAGACCTTACTCTCATGAGCGTTTGGTGGGCCCGGTGGCTAGTGCAGGGCCGGGTGGCTGGTGAGATGTACTACCGGACCCATACCCAAACGCGCACTGAGTAAGGGTGCTGTGTATGTGTTCTGGTTGATTGGAATTGCCTAAGCATGGTAGTGGGTCCCTGCGGTACATCACCACATCACCTGCGCCACAGCTGGTCTGAGCGTTTGAGACTACACAGTAGGTACACTAGATGGGGTCGGAATCCACAACGGGGTGGTACGTGCCTCTCAGGTGCACGTGACCACGGTGACGTACCAGAAATCAGAATGTGTGACACGGGCCACCCCAGCCAAGCCACCACGGTCTGTGCACAAAATCAGCAAATCTTAGCTTCTCAGCCACCGGACTTGGATTTTGCTCTGCCCATTCGCATTTCCCGGTGCTTGCAAATTTCCACTCCAACACCAACTCTCAGCTTCTTGCATCCCCACTGTGCTGGTCGTCTGGCGCCACGGTCCTGCAACTGTATATCACGAACCGCAATAACCGCAGTGCCTGTCATTTTGTGCCTCGGGAATTCAGATTGATTCCCTATTCAGGCTCACGGTGGTTCCATTGAATGCCGGACTTCTGTTGTGCTCAACCACCCCCACAATACCAACCGACCTAAGCCTCGGGTGACATCGCCGCTGACTGCGCTCAGTCAGTCTCTGTGATCAGTCAATTAGTTGCCGCGTTGCATTGCTACCACCTCCTTTGTGCAACTGCTCATCGACGTCTGCGTCTCTGAACATCGCTACAAAAGCTCTACACGCACTGGGCAGGACCCTCAATCCGTGCACTGAAACACGATGGCGAACGCAACACCGGATATCAACTCCATTCTCAAGATGCTAGGTGGTGAGGATCAACCGATGCGCTGTTCAAATCTGAACAGAACCCAACTGACGCCGGCCACAGATGCTACACAGCGACCGGCGGCGTCGACCCTGGCCCAGCCGCATCCCGGTATTTCTGCGCCGGCGCCAGTATATGCACCGCCAGGACAGAATCCATACCCACCGCAGCCCGCGTCATACCAGGCTCCTCCTCCGGTCTATGGATACCCCCAGCCGTCGTCGACCGGAAATATCGATCTAAGCGCAATTCGGCCGGTCGACTCGGGCACTGTGCCAGTGCTTGCCGACGCAATCGCCAAAGCAAAGGCATTTGCGGCAGAAAAAGGTGTCGCGTCGTACGACCGGCCCAATGCCGCCTACCCTGACCAGCGTCAGCCCGATTCGAGATACTACCAACGCTCGCGATCCAAGAGCCCCAGAGGGCGCGAGGCGTTCCGAGACAACTTCAACCCATATCGAGACGAGCGGCGTGCCGACCATGGCGCGCAGGGACGGGACTACGGCCGAGAGCGTTCCTATTCTCCCGGTCGTGGTCGGCAGGGCTTCTCGCCACGCGGTTCACACGGCGGTGGTCGTGACCGCGATCGGTCTCCTCTGAGAGGCAAGGAGGACAATGTCGAGACGATTGATATCGAAGCGAGTCTGGTCGGGCTTATCATCGGCCGCCAGGGCGAGAACCTCCGGCGGGTTGAAGGAGAGAGCCGCTGCCGTGTCCAGTTCCTCCCGCCGACGGGCCAGAACGACCAATATCGACTTTGCAGAATTACCGGTCCGCGGGCACAACGCGAGGAGGCGAAAGAGATGATCAATCGCATCATCCGCGACAGCGGCATGCGGGGTGCTCCCCAAGGCGGGGGCGGCGATCGTGGCCGCGACGGTGGTCGCGGTGCAGTTCCTCCCCCGGTCCCCAAAGAGGGTGAGGACAGCCTGCAGATCATGGTCCCCGATAGAACCGTGGGCCTGATCATTGGCCGTGGTGGTGAGACGATCCGCGACCTCCAGGAGCGGAGCGGTTGCCACATCAACATCGTCAGCGAGAACAAGAGCGTCAACGGGCTCCGCCCCGTCAACCTCATCGGTTCTCCCGCCGCTGCCCGGCATGCTAAGGAGCTGATTCTCGAGATTGTGGATAGCGACAGCAGAAATGGGAACAATCCAGCTAACCCGCGCGGCGGCCGTGGGGACAACTTTGGCGGCGGTGGTGGCGGTGGTGGAGGAGGCCACGACAAGATAAACGACTCGATCTATGTCCCTTCGGATGCCGTCGGCATGATTATTGGCAAGGGCGGCGAGACCATCCGAGAGATGCAAAACATGACAGGTTGCAAGATCAACGTGTCACAATCATCAGGACCAGGTGAAGTAGAACGCGAGATCGGCCTGGTCGGCACCCGGGATTCGATCGAGCGGGCCAAACGCGCCATTGAGGACAAGGTCGATGCAGCGGTAAGTGGTCGAGCAGCCGCCGTTTTGGTGATGACCACACTGACGAGAATGCAGAAGCAGAAGTCTGGCGGTGGTGGTGGTCGTGGCCGTGGCCCGCCGCGTGATTATGATAACTCGAGCTATGCTAACAACAGCAGCGCCCCTCCGAACCTACCCGCCAGTAGCGCGGTTCCAGCTGCTGGTGGCACTGGAAACCAGGCTGATCCCTACGCTCCATGTGAGTCCTTTTCCTGGTCTCTGCCGCCCTCCGAACTTCACGTGTTAACCGGCGGCGATAGATGGTGGTTACGAGCAATACATTGCTCTTTGGTGGCAATCCCAGCTTGCTGCGCAACAGGCCCAGGGCCAGGGAGGCGCAGGCCAGCCCCCCGGGACCTCGTAAAGTCGACATGCTTCCAGGTTCGCTGAAGGGCTTGATGCTGACCGCCCACTCGACTCGTTGATGCGTCTTGACCTGCTACGCCCCCATCTTCGATGTTGGCCCTTGATCTGGCGCCCTGCTTTGCATGACGACACACTATGATACCAGGGCATGGCATATTTGATCTGCGTCTGGTCCATTAAACAGGCCGAGCGTCCACGGACTTGTTAGATGACTGTGCCAGTGCGCGCGCTGACCCTTCGTTTTCTTCTCGACTTCTCTTGATCGACTTGCGACATTCTGCCCCGGACTTCATCAGCTCTCCATTTGCATTGTTGCCGGCACAGGTTCTAACAAGCGGGATTCCCGGCCTTCACCAGCGACCAAGTTTGCGACTGCATTGTCCCCCGCATAATTGCAAGGGCTTGATACGACTGCGATGCAACTGCACGGAATCTGTTCTTGGTTCTAAGACAAGGTGGGGCTGTGCCTTGCTTGATGCGCTTGCCGGCCTCACTCGAGATTTTCACCCCGTCTCTTGTCATGTTGCGTCGTGCAGCAAAGAAATGTTGCTGGGTCACCGTTGATTCGCCCTGGATCGTTCACGTGGAGCCTTTTCAGGATGCCTTCGCCTTTGCATGGACATGGACTTTGCACCTGCCTCGGACTGAGCGTTCATCGTTTTGATGATGGCGTGCTGTGCACGTGGCATGACAGGGCTCTGGATTTCTCCAAAGGATAATCATTAATCTGGCCCGAGGCATTTTGATATTGGTCCCAACAGCGGAATGAGGGCTGGCTGCGTCTCATCTTTCTGGTTCCTCTGCAGTGGACTGCGGGATCTTGTGTTCCCTTTCTGCGGCTTTCCGAGTCGCACTTTGACGCGGCCGTGGCTAGCGTTTTCACTGAGCAGTGGTGAAACCGGAAGCAGTTTATCACACTTCCCCTTGTGTACATTAGGGAAAAATGAGATCGGAACCACGGCGTTTGGCGTGCAATTGATCTTTCCTTTTCACTATTCTTCGCTGCATTATTATCGACTGTACTGACCTGATATGACAATATGCAAGGTTCAGCAGATTGTGGCAGGACCAGTGAAGGGTGGAGACAGGAACCAACAACGACCGAGGGTGGTTTTGGAAGGGCAATACAGGACAGCCGAGTCTGTACAAAGAGGCAGCTTTCACTTGGACACCAGCAATGCCGTACAGAGATGCACTTGTTGGGGACTTCTCTTGCTTTCGACGTCCACAACCACGCTGTGATCTTGATCTCTCCGTAAATTGTTGGGGAGGTGCGTTTTGTTGAGAACTCGAGTGCACGTTCGAGGGGTCCTTGCGGCGGCCTTGCATGGCTCGCGCAAAAATGCCCGTTCTGGAAGGTGCCTCGGCAGAACCGGGTCAAGCAGAAGCAGCGCCCTCGGGTCAGGTACCCCTCCCACCTTTCACATGTCTGCAGCGGGGCATTCGTGGCTTCATGATGCGGCCCCCCCTTCCCGCCGTCTGTGGCCGCGACGCAACAGCGCGTGGGAAGTTTGGGCACTTATACACGTATGTAAGTGCGAGTCCTCAGCGCTTATATTCCTGAATTGATGAATTGATGCCTGTTGGGGCTGAAGGAGTGCTTGGCAATCTCACCAGATGAACCCATAAATAAACACAGCATCTTTGCCCGGTGCTGATTACTAACCCTATTCCTGGGCCGGAGAGATTATGTAGTAGTACATAAACTTAAGATGCGCCAGCGCTGGGCCTTTTCCGACGGAGAGCTTCGTTGTTTGTTTGTAAAGTCAGATCGTCGAGGCGGACGAGTCTGTCGGACAGGATGGCGTCCAACGCAGCGACAGGCACGCCAGCGAGCCCCTTTGCGTCCATGACCAAGCTCTCTCCGAGCGTGTACATCTACCGCCCAGCCACAGCGCCATCGCGCTCTTCCCCCGACGAAACCACCACCTCTTTGCAGAAGCCAGCGCCAAAGCTGATCCTCCTCGCGACATGGATGGGCGCCCGCGACCCGTACATCGCCAAGTACCTCGCGCGGTACCAAGCGCTATACCCAGCCTCCGCAATCCTCCTCCTGCGCTCTGAGCCGCGGCACTTCATCCGCCCGCGGGGTATGCCGTGCGAGATAGCGCCCGCCGTGCCTTTCTTCCGGACCTTCTTCCCGGCAGACGATCTCTCACTCCAGAGAGACGGCTCGGGCTCTCACTCAACAGCAAACAACCCCCAGCCAGGCCCAGAACTGCTCATCCACGCCTTCTCCAACGGCGGCGCCGCCAGCCTCCACGCCCTCCGCCGCGCTCTCGGCGGCGGCGACGGCCATAATACAACCCCTGCTCCTCCTCCTCCTCCTCTACCCCGCTACACGTTACTCCTCGACTCAACCCCGGGAACCTTCCGCTACCGCGCCGCGTACCGCGCCTTCACGGCTGGCCTCAAGGCGCCGTTCCTCTGGCTGGTCGCTCCCTTCGTGCACCTAATCGTGATGATGTACTGGGTGCAGCACATGCTGATCGGGCGCGGCAGGTCGGGCCCGCTGTACGTCGTGGCGCGCGGGCTGAATGGCCCGGCCGCGCGGCGGAGCGAGGTGCGCAGGACGTATGTGTACGGCCCCGCGGATCGGCTGGTGGATTGGCGCGATGTGGAAGCGCATGCGCGGGAGGCTGCGGAGGAGGGGTTTCGTGTGAGGAGGGAGAGGTTTGATGGGTCCGAGCATGTTGCTCATGTTAGGTTGGATGGGGAGAGGTATTGGCGGGTTGTGAGGGAGACTTGGGAGGGTGTGGATGAGTAAAAGGATGGGGTTTTGGTTGTGGTGGACGGAAGGTGGGATGTTCAGTTGCATGGCGGTGCCGGGCTTGATAGGGATGCTTTAGATAGATCTCTTTCCTGTCTTTGAGGTAAATACATTGTATATGTGGTTATACATGATGAACAATCTGCCTTTGTATATGGCACCGTCCTGTCTTCCAAACGGCTCGACCGAGATCCGGTTACCCTGCCGAATCCGGACATCTCTTTGGAATTTCCCATTCTCGCTGCTGTTTCTTTATCATTAATGCATTATATCCTCGTGTCTCATTTTCCATCGTGATATCGTCATGACCGTGTCTGCTAATGACGCCTGACGCGGGTATCCTCCCAAGAAACTCTCAAAAAACAGCAAGCCGCTCATGCGCCTGTCGAATGCCATGCGGAACGCCGATTTCAAAACCTTGAAGCCAAATCCGTGCGCGGTATTATCCCAGTCTTTCCGCGCCCTTGCCTACTGCCGCCGTCGCCGCGAGCACCTCAGTGGCGGATATCTCGGATGAACGAAGTGCGTGTCGCTAGTAGCGGTGGGTCCCAACAGACTGTTGAACTCTGGACGCTCCCGCACATATGACATTCGCGCCGTCCTTCAGGTTTGCGTGCCTTGATGACTTTCATCTTATCCGCTGCTTCTTGTTCTTGTGTTTCCCGCTGTCTTGGTCCTCGTCAGCGGTTTCCGCCTTGCTCCCGGACCAGCCGGCGCCGAACAGGTCGGGAGCGTCTTCCGTACCGCCGTCGTAGCCCTCGTCGGCCTCCTGCTCGGCCGCGCAGGCGTCACACTCCTGGTCGTGGGGCTTCTCGTCCTCCGATATCCCGTCTTTGCACAGGCCGAACACCCCGTTATTCTTGGCCTCGAGGCAGGTCAGCTCCAGCGCGAGCTCGTCCCACGTGAACTCCTTGGAGCAGAGCGGGCAGGATCCCTTGAAGACGACTTTTCTGCACATAGCGAGGCTTTCCGGCGTCTGGGGCCCGGATGGCCCTCGACGATTCGCGGGCTGATTGGCTTTGTGAGGCGATGGGGGCAGAAGAGGGGTCTCGATCGGACTCGGCAGGTGCACACAGAGAAGTGTTTCGACTTCAAGTTGGCTGCGCAACTCGGAGACTCGATCTTCGAAGCTGCAACCGGTAGCGCAAACGTCGTTGTATCTGCAGAGAGGGGGAAATCAAAATCGTCAGCCAGCCGGTCGTCCGGTTGTTCTCCCGTGCAGAGAGCCGCCTCCCGTTCTCCAACCAACAAACCATCGTGGATGGGCCTAGGGTTCCTTAAGACCACAACTCACCCCACTCTGAAAGCAAGGCTGACCCTGTCTTGCTGTGCAGCACATCGAGGGGATTTCATCGGATGGTGGGGCCTAGAGCGGGAAAGCGTGTGCGCGCGCCGCCGCTTGCCTCCACTCCACGTCTTCAGTGGTTGGCGTTTGCGGGCCCGGCTCCGTCTTCCGGAGGGGTGTTGACGAGTCGAACGAGTTTCTTGAAAGATCTGAATTCAGCTGCCTTTCGGTGTTGGTTTGCTCTGCCGCGAAGGAAAAAGGTCGAACCCGTCGGTGTTAGGCTGTTGGTCATCCGGATACTCCTGTCATGAGGCGCCACTTCCGATGGTAAGAGACGCAAGATGGCGCGAGGATCTGTGCTCGCATATCGCCTCCGTGCATGTCCTACCTTTCGGTTTCTTGGCAGCTTGGCTGGTCTTCTCGGCGAAAGTGGGATTTTGGCTAGCCGCTAGCGGAATTGCTAGTGGGCTGCAGGTCATTGCACCCGCTGTTCTCGTTATTGACGACGGTCTGGCCCGGCCTACCCAGCTCCAAGTACAGTATCAGTACCACGCACGGGTCACCCACTCGCATTCGCAACAACAATCTGCATATCCGTAGCACAGGATCCGAAAGCGACAGGACAGAGGCCACCTAGGTTTATCTCAGGAATCAGACATCCTTCCTGGGTGTTTTCCGGCCTTCGGCCGGTTGGACTGGCCTAGACGTACGGCCATACAGTTTTCTATGTAATTACGTCAGTTAACCTTTTTTCCGGCCCGGACCCACATTTTGCAGAGAAACACCTGGAAAGACGTGAGTCCACGATTTGACTAGGAGTGGGTAGGGGTGTACAGCCCCCATACAAATTCCAAGTGACCACCTTGTTCATCCGCAAATATCTCAACCACCATAACATATATAATTATCATATTTGGCACGGAGTCAGAGAGATGACATAGCTTCCTAGTAGTGATAAATCTATCGTGTTCTAGGACAAGGAATGTCGAATGGTTAGGGCGAACCGAAAAACAACCAGGGGTATTTACGGTTTGGTGTGGCGCTGATGCAGGTGATGTCCGTACCTTAGGTAGGCTCAGAGATCAGGACATTTGCGGGCGTGTTTCTCTAGCGTCCCCCGTCCCGGTTCGACTTCAGCCACACATGCAAGCAACTTGCAAAACGTCTGATCAAGGACCTACTTACTCTCCATAAGCAACTATAGGATTGCTCTCTCTTTGAAGATGGGAAGGCCATTCCGAGGAGCCACTCGTGAGCCCAACAACTAGTATTAAACAAAGAGGCTGCCATCGTGGAGTTCTGGATATTAAAATCACTCCTGCCGCGTTTCTTATGTCGATCTCCAATGGCTTTATTAGCACTGCAGTGGGTGTAGCTGAACTTCTTAAGAGTCGTCAACAAACGGCGTGTTATTAACCGCTCCGCTAGCCCCTGTTTACTATCCCACCAGACTCGGAGGCTGCGCAACTCACGAGCGAGGTGGTCAAGGGCGGACGCAACGTCGCAAAGGCGCTGGCAGCAAGCTGCAGCGGGCCCCATCCAGTCACATACCTTACTGAAATCACAATATTAAATTGTTGAGTTGTAGGATTTTGGTTAGTTTGTTAGAGTTGAGGTTTTGAGAATGAAGTCGGTGCCCACAGAATGCCTTGATGCTAGGTGTGCCATACATTTCTTGCGCCTGCCAAAACGAACCTCCTCTGGGCTCTGGCAGAAAGTCAGCCAACCAACATTTTATGCAGCCCGCACAGCATCTTCCCTCAACACCGAGCAGCGACGAAGACTTCAAGGTTGACTTATTGGCGATATCTCCGCAATTGAGAGACAAAACTCAACCTGGCCTTACTCGCAGACGACCGCGCGATCCTCGAAAGTTCGGATTCAGTGTCACACCCGCCAAACGTTGACTTCCGTGCCAGGACCTCGCCAGCATCTCAATTGGCAATTTACATTGGCGGCACATTACCGAAGTCATGTCACCAAACTTAGAAGCGACCCCCAAAAACTCAGCAGCAGCGGAGAGCCCTTCTTTGGAGCAAGCCATCCACATTGATCCTGACGGTGATCTTCTCCTCTGCGTCGGCTCAGAGCTCGGTACCCCCTTGAATATTAGGGTCTGTTCCGCAACCATGCGTCGAGCCTCTCCGGTCTGGAAGAGCATGTTGTTCGGCCCGTGGAATGAGTCCAAGCCGGCACACGGTGACTGGGTCGTCTCACTCCCAGAAGATAAAACATGGGCTACGCGAATCCTACTCTCCATCGTCCATGGAAACTTTGGTGATTTTCCCAAGGAAGTGGAGATTGTCCAGCTCTACGACATCGCGATGCTTGCCGACAGGTATGCTCTGCTCCGCGTGCTTTGGCCCTGGGTCGACCAATGGCTAGAGTCGGCCAGAATTAAGGAGCAGATGACGGGCCAGGAGCGACTGATGAGAGTTCACGCAGCATGGCAGCTTGGAGATGATGAACTCCTCGCCGCCAGTATACGGGACCTTATCTGCGGCATGGCTGTTGGCTCTACGGATGAAGGCCGCACCAGGGTCTAGTACGAAGGCGGCGACGCCCTCACGTTCGAGGAACATGAGGGACCTCCTGACTTGTCGGGTAGGGGAGTGCATTGTTCAGTCTTCATTGCAAATCTCTTTGGCTGACGTGGATTTGGCAGAGATTGTGACGGTTCTCCGTCTGTCCTGGTCCAAGATATCCTCGACTTCTTCAACTACGAACTAGATGCCCGCAGCCGAATCCATCCCGCCTGCCCGGCGGTGAACTACAGGGGAGTTGGGCTCACTGGCGTAAGCAACTGTGACGCGGTCATTCTTGGTCGCATGTGGCGGTCCTTCCGAGTGTCGAACGAGGAGTTACTCCCTAGAAATGCGGACGAATATCCCAAGAGCGCCGGAGTCCTCTTGCGGTTCTTGTCGGACGTATTCACTATCAAGATGGTTGACCTCCCCGATTCGCGTGACCACGAGATGTGTACCCAGTCCCTGCGGGGCAAATGGTCAAAGTTCGAGGCCGACATGACAAGCGACGAGCGGTTGCAGAATGTCCTGCAATCACATCATAGAGAGCACCTAGCAGCGCAACGGGCAAAGATCGGCCTGTGAGAGCTGCCACGGGTTTCACACGCATGGTGAAATGATCATGACCTCCTTGGGGAACAGTGGACCTGTCGGGAGAAACAGGGGTCAGTCGTGATGGATGATAACCTCGGATCGGTAGGGGGAATATCGATGTTTCCTGCAAATCAGGAACATGGAGAGTGGTTAACACTAAAGCGGCTTGGACCTCTGTGGCAGTGGTTCAGGGGTCCACCTCGGGGGGAAAGACAGAGGAGGCTAGCTGGGTAACTGAGTCGTCAGGGAGTGAGTACTCGTTTTCGACGCACTCCTTTGTCCCGGGGACACTTCCCAACGAGCAGGAGGTCTAATATTCTGAGATTTGCCAGTATAAACTCATATTCCGTTACCTTTTCCATTGATACTCATACGTGATGGTACATGCTTCTCCTCCCGCAAGCAATATCACAGGGAATATGGGCCACAACCTAAGTCGAACCCGACGGCCAAGTCGAGCTTAGCGGCGTTAGCAGAATGGAAGATCTAAACAGCGTGGCAAAGGCAAAACTGCACGGTACCACAGCTGCTGTTCAACACGCCATTTGGGCTAACCGGAGAGACGTTTATGTGGCGCGTAAAGATTACATCACCAGAATATACAGGAAGCCTACCACACATCACACCAACAAGGACTGAATTACAAATTAATCAGGCTCAGTCAAGAGCCTTCTCGGCGCAACGAACACAAGGCTAGTAAAACAGTTCCCTCCCCATGCATCACACTACAACCACCATGACCCCACACCTCCCCTCAACCACCCTATACCACCACTTTAGTACTTCAAATGTTAGTTTATAGCCACATCACACCAACGACCACAACTCCAACAACAACAGCACCCAACCCGTCCACCACCCGTCCGCCAAGCCTCGCCGCCGCCGCCCCGGCCGTAACCACCCCTCCACCACCACCAGCCGTACCCGTCGGCTTCGGCTTCACACCCGGTGTAATAGTGGTAACCGTCCCATTGCCTCCTCCTCCTCCGTGGGCGGGTCCGTACCCAACACAGCCAATACCCGTGCACTTATTTTCATCATCACTCTCTACCCCGGTAGCAGTAGTAGTAGTGGGTTGCGTAACGAAGGTTGTCCACCGCCCCCCAGTGATAGTCTTAGTCCTACCACCACCGCAAGACGCGCAAGGAGTCGGGGTAGCTGTGCAACCAGGAACCGCGCGCGGGGAGGTCTGTGTTGCCGGCACGGGGGTGATCGTCACGGTGAGGACCGTGGTCGACGTCCTGGAGCAGCCTCCGGAGCAAGGAAGGGTCTTGTGGATGGTGTAGGTGCCTGTTGTTTCGGGGCAGAGGGTTGTTGTCGCGGTGATGATCTCCGTGATGACTGTGCTGCCGCTGCCGTGGGCTGGGCACTTGGTTACTGTGGGTGGGCAGGAGGTGATGGTGTAAGTTGTGCGGGTTGTGTAGGTGATTGTGCTCTTTGTGATGGTGGTCGGAGGGGAGGAGGTCGTGGGAGGAGAGAGGGTGGACGAGGAGGTGGATGGGATGGATGAAGTGACTGTGGCGGTAGCGGAAGATGAGCTGCTGCTGCTGCTGCTCAAAGTGGAGGAGGAGGACTCAGACGAGACGGTGGTTGAGTCGGTGGCCGTGGAAGAGCTCGTGGTCTCCGAGGAGGTCTGGCACGTGGTAGTGGAGGTCTCTGAGACGCTGGATGTCTCTGAAGCAGTGCTGGAGGTCTCAGTTTCCGTGGCGGTAGACGAGCTGGACGTCTCGGTGCTGGTTTCGGTCCTGGTTTCGGTGCTGGACGTCTCCCTGCTCGTTGACGAGGTCGACTCGGAAGCCGAAGTCGTAGACGTCACAGACTCGGTAGTGGAGGTCGAGACAGACGAAGTCGATGTGCTCGCCGAAGCTGACGACGTGGACGTCACCTGTCCGCACTCACCGGCGATGGACGGCACAGCATTGGGACCGCTTCCAATAGGCACCAGGTTGGTACCGCAGTCGGCAGACTGAGCGAGGTGGATGTTACGGTTGTCCCAGTCATAGACGACAAACGCCGCGCGGAGGAAGGTATCGCCAAGGACCGGGAAGTCTAAGAGGAGCGTTAAGGGGGATATTCACCTTTTGAGACCTGGGATCACTTCAGCACTCACCATCCTCAAAGGCACCCAGGACGCAGTACGGAGTGTCCGGGTAGTGCCAGACAAAGTCGTAGTAGTCGACGTTGATGACTATGTCCCCGAAGCTGAAGTCGAGAGATCCGCCCTGGCCTGGGTCGGCACAGTCGACCACGTACAGGTCTGCGTTCGGCACATACTCGGCCGACGGGAACGCTGCCACGAGCTTCTGAAAGATGGGCGACGGAAGCGCGCTGAGCGTGTAGCCGCTGTCGAGCAGCACGGGCTGTCCCTTCCCGCCGGCCGGTGTGCTGTACACGTCGACAACACCGCCGCCCGGCTGGTTTACCCTGATCCCGTTGACGTAGACCCAAAACCTCGTGTAGCCGTCGGGTGATTCCGCAGCGGGGATGATGGGAAGCTTGACCAGGTCTCCCTTGTACTTCTTCGTGTCGATGCCGCCAAAGATCACGGATCCCCGGTCGCTGGCAAACCCCCTCAGGTCCATGCTGAAGGCCCTGCTGTTGGTGAGCCCTTGCTGGGCAAGTGAGTCAATGATAAGCGGGTAATCGCTGTCCCAGCCGAGCAGGTCGGGCCCGGCGCCCATGATGCCCACCACGGCATGCGCACTGTCGTAGGCGACGCCGAAGATCTGCTGGGTGATCTTCGCCGCTAATCCAGGAGGCAAGGTAATGTGTTAGTGTCAAGTACGTATTGCACAGCATATTGTACTGCGCAACGATCACACTTACACCCAATGGCGACATAATCAGACACATAGTAGAAGTCGGCGTAGCCAGTGCCGTACGTGACACCGCCGGTGACTCCCAGGTCCACGAGTGTGGACGACTCCGTGAAGCGTGGCTGGGCATTGCAGAAGTCCGGCGTGGTCGACTGGGCACAGACAGGGTTAACCCAGAGCTCGGAAGAGCCCGTGTCGAAGTTGACAGGGACCTTCTGCCCCGGCGTTCCGAGCGTCAGCTCAATGGTGTAGAGCGTTCCAGACAGCCGAGCAAAGCTGTCCGTATCAACCTGTCTCTTGGTGAAGTTGGTGTGCTTGCCGAAGAGCGGAGCGCCGGTCTTGGGGATGACGGGGTAGCGGATGAGCCCATCTTGCTGCACCATCCGGTTGTCATCAAAGTCAAAATCGAAGGGGCCAGAGCCTGAGCCGAGCACGGCTGCTGGGAGAAGAGCCGCGACGGCGTAAAGAGCGAATGACATTGTGACTGAAAGAGCGGACGACTACTATCGAGTCGGCAGCGAGTGACTGAAGATAAAAGAGTGACAGAAGTGAAGGACAACACCAGTGCCGGTGTGCTTCTCCTCGGGGAGACAGAGTGTTCCAGGACCTTGCTGTGGGAACGGAGCAGAGCCAACAACAACGCCAACAAGTCCTGCGATATCTCATTTATACCTTACATCGCTGCGTTCTGCCACAGCCTTGCTACCCCTGACCCGAACACTGTCAATTTGAATTTTCATGCGGCTCACTCGATTATGCCCTCAGCCGTTCACTAGTGTCCTAGTGTGGAGATTGCTTGTTCAGACCCGAGTCCAATCAAAAAAACACGCAAGCCCGATCGCAAAACGCCTTCCCGAGAGCCTGGGAGCGGCCAAGCTGATGCCAAGTCCCCATCAGCCGCATATTCTTCATGAATCATGACCGTTCCCGTTGTTGGCGCCTGGCGGAGTGACGAAAGTATTGATGGATATGCGGCCTTGTCACTTTCACAGTCAGATTTGGAACCACGGTGGGCGGAGACATAAGGCAAGCTCGCAGTGTCTACCACTTTGGGCCCCGCTAGACCCAATAGTCCGTGGCTCCGTGCCCACTATTTCCATCCTCTTAGCTTCCAGACGGCACCCCACAGCCTTTTCCTCCTACATACCACACATCAGCACAGGACATCAATGGAGTCCCATTGCTGCACCCTCTGGCCCTCCGGCAGTTGAGGGTCTGGGAGTGCTTGCGCCGCCGCCGTCGACCACACTGACGAGGCTCTGTCGGGGGAGAGCATCTGCAAGCCTGATGCATGGCATGAAAGAAAGGCTTGTGATGTTACTGAATGCAGGAGTGCGCTTGTGTCAAAGTTAGGTATAGGTAGTTGAGCTTTCACGTACCTTCTAGAAGCGGGCAAGAATAAGATAAAGTAGGTACCTTCAATGTCAACACTAGAGGAGATTCCACCCGACTTATATTGGAGAGACGGGCAATATAAACAGCTGCAGTTTCATGCCTAACATGTTCATATATAGCCACAGGCGCGGATCCAGGTTCAGCAACACGATTATTACCTAGTTTGAACTATTGCAGGGATCACGTTCTGCACTGTTGCCCTGTTCCTTCCAACCTGAAGAGCACATGGACCCCTATCGTAGGGCAGACAGGGCGGCCTAGGGATAGGGGGCTTTGGTTCAATACACTAAGGTAATAACTACCTAGGTAGTTCAGCTAGTTCTAGGCTCTCTGGTAGTTTAGTTGGATCGTCAGGATGTCGGGTAGTGGTTTGCATACGTGAGGACATTTTCGTGATTCCGTCTGGTTGCCTGCGAAAGTTTTGATGTGATGCGCACAGATGCTAATAAACGCGGTGGGGCACAGTCCCCAACCCTGAAAGTTCGTTGAGTGCCTGATGGGCAGGGTCAGCTCCAAGATTTCAACCTCAACATCATAGAGGCCATGTTCTACGGAAAAGGTATAAGTAAACTCAAACTTGGAAGTTATTCGTGAGATGCTCATTCAACAGTGTTGAGTCATTCATTTTTTGTGAGCTACCTAGAAGTGTTGTGCGGAATTGAGACCTGTCGCGAGTTCTGTGCTAACAAACTGTCAGGGGTTGAATTGACTGCCAGTGGTCTCGGGTAGAAGAAAGCTTCCCCACTTTTCAAACCCCAACCCTCATGAGTCATGCCCCGCTTCCCCGGATCTGCTACCGGCTAGCCGGTTCCACTTCTCCACAAACCCTAACCTTACAGTGAACTTGGCAGTTATCACGAAATCACGGAGTCAAAAGCAAAAAGGTTGCTGTCGTCTACATGAGTACGTTCCGTCGCCTCTCGACCTTTCGAACCACAAAGTAGCTCAGTCTCGGTCTGGAGAGTGATATGCATGCTTTGAGGCAAATCTATACCGAACGCTTGAAGTTGGAATACAGCAACATCGCAGCGTCTCCATTGAGTCCATTCCCTCGCTGCCTTTGAGAAAGCGGCGCAGGACTCGACGTGCTGTCGCTTTCTCCGTGGGCTTGAAGAAGGGATGGAGTACTGGGGGCCCAAACAATGGCCTCGTCCCGCACGACACACCTGGCTCCAGCACATTTACTCGATGGCTGACCATTGCCCAATCTTAGATCCAGCGCAAATAATCATCAAGGGACTGCCCGCCAACAGCCAGGGACTCCGTGGTGATATACTGCCACCTGGCAGTACTGTTAAGTATGCTTGTGGTGGGTGCTCTGCCGTTGACAATGGCCCGTAAAGCGGGAGCCAGGTCAGTACTACGGTAGAAGCTGTTCTCAACAAGCTGATTGCAATGCCGCCACCAGTCAGTACCAGTCCGAGACAACCGCACGGATAGGTTGCACTTCATCATCTGTCAGAACCGGGTGGACCAATAACGTTATGACTTCTATTTGCACAGCATGCACCCGGATAAGCTGTGTGCACCGTTGGGGTCCGATGTGGTTGCACTTCGAGCAGGTCAATGTCACCCTCGACCCGCTGTCACCAACTTGCCGGTGTCTTTACCCTCGGCTCAACTGGCATCGCTGGCAGAGCAGGTAAACTACTGCCGTTGCGGCAAGGTGAAGACCGTGAAGTTGAAACTGGGGTATTCAGCCCGGCAGACGGCGCGGGCTAAGCCAAGCAGCATGTCTGTCTCTGGTCTGTACGTACCCACCTCACGTACGCTGTTGATGAACTCGACTCCCGACTTTCTGATCCGGTCTCGAAGCCGTGCCCTACCGTGCACAGTTTGGCGCCCTGCCAAGTTGTCCGTCAACCGGCTCCCCCGCATTCCCAACGCTCTTGGCAGGGCTTGGCAGATCTCTCGGTCGAACTTGCGAGCCTGCTTTTCGCGGAGGCGGCGGGTCCAAATCTATCTGCCGAAAGCTACCAAGTTAGCTCCGTATGCAATGTCCAGCCATGCTGGCGATAGAGCAGCATAAGCAGCTCTCGGCGAGTTCCAGGCCTGCTGGGCTGGAGCCTGGCATCTCGGTTGCCACCGCCAGCCAACATGATTGCCGCTGTCTTGGTCGCAAACTGGCCTTGTTGATGATCTGCTAGCTAGCTACTATCCTCTCGGCTACCGGCTCTCCTTCCCCGGATTCCCGGCTATTCTCGACCAGTTCTGACATCTACGGCATCATTGGATGTGGGCTGGAGCGTGCAGTGCAGGTTCCACTCAGCCCGTACCCTAGTGTAGCAAGCGTAGCCGGGATCGGGAAGGACGGGAGTTTGGGACGGTTGAGATAGGATTCCCTGCACTACGACGCTTAGCCCAGGTCGTTTAACCACGTGCAGCGTCCCCTTGTCAAGGTAGGTAGTAAAGGCCTGGTTCCCCCCCCACCGTTCCATTATCTACCCGACACCGACTTTGGCTTGGGTCCCTCGGTTCCTTGCAGCGGTGTGGTTTTGCCACCTACTTTTTGCTACTGCGGTCGTTGCTGTCTGTCCCTTTTTCCCAAACCCCAGAGCCTCAACGGGCACTTTTCAAGATACACACGCCCGCCAAGATGGACACGGAGAAGGAGACCGGTAAGTCAGAAACAGCAGCACTCAATAGTTACGATTGAACCGACGAGCAATCGGCCAGCCAAACTGACCTGAGGTCTCGCAGCCCAGCAAATCGAGCACTTGGGCAGCCGGTCGTGGAACGCTGGCGAGCTCTCGGACGCCAGCGTGCCCGACTCGGAGCTGGAGTGGTCCGAGGAGGAGGAGCGGTCGATCCGGCGCAAGATCGACTGGCACACGGTGCCGCTGGTGACGCTGCTGTACATGCTGTGCTTCCTGGACCGCGTCAACATCGGCAACGCGCGCATCCAGGGGCTGGCCAAGGACCTGGACATGACGACGGGCGTGCGCTTCAACTGGGCGCTGTCCATCTTCTACATTGTGTACCTGCTGGTCGAGGTGCCCAGCAACGTGATCCTCAAGCGCGTCGGCCCGCGCTTCTACCTGCCGCTGCTGGTGTGCGGCTTCGGCGTGGTGTCGCTGAGCACGGCCTTCGTGGTCAACTTCGAGGGCCTGATGGTGGCGCGCGTGTTCCTGGGCATCTTCGAGGGCGGCGCGATGCCGGGGATGGCCTTCTTCCTGTCGTGCTTCTACAAGCGCAACGAGCTGCTCTTCCGCATGGGCATCTACGTGTCGGCGGCGTCGATCGCGGGCGCCTTCGGCGGGCTGCTGGCCACGGGCCTGTCCAAGATCCCCGAATGGGGCGCCGCGGGGGCGCGCATCCACACGTGGCGCAACATCTTCTTCTTCGAGGGGCTCATCACCATGGTCATCGGCGCCGTCGCACCCGTGTGGATGCCGACGACGCCCAGCGACGCCTACTTCCTGACCCCGCGCGAGCGGCGCATCGCGGCCGAGCGGCTGGTGCGCGAGCACAAGGCCGACCCGGCCGAGAAGGTCACCTGGAAGGACCTCAAGCAGGCGGTGCTGTGCATCCACAACTACACGTGCGCGCTGGGCTTCTTCCTCATCAACATCACGGTGCAGGGGCTGTCGGTCTTCATGCCCACCATCCTCAACGACCTCGGCTGGACCAACACGCAGGCGCAGCTGTACTCGGTGCCGCCCTACGTCGCCGCCTGCCTGGTCGCCATCGCCGTCGCCTACGGCAGCGACAAGACCCACCAGCGCGGCATCTGGCTGGCCGCCTTCTCGTGCCTGGCCCTAGTCGGCTTCGCGCTCCTGCGCTGGGTCGACAACCCCAACATCCGCTACATGGCCGTGTATTTCGTGACTGTCGGCGCTTTTCCCGGCGGACCGGGCTTCCTCAGCTGGGCCATGAACAACTCGGCCGGGCCTGCCGTGAGGGCGGTCACGTCGGGTTATGTCGTGACATTGGGTACGATAGGCGGTATCGTTGCTACGTACGTTTCTCCCCTCCCCTCCCCTCCCCTGCCTTCCTTCCTTCGCTCCCTTCTTCTTTTCCCTTTCAGAGGGCCAGCACTAAATCTGTTTGATACCAACTACTTAGATGGACGTACATCCCCGCCGACGCGCCCAAGTACTACACGGGCCACACCATCAACCTGGGCGGCCAGATCGCCGTCGTCGCCCTCTCCATATTTGGCATCCTCTACTGCATGTACGAGAACAAGGCCCGCCTGGCGGGGAAGAGGGATCACCGTCTGGAAGGTCTGACGGAGGAGGAGCAGGAGAAGCTGGGGAGTCGGCATCCGCAGTTTCGGTATTGGACTTAGGTTAGGGCTGCGCTTCTCCGTTCAAAGTAAGTTGTTAGTTTGAGATCGGGCTTGCAGGGGTTGTGTTTGGGACCTTTCTCGCTGTGGTTAGGGGTAGTATGGCCAATAGGCTTTTGGGGCTTTGGGCTGGTAAGCGGTATTTTGTTTGTTTGCTAGTACTCTACTAGGGTATTTTGGGTTTAGCTCCCGGATAGGTAGACCGATCGATATGAGGTTTTGCCAGATGACATCGTGCTGTCGAAGGGAAAGTTCATTGGTAGTACTAGTTCTGCGTCTATCCATATTCGATTCGGTGCCAGCTGAAGCGGGAAAGTTTCTTGACGTACCATCTGCTTACTAGACCTCCAGGTACTCACTAACCTGGAAGTGTTTGCTGAAACGTCCGGCTTAATGGCCATGTGTTGGATGAGGAAACGCCCTTGATAAGTTGATGCACACCTTTGGGGATCACAGTCTACATATGCATTATGGTCGGCCCGGCCCTCCCAAGGAATCTGCTAAGGCAAGCACGTAACAGGTCCTAACCACAAACGATTCCTTTGCAGGATTTGCTTGCCTTCACCCTGTTGACTGTTGACACTGCGGCGCGGGGAGGCGAGGGAATGCCGGTGTGAGGCAGAGTGCTCAGGCCGCGCGTCTGACATTGCACGACAGCCACAGCTTTTATCCAGAGATGACAGCGGGATAAGAAAGGGCTGACCTCAGCGCTTCCTCCCTTGTTGGAGCACGACACCTGGTTGGCTGCGAGCAGTAACCCGGGTCAGTCAATATCAATACTTCTCTGTTGGAGGGCGGCACCGGGGCAATCAAGTGCAACGTCGGTTCCCAATCCTTCTCTGCACATCATGCCGCTCGCGCCGGCCCGCATCGTATGTAGCCATACGCTCAGAAAACGCGGTTACCGCACCCAAAGTAAAAGTGCTTCTACCCCTAACCAACATGCCGCGCGAAGGACTTGGTCCCTGCTGGTCCCTGCCGACCTCTTCTCTTCTTCTCGCGAGGAAGCTTTTGCAAAAGAAAGACCTCTTTCTCTACTATGCACCATACTAGCATTCATAAGACCATGTGATAGCACACCTGTGCGAAGATGCACCGAGGACATGGCTGCGGCCGCAGCCATGTGGGCCATGACGGCGCTGTCGCTCGGCCTGCTCGCGCTCCGACTCTACACACGGCTGCGCATCGTCCGGTTCGTCGGTGCCGAGGACCACCTGTACTTCTGGACCGGCCTCCTGCTGCTGGGCTTCACCGCATGCATCCAAGTCGCCGTGCGCTACGGTCTCGGCCGCAGCTTCTGGACGCTGCCGCCCCTCGACTCGTCCAACGCCATCTTCTGGACCTATGTCGCCAACACCTTCGCCGTTCACGGCCAACGCCATGGCCAAGCTGTCCATGGGCCCCTTCCTGCTCCGCGTCGCGCAGGCGAGAGCGCACAAGGCTGCGCTCTGGTGCCTCATCTCCGTCACCGCTGCGCACTTCGGCCGCGCTGGTCGTCATGCTCTGGTCAAGCATCTGCGACTTCTTTGCCATCTTCCCGTGGCTGGTGGTTTGGCCTCTGCATATGCCGCGCCGCGACAAGCTCGTGCTTTCCAGCCGAATGAGCTCGGGCGTCCTGTAAGTGTAGCTGCTAGCATACCGTAACCATCTGTCGCACTACTAGACTCTAGTAGTAGCTCGCAACCAACCCTGACTTGCAACGCTACTAGTGCTGGAGGATGTGGCATCGCCGGGACAGCCGTCCTGGCACGGCTAGATATCATGGACTATACATGTAAGTACTACTGTACCTATATGGTACAGCCCCCACATCACACATCACTTCCTCCCCCTTCCTGATGTTTCCATGCTGCCTCCAACGACCATCATCTGCTAAATTTCAACGCCAGGGAAAGCAAGCTCCAAAGGCCGGTCGGCCCCGCACTCCCGTAAGGCACACAGAGAATCACGCAGAACAGGGCTCCGGCACGACGAGGGAGAACACGGCCATGAAACATGACACCGTGCTCCTGAATCTCGCGGTGACTGACGGCAAAAGACATATCCCAGAACTCAGTCAGGTATCATTCGGGCAGCTGCGTCCGCCGAGACGTCACCTCAGCACGACGCCCATCGGGGGCCGGCCCACGCCTCGCAATAATCGCCAGACTCGCGGACGGGAGCATACAACGCCGGATTGGAGGAGAACAATGACAGCGTCGTGGACATGACCATGGAGGACGCGTTGGCAATGCTGTATGTCCCAGTTTGAGTTGTCTGTCCCTTTCATTCTTGATCACAGATGCTAAATCTGGCCTGCTCCTTACCGCGTAGCCCTTCAATTTTCAGCACCTGAGAAGGATTCCCGCGCGGGCACGAGCGAGGAACTGGCCGAACTGCGCCTCGAGCTCGCAAAGTTGAAGGGGATCACTAGCGGACTGCAGCGCGACAAGGAGAGGCTGACGTCGGGGCTGACCCTCCTTCAGACCAAGAACGAGCAGGCGGCGGCCGAGGCCGATACCCAGACCAAGCGCGCAGCCGCGGCAATCTCTACCCCCTCGATCAGGAGCTGATCCGACTCGAGGTGGCGAAGGCGCGGAAGATGGCCGAGATGGAGGCGAAGATTCGGTCCAAGGACGCGCTGATCAGGCGGCAGACGGAGTATATTAAAGAGCTCGGACAAGAACGGGCCAGGCCTGCCGCATGATGGGGTCCGTTGTCGAGGATCTTCTTTTGAACGGGGCCGGCGAAGCTCAAGGGGTAGCTAGACGCAGAGGTTGGCTGAGGGGGTTTGGAATGGTCGTTGAAGCGTTGACTGGTTGCCACCCACCGTGGGCTGGGAGGCTTGCCGGGTCCTCTGGGTCAGAGGTCAAATAAGGTAGAGAGGGCAGCGTGGTAAGGGCTTAGGTAGTTAGCGATCAAGGCCTTTTGAAACATTAGCCCAAGCCGCAACTTCGCAAGTCGAGCTCTTGAACGGATCCGGCGTCATTGTGCGGGTGGATCAAGATAGAGGACATCGACAATTCCATACAGCGCATATTGGGCTCAGATCTTTGCAGTACGAACCACCATGTTCATGCATGGATCATGAAGTGGAGCCCGGCGCACCCAAGCTTAAAGCGTACATACCGTCCAGGCGAATGTTGTAGAGCAGGCCGTCAATCAACACGAAAGGCAGCCCGGGCCAAGAAAAAACTCCACTGCCCTTAGTGGCTTTGTCAACGGCATTGTCTTGGTAACGGTCTTCTTCTTGCTAGCCGGAGCGATAAGGTCCCTAATAATCGCGTTGTATTTCGTATCTTGCTTATAGGCTTCGATAAATTCTTGCCGGAGGCTTTCCTCCATCTTGGCTTCAGCGAATGCAAACCAAACCATGTACGTATTGGCGGCGCTGTAGTTGGACTGCCCCCGGTTCCCAGAGGCCGCGGCCTGCGAGGAGAAGAAAACGAAGAAGTCGAGGATGTCATCCTGGAAGATGCTGTCGATGTGGAGGGCGCCGAGCCCCTTGGCCCGCACCACCTCGTTCATGGTTCGAGCGACACGCCTGAAGATGCGCCACCCTCTGAGATCATCATGGCACCGTGCATGATCCCCGCAATGGGCGGGAAGTAGCGGCAGATCTCGCCAACAAGATGCTCAACAGCGTACACCCGGGTCGGTGATGTTACTGTGTCTCTAGTCAACAGGATTGTTGTTGTCGGTAGACCCAGCTCATAACATTCGCCAAGATTTCGGTATTTTGCCCAAGCAAGCAACCTCGTATTGGCCTCGCGGGAGATGTTGAGGTCGAGAACTCGCAGTCGAACGTCGGGCGCTTCTAAAGCCAGCGTTCGTCCGAGCCCCGCGCTCATGTTCATGTACGTTGGTGGGCGTGGCAACCCCGCGTGAACCAGAGAAATCGTCCGTTGGCAATCCACCAAGCTCTGTATTCCTTTCATGGTTCTTCCGGGTAAGATTGTGGAAGATGGGCTGGTCTAGCTCAGCAAGATTCAACACAAGAGTTGCGGGGGATACGGCGGCCTCCGCAGCGAGTTCGTAGAGCGAGCATAACCGGGTGATGTGGAATCCGATGTCCGAACCGACGAGCTAGGTCGAGTATACTACTAATCCATCAAGATCACGGTCGTCAAGCTCTGCCCGCCAACGATGATCGATTGGAGGGGCGGCACTGTGAGACTGCGACTGTCTGATCTGCCTCTCGAGCCGGTGTGCCGGTGGCAGCGCTGGAGGCCAATCGCCATCGATTCGGGTGACGCTTGTCTCACAGTTCGCGGGGCGACGGGCCAGCTTTGGACACGGTCAGCCGCGATCGGAATTGTCGGAGACCACGCCAGCGGGATTACACGGTTGCACACCGGTTAAGAACGCCGCGGAGAGTTGAAAAGTCCGCCCGCACCGCCACTTACACGGCGTATTTACAGTCGCAGCCGTTGATTTTGGGGTACGTATCTCGGTGACAAAAGACAAAAGAGTGAGCCCCCGAACCATCGATCAGCCGCTTCCACTGAGTGCTTGCTGACTCCGCCATCATCACACGCCGCCGTCACCATCCGCAATCTACAGTTATACACGACGTCATGGGTTTGAAGCAGGACGAGTCGACGGCGCCGCAGCTGGCGGGTTTACAGGATGGTGATGGTGTTGCGAAGCCTCAACACGAGCCCGACCTCATGGGCCAGTTTCCCATCCTGAACGCCTACTCTCACCTGGCATTTGGTTTTGAGCTCCCGCCCGACGCCGATCGGGGCGCCGTTGTTGACGCCCTCCAGACGGCGCTAGATCGGCTGATCGAGCAGATCCCTTGGCTGGGATGGCAGGTTGGCCAGAGATCGGGCGTCCGTACGGCGGTCCCTTGGCCCGAAGACGTGCCCAGGGAGGTTTTGCGTGTCAAGCACTGCGACGACGCCATCCTGCCCATGCATCAGCTCCTGGCAGCCGGCGTGCCCATCGGCAAACTCGACGGCAAGGTGCTAACGCCCTGGCCGGGCCTTCCGCAGCCCCACGGGCTCGCGGGTCCGGTGCCCGTCATCGCCGTGCAGGCAAACTTCATCCAGGGCGGGCTCATTCTCATCCTCAGCTCACACCACACCATGATAGACGGCACGGCCAACTTCCAGCTCGTCAAGCTCCTGACCACGCTGCTCCGTGGCGACGAGATCCCGGCAGCCGACCTGCAGCAGGCCAACCGCGACCGGAGCCGGCTGATTGACTTGATCCCACCCAGCCAGCCGGTGAAGGACCACTCTCACCTGCGGTGTCCGCCCGGCTACCAGGTCGTGTTCCCGACCAGGCCGCCGACATGGTGCTACTTCAAGGTGCCCGTAGCGTCGCTGTCGAAGCTCGCCAAGACAGTCACAGCCCAGGACCCGGACCGGCCCGTGACGGAAGACGACGTGCTCCACGCCTTCTACTGGCAGCGTCTCTGCGCCGTGCGTCTCTCGCGCGGCATGTCCGCCGACACCGTGTCCAAGATGTCGCGCGCCATCGATGGGCGCACGGCGCTCGGAATCCCCGCGTCCTACATGGGCGCACTCGTCTGCTCGGCCATCACACGCCTGCCGGTGGGCCAGGTGGCGTCCCTCACCCTGGGGCAGACGGCACGGGTGCTGCGCCGCGAGCTCTCGCAGGCCAACACGGCGTGGGCCGTCCGCAGCTTCGCCACCTTCATCGCGCGCGAGCCGGATCGCTCGCTCCTCTTGTACACCGGCACCCACGACGGCAACACCGACGTCGGCGCCTCGTCGACCCTGAACACGAACCAGACGCCGTCGCCGTCCTGGGGCCCCTTGCTAGGGCCGTGCCGCTTTTTCCGCCGCGTGCTAGGCGCGCCCATTCCGGGCTCCTTTGCCGTTCAGTCGGTCGAGGGCCGGGCCATTCCTATTGCCGTGTGCTTGCCGCTGGATGATCTGGAGGCCTTGAAAAAGGACGAGCTGTGGAGAGAATACACGACATGCGTTGGCTGAGTCTGGGCGCGCGCGTTGGGGGAGAAAGTCCTACAGGACATTCTATGCCTGAGGGTCGGAAAAAAAGGGCACAAAGACTCGCTTTTTCTGCTCCGTCGATGGGGCTAGGTACTTGGGTGTTCAAATGCCATGTGTTACAAATTCTATTCCAAGCGGCTTCGCGTCTTCATCCGTGGTAAACTATGTGTCTAGCCCTGGACACTTACGTTTAGTAGTAGTGGTAGTGGTAGTACTAAGTAATACTTATCAACAATCACACGAACATTCTTGTTGTGACGGAGAAGATGAGCAAAAGGGAGCAACCCATTCCTACTACTTACTTACCTGGCACCTAGTAGTCTTGGCGGCCATTATACCTGCCCACTTCGTAATGGGCCATGAACCGTCGGGATGTTTGAATTTGACGGAGTACCAATCCGCACCATGAAGGTCATGAACTAACCTACCCCTCCGTTGAAATGCGGAGTTGGGGTGGACGTTTGCGGAAAGTATGTACCAGTACATACGCCGGAGTTTTTATCCGCCGCTCCTCACAACCGTCCATTGGGCCTTGCAGGCTCTGTGTGACCCCGGAATCCCAGCGCGACAGGAGTTCTGTCGGTCACCGCTCTCATCGTTGCACTGGGCACGGAGATAGGAACGTACGGTATTCCCAGGAAGACAGGCTGGCATTTCATCGGCCGTGCGGAGGGCGGAGTCCAGGTCGAGTATGGTAGCAACTAGTAAGTGTGACAAAGCCAAACACGCTGTTCATCTGCGAGAGAAAATACGTGAGTCAGATGCTGAGAATTGTGATATATTCATCCTGCGCACCGGCAAACAGCATCACTTGGCGCGTGCCGAGATATGCCAAATGCAAAGGCATGCACAGATCCCATACTAGTAGGAACCTGTAACGACCATTAGCCTTCCATCACAGGCTGCCTCAACTTACCATTTCTCCAACCGCAGCAGCGTCTTTGAACAGGGAAGCCCATCCATAAGCCCGATATGACGGAAGGTGTCAGCGATGAGTGGACGTCCGAGCCCATTGCCATTATCGGCCTGAGCTGCAGGTTCGCAGGAGACGCCGACAGTGCCGACAAGTTGTGGAAAATGCTGGCCGAGGGCCGGAATGCCTGGTCCGAGATCCCGTCAGTTCGCTTCCATCCGAAGGGCGTCTACCACCCCGACCCGGAGAAGCTCAGCACGGTGAGTGATCATAGGTGGCTAAATAAACGGCCTTTTGGATCGAGAACAAGGAGCGTGAGAGACTAACAAGCGAGGTTCGGAACGCACCAAGACACATGTCAAGGGCGCCCACTTCCTAGCGGAAGATGTAGGACTGTTTGACGCCGCCTTCTTCAACTACTCGGCCGAGACTGCATCGGTGAGCAAGCGTAAAGCCAGGGAGAGAGTGAAGGTGGTCAGCTGAACTGACCGACGTCATTAGGCGCTTGATCCGCAATTCCGCCTCCAGCTTGAGTCTACGTACGAGGCACTGGAAAATGGTGGGTGAGCACCGCGGCGGAGACCCGCCACCCCTGTGATGATATAAGTAATCCGATCCTAGGCACCACTTGCTAACCAAAGCAACCATATAGCTGGTCTTCCCATGTCACAAGTGGCTGGCTCCAACACGTCCGTGTACGCGGGCATCTTCACGCTCGATTACCACGCGGGGCTGATCCGCGACGAGGACGAGCTGCCGCGGCTCTTGCCGGTGGGCACCTTGTCGGCGATGGCGTCCAACCGCATATCGCACTTCTTCGACCTCCGAGGCGCCAGCATGACGGTGGACACGGGCTGCTCGACATCGCTCGTGGGCCTGCACCAGGCCGTGCTGGGCCTGCGCGCGCGCGAGGCTGACATGGCCATTGTGACGGGGTGCAACCTGATGCTGTCACCGGACCTGTTCAAGGTGTTCTCGTCCCTGGGGTTGCTGGGGCGCGATGGCAAGTCGTACGCGTTCGACTCGCGCGCCAACGGCTACGGCCGGGGCGAGGGGGTGGCCACCATCGTCATAAAGCGGCTATGTGATGCGCGGGCTGCGCGCGATCCGATCCGCGCCGTCATCCGCGAGACGCAGCTGAACCAGGACGGCAAGACCGAGACCATCACGTCGCCGTCACAGGCCGCACAGGAAGCCCTCATGCACGAGTGCTACCGCCGCGCCGGCCTCAGCCCGCGCGACACTCAATACTTCGAGGCGCACGGCACGGGCACGCCCACCGGCGACCCCATCGAGGCGCGCGCCATCGCGGCCGTGTTTGGCGCGGTTGCGGACCGCACCAACAACGGGAACAAGAACGAGAACGGGAAGGAGAACGAGAAGCTGCGCATCGGGTCGGTGAAGACCAACATCGGGCACACGGAAGCGGCGTCGGGGCTGGCCGGGCTGATCAAGGTGGTGCTGGCCATGGAGAAGGGCCAGATCCCGCCGAGCGTCAACTTCGACAAGCCCAACCCCAAGCTAGCGCTGGACGAGTGGGGCCTGAAGGTGGTGACCGAGCTCGAGCCGTGGCCGGCGACGGCGGACGGCGACTCGGCGCCGCGCCGTGCGTCGCTGAACAACTTTGGCTACGGCGGCACCAACAGCCACGTCATCGTCGAGGAGGCTAGGCGGTACAACAGCCCGGCCCCGGTGAATAGCAACATCAACGACACGAGCCTCGGCGGCGTCCACGCGGTGGCCGACCGGGCCGACGTGCTGGTCTTTTCTGGGCGCGACGAACAAGCCTGCCGGCGCATGGTGTCCGGCACGAAGGCGTACCTGCAGCGTCGCCAGCACGAGGACCCGGGCATGGGTGCCCGGGGAGTCGTGACGCTTATGAAGAGCCTGAGCTGGACGCTCAGCAAGCACCGCTCGCGCTTCCCCTGGGTCTCGGCGCACACCGTTCGGTACGCGGACGATCTGGACCCGGTGATCCAGGCGTTGGACGCACCGCAGTTCCAGCCCGTGCGCCTCCCCTCGCGCCCGCCGCGCATCGGCATGGTGTTCACCGGCCAGGGCGCCCAGTGGCACGCCATGGGCCGTGAGCTCATCCATGCGTTCCCCATTTTCCGATCCACGCTCTTCGCGGCCGAGGGCTGTCTGCGCGGCTTTGGCGCGGAATGGTCTCTGACGGAAGAGCTCAGCCGCGATGCCGACACCACGCGCGTCCACGACACGGCGCTCAGCATCCCCATCTGCGTGGCGGTGCAGATCGCCTTGGTGCGGCTGCTGCGCTTCTGGGGCATCTGGCCGACGGCCGTCACGAGCCACTCGTCGGGCGAGATCGCGGCGGCCTACGCAGCCGGGGCCTTGACCCTCCGCCAGGCCATGGCAGCGGCCTACTACCGCGCTGCTATGGCGGCGGACCCGACACTGATGAACGCGTCCGGGAATGGGGCCAGCAGGGGGGCCAAGGGGGCCATGGTCGCCGTGGGGCTGGGAGCCGAGGCGGCGCAGGGCTACCTCGGCCGCATCGCGAGGACCCACGGCCAGGCGGTGGTGGCGTGCATCAACAGCCCCAGTAGCGTGACCATTGCCGGCGACGAAGCGGCCGTGCGGGAGATGGAGGATTTGGCCGTCGCCGACGGCGTGTTCGCCCGTCGCCTGCGAGTCGACACGGGCTACCATTCCCATCACATGCGGCCCATCGCCGGGCCGTACCGGCAAGCCCTCCGTGCCGCGCTGCAGGACAGCAGCTGGGAGCACCCGGACGAGAAACTGCTGGCCTCGGTGGAGGTCCCCGAGAGCGTGCCCTGGGCGGAGCCGTACCGGCGGGCGCTGCGTGCTGCGCTCGATGTGGAAGCGGAAACGTTGCGCATCCAAACCCAGGGCGGCGTCGCCTTCTCGTCGCCCGTTACGGGCGGCCGCATCACCCGGCTCGCGCAACTTGCCGAATCGGAGCATTGGGTGCGCAGCTTGCTCCAGCCGGTGCAGTTTGTCGATGCCTTTACGGACATGGTCCTGGGCGACAACGACACGGACGGGTCGGGCACGAGCGTCGACGTGGTCCTCGAAGTGGGACCCCACACGGCGCTCGGCGGGCCCATCAAGGAGATCCTCTCCGAGCGCGAGTTCGAGGATCTTGACGTTGCCTACGTGGGCTGTCTGGTGCGCCACGAGGACGCGCGCGACACCATGCGCGCGGCAGCCCTGCATCTCCTGCGTAAAGGGTTGTCAGTCCATCACGCCAACGTCAGCTTCCCCTGGGGCCACTGGCCCTTCGCCCAGCACGTGCTGACCGACCTGCCGCCGTATCCGTGGAACCACAGCATCAAGCACTGGTCCGAGGCGCGCGTCAACAGGGCCTACCGCCAGCGAGACCAGGCGCCGCACGAGCTTCTCGGCACGATGGTACCGGGCACGCGGGGTTCCTCGGCCGCCGTCTGGCGGCAGGCGGTGCGCGTGTCGGACAATGCCTGGCTCCGGGACCACGTCGTCCAGGGCAACGTCCTGTATCCCGGAGCCGGCTTTGTGTGCCTGGCCATCGAGGGCATGAAGCAGCTGGTGGACTTGCGCGACCATATCGATGACACGACTAATACCACCAGTGGTAGCGCTACCAGTACCAATCGTGCTAGCCAAGTGTCGGGCTACCGGCTGCGCGACGTGGAGATACCCCAGGCGCTGGTGGTGCCCGACAGCGCCGAGGGCGTCGAGGTGCAGACGGTGATCCGGGCCGTGGATGACAAGGCGATCGGCGCCCGCGGCTGGAAACAGTTCGAAGTCTGGTCCGTGACGGCGGACAGCCGGTGGACGCAGCACGCCAAGGGTCAAGTCACCGCTGAGTTCAACATGGCCCCCCCGCCGTCGAGGACGACGGGCTTTCTGGACGGATCGGGCTACACGCGACGTGTCGATCCCCACGACATGTTCGCCAACCTGCAGGCGAAGGATCTGCATCACGGGCCCATGTTCCAGAACGTAACGAGCATCGTGCAGGACGGCACGTCTGCATCTACCGAGGCACGCTGCGTCACCACCATCCGTGTCGCCGACGCCAACGCCAACGCCGACGCCAACGCCGACGCCGGCCACTGGCATGTGCTGCATCCCACTACGCTGGACTCGGTCCTCGTCTCGTCCTACGCAGCCCTGCTCGGCGCCGCGGGTGCCGACCACGGCAGCGCGAAGGTGCCGCGGTCCATCCACAAGCTGTGGGTCTCGAGCCGCATGAGCACGACCGTCGGCCGCGAGTTCACGTGCAACACCAGGCTGTCGCACTGGGACGCGCGAAGTTACGAGGCCGATGTCTTGGTGCTCGACGGGACCGAACTTGTGCTCGAGCTGCAGGGTTTAGTGGGCCAGTCGCTGGGCGGCGCCGGCGCGGCGGGTACCGAGGACAAGCAGCGGCGGCAGCAGCAGCAGCCGTGGACGAGGGAGCTCTGTGCAGAGGTCGAGTGGGCGCCGGATCTGGCCCTCTCGCTGGGGCTGCCCGGCGGACAGCCGGCCGTGAAGAAGACGCTCAGCCTGTCGGCCACGGACTCGGAGATGAACGCCGCGGACCGGGACGTGCTGATGGCCCTGCGGCGCGTGTGCGTCTACTTCTGCCACGACGCCCTGCAGAACCTCGGCGAGCAGGACATTGCCCGTCTTGCGCCTCACCACGTCAAGTTCCACGCGTGGATGCAGGCCACGCTAGACCTCGCCGCCTCGCGCCGCCTGGGCACCGACAGCGACAAGTGGACGGACGACGGGCCGGACGAACGCCAGCGGTATACGGCCGTGGCGGCCATGCAGAGCGTTGACGGCGAGCTGATCTGCCGACTTGGCCCACAGCTGGCGCCCATGCTGCGAGGCGAGCGCGCGCCGCTCGAGGTCATGATGGAGGGCCAGCTGCTGTACCGGTACTATGCCAACGCCTTCCGGATGGCCCCGGCCTTTGCCCGCTTCACCGCGCTACTGCGCGCCGTCGCACACAAGAACCCCCGCGCGCGAGTTCTGGAGATTGGGGCCGGCACGGGGGCCGCCACGCGCCATGCGCTCCGCTCGTGGAAAGGCATGGCTAATGAGGCAGTCAGCGAGCCGCCGTGCGAGACATGGCACTTTACCGACATCTCGTCAGGCTTCTTCGAGGCCGCGCGGGCCGAGTTCGCCGCCTGGGGCAGCGTTATGGAGTTCGACCGTCTTGACATCGAGCAGAGCCCCGAGGCGCAGGGGTTCAAGCTCGCGAGCTACGACATTGTCGTCGCGTGCCAGGTGCTCCACGCGACCAAGAGCACGGCACGCACCATGGACCATGTGCGTAGGCTGATGAAGCCAGGCGCGACGCTCCTCCTCATGGAGACGACGCAGGACCAGGTGGATCTGCAGTTCATCTTTGGCCTCCTGCCAGGCTGGTGGCTGAGCGAGGAGCCCGAACGCCAGTCGAGTCCCACGCTGTCGGTGCCCCTGTGGGACAAGGTCCTCAAAGCTGCCGGCTTCAGCGGCGTCGACGTCGAGCTGCGCGACTACGAGACCGACGATGATATGTACTGCATCAGCAACATGCTGTCGACGGCGGCGCCGGCGCCCTCGCGGCCCCCCCGGCTGATCTCGGACAGCATTGTTGTCGTCGTTAGCGATACAGCGCCGCCTCCGGCCGATTGGCTTCAGGCACTGCGGGCGTCTATCGCCACAGTGGCCGACGGCGGCTCGCTCCCTCCTATCCGGTCCCTCGAAGACGCCTCGGCCATGGCCGAGGCGTATAGCACCAAGGTCTGCGTCTTTGTGGGCGAAATCGACCGGCCCGTGCTGCACACCCTCGACGCCGCCGGCCTGCGCGGCATCAAGGCCATGGCGACGGGGAGCCGGGGCCTGCTGTGGGTGACGCGCGGCGCCGCGGTCGAGTGCAGGAACCCGGATCGGGCGCTGGCCACGGGCTTCCTGCGCGTGCTGCGCAGCGAGTACGTCGGCCGACGATTCCCGACCCTCGATCTCGACCCGCACGCACCCGTGTGGTCCAGCCCAGGGGCCAGCATCGCCGCCATTGTGCACATGCTCCGGGCCTGCTTGGGCACGCCTGCCGATGTCTACTCCCTCACGGCCGAGGCAGCCCCCGTGGACAGCGAGTTTGCGCTGCGCGACGGGCTGATCCTGGTCCCGCGCGTGTACAAGGACACGGTGCGGAACAAGATGCTCACGCCCGAGTCACCGGACTGGGCCGCTGCGCCCGAGTCCCTCCCCGAGTCGCCTCTTTTCCAAGCGGAACGTCTGCTGCGGCTGGAAGTGGGCATCCCGGGGCTGCTCGACACATTGGCATTTGACGACGACGACGACGACAGGAAGATCGACGCCGAGCTGAAGGGGGATTTGGTGGAGATTGCGCCGCGCGCGTACGGGCTCAATTTCCGCGACGTCATGGTCGCCATGGGCCAACTGCGCGAGCGTGTCATGGGCCTCGAGTGCGCCGGCGTAATCACGCGCGTGGGCCGCGAGGCCCTCGCGCAGGGCTTCCACGTCGGTGACCCTGTCATGGCATTGCTGCTCGGTCCGTTTAGCAGCCGCGCCCGTGTCAGTTGGCACGGCGTCGTGCACATGCCGGAAGGGCTCACGTTCGAAAACGCTGCGTCGCTGCCCATGGTCTTCAGCACCGCCTATGTCGGCCTTGTGGATGTGGCGCGCCTCCGGCCCGGCCAGTCGGTGCTGATCCACGCCGCTGCCGGAGGCGTTGGGCAAGCCGCTATCATGTTGGCCAAGGATTACCTGGGCGCCGAGGTGTATGCCACTGTGGGATCCCAGGAGAAGCGCGACCTGCTCACGCGCGAGTACGGAATCCCGCCGGAACGCATCTTCAGCAGTCGCAACGCATCCTTTGCACCGGCTGTCCTCGCCGCCACGGACGGACGCGGCGTCGATGTTGTGCTCAACTCGTTGGCCGGCCCGCTTCTGCAGGCCGGCTTCGACGCGCTGGCACCTTTTGGCCATTTTGTAGAGATTGGCAAGCGAGACCTGGAGGGGAACAGCCTGCTCGAGATGGCTACCTTCTCCCGAGTTGCGTCCTTCACGTCCGTGGACATGATGTCGCTGCTGCGCGAGCGCGGGCCGCATGCACACCGCGTGCTCTCCGAGGTGGCACGTCTGGCGGGACAAAAGGCCATTAGGCCCATCCACCCGGTCACTGTCTTCCCCATGCGGCAGGTCGCCAGGGCGTTCCGCCTCCTGCAGACAGGCAAGCACACGGGCAAGGTCGTTGTGTCGGTGGCGGTGGATGAGTTGGTCCGGGTGCTACCGCGGGCACCGACACCCAAGCTGCGGCCAGACGCCTCCTACCTGCTTGTCGGCGGCGTGGGCGGCCTCGGCAAGGCCATCGCCTACTGGATGGTGGAGCGCGGCGCCCGAAACCTCATCTTGCTGTCGCGCAGTGCCGGCAAGCAGAATTCGGGCGCCTTCGCCTCCCAGCTGCGCGAAGCCGGCTGCCGGGTCGTGGCCATTAGCTGCGATGTCGCCGACAAGCAAGCCCTGGACCAAGTCCTCGACATCTGCGAGCGTCACGAACAGCTCCCGCCGGTGCGAGGCGTCATCCAAGGCGCCATGGTGCTGCAGGACTCCATCCTCGAGCAGATGACGCTGGACGACTGGCACGCCGCCCTCCGGCCCAAGGTTGCCGGCAGCTGGAACCTGCACACGCGCTTCACGCAGCCCGGCTCGCTCGACTTCTTCGTCATGCTCTCGTCGCTGTCAGGCATCATCGGCGAGGCCAGTCAGGCCAACTACGCCGCGGGTGGGTCCTACCAGGACGCGCTGGCCCGCTGGCGCCAGGCTGCCGGGTTGCCCGGCGTATCCCTCGACCTCGGCACCGTCAAGGGCGCCGGCTACGTCGCCGAGTCCCGCGCTGTATTCGAGCGCATGCGCAAGGCCGCCCAGTCGCTGATGCTGCCGGACGACGCCGTGCTGCGGGCCATCGGCGCTGCCGTCCTCAACCCGCACAACCACCCCCAAATCCTCCTCGGACTCAACTCCGGGCCCGGGCCCCAGTGGAATCCCGCGAGCGAGTCGCAGATCGGCCGCGACGCGCGCTTCATGCCACTCAAGTACCGTCCGCCGCCGGCCGCCCACGGTGGCGGCGGCGGCCAGCAGCTCGGTGATGGAGCCGACGCCAGCACCAAGCCGCTGTCGGCGCAGCTGCAGGAGGTCGGGTCGCGCGAAGAGGCCACACGCCTGGTGGGCGAGGCCATCGCCACGAAGCTCGCCGACATCTTCATGGTGCCCCCCGACGACATCGACCTGACCAAGCCGCCGGCGCTGTATGGCGTGGATTCGCTGGTGGCTGTGGAGTTGCGAAACATGCTGATGCTGCAGGCCGCCTCCGACATCTCCATCTTTAGTATCCTGCAGAGCCCATCTTTGGCGGCGCTGGCGAGCGATGTGGTGGCCAAGAGTGCTCATGTTGAGATTGCTGTGTAAATTTTCTAAAACCCTTTCGTGATTGAAGAGTCTCTATGGCTGCACCTGGGTTTTCTTTTTGCAGTTGAAAAATGGAGATGAAGTTGGTTGATTTTCTCAGGTCTGGGAGGTTGGCCGAAGCCCTAGTTACACAGTAGCATCACTCCGTAGGCAGTGAAGAATGCTTCGCAACAGCCACCAGAGGTCAGGCTTTCATTCAGCAACGCTCGGTTGCGTGTGGATTTTAAAGACAGCAGAAATTTCGTTGTTTTAGGTGAGTGAGTTGGTGGTTGAAGGTGTGAGAGCCAAGTCGGTGCCCACAAAATGCCTTAAATGCCAGGTGTGCCATGCACCTTCAGTTTTCAATATCCAGGCTGAAAATGTGCGGGACTGCAAACTGGACGTGCTCCACAGGTCCATGTGCACAACGTCAAACCCCAAACCTGTGGCCCGAGACTGAGACGATTCTGTGTGGAATGGAGGCTAAGCACCATAATTGTGTATTGACAAATCACTGTTGGCACAACTGGTGATGTTGGACGCAACCTTGCATTGAAGTATCCAACAGAGCAGAAGAAGATGTGGGCCGCACGCAAGGCGTAGGTGGGTCTGGCTGACTAAGCCAGTCAGGCACTCGCAAACATATTCCACTAACTTACTACCTCTAAGGCAAGACTCCCACGTTTCCTGCAATGACTAATGACCCATCACTTGAAAAGGATGCCTGTGGTGTCGGCTTTGCATGGTAAGTGGCTTACTCTGTGTTAGCATGAGCCATCGCGCTAACAACTCGAAGCCACATCAAGGGCAAGCCTAGCCACAAGATTGTCAGCGATGGTAGGTCGTTTCTAGCTTGTTTGCGACGGCCGAGGACCTAACGTCTGTAGCGCGGAACCTCCTTTGCAATATGACCCATCGCGGTGCGGTGGGGTCCGACGCACGAGACGGCGACGGCGCGGGTGTCATGACCTCCATTCCTCACAAGTTCTTTGTCAAGAACTTTGAGCGTGAAGAAGGAATTAAGCTTCCTCCTCCGGGCCAGTATGCTGTGGGGAACCTGTTTTTCAAGCCTGATCAGGAGACGTTGCAGGAGTCCAAGCGGCAGTTGGAAGATATTGCCGAGAGCTTGGGCCTGAGGATCCTGGGGTGGCGAGAGCCTCCCGTGGACTCCACGCTCCTTGGTCCTGCTGCCGCCTCTCGTGAGCCTACCATTCTGCAGCCCTTCGTCGTGCTGCAGTCTGCGTATGGCTCGGGCAACGCTCCCGAGATGACGGACCCAGAGAAGTTTGATGAGAAGCTCTTCGAGAGGCAACTCTATGTTCTCCGGAAGCGGGCTACCCATACTGTCGGGCTCCAGAACTGGTTCTACATCTGCTCCCTTTCCAACAAGAACATTGTCTACAAGGGACAGTTGGCACCAGTTCAGGTCTACCAATACTACCATGATTTGGTGAATGCCGATTATGAGGCTCACTTTGCCCTCGTACACTCCCTCAAAGTCTCACCACTCGATCTGAGGCAACCCATCCCTCACACCGTGACTACCTTCTCGGTCGTCGAGCTCGACCCGCTGTTCGCATCCATGTTATTCAGCCCCGCCCGGAACAGACTCTCCGAGTACGTCGGGCCGGCCGCGCGGCTGTGCACCTTGCTCAGCCCAAGCTTACCACGAATCAGCCGCGGGACGAAGCCGTCGATGACTTCGTCAGCGAAGCTGTCGATGTTCAGCGAATCCTCCGCACGGAGCATCTGGCGGGCACGGATGGTGCGCAACACTGCCAGCTCGTCCGCGTTGAGCTTCTCCAGGTCCTCCTTGGTCTCGGCGTCCGGATCCACCCTTACGCGGTCAAGTTTCTCGAGCACGGCCTGCCGAGCCTCGGGCGAGATGTCCTTGAACGCATTGAAGCAGAACTCGACCGACTTGGAGACGAGGTCTTGTGTCAGCTTGCCGCTTACGTCGGCGTCGGCGAGGCCTTGTATAACTATCCAAGAGATTCAGCAAAGTCTCTCGTGTCGAGGCTCGCAGGGGAATGAGGATGGTGGGTTTCACTCACTGGGCTTGAAGAAGCTAAAAGCCCGGTCAAACCCGTCCTCGTCGAAGTCGCTCAGCACCGGTTCGTCCCCCTTGCGAATCTGCCGCAAAGCTGTCATGACGACTAGGAGGAAGCGCGAATAGCTCGTCGCAACCTTGGCCGAGTGCCACTTGGCCACATCGAACTCGCTGCAATCGCCTCGGCGGGATGCCTGAATGGTCATGGCTGCCGACAGACCGCTGGCCAAGGCAAGGTGCACTCCCGAGCTAAAATACGGGTCGATGAAGCAGCCGGCGTCGCCTACCAAGCGGAAATTGGGGCCAGCGTATGCCGACGCGCTATATGACCAGTCCGAGGCTGCCTTGATGGTGGGTGACACGAGCTCAGCCTCGGCCAATCTGGCGTGGATCTCTGGCGACATGGTCAGGCAGTTCTTGTAGAACTCGACCATGGTGGGCGAGCCCAGGCTCTTCTTGCGGGCGACGGACAGGTCCTGGCGCATGACGATGCCGACGGACAGAGTGTCGTCGTGCAGCGGGATCGCCCAGCACCAGCCGCTATGGTCTGTCAAGGCCTCGAAAAGCGGGGCCCCTTCCATCTCCGTGCCCGGGGCGTACGTCTTGGCGCCCTTCCAATAGCCCCAGTTGGCCACGTTCTTGAGCGCCTGGTTAAACTTCCGGTTCTTGAGATAACGGGTCGAGAGGATGCCGTTGCGCCCGCTGGCGTCTACGATGTAATCGAACTTGATGGAGCCTGTGGTGCCGTCGGCCTTGCGCAGCCATGATGCCGAGACTGGCCGCCCTGGGTTGCAGACCCTCTCGTCCTGGGGAAAGTCTGGGGCAGGGGCAAACTCGATGAACTCAACCTTGACCCCTTGGAAGGTACGCGCGCCGCTCGTTTCGGCATGGTCGAGCATCAGCTTGTCCGACTCGGAGCGTATCACATTCCAGGAGTAGCCGTTGGGGCCATTGGCAGCAATGAAGTCGGTGTCTGTATGGCGCAGTCAGCTCAACTCAGTGTTTGGGGAATCTCTGTATGTCTCTCCGTACAGCCAGCCCGCTTGTTGTTCAACTTGAACGCTGCACCATTCTGCCATCAGATTTTGGTGTTAGATTAGGTTCACATGCCGAAGCTTGGAAACAGAGACTTTACCTTTCTGCGAAATCCGTGGGCATCAAAGGTCTTCTCGAGATCAATGAAGCGTAGGAAATGACGCATCGAGGCAAGCATCGACTCGCCGATATGATACCGGGGAAAGTGGTCGGCCTCGAACAACACAACGTCGACCCCTTCGCGCGCAAGCACCGATGCTGTGTACGAGCCGGCGGGGCCGCCTCCCACCACAAGCACGGAACAGGATTCAGGGATGGACATGATGTCGGGTCTCGCTACGCTTCGGATAGGCCAAGTATGCCGAGACTTCGCCGCGTTGGTGGCAACCCTTACCCGAAAAATGCAGTCACCTAGGTAGTATTACGAAAATACAGGATGACTTTAGAATATCGGAAAGAGCTATGTTTATAAGCACAAGCTAGGGAAAGATAATTTCACTCTCGAACTGACTATCCCTTGTCTGGGGACCCTTTGAGGAATCTTTCGTTGTCGCGAGGCAGGCGGTGTTCCTACCACGGGATACCATCGTCGCACTCTAGCCGAATGGGGTTTCTACGGAAGTTTATTGGAGGATGCTCCATGGCTTCCACGGTCCGGGTACTGGACGTAACCAGCTCCGAAACTCCGCGTTCCTTCCTTCAGAGAAGCAGTGTGTCCCGGCTGCTGAAGGGAGCAAGTCCGAAAAAGTTAGCCTGCATGCCAAGGGTTTCACGCGTCACGCCCGGACGGACACCCAATCTACCCATAAGGAGATCTGGAAACTTTCAGTCCTGGAGGCCTAGCCCAATCCCCGTCGGCAAGAGAATTGCCGCAGCGGCGGCCCGGACTCCGTTTGCGTCAAACGGTCTTGCGCAGACGTCTGTACTGTATAATTGTTCTCCGTCCGATCCGCTGCAACGTCTTGCCCTAGACTCCCAATTGCAATGGAACATTGGCTGGAGGATGTGGTTCTCTCTATTGCTACCAAGGCACCGAGGGACAATCATGGCAGTACAAGGGTAAAGGCAGGTGCCTAACCAAGAACGACTGAATTGAGGTTGCTAACTACTTGTCTAGTACTAAGCCTGACTTGAAGAATCTTTTGATTTCGATCTGCTTGACTTCAGGGACTGAAAATGTTCTCGCGCTAGACCGTTAATCACCTGCGCATCTTGGAGCACACGTAGCAGTTGCTCGACGCCCTCATTTCGCCCCACCACCGGAGTGAAGGGCGCGGAGAGAAAGTTGGCCGCGCAGGCGAGGGGATCGGGTAGGAACGGATGCGCCTTGAAGCAACTGAGCGCCGGCACGGTCTTGGCTAGACGCACAATCTCCAGAGCCGCCACGGTGGCGCGGCGTGCGTAGGCGGCCGTCACGAGCTGCTGCTCCAGTGTACTAGTATGCCAAGAGGCGCTCTGCACCGTATCGCTGAGGAAGACGATGGCGCTGTGGGCCAGCATGTGGGCGAAGAGAAGCATGGGGTCGCCGTCGACGGGCGAATACGGGACGAGGGTCTGCACCCGCCTCTCTACTGCCGAGGCGAGCCATTCCTGCTGGGTCCAGAAGTCGTACACCTTGAGGCCATTGTCCTCAACAGATGCGTCTCGGTGGGTCATGCAGCGCCCCTGTAATGCTGCCAGCACGATGCATTCGGCAAAGGGCGACAGCGTGCTCGGCGCGGGCTCTGCTAGAGCTTCGGGCAGGAATCCCATGCGGATTGATCGGTTGTTCCGGTAGTTCTCCTCAGGCGCCGGGAGACGCGTATGGACCTGGAACCTATCAGCAAGATCAACCGCTTGTCAGTACTAAAAGAGGCTATAAGTACTTGCCATCTCCTCTCGCAACGTCAAGGGATACCCGCTTCGCAGACACAGAAAACGGTCAAAGCTGAAGGCCAGCCAAAAGGTCCGTCTCCTCTCCTCGGCGTCGACGAAGCTCTCATCTAATAGCGCGTGATCGGTAGACACGAGCGAAACTTGGGAATTGTCGAGGGCATCTACATTGTACAACCGTGCCATTTGCACCAGGCGGAACGCGCGACCCACCGTAAGCATGGCCTGGTGCTCGCCTATCCGTAGGAGCTCAGCGTATGCCAGAAGGAGCCATGCCTGAATGTGCTCAAGTGGGATCTCGTCTTTGGACGTGATTGGTGTCTGGCCGTGAGTTTCGAGTAGATGGCGCGTCTCGGCGCAGAGCTGGTCAGCGAGACCGGCCCATTGGCCTGACATGGCCGCTGCCATTGTACGCATCGCTGACTGGAGGCAGGCCCGGGCTGGCGTGAGGCTCTCCTGACTTGCCCACGCCAAGTAGCGCCCATGGTGGACGATGGGCAAGACGGGATGCACCCGGTCAAAATAGAGCTGGTCTCTGGGAGGAAAGATCGGTCAGCATGCGGCAGGCCCAAAACGACTCAACATGGAGAACAAACAGCCAAAAAAAAAAAAAAAAAAAAAAAAAAAAAAAAAGAAAAAAGAAAGAAAAAGACAGAAAAAGAAACACGAAAAAAAGAAGAAACATCATTGGGTTATCGCACAAGTCGGCTTGCATGAGATTGGTCAAGTTGCACCTCGTAGCCACCAAGGACGGACCGGCATCGACCCGGTCGAAATGATCCAGGAGCGTGATCTCTGTCCCGTGACTCCCATCGGATGGCATGAGGGCGTCTTCCGGATCCTGCCAGTCCATGCAGTCTGCCCAGCCAACGAGATCCGCACCAGCCGCAGAGTCGGAACTAGTACATGTTGACGTCAGCGTTGATGCTGATATTGCCGTTGTCGCCGCCGCAGATGATGCCGTTGATGTTGTACAAGTGAGCGCAAGATGGGTTTCTGCATCCAACCCATTTGTTTGACTGACACTGTCCTCCTCAGGAATCTGCGCTCGTGAAGACTCGGATTCTCGCTCGCGGACCCGCCTTTCTGGTACCGCCGCCGTGTCGCCGGAGGTAGACCCAAAATGCTGTTCCAGCTGCCATTGAAGCGCGGCTATGTATGTGAACAAAATAAGCAAACTGTAAGTAAAGTGTGGAACCCCACGACCTATTGAAGCGCTCGAAGCTGGTGCAGCGGACAACCCAATCCGGGGGGACACAACCACAGTTCTTATATGAAATGGCTTCAGATCGACGTGAACGCACCGATTTGTGAGCGCATCGCGTTGAGCTGGCCCTTCTTGGGACCCCTCTGCTGCCGCCTGTCGACAATGACGCATGTCGTACCAGTCTCAGCGCAGAAGCCACACTTGGGCCGCCCTCGGTCGCACCGGGCCTTGCGTCTTCGACACTCCTCGCAGGCAAAACCGGGCTGCTGCCGGAGTGCTCTCCCTTCCATGTCCGCCTTTTTTCTCAATGGGAGATTGTGTTGTGTCGTTTGGGCTTAATGGAGCCTGGATGTGAAGGGCACAGTAGTACCTCCAGAAGTTCCATTATCGTAGACGACGGCGGACGGGGTGATTAATACCACCGGTTTGTTGCATTCTTCCGGTCTCTAGAGCTCGGCATAAGCGAGCCTTCCAAGGTAGGTAGTATCCCCTACGAGTAACACATATGGATTGGAGACAAAATGCCCACACACTTGGGGTACGGAGGATGTTTCGGAAGAAAATAATAGCCATAGCCCCACGCACATGTCTCGGAAGCTCAGAGCAGTCTGTCTCTGGTGTTTAGGAGCAGTCAGAGTGATCAAAGCCAAAAGGCAGTAATTGTGAATGTCCTTGTCTTCTCCCCTATTCAATCTGCATGAGAAGCTCCCGAGTCCTGTGATTATAGCTGCATCAACAAATGCAATGGTGAGAGCAGCTATGCGAGGTGGAAAGCTTGTAGACACGGCTCAAAATGCATCGAGAACAAGATTGGATGTTGCAGACAACCGAGTGAGGAAGGTGGTTCTGTCCGTGTCTTTGTGTACGGAAAGGGTGTAGACTCCGGTTCGGACGAACCGGACTCCGCCCCTTTCGTCGTGACGGCTCAATAGACAGACCGAGAGTCAAGGCAAAATCCGTGGTCGACAAAGCAGGTACAGGAAGCGAAGCATACTTGTGTCGGTACTGTCCCCAGTGTCAAGGTCTCGTTCTCTTAGCAACATCTACGCTGCAAAGTAGAACTGACCTCTACAGCCTGCTCCGAGACACACCAGCAACCAAAGCACCAAATAATTCTATTTCTTCCAATGTCCGAAAACACTTCCCATGCCCTCGCGACCGGGAAGGAGGAAGCCGCTGCGGAATACTCACCCGACCGCTCACAAGCGCCTCCAACACAGAAGCAAGCGGCCCTCGAGAAGAGTTCCACCAGTCGCGTGGAAGAGGAATACAAGCATGAGTATCCCGAGGGGTTCAGACTCACACTCATCCTGACGGCGGTTGTGCTGGCCTACCTCTTGGTGTATCTCGACCTCGCCATCATGTCGACGGCAACGCCTTCCATCACATCCGCCTTCGACTCGCTGATCGACATCGGCTGGTACGGCGGCGCCTACCAGCTTGCCAGCGCAGCATTCCAGCCCCTGAGCGGCAAAATCTACACCTACTTCTCCATCAAGGCAAGTAGTAGTAAGCCTCGGGTCTCTTGGCCACTACTATCCGTGTCCCAACTCATGTGGGGATTGAATCTGATACTTGGAGTCCCCAGTGGTGCTTCCTCGCCTTTTTCGTCATCTTCGAGCTCGGCTCGGCCATCTGCGGAGCGGCCCAATCGTCCAACATGTTCATCGTCGGCCGGGCGATTGCGGGGCTGGGTTCTTCGGGCGTGGCAACGGGCGCCCTGAGCACCATCGCCGCTGCTCTTCCCACCAGGAGACAGCCCCTGTTCATGGGCGTGAACATGGGTCTAGGCCAGCTGGGTTTGGCGTGTGGTCCCATCATCGGAGGCGCGTTTAGCGCCAAGGTCACCTGGAGGTGGTGTGCGTTGCCAAAACTCTCTCCTTGCTCCTGGAAATTGGTGCAACGTGTTCGGGGCTAACGTGACTTGCGCCCGTGTGTAGGTTTCTACGTTAACCTCCCTCTCGGTGCCGTCGTCGGCGCGTGCCTGCTTTTCCAAGACGTCCCGGAACCAAAGCGCAAGCCTCCCGTCCGACAGGTCCTCGTCACCACCGTTAAGTCTTTGGACTTGCCAGGATTTGCCCTCATCTGCCCGGCGGCCATCATGTTCTTTCTGGGCCTTCAGTTTGGCGGAAATCGATATCCCTGGGACAGCTCCGTGGTCATTGGTCTGTTGGTCGGGGCCGCTGCCACCTTCGCCGTATTTCTGGTCTGGGAATACCACCAGGGAGACGGGGCCATGGTGCCGTTTGCCATGCTGAAGAACCGCGTCATTTCCTCGGCCGCCATGACTTTGTTTTTCTCCCTGTCCAGCATTCTTATGGCTGATTATTACCTGGCTGTGTACTTCCAAGCAGTCCTGGACGACTCGCCCCTGATGAGCGGTGTGCACATGCTGCCAACGACTCTCGGCTTGGTTCTTTTCACCATGGTCTCTGGTAGCATGGGTGAGTAGTGTGTTCCTTCTACTTTCAAGTCCACCACCTCCCTAGTACTAGCAGTTTTCCTGACCGCCGTCGTGCTACGCAGTCGAAATATTGGGGTACTACCTTCCATGGATCCTTCTAGGCGGTGCGATATCCACCATCGGCTACGGCCTTTTGTCAACTTTGAGTCCTACAACATCCGTTGCATCTTGGATCGGATACCAGGTCCTCTATGGCGTTGGCAGTGGCTCAGCAGCCGCGGGTGTGAGTTTCTTCTCTTTCCCTGTGATCAGGCGGAGTGCATCAGCTTATCTTTGCGGGCTTTTATTCCAGCCATACATAGCAGTCCAGAACCTCGTTCCTCCGGCCCAAATCCCCATCGCCATGTCTATCGTCATCTGCACCATGAACATCGGCGCCGCCACGTCTCTGATCGCTGCAAATGCCCTCTTCAGCAACAGCCTCCGCCGCGAGTTGCGCCAGCGTATCGCAATCATTGGGGTCTCTCCCGACATCATCGTCGGTGCCGGGGCCCGGTCCATCCGCCAGATCGTCTCGGGTCCCGCCCTCGACGCCGCCCTCGAGGCGTACTGCAAAGCCATCGGCCATGTCATGTACCTGGGCCTCGCCGTCAGCGCCTGCATGCTGCCCATCGCTTGGGGCCTGGGGTGGAAGGACGTCCGGAAAGTGAAGAAGCTCAATGCCATCACCTCGGAGAAGCCTGCTCCGGAAGATGGTGAGCGGACATGTGACCAGAATGTGGCGGAAAAGATGGGTTCGGAGGAGGTAGCCTGACACTCTTTCCCTCCGTTGGCCTTTTTGTGCCGTGGTGATCAAACGCCCATTTGCTTTGTTTGGTGCGTGAGATGGTCGGTTCCATTTTCCCGGATCTTCAGAGGGTGGGGATGGAAGGGATATGCCGTGCATACTAGTAATTAGATGTTCAAGTTGATGTAGGATATCGCAATTGAATGCTTCACCCTTGGTGGCATGGCTCGTGGCCCATATCCGTGATCCTACCATGTGCTATGCAAGTCGCCTGTCACTTGCCTGTACCAAAAGCAATCGAGACGATTGCTGCATGGTCTGAAGAACAGTGTCCTGTGTTGGACCCGAGTCCCAGGATCGGATCCTCCTTGTGCATGAAGCATAACACAAAGGTGTCTCGGGGCAGCCTTCGTGTTTGTGCATACGGTGCAGTGTGCAACCCACCCTCACACGACAGACAAGCGCGTTGAAGTGGTATTTATTTCACTTTGCTCCGAGGCTGAGCCAATTCCCGAGATCGCCCCACATCGGAAACCTTGCGCCCCACTCCCCGGGACGACGTCGCTACTCGTTGGTATTTTACCCCGCTTTCGGGGTTGAGATGAATCCCGAAACAGCCTCGCATCGGAAACCGACAGCCCCACTCCCGGGACATGCTCGCCGTGTGCATTCATCGGCCTTTGTTCACAGCAGTTCACACTAGACACTGCAACGTTATCCAACCAACTCTTGTTTACTTGTTGGCGTCCGACTGCAAATCCAGGGTCAGCCCCATCTTCTGGGCGAAAAGGAGCGCTTATAGAAATGGGTAACCCTGACCTAAATCTTGTTACAGTAGAACCACTGCGTGGGTTGAATCCAACGATAGATGTCACCAAATTGAACCAAAAGTTGCTTGTTTCTCTTATCTCGCACCTCAGGGGCTTTTCTGCAGGTGGGTCAATCATAACCTCGTCTTGGCCATACGGCAAGTTCCGACAAATTCTTGCAAGACGGTCTATCTTTTTTGAGTTGGGATAACTAGTTATACTCTTTTGCCTGGCGTTCGGTGATGTTTTGCATCACGTACTTGGGCCCTGCCGCAAGTTCTGGGCTGACAAACAAACTCGCATTGTCCATAGGTAAGTGATGCGCACTTCCATGCAATCACCTGTTGCGCCAGCCAAAACGAACATCCGTTGGCAGGCGGTCGGCCAGCCAACATTATATGCACCCCGCACAATCACTCTCCCAGAATGCCACACCCAAAAGCGACATCATAAATCTGGGCGACCACAACAACGACGTCGTCGGTCCTGATCGGAACCCGGTGATCTCCATCCCACTCCACCACACGCGCGGTAGACTTCTGACAGCAGTCGTGGAGCAAGCTCCTATGCATCGCAAGCCCAGGATCTCGCAGGCCATGGACATGAATCGTCGGTAGCCTCAGTAACACAGGCTCATCCGCAGCCACGTCCTTCAGCGCGGTATCCGTCGCCAGAGGCATGGAAAGCGGCCGCCCGGCGATCAAAACAGCAAAGCGATAGTCGCCGACCGCTCGCTCCCACTCCACGCCCATGTCCATGTCCATGTCCCCTCCGCTCGCCTGGCTCTGGTCCCGCCTCTGCTGCCTCCACAACAAACTCGCCGCCACCCCAGCGCCTTGGCTGAACCCCAGCAATCCCACGCAGCGGCCGGTCGCGCCGGCCTCGTCATCCGCCCGCACAGCTGCCGCGATGCTCGAGTCGATGCTGCCGATGTCGATATCGGATACCTTCCCGGGTGCCGGTGGTAGCCAGGACCGAAAGGGTCCCCACTCGCCGTAGACGGACTCGACATCCGGGCTGGGCGGGCTGGAGAAGGGCCCTTCGGCAAACACGAGACGGAATGAGGCGGCGAGATGGAGCCGGATGACGCGGCACTGAGCGCGGAAGATGCGCGCGTTGGTGCCCCCGCCGTGGAGGCAGAGGATGCGCGGGAGGTGCAGGGTCGCATCGTCGTCGCGAGTAGGACTGCCGCTGCCGGTACAGTCGTCCGGCGCCTGTGGTGCCATGAAGATGGTAAGACGAGTGGAACTAGGGACTATAGAGCGTGCTTAGACTTTGTGAGGAGGGAGCGGTAAAGTCTGCGCTTTCACGCGCATAGTACTCTATCTGTATACAGACCCTGCTGAAACTGGGTATAGTAGCAGCGTTCTCTGTTCTTGCCCTTCATTCCGCGTGTCTTCGGGGTTTCTTTCGGAGGTTAACGCGCCTACAGTGTTCTATGGTACAACACAGTTACGATGTACAAAGGCTGGATGGAAGGAGGGGGACAACCTGGACGCTACCGGTAGTCCTGTTTTCTCTGTCCTTAGCGGAAGGCCGGAGCGGAGCCATTGTGGTGAGCGTGTCTAGCGGAGAATACTATCTCCGGAACGATACAGAGCCCGACTAAGCGATGTCTCGTATCTCCGCCGTACTTGCACTGAATCCGGGCGCATCTGATGTACGGTCGAGAGTGGGACTCGGCTGGGGTGCAGCTACGGTAGTCAACACAGATACCAAGTACTAGTAGGCTTTTCCACGACGAATTCCCACACGACCGCTCCTTGGACGCTCCTCAGCCCTTGTCTCTTGAGGCCACGTGGATGCTTGCAGGCTTGCAGTTTTCTCTACAATACTCCCTCCCGGCGCTTTGGATTCCCAACCTAGCAGCGCATGGCCGACATACTGCCGAACGTTTCAGGCGGAGAGGGAGATGGGCCCGAGCCTCGACTGGAGGTCGCCGTCGTGGGTGGCGGCATCGTCGGCGTCGTCACGGCTCTGGGCCTCCTGCACCGCGAGATGCAGGTCACCGTCTACGAGCGTGCCGCCCAAATCAACGAGATCGGAGCAGGGATCGCTTTTACTGGGGTCGCGCGGGAATGTCTGCAGCGCTTGAACCCACGCCTGTTGGAGATCCTGAGCGAGGTTGGCCGAAGGAGTCCGCGCGAGACGATACGGTACTGGGACGGCTTCCATCCACGGACCAAGGAAGCTGCCGAGCGGGAAGAGAGTTCGTTGCTTTTCGAAGTGCCAGAAGGTGATTTGGCTTTCTGGGCCTGCCTGCGGTCACACCTTCTGCTTGGCATGGCGGCGCAGCTACCGGAAGGGACGGTTCAGTTTGGGAAACAACTTGTGAACTACGTCGACGTGCAGGGAAGCGACAGAGTTGCCTTGGCATTCGCTGATGGCAGTACTGCCGAGGCCGATGTCGGTTCGTTTCTGTTTTCCGTGCACTATTCTGCTATCACTCCGAGTCCCTGACATGTTGCGCTAGTGATCGGCTGCGACGGAATCCACTCGGCCACGCGCAAGCTTCTCCTGGGCGCAGACCACCCAGCCACGAAGCCCAGCTACAGCCACAAGAAGTTCTTCCGTGCTATTGTTCCGTTCCCAGGGGCTGTTGCTGCCTTGGGCCCCGACAAGGCGCATGATTATTGCATTCACTTAGGGCCCGATGCCCACATGATCTCCTTCCCGGTTTGTCAAGTCTTTGTTTCCATGGCCCGTTCTACCAAAAAGCAGAGGGCTGATACTAGCACTACTACCATCAAAGGTGAACAATGCGGCCATGTATAATATATTCCTCGCGATCCATGACCCGGACGATTGGCTGGACCCGCACGCCATGGTCGCCCCCAGCACACGCGCTGAAGCTTCCGCCGCGCTCCGGGACTGGGGTCCGCACGTCGCCGAAATCGTGAATCTCCTCCCGGAGCAGCTACCCAAGTACGGCGTTTTCGACATGGCGGAGAACCCAGCGCCAGCGTACGCGTGCGGACGCGTGTGTATCGCCGGCGACGCAGCACATGCCAGCAGCCCGTTCCATGGTGCCGGCGCGGGCATGGGCGTCGAGGATGCACTCGTCCTGGCTGAGCTGCTTGCCCAGGTTCAGAATCTGCCCGTGGCCGTACGACTGCGCGCTCTCCCGGCTGCCTTGGAGGCTTTCAGTGCCGTCCGGAGGGAGCGTAGCCAGTGGTTGGTGCAGAGCTCGCGCGACATGGGCGATATCTTACAGTGGCGGTATCCAGCTACGGCTCGGGACAGCAGGAAAATCAAGGCCGAGTTTCAGCGGCGTGCGAGGAAGATTTGGGACTTTGACGTGAATGGTATGGTGGTGGAAGCGAAGACGGAATACAGACGCCGAGTGGGCAGCCTGCTGCAAGGACATCGAACTACTAACTAGGTACTAGCATTACTAGTACTATAGTGGTAGGATCAATCACATAGTTAATGGATGATAGGGAACCTCAACGTTCTGCTACCATCGTGACCGTAATTACAACAGTCTAGAAGTTAGCACCCCATTCATTGCATAGCAAAGACCCCTGTTTGTTTTTCATTGTTCTACACTAACTCCACACCGAAGCAATCGGCGGATTGAAATCTGGTGGGGAATCAACTCGAGGAAAACCCGAGTGCTTAAATCGTGATGCTGAAGATAAGGGTAGAGGCCACCGACCACAAGTCAACACACACTAGGAGGACTGGTAATATATAGGGTTACATGGAGGAAGATTGCGATCCAAGGACTCTCTTACATTATAAAAAGAACTACTATAGGTTCTAGGGACACAGTCTCGTCCCTCCTCAAGAAAGCAATCCGAACCCTACATTTCACCACTTCACTTCCTTGCTTTCTTCTCTCGTACAGGATTCGGTCAACGAGCCACTTGCACAGCCGGAGAAATCTGAGGTCCGGGATGATTTCGGAAGTCGTTGCGGATAATTTGTTTCGAAGTCCCATTTGGGAGCCCGGGCCGAGCTGACATGATAGCTGTTGCGCCGGACTTTCGGACTGACAAGTCCGAAAGGCCGTTGGTCAGGGCAGCCTACGCTGCCGACTGGGCTAGGTTCAACTGCCAACTCTGGGGTTCTGGCCCAAACAAGACGCTGATCCTTGATCTCTGTGAAGGCAAGCATGAAGCGTGGCCCAGTGCACGGCCGTGCGCGCCAGACCTAAGTCCTCTGACGGACGTATTTATGCGCATAGGGTGTTGGGGGGAAATGCTAGAACGTAGCCGCGCCCTTCAGGTGTAATAGCAAAACAGGACTCGAAGCACCCAACATCAACCGACTTCCGCAGGTCTCTTGTATGCCTTGAGTTTTTGGAAGTCTTATTTGCCTCTATCCTTGGCAATCTTACTCGTAGAAAGGAGCTATCATGACGAGCGTAACGGACTCCAACAACGGCTCCTGCCAGTCGACCATTCTCCTTTTTGGACCACATGTCGGCACCTTCACTAAGCCTTCGATGGACAGGCTGGTCCGGCCGCTCGCTCACTCCAGCCACCGAGACTGGATCCTCGACACAGTCGCCGGGCTGCCAACCTACTGGGATGCGCTGACTGACAAGGTACCCAACATCGCTGACGCAATCCCAGGCCGACGGCAACTAGCCGATCTCGATTCATGGTTGCGGCACGGCCTCGTCGACGTCGCGCAGGACGATGCCAGCCTGTTGCCGAGCATCGTGGTCGGACCGCTGGTGGTATTCCTGCAGCTAGCTCAGTACTGGCGCTACCTCGAGCTCACACGGCCCGGATCTTCAGATCCACAAGCGGACTTGGTGGCACGCCAGAAGCAGCGAGGAGGGGCTGGTCAGGCTGAGGTGGAGTCTTTGGGTTTCTGTGCCGGGCTGCTGGCCTCGGTGGCCGTCGCGAGCGCCAAGAGCCGGCAGGAGTTCCGCCAGTACGGCGCCGTGGCAGTGCGGCTGGCGATGCTGCTCGGAGCGCTGATCGATGCCCAAGAAGTGTGGGACAAGCGTCGCGGCAAGGGCGGTTCCGTGTCATACGCGATAGCATGGCGTGGCCAGACGCAGGCTAACGAGGTAACGCGCATCCTGGAGGGCTTGGCACCGGACGCATATGTTGCCGTCGTGTATGACGAGGCCCGCGCCACGGTAACCACGTCCCGGCGCACGTCTGCTCTTCTCCTGAGCCGACTGCAGGCCGCGGGGGTCACGGCGGCCGAGATCGGCATCAAGGGCTATATCCACAGTCCGGGCGCGGACCGGAAGGACGATGCCGAGCGTCTCGTCGACCTGTGCCGGTCTTTCGACGATCTGCAGTATGCCGACGCAGCCTCCCTCGCGCTGCCAACCTACAACAACCAGGCCGAGGGCAGACCCGTGTCCCAAGAGAGCGGCAACATGACAGAGATGGTGCTGCGCGCCATCCTGGTGCAGCAGTGCAATTGGTATGGCACGTTCCGAGCTGCCACGGAGGGCGAGGGCAAGAAGCCCTTTGTGGTCACGTTTGGCCTCGAGCGTTGCATTCCGCCCTCTCTGATGCGGAGGCTCGGAACTCGCCAAGTGCACTTCGAGGACGACCAGGCAAATCGGGACATGCTCTTGGCTCCTACTGGTAGTCCTCCGCCTCCCGCAGCGTCCGTGCTGAATGGGGCTACTACTACTACTAGTACTAGTACTAGTCCTAGTCCTAGTACCAGCAGCAGTATCCAAGCGCAGCCGCAACATGCTCATGGACGCCTCGCCAGTGACGACAACACGGAAGCCATAGCGGTGATTGGCATGTCGGTCAAGACCGCCGGCGCCGACGACTTGGAAGAGTTTGCCGAGATGCTCAAGACGGGCCAGTCGCAGCACGAGCCGATCACGCGGGAGCGGCTCATGCACGATATGCTGTTCCGGAAGGCAGCAGACAGCGGCGGGCCCAACAGCCGGTTCTACGGCTGCTTCCTGCGGGACGCCGATGCGTTCGACCACAAGTTCTTCAAGCGAAGCCCGCGCGAGTCGGCGGCCATGGATCCGCAGAGCCGTCTGGTGCTGCAGGCCGCCTACCAGGCCGTCGAGCAGTCGGGCTACTTCACCGAGACACCGCCCGTGCGCGACGACGACGGCGACGACGGCCGCGACAGGCGGCATGTCGGCGTCTATCTAGGCTCTTGCGGCGTCGATTACGAGCACAACATCACCTGCCACGAGCCCAATGCCTTCACGGCGACAGGGGCGCTGAAGAGCTTCATCACGGGCCGCGTGTCGCACTACTTTGGCTGGACCGGCCCGTGCATGACGTTTGACACGGCGTGTTCATCCTCGGCCGTGGCCATCCACACGGCCTGCCGCAACCTGCTGTCGGGTGAGTGCACGGCGGCGCTGGCGGGGGGGTCCAACAGCATCACCAACATGCTCTGGTTCCAGAATCTCAGCGCCGGCAGCTTCATCAGCCCGACGGGCCAGTGCAAGCCGTTTGACGACGCCGCCGACGGCTACTGCCGCGCCGAGGGCCTGGCCTTTGTGTTCCTCAAGAAGCTGTCCGACGCGGTCCGTGACGGCAACCCCGTGCTGGCCACCATCGCCAGCACCGCCGTCTACCAGAACCAGAACTGCACGCCGTTGTTTGTGCCCAACTCGCCATCGCTGTCGGCCCTGTTCAGGTATGTGATGCGCCAGGCAGGTGTCGCGCCCCGCGACGTGTCCCTCGTCGAGGCCCACGGGACCGGCACGCCGGTCGGAGACCCGGCCGAGTGGGAGAGCATCCGCCTTTCGCTCGGTGGCCCGGGCGTCGGCCGGGACAAGAAACTGCCCGTCGGCTCGGTCAAGGGCCACGTTGGCCATACCGAAGGCGCGTCGGGCGCCATTGCGTTGGTCAAGATCGTCATCATGATGCGCGGCCGCTTTATCCCTCCGCAGGCCAGCTTTACCAAACTGAGCCGCAATATCGATGCGCGGCCCGACGACATGATGGAAGTGGTCACGGAACTGCGGCCCTGGGCGGGCGCGCACAAGATCGCCCTCCTCAACAACTATGGCGCATGCGGCTCCAACGCAAGCCTCATCGTGACCGACCCGCCGCCCCAATGCTTGCCGGTGCCGATGCGCAGCGGTAGTGGCGCCTGGGATCGTGCGGAAGAGGGGGCGAGGCGGTATTATCCCTTCTGGATCGCGGGCCTCGACACCCGGGCCATTTCCGCGTACTCGGCCAAGCTGGTGGCATACCTGCGGTCATCATCCTGGTGCCCCCGACAGGACATCACGCTGGCCGACATCTCCTTCAACGTGAACCGGCAGTCCAACCGCGGCCTGCCGCAAGGCTTCATCTTCCGCTGCCGCTCGGTGGCCGAGCTGCACGAGAAGCTGGACCAGGCCGCCGGCGTCGCCCGCTCCGGGAACCGGCTCGACCAAGACGCCGCGGCGGCAAGCGTCGGAATTGCGCCAGTACCAGCCGAGCGGCCCGTCATCCTGTGCTTTGGCGGCCAGGTGTCCGGCTTCGTCGGGCTTGACCGCGGGCTCTTCGACAGCGCGGTCGTGCTGCGCCGGCACCTGGACGACTGCGACGCCGCCGTGGCCTCCCTCGGGCTGGGCAGCATCTACCCGGACATCTTCGCGCGAGAGCCGGTGCGGGACCCGGTCAAGCTGCAGACGGCGCTGTTTGCCCTGCAGTATGCGTGCGCCAGGAGCTGGCTGGACTGCGGTCTCCGGACCAAGGTCGCCGCCGTCGTGGGCCACAGTTTCGGAGAGATCACGGCGCTGTGCGTGGCCGGCGTCCTCGGTCTGGAGGATACGGTGAAGCTCGTGGCGGCACGGGCCGGGCTGGTGCGCGATGGCTGGGGTGACGACCCGGGCGCCATGATGGCCGTGGAAGCCGCCGACGAGACGCTCGTCCGTGAGCTCCTGGAGGAGGCGAATCGCATCCGTGGCGCGAACGGCGCTGCCCGCGCCCAGATTGCGTGCTACAACGGCCCACGGAGCTTCACCGTCGCCGGGTCGACCGGCGCCGTCGAGGCGGTGCAGACAACCATCACCTCGGACCCCGGCAGGTTCGGGGCGGTCAAGAGCAAGCGACTCGGCGTGACGAACGCCTTCCACTCCGCCCTCGTCGACAGACTGGCGGATGGGCTAGGGCAGGTCGGGAAAGAGCTCACCTTCCACCCACCCTCGATTCCCGTCGAGCGCGCCACGGAAGCACCGTCCGACGCAAGCCAGACGGACTGGAGGTTCGTGCCTCGACAGATGCGTGAGCCTGTCTTCTTCCACCACGCGGTGCAGCGCTTGTCCCAGCGCCACCCGCAAGCCATTTTCCTCGAAGCGGGCTCCAACTCGACCGTCACCGTCATGGCAGCCAGGGCCCTCGCCCAAAGCCAGCCTCCGCGCTCCTCCTCGTCGAGTCACCACTTCCAAGCCGTGTCCGTCACCAACTCGGACACGGGCGTCGACGGGCTGGTGGACGCGACGGTTTCGCTGTGGAACCAGGGCTTGCGCGTCTCCTTCTGGCCACATCATGCCCTGCAGGCGCAGGAGTACGCGCAGTTGCTGCTGCTGCCGCCTTACCAGTTCGACAAATCCTCGCGCCACTGGCTTCCCATCAAGTCGCCCCTCGAGGCGATCAACGAGGCGGCAAGGGCCCTAGTCTCCGGTGGTGGCGAGCTCGCAGGAGCTCCACGGCAGCTGCGCCAGGATCAGAACCAGCCCAATACTAGCGATCCCAAGCGGCTGGGTCTGTGGCATTTTGTCGGGTACCAAGACAGCGGGAGGAGGAGGAGGAGGAGAACGGCGCGCTTTCGCATCAACACAGAATCGGAGAAATACAGGCACTTCGTCCTGGGCCACGTCATCGTGCAGACGGCGCCGATTTGCCCCGGCACGCTCGAGTGCGACATCGTGATCGAGGCGCTGTTCAGCCTCCTCCCGGACGCTCGCGCGTCGGGTGTGCAGCCCGAGGTGCGCGACATGGTGAACCACACGCCCATCTGCGTGGACCCGACCCGCGTCGTCTACCTGGACCTCTCGCCCCTGGACAGAACCCGCACACAGTGGCGCGCGCACATCTTCAGCGTCCCCGCCGACACCGTCCTCGACCCAGCTGCCGCCCCCGCCGCCGACAGCGAGACCAACGAGACGTCGGTCGTTCACGTTCTTCAAACGCACGCCGAGGCCCGCGTCTCCATGCGGGCCCCCACCGACGCCGCCTACCTCGGCGCGTTCGGCCAGCTCGCCCGCCTCGTCAGCCACGCGCGCTGCCTCGAACTGCTCAACCTCGGCCTCGACAGCGACGGCGTCGAAGTGCTGCAGGGCCGCCACGTCTACCGCTCCTTCGGCGCCATCGTCGACTACGCCGACATCTACCGCGGTGTGCGCTACCTCGTGGGGCGCGGCGCCGAGTGCGCCGGCCACGTGCAGCTGCCGCGGCACCTTCGCGGGAACACGTGGCTGGACGTGCCGCTGAGCGACAGCTTCAGCCAGGTCGCCGGGCTGTGGGTCAACCTCATGACCGACCTGCCGCCGGGTGATATGTACATCGCCACGGCGTGTGAGCGGTCGATGCGCGCCGCCGTCGTGTCGCCGCCCCGGGAGGCGACCGACGTGTGGCATGTCTACGCGCGCCATGCGCCACAAGGGGGGGACAAGGGGTACCTGTCGGATCTGTTTGTCTTTGAGGCCGCGACGGGAGCGCTGGTCGAGGTCATGCTCGGCGTGCACTATGGCCGGGTGGCGAAGGCGTCGATGAGCAGGATGCTGGCGCGCATGACGACCGACGAGTCGGTGCTGCGCGCCAACCCCAAGGTCTCGCAGCCCCCTCCGCGCACCGTCGCCACTGCTGCTTCCAAGCAGGGAGTCAGCACTACGACCAGTCCTAGTCGTAGTAGTAAGAAACGGGTGCAAAAGAAGGGCAAGGGCAAGGGCAAGGGCAAGGGCAAGGGCAAGACATCCTCGGGCCGGCGGGACATCACCGACGAGGTACGCAACCTCGTGGCCGGCGTGTCGGGCATCGAAGCCAGCGAGATAGAGCTCGACTCGGAGATGGCCGACTTCGGCATTGACTCCCTGATGGGAATGGAGCTGGCGCGGGAAGTGGAGCTGGCCTTCCGCTGCAAGCTGGACCAGGCCGAGCAGATGGAGGCTACCAGTCTGCGCAAGTTTGTCGCGTGCGTAGCAAAGGCCCTTTTTGGCCCGGACGCGGAAGGGGACCAGGACAGCTCGGTTGTGGTTGATCATGTCAGCGAAGAGGACGAAGAGGACGAAGAAGACGAAGAAGACGAAGAAGACGAAGAAGACGAAGAAGACGAAGACGACGAAGACGACGAAGACGACGAGGACGATGAGGACGAGGACGAGGACAAAAGCGATTCCTGCGCCACGACTGGCGAAGGCGGGACATGGTCGTCGGAGGCTGGCCAGGAGGACCCAGTCAAGAGCTCATCCGGTTCAGGGACTCCGGACTCGGGCATCTACATTCCTCCTCCCCGGCAGAAGGCAGCCCAGAAAGGAGCCGAGCACGTTTCGAGCAAGCCCCTGACAACACCAGGTCCAGCTACCGTGCCACCGCCGGCCGTGAGCACCCTGGCACTGTTGCCATCAGACGTGCTCGAGGCCTTCGGCGAGGTCAAGCTGGCTACGGACAGCCTCATGTGCGAATACCGGATTGACAAGACCGAAACGGCCCATATGGCCGGAAGCAACCGTCTCTGCGCGGCGCTCGTCGTCGAGGCCTTCGACGAGCTCGGCTCGCCCCTCCGAACCGCCGCCCCCGGCCAGCGGCTCGACCGCGTGCCCTTCCTCCCGCAGCACGATCGGCTGGTGCAGTGCCTGTACGAATTCCTCGAGCGCGACGCCCGCCTCATCGACGTCGACCCCGACCCCGACGCCGCAGCCGGCCAGCAGCTGACACGCACCCACATCGCCGCCCCGCGCAAGACGAGCGACGCCGTCCTCCAGGAGCTCCTGGCCGCCCACCCAGAGTTTGCCGTGCCCAACCGGCTGACCTACTACGCTGGCAAGCAGCTGGCGGGCGTGCTCAGTGGCCGGACCGACGGCATCCGGGTGCTCTTCGGCAGCCCGGAGGGCCGCGAGCTGACGGCCGCCATGTACTGCGAGCACACCTTCAACCGAATGAATTACGAGCAGATGCGTCGCGTGGTGGAGCGCTTGGCCGAGCGCCTCCAGAGTCGGGCCCACGGCGGCGGCGCCGCGGCAGAGGAGACGGGGAAGACGCTCAAGGTGCTGGAGATGGGCGCCGGCACGGGCGGCACCACGCTCGTCATGGCGCCGTTTCTGGCGTCGCTCGAGGCGCGCGGCATCCTGCGCGTCGAGTACACCTTCACGGACCTGTCGCCGTCCATGGTCGCCAACGCGCGTCGGCGGTTCGGCAAGCTGTATCCGTTCATGCGGTTTGCCGTGCACGACATCGAAAAGCCGCCGGCGCCGGAGCTGCGCGGACAGCACCTGGTGCTGGCCAGCAACGCCATCCACGCCACGCACAGCCTGGTCGTCTCGGCGGCGAATGTGCGGCAGGCTCTGCGGGCCGATGGGTTCCTCATGATCCTGGAGATGACCGAGGTGGCTCCCTTCATCGACCTTGTCTTCGGTCTGCTGGAGGGTTGGTGGCTGTTCGACGACGGGCGGACGCATGCGGTGGTGCCGGCAGAACACTGGGAGCGCGACCTACATTCGGCCGGCTTTGGCCATGTCGACTGGACGGACGGGCATCTGGCCGAGAACGCGTTCCAGAAGGTCATCATTGCGTTGGCCTCCGGGACCCAGGGGGCGCGCCTGCCGAAGCCAGCTCCGAGGCTGACGACCGAGCTCGACAGAGGCGAGGAGGTGGTATTAGCTCGTACCGCCGAGGCAGACAGGCTCGTCGCGAGATACTCAGCGGGCTGGGCCACGCCAAGACTGCAAGCCCTCAGCACGCAAAGGGAGAAAAAGCAAGAGCAGACGAAGCGTAGCAGGGTTAGCAAGGTGGCCCGCGACGCTGTCGTTCTGGTGACAGGCGCCACCGGGAGCCTAGGCTCGCATCTGGCGCAGAAGCTAGCCGAGAGCCCTGTCGTCGCGCAGGTCGTGTGCCTCAACCGCCGCCACAGCAGCAGCGGCGGCCTATCTCCCGACAAGCGACAGCAAGAGTCGTTTCTATCCAAAGGCATTGTGCTCTCGCCAGGGGCACGTGCGAAGCTGCGTGTCCTCGAAACCGTCACGTCCCAGCCGCACCTGGGCCTGCCACCGCACGAGTACAACTGGCTCGTGCAGAACGGCACCCACATCGTGCATAACGCGTGGCCCATGAGCGGCACGCGGTCCGTCGGCGCCTTCGAGCCGCAACTACAGACCATGCGAAACCTGCTCGACCTGGCGCGCGAGATGGCCACTGCTACTAGTAATACTCACGACGATAGCAGCCCCGGCATCCGCGTCGGATTTCAGTTCGTCTCGTCCATCGGCGTGGTCGGCTACGCGGGGGAGGCGCGCGTGCCCGAGCGCCGTTTCCCCCTTTCGGCCGCCCTTCCCAGCGGCTACTGCGAGGCCAAATGGGTGTGCGAACGCATGCTGGACGAGACGCTACATCGGTACCCGGGCCTATTCCGACCCATGGTGGTGCGGCCGGGCCAGATTGCTGGGTCCTCCGCCAGCGGGTACTGGAACCCCGTCGAGCACTTTGCCTTCATGGTGAAGTCGGCCCAGGCCCTGCGCGCATGGCCCGACCTCGACGGCGTGTTGCAGTGGATTCCCGTAGACCACTGCGCCGGTGTCGCTGCTGATTTGCTCAAGCTCGGTTCTGTTGCTGCCGATGATGATGTCCCGGACGCATATCCCGTCTACCACATCGACAACCCCGTCGGTCAACGGTGGAAAGACATGTCGCCTGTGCTGGCCGCCGCGCTGAACATTCCGCGCGAGGCTATCATTCCCTTCAAGAGCTGGATCAAGCGGGTCCGTCGGTCGCCCCTGCATATCGAGACAGAGAACCCGGCAGCTCGTCTTGTTGACTTCCTCGACGAACACTTTGAGCGCATGTCCTGCGGTGGCCTGATTTTAGACACGACTAAAGCGAAGGAACACTCCCCTACGATGGCGAGAGTGGGCCCCGTAAGTGCCGAGACCGCCCGTCTCTATATAGTGGCTTGGAAGCAGACGGGGTTTTTGCATTGGTAAATGGTTTCAAGTGTTAGAACAACAAAGGAAGCGGAGAGGGGATACTCTGATGGGTTTCTTTTCATTAAAAGGGGCTAATTAATGGATTTTAGTCAGTTAGTTAGTAGTTATGACAGCTTATTTGGGGGTGAATTTCCTTCCTCGGCTTGAATACTGAACTTCCTCAAATGGCCTCTCTTCCGTAATTTCCGGACTTTTTCGCTGAGCCGATTAGGAAGGGGTGGTAGGTCCCTGTGTTACGGTTATCTGTGCATTCACTTTCACTTCTCGCCCAACATCACCACCCGTCAACGTCAACACCTGTCAATGGAGTTCGAGCATTCAGTCACATGGCTAACAGAAAGTTTTTCTATTATTTTACGTAATGTTTAATGTGGCCCCGCTTTGCAGGAAATTTTATGACCTGTCCTCAGCCATGCAGCCGACAGTGTCCGCCGTAGCCGGTGATGTGCACTGCAAGCGGAACGGTGGCCATTCAGTTACTGAAGCTGTACGCGATTTATCAGAGGAATGAATTTTATTTTTTTTTTTTTTTACTAACGCGAATTAATAGGTTTGGCACCCGCGTCATCACCGCCTGCGTCGAGTCGATTCGTGCTTATACAAACAATAGCTTAAGCTATATAAGGGTTATTATAGCGAGAGCTAAGTCCCTACGGCAGTGCTATATAAGCATTTAGCGTATGGGCGGCCGCTATAGTAGGTTCGAGCTGGTTTTAGATAAGCGAGTATAGATACAGAGAGCTATCTAGACAAGCTAGGTATTAGGGATTCAGATACTTGAGACGGAGATTGCGCTAGATAGAAGGTATAGCAGCCCCGCCGACTCTGAGTTGAGAACCTAGGGAGGTAAGTTGTTCAAGAGGATAGAGAGATTGATTTGGAAGGGTAAGATTCGCCCGTGTCTAGTTGAGCTAGATAGTACGAGTAAGTTCGAGAGAATTATAAGGGGTATAGAGAGGTTAAAGAAGGGAGAGCTCTCTAGAAAGAAGCTTATTTTTATGCTTAACTAATCTGAAACCTCTTTGATCGTGATTAGCATCTACTTCTTATGTAGAGGATATAACGTGATTTATAAGCGAGTCATGAGTATAAGCGGGCCGTGGCTTTTCCACTACCCTACAACAACAACCGTCCAAAATACAATAACAATAGTATCAACTAACTACAATTACATTAGAAACAGCTGAATCAGACGATTCTGCAGCCTCTCAGCAGGTACAGGCATTATGGCCAGGCTTGCCACACACACCATAGCACCGAACCTTCGTATGACCCCCCCCGTACTACTACCTTCCGGCTATGTATTTTCCACTACCTCCCCACCCACAGCCTTCTAGGCCAGTAAATCCTGTGCATCTTGCACAGTAAGTGATCCTCCAAGCTGCATACGCATTCTTTTAGCTCTGCGGCGCTTGCTTAGTGCCTCGTTGGCCTTGCGGAGCGAAGAGACCTCTAACCGAAGGAGAGCTACCTGGTGCATGACAGCCATTGTACCCTTGGCAAGTTGATCTACAGCCGCCAACATCGAAGTCGGAGAGCTGTTTTGATGGTTGGCAATGCGAGTCTTAATGAGCGTCGACTGCGATTCGGTTTCTCGGGGGTTGTATGGTGTCTGGAAGATCCAAGGTTGTGCTATAGTAGGCTATAAGACTGGGGGTATTAGTATACGAAGCTATACATCCAGGGTAGAAAGCACCCTCTCTAGATTATACGGCATAAGGCCAGCCCCTATAAAGCCACCCTATATATTGCTCTCTATTATAGAGGCAAAAAAGGCTTTGCGGAAGGCATAGAGGAACTCGAGCTTGCTGATATGGTTGATGTTCGCGTATATTAAGTTCTCGATTTGGCGACCATACGCCCGCTTTAGTAGCCCGAAACAGCCAACGTCGAGTGGCTGGCACTTATAGGAAGAGTATGCAGGTATATAGAGCGTCTTGATATTATTATCCCGGCAGTAGTTCTCGAATTTGATCGAGTAATGGCTCTCGTGGCCGTCGAGGATCAACATCTAGTATATACTCTTTGTATAGGACTTTATATGGTAGTCGAAGTGCTTGATCCAATCGAGGCCTACTTTATTAGTAGTTCAGCCGTTATTGGTAGTTGCGATACGCCGGACAAGTGGAAGATTGGCCTTGGTATACTAGTTGCCGAGATAGTACTGCCCGGCTAAGATGATGAACGGAGGGATAGCCTAGCCAAGAGTATTGACTCCCTAGATTACCGTTGTCCATTTGCAATTGCCGGGCTAGGCTAGCTTTGCTCTACTATAACCGTTAGAGGTTATAACAACTATACCTATATAGATGATACCTATTATAAACCTAGTCTCGTCGAAGTTATAGATATCGTCGTCTGAGATCCTGAACTTGGCCTTAGTATTCTAAACAAGTGCAAACTATTCGCGAATAATCTTTAGGTCCTTGCACTTAGCCCTCTGGTAGTCGTACCGACGTACCCAATATATCTTAAGCTCTGGCTTACGCCTAACAAAATTATAGGCCCAGAGCTTGCCGATAGGGGGCGCGTCGCATACATATATGTGACGGCAAGTGCAGCCTGCGGTGTGCTTGCCGTCAGGGAAGATATAATCTACCGAGTCGCAAGTCCGAGGGACTTGCGATTCCGACATCCTTTTCGGAAGGTGTGCATAGCCGAGTGGGTTAGGTTTATGCTCTACCGTCACAATATAGTAGTTGGTTGGCCATATCTTCTACACTAGCGAGTCTGGGTGGAAATGCACGTGCAATGTCACGAATCGGTAAATGCAGGCCAGGCTTAACGGCTCTGGTGGGCAACTGACTGTATTGCAAGAATACTGAACTTGCAGAAGGAAGAGTTCTGCAAGTGGAAGATGCGAAGCAGGAAAGTCTAAATACAGGATCTGGGATGTGGGACACTTGCCAGATATGGAAGGTGGGGCATGCGCTCCACAACCAGCCAATCATACTGCATACATCATGCATGGTACGGTGGGTTCCACCGTCACATGCAACCAGGTCAATGATATATTGAATAATAGCCTGCTGCTCGGATTCTATAAGCTTCTTCGAATTGGCCGTACAGTCACGTCATATAGGCTTGCCAGCGCGTCGGTCCCTGAGGGTTAAAGCCGGTACATTGTAGAGCCTAGCTACGGCTTCAAGCTGTAGCTGTTTGTCGCTCTGAAGAGCTTCAAAGGCTAAGACTACCCTGGCTTCTTTTAAGGGGGGGGGGCATATCGGGTTATAGAGAAAATTGATATTAAGTGGAAATGTGATGTGTCGCGTTTGGAAAGCCACGGCCCGCTTATACCCACGACTCGCTTATAAATTACGTTAATCCTTATTTAAATATTAGAAATCATTAATACTATTACTTATAGAGTATAGGCTCTCAATCTAACACTGGCCTTAGTGTGACGAAACCATAGGCAGTTCTGCCTCTAAAAGCGTTCGCTGGTCAAAGGTAATGCTGGTCAAACTGTAGGTCTCTATAATGTCATGAACTAACCTGCAGAGGCCGGTGGGGGCCGACCTGCATGGCCGACGGGCGGCGCCCGTGTCCAATCATTACAAGCCAAGAAGGACCAATGAGGGTTGAGGAAATCAGGAACAATGCCAAGAACGATTGTTCCTGAGGAACAACGCCAAGGAACGTTGTTCCAGATAGAACAATGAGAACAACAATTGTTCCAAATGTTCCAGAGGTCTAGGTGCGGAATACCTAGGGGAGGAAGCTGTATATAGTTCTACCATTCTGCCATTCATTCAGATAGCTAGCTTCCTCAGTGAGCAATTTCAAGCAATAGTCCTTACCTATTGTACAGACATTGCGACAAGCATTGTTGTGAACCTTTTGGCTTCACCGAGACCTACAGTCCGACCAGCAGTACCTTCGACCGGCGAACCCTTTCACAGGCAGGACTGCCTGTGGTTTCGTCACACATATCTAATAGCGGTCTTAGTAATGGGGTCCGAGTAGTAACCCTATATATATAGTTGGCTATTAGTTTTAGTGGTCCGTAGTCTTAAAGGGCAATTTTGGCCGGGCTTACTCTAGCTCAGTTCCACCAGGTTTACTCTGGCTCAGGCTCACCTTTGCTCAGGTTAAAGCAGCGGCAGCTCAGGACAATGCACAACAACGGAAATCGCTGAGGGCAACTTTTGGGGAATGCATCGGTCTGTTATTCTGGAACCCAACCGAATCTGCAAAAGCCTGAGTGACAATCCCGCCGGGGTGTTACACATCATATGATCTTCACCGTAAGCTCCTCCCCCTTTTGCCGGAAATATTGCTCACACCTGTCAGGCCGATACTGGGATCTTGGTTTCCGTCCCCGGTTCGGATCATATCCCTGACGGAATGTGCCCATTCTGTAGTATTTCCATTCATGGGGCGTGCCGGCCTCGCGAATCACCAATCCGAAATACCCACTAAGCTTGTACTCGCCATCCATATAAATGCCGTAGACGCCAAGGGACAAAAGCTTCAACGGTTTGAATGCCCCTTGCGTGGCGTGAGGAACCCAGTCAAAGGAAAGGTGCCAATGTTGACGAAACTCATCCTCCAAGGTCCACTCGTGGTCGGGAAAAAACTGTGCCTCGTTGCCCTTTCGAAGCGAGCCAGTGGGGAGTGATGCCACCAATCCCGTGACGGTCAGCACCGCCTCTGTTGTCTCACCGAACGGGTCCGGCCCCTTCTTCGTAGCTGAGGCGCTGATATCGGCACAGCTTTGCTGCAGCACAGGCACCTTGCGTCGATCATTATGCTCATGCCAAACTGACGGAGTGACCCGCCCGCGAGGAACCCAACTCCATGAGGGGCTAACAAACCCAGAAGAAGCCCTGCTGGCCAGAAATCGAAGATGGGCTGCCTGGCTGCACTTGGCCTTTCCGCCCTGCTTGACCCACATCGGGCCCATCAGCAGCTGCTTCTTCCAGATTCCCGCCACGTAATCGGATTCACTGAACTGCTCCGGGAAGCTGTTGGTGCAAAGAGACGATTCCCGAGAGCGCCGGCAGCGCGTCCGTCGGGTGGGTGAACCCCAGGGAACGACGACCGTACTGCCGCATGACGCGCTCCCAAAGCTCGATTCCGTCGCCCTCGTTGGCCAGGCCGGAAAATTCGAATTGCTCAAGATTCGATGGCGGATTCACGGTTCGCCATCGCGGACGCATCAGCTCGTTCTGGGCCGGACAGGAGAAGAAGGGGCCGAGCTCGCCGAAAACCAACAGCCGAGCAGACGCTGCCGCTTCCTGATACGTCCAGCCCCTGGACAGCCAGTCCGATGTCCACAGATTCTGGGACCGTATCACGGCGTACGGTGGATTCCTCATCAGGCTGTAGTCTCGGCTGGCGCCGAGGAGATTTATCTTTATGGTGCCCGCCGCCTTGCGCTGGAGTGTCGAGCGATAGTCGATGTGGAGGCCCTCGGCCGGGAAGTCGAGAAACCCTTGCATGCAAGACCTCGAGGCAAGCGCGACGATGGTGACCCTCGCGTAGCCGTATATGCGGTGCATGGCTGAAGCCTGCTCGACCCAGTCGTCCCTGTCGGCCTCGCCCTGGAGAATGCACAGGCAGTCGATCCAGAGGTACGAGATGCCCAGAGCTCTTGTCACGAGGACGGCGTCGCGAAGGACCGGGGACCATCTCCTGCTCGCTGATTCCAGCCTTTCGCTCTAGGAGCGTGCTGGAATCGGTCGTCAGCTGCCGCTGTGCGTCGCTTGCGGACCCCCAGCATTAGCCCAGGGCGGCGTAGTTGAGACTGGGGGCGTTCGCTTCATCTGAGGCAAGCTCCTCGCAGACCACCAGCCGGACTTGGCCGTCCATTAAGTCCAATAGGCGTTTGGGCCGGAATGTCCCTGATAAAGACTTGTGGTCATGGTGGTGGTTGTGGGACTCCGCACACGATTTGATGCTGTCAGCCGCCCAGGCAATTGTTTCAGGATCCAGCCGGTTCACCGTGGTCTGGGACGAAGGGATTCTCAACCATTCGGAGACTGGATCAGGCGCTATATTCGGGCGGGTTAGCATGGGAAGCGGGTACATGTACTTAGGAGATGGGTCAAGTCGGGTACCACCTGCTCGAGTGATCTCCACTGGGGCGCAGACTCTCGACACAGAAACACGCCTGCAGCGTGCGCTCGGGGTAAGAGTGGTCCATCGATGTGAACATAGCATAGAGAAAGAGGGCCCCCGAATCGACAGACGGGTCTTCGCCGACCCACTCGAGATATAGCTCGACGCGGACAGGAGAGACCTCGCCTGGGCGGAGTAGCTTCCCGGACCGGCCGATTAGCTTGCCGTATTTCGAATCCGAGCTGTCGAGTACGGCGCCGCGCAGGACACGGCAAAAGTCGCAACCAAGGTCAGCGGTATGCTGAAGCCGGGGAAGATCGGGAAGCGAATCATCGAGCTCGTAGTCGAGCTTCACGCCCCCGAAGACCCCCATTAGGCCACGCGAGGTGTTTCCGTCCATCCGCTGTCTCGGCCGCAACAAGGCTGCAGGCCTTTCTCGTCGAACCGCAGGACCCAGCATCTCTCGCACAGCTGCGAGGGATGGAGAGAAACTGGCTGGCGTTTCATCTTCCCCCGGGAGCATATCAGGCTTAGGAGACCGCTGAGGGGCTGGCCGAGTTTCATGTCGCGGGCGTCCTTAGGACTTTACTGGGAATATTTGCGAGTTGATGAAAAGGATGACGCTTTAGATACATGTATTACAGCGGAGGGGCTGGGGAGGGCACAAGGATACCCCACCCGCGGGGAAAATGGCGAGGAGATTCGGCTGGGCACATGGGGTAGGACTGTATATGCATTGCTTACATCATCAAGCGATTACCATGCAGCGGCGCAGCCACTCCCGTCACACATTCAGGCACGTAAAAGTGTCGATAATACACGGCCCGGGCCTTCCACGCCCAGTCCTCCCTGGAACCTTGTAGCATCGAAAGAATCACGACAATGCCCGGCCCCAGTTAGACGTGCGAGTTGCCGAACCAGCCTCCCCGGCGAGGTCTACGAACTCCGAGTCATCGGGACCTAGTCCTTCCGCAGCGGCCATCATGACGGCCGCCGTGTCCACACGTTGGCTGGGCGTCGTGCGTCGCCGATTACGCAAACGATCCCTGCCTTCCCAGGCTGCTAGGTTTGAACGCGCCCTCAACATGGGCTTTGGAGCTCTCCCGAAACTCTTCGACAATTTCATCGCCACGGATCTACCCTGTGTTTCGCGAAGATCCCTCGTCGATATGGTCAGGGCGAGCGAGCCACGGACTGCCGGGATGCCGCCCTGTCGCGTTCACTCTAAATTCATATAACTCTTGGATAGGTTTTAGATGGAGCGTTAAACCGTGCTCGTCGGTTTCCGGTTACTGCCGCGTAGTTGCTGGTTCGGCTCCTTGAACAGGACTGGGAAGTAGACCAAAGGCATACTTCGAACGGTCGAGCGAGATGCCTCTTGGGCCGATGGAGTATTTGAATTGAGTCATCTCTATGCTAGATGCCCTCAGGTTCTATGATGTACTTTTCCACATCGTCGGCGGGAAACATGAGGCCCATGACGGAGAAGGGGTTACCGTCCCCTCCCCAAAGGGAAGGAATCCCGCCTTCACGAGTGACTTGACCCGGGCAACCAGCTTCAGAGCAGCCGTCGGGTTGTGATCTTGTAGACAGTAGCCCAGAAAGGGAAACTAAGAGGTCACCGCCCGGCAATTGTAGATTCGCGGGTTGTACACTGTACTATAATAGGCCTGCAAGTTGTATTACCACACGTCCGCGGACCGAACTGACAGGAGTTGGCCACATAGGCGCAGCCGGGCGGTGATATGCACCGCTGCCAGATCCCACCGCGAATGGGGCCGATCGCCGTTATGAACATGGCTGACCCACACCCACGGTCTGGTGGCTCCCTGCAACGTGGCATACGGTCGACAATAAGCTTGCCGGAGTAACCATACCGTCTGAGAGGCGTACGGTCCCTGCGTTTATTGGCCCATGGCGGGCAACAATGGCTGGGAGAGACTGCGCCACCCAGCATTACCACTTACTACTACCCTTATTCAGTGAACTTTACCGGCTCCTTTGCCTGGGCCGGCGCCGAGATCGCCGTGGCGATGGTGTGCCTGGCCATCCCGACCCTCCGACCCCTTTATCTCCGCGCTCGCGGCAGGAGTGTCGGCTACGAGAGAACACAGCAGCAGACACGCCCCGCGCCGCTGCCGCCAGCCCGACGTACCGGAGTCGCTGGAGTTCAACCCTGTGTGAGCCGAAGCCGCCGGCCGCTGCTCCCACAAGCCCGTCATGGCAGATGCAGCATACTAGTACCCCTACGCATATCGTCCGGCCTACTACTACTACTACTAGTACTAGTAGTACTAATACTAGTAGCTCTGATAAGAAGATTGTGATCCTAATTGCTTCTACCGACGACGACATGCCCTCCGCCGACCAGCTACGGCGCACGGTATGAATACTATGGAGCATGGCGATCAGGACGGCGGCTGCTGAGGCCCTGAAGGCGTTGTCTGACGGACAGATGGACCGCGCGCGTTTGTATGCTTCTTTTGGCGTTTGTGCAGATTGCAAAGACAGAGATGGAAGGCTTCAGAAGATGGCTACTGCTAGTATGGCGCTGGGCGAGGAGCGTGTCACAAAGCGAGCTGGCCTCGCAACGCATGAGTAGATACTTATCTATAGGAGTTGAAAAGGGGAGCTACTAGGAGTAGTAGGGAGCAACGGGCGACAGAAGCGTACCGTTTAGAGAAGCATGGGCGTCGAGGAACCGGGAGCAGAAGAAGAATATTGGAAGTTCCGGGGAGAAAGGGGGAGGGGAGGGGGGGAGGGGGGGACGCGCCAAAGTCGAAGCTCGCAGTCCTAGCAAGATAGACTGGAGTCCTAGGTACGGAAGCGTGACGTTGCAAGAGAAAACGATGCAAACTACCTCTTCGGAAACCCTGCCGGAGACAAAAGAGACACCGCTGAATAGAGTGTCTGTCCGTCACCTCCGTTTTACGAGATCCCCCGCATAGATTCTGTCCGTTACAAACGTGCAGTGGCGAGCATAGGGAGGGATAAGGGCCGGCTTTGGTATACGCTATGCTTCGCAATGATCTACAGAGCAAAAGAGATAGGACTTTGCCTCGAAGTCCAGGACTGTCTTTTAGCAACCAATCGCAGGCTACAGTGTGGTTTAAATCTACGAGTATACATATACAGATATTAAGTACCTATCAGTGATCATGACCTGTACACCGATCTCCTGTCCCCTTCAGTCCCTGAAACCCCAACACTCGTTCGCCAACAACGTGGCATTCAACCTGTCCAACATCCATCCACTCGTTACCACCGCTTTCGCCTGATCCCCCTGCATCGGTGCTTGTTGTGCCGCCCCAAACTTCACACCCGAGTCCAGCGAACACGTTGCGCCCGTGTGCTTCCACGAAAAGCACTTCTCCACCTTACGACACGCCTCCTTGCAGCCCTCGGAGCTTCTGACCGCAGCCGCCACGTCAACACCCACCACCCCTTCTGACGAGGATAGTAGCTCCGTCGGCACCGGCAGCCCATCCCGCAGCAGCCACAGATCCGCATGATTATCCCAGTCCTTGACCTGCTCCCCCTTCCCCTCCCTGATCTCCTCGATGAGATAGGGATACACAAACTTCATAAAGACGTCGCGGAACAAGACCTTCTCCCTACCCGGCTCCCCCGGTCCGCCGACCCGCAATTCCTCCTCCAGCTCCGAGAATAGGGCGAGGTCTTGCTGGTGCAGGTGGTGGAACGTCATGACCGGCTCGCACCACACGCTGACGTCGAAGCGCGTCTTCCACGGCGGCTCGGGCCGGAAGAGCAGGCTGGGGCCGAACTCGCCCCCGTTGACCTCGGCCCCGTAGTCGCGGAGGATGGCGCCGAGGATGATGTCGCCGCAGCACTCGGCTGCGGTGAGGTTGGCGTACTTGTCCAGTGTCGCCTGATTACTACTATCGCTCGTGTTATTGTTGTTGTTGAACATCTTCTGCATCAGGGCGTGCGTGAACGCGATGCCCGACCCGCCCTGCGCGAACGTCGCGTTGCTGGGGCCGGACATGGCGCCGTAGTACGCCGGCGCGGTGTGGTCGTGCCGGGCGAGGAATTGCCGGATGTTCCACCAGAACGGGTACGTGTCGTCCTCGATGTAGAAATACCACTTGCGGTCCGGCCAGGCGGTGTATGCGTGCTGCAGCATGGGGAGGAACTTGTAGCGGTCGAGCACCCAGCCCTCCGGGTTGCCGTCGGCGGCCTGGTCCGGCGTGGTGTCCCCTGCCAGGCCGGCTTGTTCCCGATAGGTGTTGGGGCGGATGTGGGCGAGTTGGGAGGTGTAGATGCGGTGAGCCGCCGGGTCGTGCTGTCCGAGAAGCTGCGAGACATTGGCGATGGCGTCGATCGTCGCAATGCCGGGTGCGAGACGCTCGTGGGCATCCGAGTAGATGGCATAGTTGGGGATGCGGTTGTTGGCGAATGTCGTGAGGAAGTGCAGTGGGAGACGGCGCCAGACGTTGTTGGAGCCCGTCTTCAAAATGAGGACCACGTCGTTGGGCTCGACCAGTCCTTCCGCCGCTGAAATAGACGGTGTCTGTGGGCCGACCCCTGAGGGCGTTGAGGGCGCTGAAGCAGCGGCAGTCCCGGTACCGGCATGCTCAGCGGCTTCTGCTAGACCCAGATCTGGACTACTGGGAGACGCCCCTAGCGTAGGCTGAGGAGTGGGACCAGTGGGTGTCGATGCCGGTGTCCATTGGCTTTTCTTTGCAGTCTCCACTGCTCCCTCACCTTCACCTTTTGCGAGTCCTATCGAGTTGGCCTCTTCTCTGGGCGGCTGGTGATATAGCCGCGAAGCCGTATATAGAAGATATAGAGAGAGAAGCAGGAAGACGATAGTTGCTAGGAAACCCCTCGCCGAGTGCATTGTAAAGCGTTTAGCTCACAGGAGGAATATGGGATGGAGCAAGATGAAGAGAAAGAATGCGCTTTCCGGAAACCAACAAAGGTCTGGAACGGGCAACGGCACGATGCAAGAACCCAACCCCTAACCCATTTGTTTCCTTCGAGGCTGGGCAAGCACGTGGCCGTTACTTCGTAGTGCTGTATATACGGTTGGTTTTTTTTAGGTCCTTGGCTTCGGCTCGATTATACGGCATGGGTCTGCCTGTTCGCCCTTGGAAGTGAACCTGAAGCGCTGTGTGAAATGTGAACATCATCACAAAAAGGGGGTCGGACATGAAAAGTTTGTGGATTTTTCGCTAACGGTATTGGGAAGGTGGCAGGTAGTGGGGGCTAGGGTTATATAACGTTATTGCTGCCTACAATACGGGGCCGTGGGGGCGTCCCCTTGCTTACTGCTCGCATAGGTAACAAGCCTCCAGGCGTTGGATGCTTACAGTATGATCTTTTGCAAAGTCAATCAATCATAAGAGACCTGAAGGGGTGGTCAAGTCATTTCTGGTAATAGTGGTCGGACCTTACTACTCATCGCCGTCACGGCTCGGAAAGTTCACCAATACCATCGGAGCTTTAGCATAAATCAATGAAGAAGCCCATGATGGAGAGCAGGATAGTCGGGAGACGGGCGGTGTTATCCTGTGCGCAAACCGTGCTGTCCAGCAAGCTAGGGGCTTCTAAGACCTCTCAATGGGTATATAATCCATGGCACCCAGCCGGTCCGTTTAATTATCGCAAGTCCTCTTCGTTTGTCCTCCACCAAGCTACCGTCAACACAAGTGTTAACCTGAAAAGTGATTCCCCCACACCTATGATACTTCTTCCTCAGAATGGTACTCTCCGTACTGTCCCTTCACAAACCGCACCGAGGTCAAGGACCTACATGGCGCGCCTCGTTGGAAGAAAACCCCTAACCCACCTCGACATCACACCGTTCCCTCCTTTGGATTGACGTTCCGATGCCATGGAGGTTTGTTTCATTATTGCAAACTGCTCGATATGTGGTGCGGGAATAGCTTATCACCTCTGAGAGGACGAAGATGAGACCATCCCAAGGGAGCTGTATCGTCTTTACCTGGAGGAGAGGGCGGTAGGACTTAAGGAGAAGGGACATACGCTGGAGAGCCTACTTGACCAATACTAACTACCAGGTGTCGTGTCGCGGGGCCAAGATACATCTAGTGTAATGCATTCAGAACCTCAGAAGGCCCTCACTACCTTTTCGACATCTACATTAAGAGCAACAAATGCATCGCACACTACCTAGCACCAGATAATGTGATATTACTTACCACACGTAGCCATAGTTGCCACATAAGGGCGCAGGTGATGTCGCGTAGCCCCTTTGGATTTGGTTCTTCTTCTTAGGCCCACAACTACAAATACTATGTCCATGATGTCCCACACCACCAGCACAACTAATTAGCCAATTACTATGGCCTAGATCGTCAGCAGACATCTGGTCTGAGACCCTGAGACTTCTCTCTCGGGACTAACCCAAATCCCCTAAATCATCCGCCCTTCAAAGGGGCAACCTTGATAGGTCCACCAACGTAAACAACGGAACCCCGGCGACGTCCAGACTCCGGACCGCCAACAATGTGTCCCCAAACAGAAAGGAGTCCCGGTTTGTCGACTACGTCCTCTGACCCTGTGCGGCGAGCAAATCCTCCAAAGTTCGAGCCACCGAGAGCAGCACCGATCTAGCCGCGGCGGCAAGGCTCGCAGAGCGGCGGGTGGGCGCAACGGGGGGCGTGAGTCGTCACGGCGGCCCGTGGTATGGTGATGATCATTGGTGTTTTCTTAAAAAGCAAAGACCTGAGTTTGGGAGTTTTGTGTATTGTCGTTCGTTGTCCAAAGACGGGACAGTGTCGAACGCTGGTCAAGTTTGCGGAAACGACCTCACTGCGCACCCTCCACGGGTTTTATGGCAGTACGAGCTTTGTAGCAGTACGCCACCACGGGTTTGGCGTCACCACGGGTTTGACGTCGCCGCGAGGGCATTTCTCTCCGTTACGCTAGCCAGAACTAACACCCGTTGGTAACTTATTGTGAGTGACGACAAAACGAAGAGCTGGAGAACGGAACAGGCTACGCCGTACGAGGAGACGAGACCGTCTATCGCTGTAACGTGGGCTCGTGCCGAGACAAACCTAAGAACTGGCCCCGGCAAGACAATTTTAACAGCGCCTCAAGAGGAAGCACGGCTTGACAAATGTCGACTTGGGACAATGTTTTGGTTCGTTTTTGGCTACTAATCGCTAGCGAATAATATAATGTGGATTGAAGCTATATACTACGGACACCCCTTTGCCAATCTCCTCTCGTCAAAAAGACTTGTCGGGACTTTTCCCTCACCTGCGACAGCTGACAAGCATGAACAGTTGACTCGACGGCTCGTTGCTACGACATCGAGAAAGACAATACACACCGGGGAGTATGGCCCGGAGATGAACAAAGGTCTTTCTAGATGCGGTCTTTTCCTCAAACTCCATGGCGTGGTCAGGCCGTTGAGCTTGAAGACGGATGTTATCAAGAAACGGAACCGCGGCTCCGGAGCGGGCCTCCCCGTTGGAGGCACGGGCACCTACGACACAACCGCAGAGCAATACGTTCTGGGCTTGTAGTGCCGCTTTGAGTCACGCAGTCGGACGACGGTGATTACTAGTGCCTCGAGAATGTGCCGAGGGCTTTCCCGGCGCCGCGGCGCATCGGGTCTACGAGTTGGTCGATGGCCTCCTCTGTTGCCGGAACCGGTGCCAGACGCCGCAGCGTTCCTTCCTGGGCGACTTGGCCGGTCCGCACTGGGAGTAGGAGGAGCATCTGCTTCGTCGTCATCATCTCGAGGACGGACTTGGGTGTCGATCTGAGCGCAATGCGCACGGGTCTGAATTGGCGCCAGGTCGAGGACATGAGTTCCGACTGGGACACCGACAAGGATTCTGGCTAGGAAACGGAACTGCTTCCGTTTGGAGCCAGGATTGTTGTGGGGACTCAGCAACCCGCAATCGGTCCACGTCCTTCTTCCCGCCACGATGTGCCTCGTCACGCGTATCCTATACAGCTGCGGCTGCGAGATTCTCAAAGACTGGCAGCCGTGCGAACGGGTGTACCGTTACCGACAGCGCCACCCAGCGGCGGCGGCCGGCCACATCTCCTGTCGTCGACTTGCGGAGCGGCAGCCACCGGAGAGGAAGGCGGTGCTATGCGAGTTCCATCACCGCGAATGGCTTGAGTTCTGGTTCGAGGGATGGGACGAGTACTGGAAGGGTGTCTTTCAGCGATTTGAGACTGAGAGACAGCGGTGCGGAGCAAAGGGCGCTGAATGTCTGGGCAGTGGCCGGTTCGTGGGAGATGGAGAATCAATCAGTGTCGGTAAGTTTGCAAGGCCCGATAATGTATTGGGGAGTCAAAAGTAAATAGAGAATAGTGTTTGACGGTGATGGACTGTTGCGGGATGGGTTCCTGTATCCCGTGATGTATGTGCTTTGGCGGGCTTTTCCCTATGGTGGTCAATATACCTAGGTAGGTACGGATGTTAGTCTTCGTACCACAGGATGTTGTGGGTGAACTTCTCTATGCGCCATATGTCGTAGCGCTTATGTGTCGTCGCGCTCGGTATTGTTGCGCCCATGCCCGGCCCTACCGCCCTACCGTGCGGGCGTTGACTGTTGCCGACGGTCGGATGAATCGCGAGGTGAGATCCAGGACGGCACACCCCGTAGCTGTGAGTGGTGTGGTGCTGGCTCGTCGCGCCCGGTCTGTGTATGTCGTCGTGATGGGTATGTGTATGTCGACACGCTCGGTGTTGTTGCGCCCTGGCCCGACCCAACCACCCAACCATGTCGGGCCCTCTCCCATCCCCGCCCTTAGGGCCCGGCAGAAGCCCCGGCTCTCCAGTTCTGGGACCTTCGCCAAGCCGGCACCGCCAGTCTGGGCCTCCCAGTTGACGCCCGCCACGCCTCAGCTGCCATCGCCGCCGCGGTGACGACGGTCGTCCCGCACGGGCTTGCCCCAGCCCCAATTGGCGCGGGCCATGTGGTCGCGCAAGTCCTCGAGACTTGCGCGGGTGACCCGCAGGGGCTGCGGCCGGCGGGGCTTGGTAAACCATCCGAGGATGGCCACCGGGACGAGGTCCACCTGCTGGGTGTTGACCCAGCTGGTTTGTGATTTTGGCCAGGCGTTGTACCCCTCCAGGTGGAGGTACTCGGAGACCTGGCTCGGCCGCTCGCTGCCGTGGAAGGCGCGGAAGTCCTCGGGGACTTTAGCGCCGAGCGCACGCATGCGCTCGGGCCTCTCCCACGGCGCACGAAAATCGTCATGCGGACCGGCTCCGTGGGTGGAGACACACGTGATGAGGACGTGCGTCGGCCGCTCGGAGAGGCGGCGGAGCACAATGACCGGATGGCCCATCGCGCCGCGGGGGATTCTGCAGGACCTGACCTCGTCGCGACGAGCCTGGTCGAGCTCCTCCCACCGCGTGAGGTACGCGATGTGTCCCTCGCGCCACTCGTAGATGGCGGCGAGGTCGGTGCTGGGGGCGGGGGTGTGGGCGTCATGGCGGACGGCGTCGCTCGGCATCGTGGCACGAGCAGAGAGGGGAGAGAAAGAAGAAGACTTGCGCTGAGGGCGAGCGAAGAGAAGGAGGAACGAAGGGACATACAAAACTGCTGTCGTGACAGCAGGCGCGAAAGACTCTTTTGGTTGAAAAGAGGAAAGCGGTGGAAGGTGGGGCGGTGGGCAGGCATCGATTTTATAGGACCGTGCGACGCACTTGGATCAGTCTATAGGAGCACCGGGTCAGTAGACTCAGCACTGTGGGCGGCCCTTCCCAGGGGCCTGCAATCCCTGCATGTCGACGAAGTTTTGAGCATCCATGTGTGCGTCCTCCGTCGTCAGTATGGCTCTATCTACGGACTAGGCCAATAGTTACGGTTGTTGAAGTGTGGTGTCAGGGGTACAATGGCAAACCCAAGTGTCAAAGCGGCCGCGTGACCCCAAGCGTCGTCAACCCAGCATGTAAATAGATTGGTCCGGCTATGTTGAACGTACGCTACAAGCGCCCTTATAACCTCAAACTGACGTCAATCCAGCACCACATATACGGTACCTCATTGGTTCACGGACGGACCATCCTCCTAACGCGTTCCCGATCCGATCGCGACGTCCCGTCCGAAGCGAAGTCTGTTTCAGGCCGGACACGAAAGGTCTTTACAGGCTTTTCACGATAAGATCGGACATACTCGAGCTCGACACCCTGCTGAAAGACGTTGTCAGGATTTACGAGTATTCAGCTACCGCCTATCCACAAAGGTAGCCCAATTAGATCTCAAGGATTATTTGGCTGTTCATAACTAGCTCCCTGACCCTTGCGAGAGAACAATACGAGGAAGCGATGAATTCTCCAATGTCACTGCAACTCACTTGTCAAGTCCTTACAAGAGCGATTACCTAACTCAGCTCACCTTGGTAGCGTCCCTACGCTTTCCGCACTGTTTCGTCTGGACTTGTCCTCCGTCCGCAGTTTGAGCATGGTTGACGGAAGGCGGATTCAATCATGATGTGTACAGAGGCCACAGTAAAGGCGCAGAAAAAGAGGAGTTATCGGCTCTCTTAGGAGAAATGCTGCGCGCCCGAGTCATCCACACTAATACTGTTGCTGCACCGGTCTGAGTAGCAAGCCGAGGTCGAAGGGACGCTTACCCTCTGCTTGACCGTCCTAACCTCCACTGCAGCCGGCCCACGTCCGACTGTTCAATGCCATGCCAATCCAATGCAGATGACGAGTCACCAGCGCTGGAAGTTTGAATGGACTTGGGACAAACAGTGTCCACACGGCCCGCGCGCATTGGTCTCAATTCAAGAACGGAAGCATTTCGCATATTTCATCATGGGTGGTATCGTGGTGGTTGTGGTAGGACGTTGAGGACCCTGAATCAGCCCTATCGGAGCTTACCGAACCCTTGCTCGTCAGAAAACGTGCCATCCCGCACTGGTGGGTCCAACCTCTGAACACGGTACATACACGATGGGGGGGTTAACGCTGTACGGGGTAACTCCGCACAGTGTTAGGAAGATGCGCTTTCCGCATATGGCAAAGAAAAGGTAGGTAGGTACCTTAGGTACACCGATTCAATCAGCATCACGGAGCTGCAAAGAAAACCAATGCATAGCATAACTGAATACCTTCCGCTCTCAAACTTAACGTTGCATACTTACTAAAGGTATGTCATTGATTAGCTCAACTTAAGTATTTTTTTGATACGTACTTGGCGGGTGCACACGCGGGTGCCCCGTCGTCAGCCCCTCTCGGTCCACTTTCTGCGGCTGGACAGGACTGATGACCCGACTGCTAGCTGGAAGGTACTGCGTGCACAGCACAGCAGTCATGAGGGTGAAGTATTCCGCTTCTTTCCACTCGCAGCACGCTCAATTCAGCCCATCAACTCCACCCCGTTCCGTATGGCCCCCACCAGCGCAGACGTCTGTATTGCCTCGTTCGTCCCGCTTGCTACTCTATGCTCCACTTCTGCGAGGGCTTCTAGCCACCTGATCATGACCTGCGGTTTTACTTCCAGCTTTACCAGCTCCTCCGCCAGAGCGGTGATGATGTCGGCCAGCGCCAGCCCCTGGGCGACCTTGAGCGTGTTGATGGTGGCCAAGCAAGAGGTGACGTCACTTGTACTCAACAGCGTGTTGAGGATCTTCTTGATCGCGTCGGGGGGCGGCGCCGCGACGCAGTTGTAGATGGTGTGTATTGTGATAGTCTCCCGGACGATGTCCTTCTCGAGAACCTTGGGCGTGTTGGGTTCTCGGAGCGGTGTACCTGTCGCCCCGGTCGGTCAGTATGTGCATCGTGCGCAATAGGGTAGATAGGTAAGTTGGAAAGTGGAAAAAGGGGGGCCTACTTGATGCGTGACACGCCTGCAGCACGTTCAACGCCCGCCGCATGTCGCCTTTGCTCAGCCGCACAAGCGACTCGACGGCATCGGGCGCGATCTTGACGTTCTCCTCCTCAATCACCTTGTCCACCAAAACCCGTATATCCTGCTCTTTCAGAGGGCTGAAACGGAACCTTGTACAACGCGATAAGAGGGCGGGGCTGAGCTTGTGCGAGTAGTTGGCGATGATGCAGAACCGCGTGTTGGCCGTGTACTTCTCCATGATGCGGCGCAGGGCCATCTGCGCCGTATTCGTCATGGCGTCGGCCTCGTCAAGGATGATGAGCTTGAACCCGGCGATGCCTGTCCGCGCAGCTGGCGAGGCCATTGTGAAGATCTGCTTGGTGGAGGCGAAGGTCTTGATCTGCTCGCGCACGACGTCAATGCCGCGGTCGTCGGAGGCATTCAACTCGAGCACCATCTGGCGCATGTTTTCGGCGCCGTAGATTCGTCGGGCGAGGGCGAGAATCGTCGAGGTCTTGCCGGTGCCTGGCGGCCCGTAGAAGAGGAGGTGGGGCAACCGGTTGGAGTCGACGAACTTGTTGATGGTGGCGAGGATGTCTTGGTGGCCCGAGACGTCGGAGAGGGAAACTGGACGGTATTTCTCAACCCTGTCGTCGTTTTCAATCTCGATCAGCAAGGTTCAGGCGGAGAACGTAATGATTGTGCGCGCACCATGGTAGGCTGTCTTCGGCCTCGACAGGGAGATTTGCCGCGCTGCGCTTGCCCTTGGCCGTCTTGTCAGAAGAGAAAGTGATGTCCTTGGAGGGAGGGACATCAATGTCCATATCATCCTCAAAGTCGGACATTTTCGCGGCCGCCATAGTAGAAAGGTTGCAGTCGGGTATGTCTATCTGTTTGCGGCCGTGATCAGGATGGGGATGCACGAAACGCGCGCTCTGGTCCTCGACGCGTTCTTCTGCTGCGACCAATTTAAACGTGCGCCACCCTGAACATGTGCCAAGACCTTGAACAGCCACAACTGTAACACACTGATGTGGCTCATGCATCATATCGAAAGCGAATGGATTTTTGGCACGCAGTTATGCTTGCTCTGCACTGTCTGCATTGGGTAAGGTAGTATATCTCAACGCTGACAACGCAGCAGCGCATCTGAGCCGTGCCGCTAGCTGCTGCAGGAGGGAACAAGAAGCGAGATTACCGCCGATTAGCAGCAACGTGGGAGGAGAGGGCAACAGTGAACACGCTGATTTCCGAGGCCCTCTCTCGGACTTGTCTTCGCCGCATCTTCGCCGCAACCGACAGTACTGACTGCACCTTCGGACTGGCAACAATAAGGACACCGCACAGTCACACGGCCGACTGCAACCTGTAATTTCCTCGTGCCCCGTCAGCTTTGAGGCCATCGGATGCTTATTGGATGATGACGGAAAATATGTCAGCACCGCAGGCACGGTCTCCTTCAGCTCGTAGTTGCCTCGTTGGGTGCAAAACGTATATAGTATCAACGGGCCCCCGCGCTACGTCTCAGGCCATCCTGGACAGGACTCTCACAACATACTTTAACGGGACAGCCTGAGTCCCAGCCCTCTCTTCAACCCACCGTATCCAGGGCAGCATCGTTCAGTTCCCCTCCAACAACGCAAGCATTGTAGCGTCATACAACATGGACACACCCAAGGACAGGCCGATCCTGGTTGCGGCCGCGTTCAGTGCCTCGGGACACATGACCCCGCTCCTGCACATCTCGGAGCATCTTGTCAAGAGAGGGTTCCAGGTATACTTCATCACCGGTGCTGAGTTCAAGGCGTCGGTGGAGAAGATAGGCGCAACCTTCGTCGAGAACCCATTTCAATGGGAGCAGATATACTTCACGCAGGCGCCTAAGGTGCACGACGAGACCTGGGTCATGAAGTACATCTTTGGCGACGCGACGCCTCATACGCACCGCGCCCTGAAGGAGACGCTCGAGCGAGTCCGCAGGGAGCACCCCGGCTGCGAAGTCGTCATCCTCCACGAGAGCTTTGCCGGCGGCCTCGGGCCCTTCGTGTGCGGCGCGCCCCTCCCAGAGGGCTACACCTCCCTCCCTAAGGCCATTGTCTTCCACTCCAGCGTCTATGCCTCCGCGGACGACCAAACCCCCCCATTCGGCCCAGGCTTCCGCTACGACCCCACGCCGGAGAACCTCGCGCTCTGGCGGTCCACGCGGGAGGCCATGGAGCCGGGCTACCAGGGCGTAGTGGCGCACTACAATGCGCTGTACCAAACCCTCGGCGCCACCCGCCCCATCAAGGACGACTTCCTCGAATTCGTCCTGAGTCTCGGCGACGCCACGGTACTCGCGACAAGCCCGAGCCTGGAGTATCCCATCCGCAACAAGCCCGCGCGGCTGCGCCTGATCGGCGGCCTGCCTCCCAAGCCCGTCAGCCCGGACTTTGCCTACCCGGTCTGGTGGCCCACCATCACGAGCAACGCTGCGCTGCCCGCGGGGGATGCCAACAAGAAGAGGGTTGTCTTCGTGACCCAGGGCACCATCCACCTCGACTACAGCGAGCTCCTCCTGCCCACGCTCAAGGCCCTGGCCAACCGGGCCGACGTGATCGTCGTCGCCACGTTGGGCGCGCGCGGCGCAGAGCTCGAGAAGAAGCCCAAGGACGACCCGGCCTGGCAACTCCCGTCCAACGCCCTCGTCATCGACTACCTGCCCTATAACGCGCTCCTGCCCTACGCCGACGTGTTCGTCTCCAACGCAGGCTATGGCGGGTTCATGCATGGCGTGATGAACGGCGTGCCCATGGTGCTGGCGGGAGCCCTAGCCGACAAGGGCGAGGTGTGTGCCAGGGCCGAGTTCGCTGGTATCGCGATCAATTTGGCGGCGCAGAAGCCCGGGGAGGACGCCATCGGCCAGGCTGTGAATCGCGTGTTGGCGGACGAAAAGTTCAAGGCTAGGGCGATGGAGTTGAAGAAGGAGAATGATGAGATGGATGCGCTGGGGACGTTTGAGGGAATTATTTGGGAGATGGTGGGTCTCAAGTGAGAGTGGCATGTTGAGAAGCGGCATTGGATAACCGCACTTTGGACGGAGAACTGAAGCATTACTAAGGTAGTCCAGGAATAGTAGCGTGTTCAGGAACAGACTTGCCTAGGTACCTGAATAGACTTGATCGTATATCCCTCTACTTCAGACATTTTCATCCCCTGGTTTCGCTGAGCGATTTGCCGCATTACCAAGTTCAACACCTTCCCCCGAGTTGCCACTCCCCGCCAGAGTCTGAGAAGAGCGGAACACCGAGATAAAGGAGCGCCGCATCCCAGACATGGAGATCCGTGACCGCGACTGGGCCGTTGTCGACGCCACTGCCTGTCCAGTCTGATTGCTAGCCCCAACCCCCTCCACCGACCCCCTTGTCGTCCTCCGACGGTGCATCTCACCATTCCCTTCCGTATCACGCACAACATTCATACTCCTACCATTACCGCAGCCACCTCCAACCGCACTCTCCTGCTTCCTCAGCTCCTGCATTCCTATGCCCCTTCTTCCCTCCTCCCCCTTCTCGATTTCCGCCCTCCTATCCTTCCTGCGCCTCTGCGCCTCCCGCCGAGCCTGCTGCACTCTGCCCTTCAGCTCGCCCACCTTCTCGTCAATGAGTTGCGGCAGGCTCTGCGCTCCCACGCCGTCCGCCACCGTGAGCCAGGCGCGGTAGAGCTGGCTCTTGACGAGCAGCCAGTTGACCGTGTACGCCGTGGTCGAGTAGATGACGGCGCGGAGCAGCGGGGAGAAGGCGAGGGTGAAGGAGAGGAGGATCACCGAGAAGGAGATTGGAACTGTGGTATTTACATGTTAGTACAATGGGTTGGTAATTTTTGGTCAGCTAGCGGGCCGCTGGTTGGTTAAATTGCGCGCACTTACACATCAGGCGGAACTGGTCGCGCAGGGTGAGGGTGGTCTCGGCGCCGAACTCGACGTTGTTCATGCCGAACAGGCTGGACACGAAGGACAGCGGCATGAAGATGATGGTGATGACGGTGAAGACTACGATGGCTCGCCCCTGGCGGATGGTTTCCTCGGCCTGCCGGACCGCTTCGAATGTCTGCAGCACGCTGGCCTGCTGTTGCTTGAGTGAGAGCAGGTCGTTGACCTGGTAGCGGTTCATTCAGCAAGTTGCGTATTGCTTTCGTGAAGGAGATGTGAACTCACGCTCTGCGCGGTGCTCTGGGCTGCTTGCTTCAGCCCCTCCAGCTCATCGATCCGGTCGTCCACTTCGGATAGCAGCTCGCGAGACTGCATGCGGAACCAGTACAGCTGTTTGCATCTTTCAGCCGCTTCCTCCTTCCTCCGCTGCCGTTCGGCATCGTCGAGAGCGATGGGCTGGCTCTGCTCGGACGAGACGTTCGCATTCTGTTCTTTGCGCGTTTCATACATGGCACTAGTACCCTCCTTCCACCGGCCCTCTGGGTCTAGAATATGCTCGACGTGCTTGCAAAACCGCCGCATGACTTCGCGCTGCTTCTTGTAGACGTGCAGCATCATGTCAAGCTCGTCAACGATGTCCTTGATCTCCTGCTGGAGCTTGGCCTCTGGCTGGATGTCAATGAAAGGCTGGTGCAGGTTAAGCCCCTCGGCCCGCGCGGTTTTGGAATTGAACACCTTCGAGACATTTGAGGCCCAGTGCCAAACGCGCTGGAACAGGATGGTGTGTTTGTGCGTCTGTGCACCATTGGGTTAGGATTTGCGCCAGGAGCGACAGTTGTTGCTTCAGGGGTTCTGAGAATATGAGTACTAAATACTCACCACATTGCCAATCGCCTCAGAAAAGATGTCAATCACCTGCGGCTGGCTGTCCTGCATGGTGTCAGTAAAGCGAACCTCTTGCCGGTTCTTTCCTGGAATTTCATTTGGCACTCACGCTGGTCTTGATACGATCAAAAAAGGTGTTAGAGCACTCGTCAAGAATGATGAGCGCCAGGTCGTAAACAGATCGGATCTGGTTCTTGCGGGCAGATCCAAGCCGCGCCCGAATGGATTTGTGGACGCCGGACAGGTCGTGTTTGTTGTAGCCGTAACGCCTAGGGAACGAGGTGATGATGGTTCGCTCGTCCAGAACCCACATCCAGAGCTGGTCCACCATGATGACTTGCGATGTCTTCCGGATATTGCTCCTGCAGTGTTCGCAGCCGTTGTCGTCCGTATGCTTAGAATGATTTGTCCATTGCCATTGTGGCTCCGCACTGCTGCTACTAGTCGTGCCCTTCGTAAGTGGTAGCTGCTGTTGCTTCACGAGCTTTCCCAGGCGCTTGGTTTGTTCAGCTTGGGCCTTTTTCTGCAGCCGATGGAGGTCCTCCGGATTCGCGTTGGTCCCCCGGTGGACGACTTGGTCCCGGTCACGGCATTTCGTCGTTTTCAGCGTCCAGTAGTATGACTGATCAAGAGTTCGCCGCGGATGAAGCGGAGGATCGTTGTACAGGTACTTCTCAAACATTTGCTGGTCCCGGTACGTGGACATAGCCTCGTGGAGCCTCGCAGCGTCGATAAGATACTGTCCCAGAGGGCTTTCAACCTTGGGCCGATCGTTGGCGCCGATCTTGATATTCCAATGCCCTTCCTGTGAGGCTTCCAAAACATCAACCACGACATCGCTGAAGTTATCCAACTGCTTTGCTGAGTGCTTGGGTCTCCAGTGCCTTGGTAATCCCTCGTTTTGCTGGTCTTCGCTGTGCGAAATCCGCGTTGCGCCCAAGGCGAGACCACGCCTGAGTCGCTTGTGCTCTTGCCTTCTCTCCGCGTTTCTTGCCTGCATCTTTCTTCCATTGCTTTTCGGACTCGAGGTCGATAACCTTTGCAGCGGTGTTCCGCATCCTGTCCGTCTCCCAGTGGAGGTATGGCATCTGTGTGCTTCATCAGTTTGGTGTGCCTGCGGAGCGATTGGGGACTGGCTCACGAAAAGCACAATGTTCTTGGGGTTGTCCTCGATCTCATCCGTCGCTGGAGCGCTGGTTAGGGGTACGTTATGTTCATGAATGCAAGCATCCCGGGAACAGTGCTTACCAGAGGACACTCGCTCACAGAGAGGACGCATGTATCTTGCATGGACCATACCCTTCCGAGAGCCATGCTGCTGGCCGCGCCAAAACTGCGGCCGTAGAAGCATCCGGGCACAAGTCGACACGGGAGGGTCTCTGCGGTGATTGCAAAGATCCGGAGGTTCCTAGTCATAATATGCGGCAATTGCCTTCTGTTCATACATTGTAAGATTAGGAAGGAGATCAGCAACAGACCTCTCGGCTCACCTCAATCCACTACAACCAAATTTTGAGTTAGCTCGTGTCAGCATTCCAGCCCAGTGGGCGTGGCACTTGCCTCCATGTTGTTGGATGGGATGTGAAAGTATCGAATGCTAGTCGGGTCTTGTTTGTCGCATTGTTCCTTGGAGAGAACCTTAGCGTCAGAATCCAATAGACACTCAATTGACATTCGCTGATCCGGAAAGTGTCCTTTGAGGCCTTTGAAGCATTTTGCGTCAATTGGCTCCAGGCCGCCACCGCCCAGGCTGTCTGAGGTCGACGTCCTGCTGAGGGCGGTGTTTGTCGTATCCCGTGGTCTCTGCGGGCCAGGCATGGCTGTGTGCATGCGTGTGTATTGTATCAGGTAAGTATTGACATCACATTCGAGATTGTAATCTGCCTTCTTTCCGACAGCAGGAAGTTCCTTCCGAGTATGCTTCCGCACACACTCCCTTACTCGCAGTCGTTCCGGTTCAACCGATTGCTGATTGCCATTGGGGGGATGGCAAGCTGTCTCGTCGTCCGTGGTCGACACGTCTGAGTTCTCCTCTAGGGCATCAAGTCTCCGCGTTAGTGCCTGTCGATCTTCCTTCCACCTCCTCACTACCTCAATGCCCTCTTTGTATCTCTCCGACGCCCTCCACTGACGGGCGCTTTCCCCAACGTGACGAACAAGATGCCCCTGCCCAGTAGACGCCTGCACTGGTGGGTTCGGAGTTTTCCCCAGAGCCTCCCTTAAAATCTCGGTCCGTCTGTACTGGGCCTCAATGGCAGCAGCAGTGCTTCGCCTCTTCTCTTTCACCCTGCGCTTCGCTTCCTTCTTTCCTTCTTCGGGGTTGGTGGCGAACTGTGGGAGGGATTTGACGGCCTTGAGTTCAAAGTCATACTCATATTTCCAAACCACATGGTTACGATCGAGATACCGGACGCGCTCTGCGATATCGATGCAGGCAAAATAATGATTGACATGGTCTCGAATCGCTTCAGGTCGGTGCGGGAGGGCCGAGTGACAGGTAGACGGGGTGTGCTCCGGATCATACGCCGAAGGGTTGACTTGGTTTGCCCACGAGGACTGGCGTGTGAACGACCGTAATCTAGGCTGTGGAGGCTGCGACTCCTGTCGAGAAAGGGAAGCCATGTTCGAGAGTTGAGTTCCCAATTGCTTTGGCTGAACACCAACAGCTGCTTCCCCGGGCCCCGGCAATAACAACGACTTATAACCTATAAGGGACTACAGCTTCCTAGGACATATCGCAAGGCTGCCGATCTGGATCAGCCCCCGCTCAGAAGTCATGGTTCGCTCGAATGTGTAACCTACCGGCAAGACATTGCAGCATATCGAACGGCCCCCGTCCAATAGAAGAAATGCTTGCTGTCCGGAGCCCATGTCAGCTATGCATAGCTGATGCATCGTCTTCCGCCCCCGGGCGGCTCGGTGATCGATTGACCAATGCCACCCACCGGCCATAGCAGCCACCCGACCCGGAAAGGGCTTCAATTTACCAATTTCGTCGGGAGGCTGGAATGAGCACGAGGCTCGGGTTCGATCTCCTGCCGCTCTCGATCACTTGCATATTGACGAACTCGCGGATTGGAGTGGCCTGCTGTACGTGTGTTACACCACATGCGGCTTGGGTCAATAGTGGTTCCCCGGGCTTCCATCTCCGCGGTCGTGGTCCAGGCATGAGTACTGGATGCAGAGCCTCATGCTCCCCGTCTGTTTAGTTTTGTTCGCCGGGACCTGGAATGGATTGTTGGGGTATTGGCAATGCCGGTCACCGACCCTTGAATTCTCAGGTGGCTTTGCACTGGGCCCTTTGAGTGCTGTGTGGGGGTTAATGATCTTGTGTCATCGGCCGATGCTGAGGTATGACATGCTTGGGTGGGACTCACCGATCTCTCGACGTCATCGTTGCCCCAACAGCAGTATTTCACCAAGCCGCGCAGTCAAAATAGAACAAGATCAATCTCAATCAAAACATGAAATGATCTGGAAGAAGGCCGAGAAACAATTATTAGCGTACTTAAATGGTTCGGCAGTCATTTGCGCCCCTTGTGTCTCTCGTTGTGGTTCCTGGTTCGCAATATAAGTTACTCCCACACAGTACCGTGTCTGCTTGCTGGCGCGCCGCTGCGTCGAGAAGAGACTTCTCAGCATCGAATATACGATACGTCGTTATCCCAGACATGCAGAAGATCAAAGTACGTTCTTCCCTTGGGATGCGACAAGCGCGAGCATGGTGTTAATCGTGCCTTCAGAACACAATTGCCGAAAACTTCGGCGGGGCCGCGTCCCAGCTGGGCTCACATCAGTTCAAGCTGGACGACTGCCCGGACCTGTCGGGGAAGGTTGCTGTCGTGACGGGAGGCAGCGAAGGGATCGGCTTTGCGGTGGCCTACACACTCCTGAAGCATAACCTCTCCAAGCTGTATATCATCTCCGTATCGCGGGAGATAGCCGATGGCGCAAAAGCCGTTTTGGCCAAGGAATTAGGCCAATCCGCGGCTGACCGCACACTGTGGATGGGGTGCGACCTTGCTGACTGGTCCCGGGTCAAAGAGGTTGCCGACAAGATCAAGCGAGACAACGACCGGCTTGACATCCTCGTCAACAACGCCGGCAGAGGGATCATGACCGCGGAGCTGACGTCCCTTGGCGTAGACCGGCACATGGCCGTCAACCACATGGGGCATGTGGTCCTGACGAGTCATCTGCTGCCGCTGATGAAGCGTACGGCAGAGCAGGGCAACACCGTTCGCATCAGCAACCAGTCCAGCAATATGCACAACAAAGCGCCCAGCGACACTAAGTTTGCGAGCCTGGATGAGATCAACACCGACATGGGACCGAATGGGCAGTACGCGCGGAGCAAGCTCGCAGTCCTGCTGTATGCGCGGTACTTTGCTCGAACGGTGACCAAAAGCGGGCATCCGAACGTGTTGATGAACGCGACACATCCGGGATTTGTGAGCACCAAGCAGAGTAGGAAAGACATCTTTGAGGCGTGAGTACTCAGCTCTCCGATCTGCGGATATTGTGCCTGCTGATACTCGATGCAGCTTCCCTGTCGGGGGCTACGCCATGTCCCACGGCGTTGAGCCGTTCAAAAAGGACCAGTTCGAGGGCTCCGTTCCGACCGTCTATGCGGCGACCGTGACCAATGACTCGGGCCAGTACATCTGTCCTCCGGCCATCCCCGAGGAGGGCAGTGAACAGTCGCAAAGCGAGGAACTGGCCGAGAGCTTAATGGAACTGACGAGAGACATCATCCGGGAGAAGACCCGGGGCGAGTCAGCCGAGAAGGGCTGTCCGTTTGACGACATCGTGTTCCATTGAGACCCTAGCCGTTAGCAGACGTTGAAGAATTGAGTGACCCTTCAGCCCAGCTTTCCGTTTTGTCACCTGCTGCTTGCGTTGATCACAGCGCCAACTGGCCAAGTCTTGACCGCCTCCGGATCGACAATGGGTGGGGGTGGGGTCACTGTCTGCATGGCGCAGGGAGCACGGAATGTGTGACTTCCAACCGTTAGTTAGGCCAAACCACAGAACTGGATCACAGACCGAACGAACAGGAGCGTCTGATGACCAAAAGACGAGAGATCAGGTTGTGCGGGCACCCAGATCATGTCCGCGCGGTCGGCGAACAGCTGGGCTTGGAGGTGAAAAATGGACGAATGAGGGCTCTGGACCCCTTTCTGTTGCAGGCCCAACGATCTCAGTGTCTCGGGCCTCAACCCTTTGAATGGGGTGTTGCATCTGGGACCGTCACCCGGGCCAGGTTGCCACGGTGCTTGTTGGTACGTGATGAGCCTGCTGATTGGAAGACACATGCAGGCCACGGGAATGGAAGTGAAGCGGCTAGTGGGAGGCTGAAAGCCTGGGGTGCGAGGGAAAAAAATGTTGCGGAGGTCATAACGCGGCGCGGGCGCATTCCTCAATCTAACCACGTCGAGGTCCTGGGAGAGGAACAAATCTGGCACGTCTCAAAATGACATGTGAGTCAAGTTGGGCAAGAATGAGATGAGTAGGTGCATTGCATTCCATCGCACAAGCTCAACCCATTCGTGAGCACGCCAACCTTCTGTTGCTCACTGCAGCTAACCTGATTGGACGCGGACTCAGTGGAGGCTTCAGTAGACCCCAGACAATTCCTGCGAGCACTTTGGCTCCCACGCCAATTCCAGCTCTTCCCCACAACCAGCGCGAACCACTGCAGCGGATGCCTGCAGCTGCCGGGGTTCCCCTTGCGTTTGCAGCGAACTGGAGTGCCTCTACTGTTTCTGAGGTGACAGGTTCCTTTTCGCATGCAGCATTCCAATCTATCTTGCTGGGCCGCATGAGTCTGTCCATTTCCCCCCTTTTCTTTCTTCCAGCTCACTGCGCTGTACAGAGACAAGATGGACGGCTATGGTGCCTATGGTCCGTCGTCTAGGACCAGCAGCGCCCTGGCCAGGACACATCGAGCACAACAAGCTGAACGCGCCGGATCCCCGAGCTACCCATTGTCTCCCCTCCTTCAAGAAAGGCTTGAGCGACTACGGCGGGCCGAGAACGATCGCGCGTCAGCGCAATCGAGCACAGAGATGCTGGCCCCTTCGACGAGCTCACGGAGCCCTTCCTCCACCGACAACCAGCGGCCCCGATCAAGTGGAGAGTCCGAGCCTGTGAAGCCGAAGAAGGGCCTGGGCGCCAAAGAGATGGAGCAAACGCTGTCTACATTGCACAAGCAAAACTTCGACCTCAAGCTCGAACTTTATCATCGGAGAGAACGTCAAGCCGCTCTCGAGGGGCGGGTGGAGAGACTAGAACGCGAGGCTAAGGAGCGGGCCCAACTGAACGATGCGCTAATGAAAGAGCTCGAAAAAAGGGACAAGGCAGTCGAAGATGCAATTGGCATGATTCTAGCGTTAGAGAAGCGTGTCGAGCAGCTCCTACTTGAGAGAAAGATGGTCCGCCAAGTCGAGGCTGATGGGGCAGTGTTCCCGCGAATTGACTCGTCCAGTGTAACGCCAGCCCCGAATAGAACGCCCACATCCGGTACTGTGCCCTTTGGCGACGTCAAGACACCGACTCGCATGCCTAGCTTTGTATCTGAGAGGAGCGAGAAGTTTGAGAACCTGAAAAGTGCATACCTTGGCGCCGGAGATAGCGTTCTCAGCCTCCCGAGGATGCTTGGAGACACACCTGATACCGTACGGATGGACCCCAGACTTGCTAGCCCTGCGCTAAGCGATCTCAGCGAGAGTTCTTTCTGCAGCGTTTACGGCCGAGGGAAGCCTGTCGGATTGTCGTCACCACCTCCGAGCAGTCCTTGTCCGTGTGATGGGTCGTCGAGGAACCCAGTGCTGAGTCCCGAGTCTCCGACAAGGATTGGAACTGCGACTCCGAGCCAACACCGCCCACCCAGCTCTAGGGCCGCTAGTGGGCAATTCCACAACATCGGCGACGTTCTGGATACGGCCGCCTCACCTCCGCAGCAAATGGAGAAGCTGGGATTTGTACCTGCGTCCCCGGAGAATTCGTTGAGACCGGTAAGCGGGCAAAGAGACAAGGAACGGCCGTTATCTGCATGCCCTGCTACATCACAAGGGCAGCCAAAGACCAAAACGGAGAAGCGGGAAGCGTTGGAGAGAGTTCTTACCCACGGTCATTTCAGCAGCCCCCATACACTACCCCCGACCCCCGATACTTTTTCCAGCACCACGCCGCCTCACATTGACACGCCGTCGAAGCAAGAAAGCCCGGACAATAAACCTCTCTGTCTCCTACATGAAACAGCCCCTTCGAGGACCGAGAGCTATGGTGAGCGCAGACCACCGTCTCAAGTAGCTCAAGCAGTTTCCACCACAATGCTCAACGACCGTAGGCAGGCTCACAATGGCCGCGGCGGACGAAGCACCTTGCCGGTGGCACCGCAGGGATCGCAACAGCCGCGGTCGGCTCATGGGACCAAGGCTCCACCTGCGTATGATGGGTACGATTGCGGCGGTGGTAGTTCAGGACGCAGGCACCACATTCGCACGGGCTCGACTGCCTCAAGCGTAGACACCTGGCTTCGAGAGAGTCTCAAGCCGGAAAGCCTAGACGTCTTGGATCCTATGAGTTCCGTATCGCAAGCACGCGGGAGCATGAACAATGGCCGTGTCTCTCCTGATCTCTTCTCGTTCCCCACCTCGACATCCGGCTGGGTATCTCACGCAATGTTCGGTGTTCTCGGAGGACAAGGTTACATGGGCGCTGGCGGGAGGAATGCCTCCGCGACGCCGATTGCAGATACGATGGGTGCTATCGATGCATCGGTGCCGCCACCGCCTCTAATGGGCACTGATCGGTCTACTCCCACTCTCGGCACCAGACCTCACATGCCACCACCTCCCACTCCCAACAGACGGTCTAGTCTCCTTGCCAAGACCGGGATTACTACAGATGTCACATCTGGTATCAGGGATGTATCGCAGTCTCCGATTCAGCCTTCCTCACCCCCCTTATCCCATGTGAGAGCTCCCGCTCTCAGTAAACGAGTACGCAGCAACAGCACGAACCTGCGACACTTCTCACGCCACCTTACAGAGCTCGGCCTGAAACAAGACCGGGCCATGACTGTCCCGCCCAAGGAAGCCCACCGCCCACCGCCCGCCAACTATGAGATACCTGGGGAGCAAGATCCGGCATCGCAAGCTCTACCTAGACAACGGCACTACCCGCCCACTGCAAGTCAGAGCTCACGCCCACGGTCACGCGGCCTGAACAGCTTCTTCCGACGCTCCACCGGGTCGGCCGAGACGCCCCAACCGCCCGCTCCTCCCGCTAGCGCGCCACCCGCGCAAATGGCCTTCAAACCACCACCCATAGGGATCCCCTCCTGGGTGCGGCGCAACTCTTTGGCAGATGATGAGAGGTCGAGTGGTGCAACACCGCCCCCCATCTCGAGAAATAGGGCCAGTAGAAACGAGGGTGGCGTCGGCACGGCGAATGATGACGACGGTGGTGTGACGCTGGAGGCTTCCCCTGCTCCCATGGCGGCAGGAGGGGGCGTGCTCGTGAGTACGGAACCCGGCTGCGTATCGTCAGCCAAGCGCTCGAGGAAGTCGTGGGGCGGCACGAGTGGAGAGGGTGCTGGTAGTGGAGGTGTGCCGCTTGCCAACCCTGTAAGTAGCAGCGGAGGAGGCGGGAAGAAGAAATGGCTTGGCCTGAGAGTGAGTAGTCTGAGGAATCGCGGGGCATAGAATGCATCTAACCTACTCCTGGGCTTGAATGTGTTTGTCTTCTCCTCCGTGGAGCTTTTTTATTTGCTTCAACACTCGTCTTTTGGGCTGCATGCATTTGCCAATCCGGCCCGGGCATCTTGGCGGGCAGCTAACGGCGAGGCGTTGGGGGTTCAAGACGTCGCCAGGTGAGGATACATGCCGTCTTCAGGTGGGTACCGGTGTCCACTTCTTTGAGCAACAACTCTCGTTTACGACAGAGAATCAATTTTACCTCCGGTATCTGAAGAAGGAAGAGGTCAGTTTTCTGGTTGCAATGGAGGATGCAATTGGGTGCCCAAGGGTACCTTGGGTTTCTACGGCATGTACGCAATGGGAATATTGGCGCCAGTCCCGTGAGTCTACTCGGGCCTAGCTTACTTACTTAGCGTATGTTTGGCATCTGTGTAGAGACACGCGCAGCCGGGCACAAGCCGGGAGGTCTTGCGAAGATTGAAGGGCCGGTTTTAGTTGCGTGTCTCCTCTCTCTGCGTCTCGTTGCGCATAGTGATGACTGTTGCGGGTGTCCGCCAGGCTTAGTCAGCCAGGCCCACCGTAACCCTCCGTGCCACCCACATTTTCTGGACACGTTGGACCCTTCGTGCCCAACATCACCACTTTTCCATGGTCAATATTCATGGTGTTTTGCCTGCAGTGCCTGTGCCCTACAACAATAAATTGCGTAATTGCGCAGCTTGGTTTATAGGTGGTATGCCGCACAGGTGCACGAGTCTTCCAGCCAAGCCACGATAATTCGAGTTTTGGGTGGGCGAGGCCGCCATGAATGATGGTGGAACATGCTGTTGTCCCACCACCCCGACTTCCGGCAGCGCTGGGTGGGGACATAGGGCACTCGTCCCCTCAGTGCACAGTACTTTTCGCACCGTGCAGCTGTAGCCTTTGACGCTACCCCACCGACCCGCCAGTTGTCCGCATGCAGGCTACCCCAGATGCCCCACTTCATCCCTGTCGCACAACTCTAAACAAACGTCATCAACCTATCGAGGCCCAGACACCTACAGCAAACCGGAGAAAGGAGGTGCTGAAATCGATCAAGCTTGGGCAATAAGCGGCTCCATGATATGGCATTTCCAAACAAGCGAATTGCGAGGTCTGTCATGCATCTTCTGCAAGCACTGTATTATTATGAAACGTCGCTCTCGTCGACTCGCTACGTCATTGATGCCGTACCAGAGAAGTGCTGTTTCCAGCATTCCACCAACCAGGGGGACGGTCGGGAGTCATGCGTTTTGGCACATGATACCTACCAGGTATGCCACCAGTCGAAAGCCGGGTGGTGAGGGTAGCCTGCAAGACTACAGGGCACGAGACATGCTCCTCGACATGGATGGATTGGGGAGGCGATGATTGATTGGCTTTGACTGCCTGCGTGACCATGGAAGCCAAGTGAGCACGTGCCCTAATCAGCACCGACACGCAAACCTATAGAAAGCCCAACACCCGTCCTCTTCTCTGCCCATTCCTTTTCTTCCAGTCAACTAAGTTCTCACAGCACAGAGCTCACCTTCGCCACCTCAGCCTTCAGCAACCACCAACCTTTACATCGCCTTCAAACGTCTCAGCACTATGGATTCCATCTTTCTCAACGACAATCCACCTACACAATATCGCCGACCGCTGCGCAACATGTTCGCTTTTTTATCTGCATTCCCGTCTTGCGTGGTGCCCTACGGTACGCCGGGGCACCGATTTGCGGCAAGCATCTCCTCAGCACCGTTTGATCCTTCGTTGGCGCGGTATCTGAGATGACCTGGAGGCGCAAGGGAGTCCCCCATGTGCGCCAAAAGGCTTCTGGCTAGAAGCTGTCCCCGGCTTCCGAGCCGTGCGCTTTCGATGATGCCATTGAGGGTTTTGTCTGAGGGTGCCATAGTGCAACTGTTGGCTAGAGTATTGTCTGACCTACGAGCCGGCCGCTCTCGATGATGCCACTGAGGGTTTCCTGGGGGTGTCATAGTGCATTGAGGCCTTCTTGGGGGCGCCATTGTGTCCATCGCCATATACCGCCACCACCACCATTACCGCCATTATTGCCATTCGCCGCCATCACCACCATCACCGCCATCCGCCGCCATTCGCCGCCATTTACCGCTATTCACCGCTATATACTACCTACCTAATCTATACTGACTGGCTATACCAGGGCGTTGGGCGGATGGGCGGGTCCCCTGCTAGCCAGGCAGTACTTACCATCTACGTCGCCACTTACGATTTATTCTCTGCTATCTACTCCTTGTCGTGTGGGAAGGGACGGTGGGTCACGACCTATCTATTCCTTCATATACTTCGACATCTACTGATCCATCAATACTCCCTGGCTACTACACTGGGGTGTTGGGCGGTTGGGCGGGTCCCTGCTAGGTAGCCGGGCAGTGTTCACACTTACGATCTATCAGCACCTTTGCTATCTACTCTTTTGTCGTGTGGGAAGGGATGGGACACGACCTGTCTATTCTCATATTTACTTCGTCATTTGTCTTCTATCTCTACTCCCTGGCTATACTAGGACGTTGGGCGGCTAGGTCCCTTCAAGTTATGGCACTTGGATGGCAAGGGCAGGTTTAGAGATGGCGAATTTCGATCTGGAAAAGGGTCGGGAAATGGCAAGAGGTCAGGCGACGGAGATGGGAGAGAAGAGGACAAAACGGATAGCAAAGTTGAATGCAGCGAGAAAAGGAATTCGTTGAAACCAGATTGTCTCCCACACGCGTGACTTGTCAATCTTCACTACCTTACTACCCAAGACTACTTTGCCTGCGGTGCCGGCGCCTAGGAGGAAGGGCAACCAACAGATGCAGTGACCTTGTGAGTCTGGCTGCCACACTAGATGGCGCGAGCTGTCAAGAGATCCATGCCCAGCACTGTCCTTTCCGCAACTCGGACGAAGTTCGAGAACGTTCAGTTGGTGACATGACCGGTCCACAACTGCAAGCCCCTGTCAACCGCCGGTCTGACAGGCGTCCATCCTCAACCTCTCTTCTTGGCCACCCAGAACTGCGCCTGATAAGCATTCCTGGTCAACGCCCTCTCATCAAACCCATACACCGCCTCCACCCCGTACACCCTCTTCCCCGGCAAGGTCACCTCTTCGAGCCGGCATTCACCATCCCCGCCTAGCGGCATTGTTGCTTCAAGGTCGAGGAACTCGAATCCCATCCCCTCAGCCACAATCACGATCTCCTCCAGCGTCAGCTGCACGAAGGGTGCCGAGCCGTAGAGCAGCGGTCCAAAATTGATCCAGTACCCTCCCGGCTTCACTACTCGCGTGATGGTGTCTAGGTAGCTCATCAGGTTGCGCGCCGTGTCGATGAAGAAGTGTGTGACGACCACATCGTACGAGCCGGTATACTCGTCCTCGCGGAACGCCGTGGTGAAATCCCCCTCGACGAGCAGCACGGACTGGGGATTGAGCGGGACGTCGGGGAAGGAGATCGGGCGGAACATGTCGGCGGTGGTGCGGTGGTGCGACCAGGAGTCGATGAAAGGGTGGATTGAGGAGCTGTTGGGTAGGTTGTGTGGATGCGCAGTGAGGAAACGGTAGGCGAGGTTCTGGTAGGCGGACCATTCGTTGTTTGTTACTTGGAGACCTAGTAAGAGGTGACAATGTCTGGTTAGCAGCCGAGAAGTGACGCTGTTGTGACGCATGTATCTTGGGCTTACCTGGTAGTTGGGCCACTTCGTGCCCCAGCCGTCCCACGCCGGCTCCGGGGAGGAGGACCTTGACTTCTTGATCTGCAGCATTGGAAGTCGGGAACAGCTTTTTCAACGCCCCCAAGATGCAAGGAAATGCCGCGTCTCGTTCGTTGGCCCCGGATGCGGCCCAGTCTCGGATAAAGTGCTTCAAAGCCTGCGACACGCTCACTCTCTCAGGTGCGCGCCCGGCGGCTTTCATCGATCGGATGTGCTCGTCCAACTCTTGCTGCTCAATCTCGTAGAAGTCTAGGCCGTTGCGTACGACCTCGCTACAGAGCTGCTGGTTTTGCTCCAGGAGGTGGAATATTGTTGTGAACTTCTGGCTGTACTTGACGTCTCGCTCAAGAACCTTGATTCATGTCAACGAAGCGTAACGCAAGAGGCCGCAGAAATTGTGCTGTGTGCGCGCACCTTCTTCTGTTGCTTGGAGACATGACGGTACAGTCCCTTCAGCCGGTTGAGCTCCGTTTGTTGAGTCTCAGCATACGCAGAGAATCCGCGAAGGGCCTCAAGCAGCCGGTGGCGCGGGTGATGCTCGTTCCAAACACCTTGTTTCTTGTCCAGTCTCTGCCGCAGCATTTCCTTCTCTTTCAGATGCCGCTCAGTGTCAGGCTTGGCTAACAAAGATGCATCCTCAGCGAGAACCTCCATCTGACGGATCTGGTACACGAGGTATTGCGGCTGCTCAAAGTTAGATCTCGACAGTGACCATTGCCACCATAATTGCACGCATGGACATCCGGGATCCTTACGTCCAAGGCCTCAACACCCACTAACCCTTCTGCTGAGGCCCCGTCCCCTCCTGTTCCTGACGGATCTTCACCGCATAGTACAATCGAGCCGCAGAGCCAGCAAATAGCGGCCACGGTCCAGGTTATTGGCCGCATAGTTAGACAGGATGAATTGCGGCTGGAAGTTCTGATATTATTGACTGTTTCCTTTGGCGCAAGCAAAATTTGCGTACGGAGCACATGTTGAAGTCGCGTGGCATCCCATGTGAGAACCTTGATGGACAACACCCCACGCCAAGGGCCCTGAGTTGCCTGGCTGTAATTTCATGCCTGAGATCCCAGGCGTCAGCATCAGGCAAGCTGTATGAGGGCTCTTCATAGAGTCAACATGTCACACGATAGGATAGCCAGGAGTAAAGGATTCAGAGGGAGGATATGTTAAGAAGGTGCATTGAAGAAGATCATCAGAGGGAATATCGCGTGCTCTTCAATCTTGACGGCAAGCTGGAGCAGGTGCCCAAGTTATCCCTCTACCGTCGGTCGAGGAACGGCTTCGCAGGGGCAGCGGGCGGTTTCACTAGGTACTCTGCTTCCGTGTTGCAGTATGCAGAGATTAGAGGCAGGGAAAACAGTGTAGTAGTGATGAAGAAGGTGGAGAAGGCAAAGAACTGATGTGCCCAGCCAAGCTAGGGAACTGGCTTATATGCGGAAGGGCTTGAAAGCCATACTGAACATCATAAGACCACAAAGGTCTTCAGTACTAGTAGTTCAACACTCCGCGTAGTTGCTGCACTTCATAAGAATGATGCCGATGGGTGTGCTCACGAGATACATTCGGACAGGGAACCCAGTGTCCTATCCGGGAAAAAGTTTGCATAGAGCAGTGATGACCGGCGGACATTAGTCTTGGGTCTCTCGCCTCCGGCTGGGGCGTAGATACCTCTAGTAGTGTCTCCTTTATGGCCGAGGATGAGGGCAACCTGGAAAGCTGGATGATAGCCGCTAGAGGCTTGGGCCAATCTGTACGAAGTATAGGTGTGTGTTTTCAGTAATGTGGGTCCGTAGCGAACAAAAGGCTAGCACCGACGTAATCACATGAAATCAATGTGCCCGTACGGGTGCAGGCCGAAACAAAGGCCCCGGAACTTTCATGGAAAGAGTCTGCGTAACATTTGGCCGAAATGGAAACAATGGAAATTTCATTTCCCAGCTTAGTTTAGTATGCATTTCTAACCGCATGCTGGGAAAACAGAGAACGCAATGAAAGAGGTCAGAATGTGAGATTTAGTAGTGGTTAACCTGCATCAGCGGACGGCCTTATTCATTGAAACCCCCAAACCTCTCCGTAATGTGTATGCACCGACCGATTCCCCTGTATTCTGTATCTATATCCGTACTGCGCAGTCATTCGGTAACGTTGGCCGCTCGAAAACCGGCTACCCATGCAGGCTGCTGCATCCCCCGTCAACATCGATCTTGCTTTCGCGGTGCGCCCAACATCACGCGTCGAATAACTCCCGCCTTCATCGTAATCACGCGCGCCTGATCCAGGCCCCCATGCCAGTCACCATTCGGCTAGACCACCAGGGCCCCATCACCTATTCGTCAGCCCTCAGGAAGAACGCGGACATCATCAGCCAGGCAGCGCACTTGGCAGCTACGGAGGAACTCTGCCGGGTGCTCTGGGACAGCAAGGGAACAATCGAGGCTCTTGTCAGGCACCATCTATCGCTAGACAATTGTGATTCTTGCACCGTTGCGCCATGCGACCAATGGATCCGAGGCGGCTTCAACGTCTGTGTGCCGGTCGAGACGCGGTCGCGAGACGCGCATGGCGTTCCCAGGAGGCTGATCTTCCGTTGCCCCATGCCACACAAGCTCGCCGAAGCCAGGTATCCAGGCACAGTGGACGAGAAGCTGAGCTGCGAGGTAGGCACGTACGCGTGGATGCAGGATTGGTGCCCCGACGTCTGCATACTGCAACTGTACGGCTTCGCCTTCTCGGACCATCTCCACGTAGGTCGTCGCCTGGGCATCGCGCCGCCCGACCTCGTGTTCCGCGCTGACCTGACTTCATCTTCTGATAGTTCACACATGAGCGACGCATGCCGTTCTATGTTCGCTGGTGGCGCGCAATCCGACGCCACCTCAGCGGCCTCTTCGGGCGGCAGACCTTGTCACGCTACGCCGAACACCCCGCTAGCCGGCGTCTTCCGGCCGCCTATATGCTGCTCGAGTACGTCGGCCCGGATACGGGGCGGATGCCTTCCAACACATGGAGGGCGCACCGGGGCGACTCGACCAAGCGGCGCACGCTGTTCCGGGGCTTGGCCCGCGTGATGCTTCCCTTGGCGCGCGTCCCGCAGCCTCGGATCGGGTCGTTTCGCTTCAATCCCGACGGCACGGGGACGCTGACAAACCGGCCGCTGCCCTGCTGCGTCGCCATCCTGGAGAACGGCGGGGCGCCCAGGACGATGCCGCGCGACGAAACGTACGGCTGTCCCGAGCCGTTCGTCGCCGATATGCTCGCGCTCCACGACGGGAGCTTCCTCGCGCAGCGGAACGTCGTCTTCGACGCCACCGACTGCCGTGGCCAGATGGCCGCCAGGGGAAGAGAAACTCGAGGACGAGAAAGAGCGAGTTCGGGAGGACACGGCGACGTACATCGAGCGGGGCTACCGCAAGAACCGGTTGTACCAGGGGTATTTTGAGCGTGAGTTGGGCATTCTCTCTGCTTCTTTTGAGTGTGTAACGTTGTCATGATGGCTGAGCATTTGGTTTTCCGCTGCAGTGAGCCCGGAAGAGATGTCTTCCGAGGGACTGCTGGAAGATCCCCTCTGCCACATCCGGACCTCGGAGATCGAGCCTAGGGCGCTGAGGAAGGCATGGAGGCGATACGAGAAAGAGAAAGACGACTACCTGTCCCAGTTCTCGCCTGCTCTGAAATCCCAGCAGGACAGTCAGGTGGTCTGTAACTGATGGTCAAGAACGGAAGTTATCCAAACCCTCCCTCGCCTCTCTGCCTAATCGGGAATCCAGATTGATACACTGGGCTGAATCCAGAGGTACAACTCAAACAATCTTGATCAACCTTTGATCGCAGTTCCGGAATAGTGGGAACTCCCACTCGGTTGGTGCCCTGTGTGAGAACAGCAGGGGCTTCCGCTCGGGTGGCTCGCTTCCGGACTTGCGGGATGCATCGCCACATCTCTTGACTGCGGTGCAGAAGCCCATTCCGACCCTTGTGTAGACATCATCCTCCCCATGTTGCCTCTGCAGGACCAGGAAGCACGACACCGGGGGTATCGCGTGTCCTATCCTCGGATTCTTAGCGAAACGTGCGAACCGCTTCCCCTCTCCGTCGCGGTTCCATGTAACTAGCTGAATGCAAGCGTATTCGGCGTCTCGGTCTTCAAAAAATCTGTTCCAGAGACCGATGACGAGTTTTGTGAGCGGCCGCATGAGCTTGGTCAGGGTTTGGAGAAGCGCGGTACCCAGTCTACCTGTACATGATCTCAAGATCATGAGGGACCGAGTCCCGAACTCCTCCCTGTTATAACACCGGCTCAGTATTGCTTCCTCAAGCTCTGAACTACCAGCGTCACGGCAGTCTAGCCAGACGCGACAGTTCCTATCACGATCCCGAGGAGGATTATGCGACCGCCCCTTCATTCTGAAAGGGCCTCGGACGACAGGTCCTCTCAACCTCACAAACCCATCTGCGAGTCGTCCTGTGGGGTTCAGCTCATCCTCGGGCTGGCACCAGACGTCACAGATCTTGACATTTCTGGCGATGTGCGTCATGTAGCTAGAGTCGTTTGGCGGACCGTTCAAGGGGCCGGCCATGCGGCCATCAATTGATGCCCACGACCACGTTGGCGCTCTGTACCTGGCCGGTCTGGTGCCACCATCCGGCATCCACCACGTAAGATCAAGCGATAGACGGCTACCCCACAAGCCGGCGTAATACCTGTCCCTTTTTCCGTCCGTGACCGCGCTGATGGCGTCGCGTGTCATGGTGGCAAGCCCGGATATGGCCGCGAGCTTGTCCTCGGCTCTAGTGAGCTGTCGCAAAGAGTACTCTTTGACCATGTTCTGCCAGTCTCTCACGATGGTTAAATGGCTCACTTTATGTTCTTGCCCGTTTGCCCATCGATCCTGGCTGCTCAAACCTACGGCGTATTTGATACCATCTGACGGTGCCCCGTTGAGGACCTTGGCGCCACATTGGTGACCGCACTCGCAAGTAGTGCGGGCCAGGCATTCCCAGACCATCTCGTTGCCCGTGAAGATGAGCTTTCGGCTGGGCAAGAGGCTTTCCTGCATGGCCCAGCCTCTGGTGTCGAGGGGAAAGTTGGATCTATCGAAATTCGGCGTGCCCTTCCGAATGAACAGTCTGCTGCTCTCGCCGTGCTCAAGAAACTCCCAGCTCTTTGGCCATCTATCTTTTGACACCCGTCCCAGGCTTGCTGGAACTTGTGTCTTCAACGGCCGCTGCCAGCTTGGGCGGCCATACCGCTGCGGTCCCAGGAAACCGGACTTGCATGAGTCTGCTGCTTTGGCGTAGATAGTCAGGAGGGACCTGGCGTATATCTCGCCCATGACGGATGATTGCTGAGCCCAATCTTCGGAGCTGTCCTGTACGATACAGAGCGAATCTACCCAGAGATGCGGGATTCCAATGTTTCTGCAGACGATCACCGCGTCCGCGACCGACTTTGGCAGCGCTGTTTCGTCAATGTGTTTCATGTGGGTCGAGAGATTCTCCTCGGTGGTCGTTAGAACACCGTCAACGTCGGTGCCCCAACAGTAACTTAGGCAAGCATAGACTGCCGGGTCCTTCGACTCGACAAGGCGGAGGTTGTTCTGATCCTCGGGGGGTAGTCCGACGTATATTAGCCTCTTAGGCTTGAACTGGGAATCCGGAATTCCGCAGCACTTGTCCGTCTCCAGGCAGTGAGCGAGCCATCTAGCTATGCGGTCGAATGCCACATTCGAACGCGTATCTTCTACGATTCGAAGACTCGATCGCAGCAGGTCATGATCATAACCATAGGCCCTGCCGCAATAGCCGGGACGGAAGAGGTGTTCGTCTGATTAGGTCCGAAGTAACGGAGGGAACTTTGTCAACACCTTCAAACTTGGGATATCAACGTAGAACAACAGCGACTAACCTGCTGTCTGGTAAACCAGTTGAAAAGACATGTTGTGGTCCAAAGATTCCAAAGATTGACGTCCGCCCGCTGAGGCGCTCAGATACAAAGCGAATGGCTCACTGCCCATCTCGGAATGTTCGGTGCGAAGGCTCCCGAAGCCGTAGTAGAGGTAGATCTTCTTATTCTCAATAGCGTGCGACGTCCAGCCTGGGCAGAATTCGTCGATGGCCTCCAGAATCATCATGCATGCTGCACAGCCTTTGCCGCTAGATTCTCGAAAGGCGGGGAGCGGAGAACATCGGACCTTTTCGAGCTTTTCGCCCCAGACTCCATGTGCGCAGACTGGGGACGCGGGATACCACCATAATAAAGCTGGTATATCCCGAGGTTTGTCCATTTTGACGGTGAAGGAGCACGAAAACACCGTGATTCTGTGTTGCAAGGCAGTGCTAGTGCCGCTTTTGCTACGTGTTGGGTGAGAAGAGATCCACGGATGCTAGGTCCCGTTGGCGGCGTTGGGTTGGAACGCGGGGCGCAGACATGCATAAGGTACTGCACAATACGACCTGAGCCCACCCCGCACCGGCACCTAGGCTAGGAGGCCTAGGTCGCGGGCGAGAAAGCCCAGGAATTACTGTCCTATTTTGTGCCATAGCAGCAGTGGGAAGTTCCTGACAGACGCTGTTTCTTGGACAAGTCGGCGTAACGAAGAGAGTGAACATCCACCTCGCTCAAGGCGTATCCGTATTGTCGTATCTCTTCCTTAGGGAATACACTAGGCTACTACATCGTAGAACCACGGAAGCATCCATATAAGGAGAGTGGCGAAGGTCCAATTGACATGAATTTGTTGTGCGGTTTGGCTGATTGTACATACGGTTGCAGTCTAGGACCCTGCAACTCGGATGGAAGTGCCTGTCAGAATCATCACAAGCTAGGTAGGTGATAGGTACCTAGGTAGGTAGATAAGGTACTTCACCAGGTTGCACCTTCCTTCCAGTTTCACGCTCCAGACCCAGTCTTCGCGCTGACCAAGCGAGCAAGCCCAGCACCTGAATGCCTTCAGCTTGCAGCTCAGACAAGGTAGAACTCGGTCAGCCGTCGCACACCCACAACCTCCCCATCCATGACCCCGTCGCAGTACGCCTCCCCTACAAACCGAAACATCCTCCTCCCGCTCACCCCCCCTCCCCTCCCAACCCATCCTGCTCCACAGGCCTCAAAACAAACGGGATCCTTCCGCCGCAAAACACAACCACCACATCCCCCTCCCTCACGCCCGCCGGCCCCATACCGGGATACCCCTCTGCCGTGCAAAACGGCTTCTTCCCCGTCATGTAGCTCATACTCTCCCTATACTCCTCGCCCAACTCCCCGCGCGCCATTTTTCCTTGCCAATCCCACTCCTCCATCCGCCTCTTCTGCTCCGCCACATCAACTATCTTCTCACACTCGTCCAAAAACCGCACGTTCGCCACGCACTGCGCCCACTGACGCGCCGCCTCCGCTTCCTCCAAACCATCTCCATCTCCCAGCCCCGGGCCCGGACCCGGTGATACACCGGCGCGACGCATGCGCCTGCCGTCGTTCGTCCAGAAGAGATCGCCGATGGGCAGGCGCCAGCGGGCTTCGCGGCGCCGGGCCTCGGAGGGGTAGAATTGGGGGCGGTTAGAGCGGGTAGTAGTAGTGAGGGCGAGGCTGTGGTCGATGACGGCATCGACCTGGGCGAAGAAGCGCAGGTAGCGCGCCGCGTCCCACGACAGGTCGTCCCAGGCGGCGCCGGCGGCGATGGTGGAGATGCTGTCGACTAGGTACCCCGCCAGGCCGAGGGCGGAGCGTGGCAGTGAGTGGGCCGTCGTGGTGGTGGTGGTGGCGGGAAGGGGTTGAACGCTGGTTTCCGGGCCGCAGGCGCTGAAGAGGTGGGTTTCGACGGCTTCGTGGATGGTGTAGAAGGAAGGGCGGAGGTTGCCGCGCCAGTCGGGGACCCAGGAGGGGAGGTCGTTGGCCAGGTCGGGGGCCTTGGGGAACTGGGAGTAGCAGAGGATGTCGATGCGGCCGGTGGAGGGGTTAGTGATCATGGCACGGGCCGCGCGGGTGAGCATGCGGGCTTCCGCGGAAGCTTCGCCTGCGTTGGTGTAGTCCGGGGTGATATCGAGTGAGCGGGTGTCGACTGCCAGGCCGAGCAGCGAGAAGACGCGGTCACGGGGGAATTTGGCTTGGGTATCGCGGCCGACGTAGAGCTTGCGCAGGAGGGCGTGGAGCTGGTCCCCCGTGGCACCTTCCTCACCGCGGTCTAGCTTTCGGCGGCGCTGGCGACAGCTGAAGAGACGCGATGTGGGCTCCTCGACAACATCTTCCAGCAGGCTTATTGGCACCAGGGCGCGGGCATAAACGGTGTCCATCAGACGGGCGCCCGAGAAGTGCAGAATCTGGATGGCCAGCATCACAAGCTCGACCTGGACGCTCTTGGTGCCACAGACGAAGACGGTGTTGGCGCAGAGACAAAACTCCTGAACTGTCCAGGCTCGTCGGAACCACGACCGCGCAAACCAGTGTCGGAGGGTCTGGCGAGCAATGAGCGGTGCGAGTGTCTCTGCCCCTGACCTCAGCAGCTTGTTGTGGAACTGTGCAGTCTTTGGGTCGTCAGGGTCGTTATTGTTTATGATACGGCTCAGAAGCGGCCACCTTTCTTTGGTGTAGTAGCTTTCCATGCCGAAGTCCCGGGCCTCCTGGCCCACCGTCTGCCACGCTTCCATCAAAGCGTCCGAGCCATGCTCTTCGGGGTTCTGCCAAACCAGCACCAGCTCGGCCGGGCCCAGCCACACAAGTACCTGCTCGGCTCTCGTGTAGATGGGACCCATGAGTCGCACCTGTTCTCCCTTTTCGTCGTCATCTTGCTGGTTAATGCAGACTTGGTCGATCCACAGCCAGACCGAGGTGCGAGCATCGCGGAGGTGCAGCAGGGCCGTGTGCAGCGACTCGGTGATGGCCAGGGCCCTGGGCTCACCGGCGCTGCCCTCCGCGGGGAGCACAGCAATAGAGCATGGCGTGGCGCCATTGCCCCACGAATACGAAAGCGCCTTGTATTCGTGTGCTGGTTGTTCAATCCCGCTCACCAGGATGCGGCAATTGAGCTGCGCGGCCTGCGCCTCGCTGGCTGACGGCATGAGTTCGAGCAGGCGGAACTCGGTGTTTGCCTCGCCTAGCTTCGCCTTGCTGTAACAGAAGGGGAGGTAGGGCGGGCTCTGAAGCGACGTGTCCATTGTGGTGAATGCTCTCGACACGGCTCTGTGTCCGGCAAAGGTTGAGGAGGGGACTGTAGTATTCCGTAGAGAGTCCGAGTGTCTGACCGCCAAGACACCTCCGCGCGGCTCCTGTTCAGCTGAGCGCTTGCAGCGACAGCTGTTATCTTTTCCGAATCTCGACGGCTTACACCTTACGGGTCCCACGTGACTTGCACCGGCGCTAGATAGGCTGCGCATACAGCGCGTACCCAGTGCATCCTGTGCATACTCTGTTCACGCCTGTTCACGCCCTATGCACGCCCGCTATAGCCCAGCAAGAAAGGTTGTTATTGATCTCTAACCGAGCGGTCTCAAATAGCAGTTAAAAACAGTACCTATGTCAATGAGTAAAAAACTAGCTGCATGTCCTCTGCCCCCCATCCTACCTTATCATCGCCATCGTCTCTCTTATGACTCTACTAAATTTTCTGATGTTCTTTCTATTAGATTCCTATATATAAGACTACCTTATAACTAATATGATGAAAAAGAGAATTATAGAAGAGCATGTTTAATAACGTATCTTATAAGCGAGCGAGACATATAAGCGAGCGAGACACTAAGTTCTTGGCACGACGCGTCCTTCTTCAACCACCCCCAACAGCGCGTTTTTCCTATAACCAAGAATGTCTTCCGCTTCAAAGGAAGCTAGGGTAATCTTGGCCCTTCAAGCTCTTCAAAATGACACGAAACTGAGCCTCCGAGCCGCGGCCAAGCTCTATAACGTACCAGTTTCAACCCTCGGCCACCGACGTACCGGCCGAGCTGTACGACACGATCTTCCAGCTAACTCGCGGAAGCTCACCGATCTAGAAGAGAAGGCTCTTATTCAGTATATAATTGAGTTATCCGAGCGAGCTTTTCCACCAAGACTCCGTGGTGTAGAAGATATAGCCAACCAACTGCTACGTATATGCGACGCGCCCCCTGTCGGCAAGCTCTGGGCCCATAACTTTGTCAAACGCCAGCCAGCCCTCCGTATACGTTGGTCGCGTCGATACGACTACTAGAGGGCCAAGTGCGAGGATCCAGAGGTCATTGGCGAGTGGTTTGCACTTGTACGGAACACCAAGGCCAAGTACGGTATTGTAGATGACGATATCTATAACTTCGACGAGACTGGGTTTATGATGGGTATTATCTTCGCGGGCATGGTGGTTACAACCTCTGATGGCCGTAGCAAGGTAAAGCTGGCCCAGCCTGGCAACCGCGAGTAGGCAACGGTAATCCAGGGAGTCAATGCTCTTGGCTAGGCCATCCCTCCGTTTATTATCTTGGCCGCATAGTACTACCTCGCTAACTAGTATACCGAGTGCAACCTCCCAGCCGACTGGCGTATTGCAACTACCGACAACGGCTGGACGACTAATGCCGTAGGCCTGGATTGGATCAAGCACTTCGACTACTATACAGCGCCCCGGGTAAAGGGCAAGTACCGGCTGTTGATCCTCGACGGCCACGATAGCTATTACTCGACCGAATTCGAGCTCTATTGCCAGCAGAACAATATTATCACGCTTTGTATGCCTCCGCATTCCTCGTACCTCCTCCAGCCACTCGATATTAGCTGCTTTGGGCTACTGAAGCAGGCGTACGGTCGCTAGGTTAAGGACTTAATGCGTGCATATATCAACTACGTGAGCAAGCTCGAGTTCCTCTGCAGCTTCCGCGAGGCCTTCTTCGCCTCGATGACAGGGAAGAATATCCAGGGTGGCTTTGCAGGTGCTGGCCTTGTACCGTACGATCAAGAGAAGGTACTATCTAAGCTGGATGTAAAGCTCCGTATACCAACGCCCCTGAACTCGCGGGCTAGCATACTACAACCTTGGGTATTCCAGACGCCATACAACCCTCGAGAAGCTAACTCGCAGTCAACGCTCATCAAGACTCGTATTGCCAACCATCAAAATAGCTCCCTAACTTCGATGTTGGCTGCTGTGGACCAGCTTACCAAGGGTACGATAGCTGTAATGCACCAGGTGGCCCTCCTTCAGGCAGAGGTGTCTTCGCTCCGCAAGGCTAACGAGGCGCTAAGCAAGCGCCGGAGAGCCAAAAGAACACGCGTATAGCTTAGAGGATCGCTTGCAGTACAAGATGCAAAGGATCAACTGGACCAGAAGGCCGTGGTTGGGGAGGTGGCGCAAGAAAAGGAGCAGGATAGTGGTGGTGCAGGGGGGCTCGTACGAAGGTTCGGTGCTGTGGTGTGTGCGGCAAGCCTGGCCATAATGCCCGTACGTGCCAGGAGGTTGCAGAAGGGTCTGATTCAGCTGTGTCTGATGTAATTGTAGTTGGTTCCTAGTGTTGTTGCGTTGCAATTGAGGATAGTTGTTATAGAGTGGTGGAGAGTGTCTCGCTCGCTTATATGTCTCGCTCGCTTATAAGATACGTTATATATTTAATAATGGATTTATAGCAGATCTCGAGTAGTATAACTCGAAGCTAGTTCAGAGGGATCTAAAGCCAAATAGTAAGGGTTTATATAAGAAATTATCTAAGTATTAGGAAATATATGCTAACGTTAGTCGATATAAGTAATTATAAGTAGGAGTGACTATTAACGTACAGTAGGTTTGCCTAGATGTTTAAGATGGTTTCCTTGAGGACGGCGGTTGTGTAGGGGAGTTGGTGGAGGAGCTGGGGGGATTGGGCGATCAGGCCCCTGGCGAGGGACGGGTCGTGGCCGAAGACGACGGAGTGTTCTGGTCGGACTTTGGCGAGGATGTCGGGGTGACTGTAGAGGAGATGGTAGGCAAACGTGAGGGTTGCGGCGATGGTGTCGTAGCCGGCGAGCATGAAGACTTTCAGCTGCGCGATGAGGACGTCGAGGAAATGGAGTCGATGGTGTTGGGGGCTTTGCTTGTGCCGCCCGTAGTGGAGGCGAGGTAGGACTGGACTGAGAGGGAGATGGCCGTCTTGGGGCCGGTCACGTCGTTGTTCGGGTTGAGGCGCTCTGCAATGGACGCAAGTCAGACGAGCCAGACTTGGGAGTTGGGACCCTGCGAGCTAAGAGGCACTTACGATGCCATGCTTTTCTGCGACGGACCGCACCAGCGTCCGGACGCGGAACAGACGGTAGACGAAGGAGCCATAGGCAATGAGCCCCAGACCGGCGAGGGCTTTCCCGACGGGCGCAAAAGAAGGGACAGATGCCTTGTTGAATGCTGACATGGAAAGCCGTTCCCGAGCGCTGGTGGCCTGTGTGAAAAAGGGTTTGAAGAATCTCAACCCCCTGATGCGTGGAGTCGTTTATAAAAGGGAATGTGTGGGGATCATCAGCCTTACGGGCTTGACCATTGCAACGTCATGAGGACTGAATACCACTTGCAGGAATTGTCGGATTTCCGCGGGTGGAAGATGATGTAAGTCCTAACTTGGAGGCGACACTGGCCTAGACTGGCAGAGATAAACTATTTCTCCTGTACCCTGGCTGGGCAAGACCCGCAGTGGATATCCTAGAGGGTGATCGGTGTCTTGGCGTGATGGGTGATGGAACTTTCAAGCCGGGCTTTGCCCACCCTGAGCGTTGGAATGCCGGAGGATTACCCTTGGATGTCTTTCGAGTTGCGAGCAACCTCGATGCACGGATGAGTCAACGTCCACAACACGGGTTCACCGGGTCTTCAGTTCCGAATTCAGTCCACCGCGAGTCTGGCATATGTAACTGTTTATTGCGGTAAGCACTAGGAAGAAGGAACTTCAGCTTCCGACAAGGTGAGGATGCCTTGCGACGATCAGTATATGTGAGAATACTAATCAAAGACACCAAGGGGGGTTAGATGAGTATAGGAAGTAATACACCAGACAACCTCTATCCAGTTGAATATTCAAGATCCCAGCTTCCCAGCCAGGTTTTACAGAACCGTCTCCCCCTTCGCCATCCCTGCCCACTCCCAGCAAGCCTCCCACAGCTTTCTCTGTACCTCCTTATCGAGACTGACATTGGCTGGCGGCGCTTCATGTTTCCCAATAAAGTAACCCCTCCTCCCCTGAAACTCAGGCGCGACGCTGAGGGCGACCAGGTCCCGTCCGGCACCCGCCGTGGTCCGCACCGCGCTAGTCAGGTGCTTCAGCAGAGGCATCATGACGTTGACGACGCTCATCAGACGCTGGATTGCCGCGCGTTGCTCTGAGTGCGCCCTCGATCCGACCAGGCCGCCTGGATCCATGCAGGTTACCGTGATGGCGGACAGTTTGGGGTTCTATAGGGGTGACATTACAGAGTTTCCTGATTAGCCCCCTTCTCCCTACGATCCCGAGTTTCAGTAATCAGGACTGGCACTCACCGCTTGCAACCTTTGGTTCATATCGTGCATGAAAACTACATTAGCCAGTTTGGCCGTCCCATAGCGCGCGAAGCCCGTGTCATGCACCTGCTCCGGCTCGTCGGGTGGCGGACGAACGAGGTGCTCGAGGTCATCGGGAAAGCCGGCCCTCAGCTTGGCGAGCGGGTTCTCCTTCTCCGGGTAGTGCGCCGCCGAGCCGAGCATGACGATGCGTCCGGACGTGGGGTTCATGCTTCCGAGGAGCTTGAGAACGAGCACAAAGTGTGACAGGTGCGATACCTGGAAAGTGGCTTCGTAGCCATCCGAGGTCTGCTTTTGGCCGTTGAGTGACCAGGTGAAGGCGTTACAGACGATGGCGCTGATATGAGTGAGTTCGCCGTCGGAGATTTTGGTCGAGATGCGGTCTGCGAACGAGCGGACGCTTGTGAGGCTGCCGAGGTCAAGACTTTCGACGAGGACACGGTTCTGCGGATACTTGGACAGCAGTTTTATGAGGTTCGCCGTGTTGGGATCTGATTGAGGCGATGCGTTTCGTACGGCTGCGACCAAGATGTGCTTGGGATAGGAGGCGAGGAGGGCCTGGACGAAGCCAAGGCCCAGGGAGCCATTGGCGCCCGTGAGGATGATTGTCCCGGTCATGGCTCAAGTCAACGACGGCAGTTATGATACTGTCAACTCTCACTGAGTAGCAAAACACGCAGTGTGAGGTCAGTGAGGGACGATAATTCATTACTCTATTGTACGTCTACTTCAAATCTGGGCCTCGGTTTATATGTGTCTGACACTACCAGCTCCATCAGACATCCCTTCAGCACATGATTATCAAGCATTCGGCCTGAATGACCAACATCCACGGCCTTTGCTTTCACGATGTCGGAATCCCAGAGTCCTGCTGGTTTGGTTGTCTTACTAGTTGTGGGCCGCCAAACAAGGGAACGGAAACCCCCTTGTTGTTGGGGTCTTGGGGATTGGCTCAAGTCTCTCGGAATTCCGACAAGATCCACCTCGCAGAACGTGGATTGTGGAGCTCTCGAGTCCGTCCCCCATGGCGTCCACTCCTCCTCTTTCATCACCCGCAGGCTTTGAAGCCCGACTTGTCCGGCGCCACGGCGCTCCCGGTTACCGCTGTATAGGGTCCCTTGCTTACAGGTACCTAGCCAACTACCGACCGCTATGGAGACGCTATCATGCAGCAGTTGCAACAGGACATTCCCATCAGGTATGGAGTGCGGGTCATAGCCGTCGCAAGCCCGACCCGAGATCCTTGGCCATTGAGGGCCAAGGACTTGAGCTGATATCGGTTTCGCTAGGTCTGACCCTGGAGCGTCACCGTCTGCGGTGCCGATTCCGCCCTTCTAGCCGGCGGAAGGCCTGTGCCGAATGTTCACGATCCAAGGTTCGCTGCGACCAAGCCCAACCGAGCTGCGCGAGATGTGTCGTCCACGGCTTGGTGTGCGTATACCCGCACGCCGACGGACCCCGCGCGACGCCCAATGGACCAGCCCCTGTTTCGTCAAGTTCGCAAGCCGCGGCTCTTCCACTTACTTCATCCTCACAATCACAATGGACGCCACCGAGCCAGGAGGGGGTCTTCTGCGCGCCCTCGGCTTTCCTTTCTCTCCCATCGTGGCCGCCGGCCTCCGTTGCGGAGTGGCAGACTAACATTCTCCCGTTACTCGATGAAGGCTATTACTGCCCGGAGCTTTCCGCTGGGATGCTCGTCGGAGCCAGGCTGGCCAGCAATCCACATCTCGAACAAACCCGAAAGCAGAGCCCCTTCCAGGACTTGTCGTCGTACCTTGGCGAGAAATGGAAGACTGCCCAGCAGGGACTCGACCTCATCGACCGCGTCCTCAAGGCCAATGTGGATCATTTCGCCAGTGGCTTGCAGAAGCCCCTTTTTGTTCACTTTCAGGATTGGGACATGACCATAAGACCTGCGTTGCTGTGCGAAGCGGTGTCGGTGGGCCAGCTGTACATGTACACGTCGCGGACTGCGCAGTCAGACGCTGTGCTCCTGCGGGCCATCGATACCCAGCTATGCCAAATCCAACTCAAGGTAACCCCTCGGCCGACTAATACGTGATACCAAGCGGAGTCATGCAAAGTATGCGTCGCTGACATGGCATGTTCCAGGTTCCCACAATGCAAACCGAGCGTGAAGACCTCGCCATGTTCCAGGCAGTCCTGATGTACGCACACATGCGGGTGTACCGCGCTGGGCCCGTTGCCTCGGAGTGCATCGACCGGGTCTCACTCAGACTCATGCAGGTACGCCGCCTACGCCCCCCCGCCCCACCCCCACTCCCCTTTTATCCAGCCCGTAATCCAAAACCCCACTTCAGCCCGCTGATAAACACCGACTGACTGCTATACAAAAAAAAAAAAAAAAAAAAAAAACAGCATGTCCTAAGCAAATCCCTCCGCTGCATGACCCCCCAACCTCCCCAGCCCCAAACGCCTGGAAAAGCTGGATCACCGACGAGTCCATCCGTCGCTCCTTCTTCACGCTGCACGGGCTGGACTATGTGTCCCACGCGCGACAATCAGCCGCCACAGTCCTCTGTGCGTTGTTCCCGAGCGCCCCGCTCCCGCTGCCGGCACATATCTGGGAGGCGCCGAAGGCAGACGAGTGGGCGGCGCGGTACCGCGCCTGGGAGGAGTACTGCGGTGCCGATGGCCCCCTGCGAGGGAAGGATCTGCTGTCGTGGGTGCAGGGCAAGGAGACGGGCCGGGAGGGGCAGCTGAGGGCGTGGTTCCAGGGGTTGGAACCCGAGTTGAGCGGGATCGTGTTTGAGTGCGCAAGGGCGCAGGGAAAGGCGGAGGGGGCGGAGGGGTTGGTTTGAGGCACACGGTGGTGGTGCTGGTGAGGGTTGGGGGAGGGATATTTTTGAATTGCTCAGGGAACGCCGTTAACGGGTGGCGTTTTTACCTTTGAAGGCAATATAGACATACTTGATTCATAACCACCTACAACGATTACGCTACACCTAGGAACGTCGAGGATGCGCACGGCTCTTCCATAGGACCTGTATACGTAGCTACCGACACCGCCGTATTTGTTTTGGAAGGCATCAACGGCCACACAGATAAGGGTTTAAGACACGGCAAGGCCAGATTTGCAGCTTAGCCATCGGTCAGCATATACATGTTTGAGAGCATATGACCTTAGGATGGCAACGCGTCACATACTTGACGAAAACATCCCAGAAGTCCAAATCCATCACATACTTTCAGAAGCTTAGACTACCTAAATTCTTCATGTATCAACTAAATATACTCAGGCTCATAATTTAACGCCGTAGACCCTCTATATATAATTCTTGAAATAGTTCAAGCGTGTGAACTCCAATGTCTTCCCTCTCCACTTAGCGTAGTAGCATGACAACTATTTCACGCTATCCAGCTACTATGCGTACTTCCTATGGAAATGGTTATATATCACCGCCGGCCGGTAGTATTTGAATGTCCTTGCCTTCTAGGACCAGTTTTATCTCTAATACAAAGTAGGCATTGCTTCCTATCTATTAGGGGTGAATAGGTCTGGCCTAGGAGTCTCCTCCTTGACTATAATATCGGCCTATACTATTGGCCGGATATGGCCCCTTTTTCTAGTCTCTTATTTGCTATATAAGGCGACTATAAGCTCGGCCGCCTATATATGGATTTTAAGCAGCTCTATGGTGCTTAAGTTGTCCGGCTAGTTAGAGAAAATCTCAGCGAGCTAGGCATGCTTAGGTATATAGAGGTCGATAGCTGGCTTAATATACTCCTCCTCCTCGCCCTTGTCAATGGAAGTAATGTTCCTATTAAGCTTGCCAGATAGCTTTCTTTTGCTAAGCCTCCTTAGTCTTAATTAACTTAAGAAGTCCTCGAATCCAGTCCTTATATTCTATGCCCTAGATCCGGTACTACGTACCTTTGAGCTATATCCTTTCTATCTTCAGAGCCTTAATCTCGGGATCGGGGGGTATTATGTCCTAAACCTGATCGGCAACCGTATCCTTTCTCGCGTGGGGATCACGCATTTAGCTGATATGCGAGAGCATTGCAAGAATGCTGTCTTCGGTTAGCTCCTCGAGGAACGCATTTTGAAGGTGGAACCGGACCTTGTCGTTGATGTATACGCTGTTGAACGTAGCCTACTTATGGTCATGATGCATCATCTGATCGCGAACAGCATCAGAGGCATTGCCTGCGCGATGTTAGAATCGAATGCTGGTCCTCGGGTCCTGAGTCCGTGACAGGCCTGGAAATTGCCATTCTGGTACTCTGCGTCATCCATGGGCTGAAGGACAACATAGTTCAACAAAAATCGGCGACCGGTTCTCATAAAGCGCGACAATACAGTTGATCATATAGCCGAGCCACCAGACCCAGCATCTTTCCTCTCGTATCTCCTCTAGTGCGGCATTAGGAGACTGTGAGGGCCTTGAATATAGTGCTTAGCGCTCCTGTGTGCTCGGTGCCGTGTCCCACCCGCTTGCTAGGTAGGCGATCGGGAAGAGGGAGAACGACAACGCGGTCAGGTACCAGCGCCGAACTGGAACGAGAAAGCGGGACGTGGCAAGGGGCACACTACATAGGGCCTAGCATGGAGCCAAAGACTAGCCCACCACGTTCGCTTCAGGCTCGCCGACATGGAGTCCCTACCACTTGAGCTCCTCGGCGCCATCGCGCTAAACCTGCCAATTGCCGACCTTCGCCGCTTTCGCCTGCTGAGTCGTCGTTATGCTGCCGTAGGATTCCCCGTCCTAGTGCGGAAGCTTTCATTCCTAAACACCCTGGATACCGCGGACGCGCTATAGACGCTTAGCCGATCGCTGTACGGCTTGCTTAGCATGGCGCGCCACCTTACTATATACGACGGAGCCTGGCCTATAGCCGCTTCGCAGGAGGAGTAGGTGTGTTATTTCCTCTTTTTTAGCGGTAGAACAAGGTATAACCCGATCGCCACCCAACTAGTATACTATCGCTACGAGTAATTTCTTCGACGGGAAGCATCCTGTACGTTCGAGACGTACGTCTAGCTATTCCGTATTGTTCTCGCCTACTTCCCTTCCCTTAGAGAGCTTATGCTTTCCTATATCTATACCTGGCGGATATAGTATCTGGACTACGCGTACTTTTATAACCTTACAAACAATATCTAGGTGATCTTATCTTTTGAGAGCTTCCTGGCAAATGCTATATTATGGCTACTTCCTATCCTAGGAACGTACTTACGTCTTTAATAGCTTAATATAGATGGCCTCTTAGATATATCGGACCTAGAGCCAGGACGGTATCAGTATAAGACTATCCAATACCTCTACCTAAATACTATCCCTGCTGGCAAAGGCCTTGATAATAGCATAGCCAACTTCTAGGGCTTATAACGCTATTGATTAGTGTGACGAAACCACAGGCAGTCCTGCCTCTAAAAGGGTTCGCCGGTCGAAAGTAACTGCTGATCGGACTGTAGGTCTTGGTGAAGCTGAAAGGTTCACAACAATGCTAGTCGCAATGTTTACACAATAGGTGGAGGCTATTGCTTGTGTTGCTCACTGAGGAAGCTAGCTATCTGAATGAGTGGCAGAATGGTAGAACTATATACAGCTTCCTCCCCTAGGTATCCCGTACCTAGATCTCTGGAACACTTGGAACAATTGTTGTTCTCATTGTTCCATCTGGAATAACGCTTCTTGGCATTGTTCCCCGGGAACAATCGATCTTGGCATTGTTCCTGACCTCTCCAATCTTCATTGGTTCTTTCTGACTCGTAATGATTGGATACGGGCGCCGCCCGTCGACCATGCAGGTCGGCCCCCACCGGCCTCTGCAGGTTAGTTCATGACAATTAGGACGTTTCTATACGGCCCTATTAACTACTAGCAGCTGCTCTTGCAATAGATGTGATAGTCTGACCTATAATTCTGCGATATTATAGATACTTAGATGCCGGAGAATAGACTTTTCCGCTTCACCGAACAACACCTCCTGAAGCACCTGACCTTAAAGCGAGTTAAGTTGATGAGCAGTTCTTAGAAGTCTTTCTTCAGTTGAGTATGCAAGCTAAAACCGAGGTCTAATATTATCTATAAGGGTATTCTATCTAATAGAGGCTTAGAGGGGTATTTTATAGAGGACTTTAAGTTGTAGTACCTTCTAGATTTATTCTTTATAGATACTAAGCGCCTATAGCCTTTCTAGGATCTAAATAATAATATCTCTATTATCACAGTGACTGTCATTGCAGGCTAGGCTCAAGGCTCTAGTGGGCAACTGACTATATTGTAAGAATATTGAACTTGTAGAAGGAAAGGAATCCTCGAAGACTACAAGGTGCAAAGAAGTCTAAATATAGGATGTAGGGCATATGCCCAGATGTAGAAGGTGGGGCACCAACCAAGTTGACCAATCATGCATGCATGTACTGGAAGCCCGGCATATGACTAAGCAATGGCCTATACCATGGTACGATGAGTTCCACCATCATATTTACCTTTTAGCTATACTATTATATTAGCTGCTATTTTATACTCTCTTAAACAATGTCGCGGCGATTTTGTCGCCATTTTTGGCAATTTTGGTCGACCATTTCTGTGGCACATTCGCCAAAATTCCCTCGCCGCTTTAAGCCCCACCCGTTCGCTGGGTCATTGCTATATCCACACCCTCCTACCGCCATGTAACTGCTGCCCTATACGCTTGTACCTGAACCTTATCCTGAAGTTAGGATCAAGAAGAGTTGTCGAACATACGCACTGCACAATTCACAACGAATGCCGCCGAAAATGGCGGCCACGCTTCGTGTACTTAAGCTGGGCGTTCCGCCAGTTCCCAGATTGGCGTCGGTCTTCTTATCCTTCTTATATCCGAACAGGGACTCTTTCTTATCATTCCCTTCTAGTCCTTCGCCTGACCCGTAGCTTTGCCGCTCTTTTCTCTATCGCTCTTACCTCTCTCGTTACTCGTCTTATTGCTTAACTCTTCCTCGATCCTCCCCTTATTAATCCTATTTACGACCGTCTCTCGACTTGCTTTGCTTGTTGCTTTATACTTCTATACTTCGATACTTGTTTTACTATGCCCTTACTTACTCGGGGTTATATCGGGCTTGTAACTAACATAAGACTCCGCAATAGCAATAACAATTATTGCTGCCATCTGCCAGACTGTTCGGATGACGAGTTCTCCCTGGTTGATAGATCGGGCGATGAAGTAGCAGATTATAACTCGGACTACTCCTTAGACCATAAAGACCTATTTGACGCCGAACAGGCAGATACCGCCGGGTACAAGACCGATCTAACTGACGAGGATGACGGTAATATAGAAGATAAGGCGACGCTCTTAGGTAGAAACCTATATCCTCCCAAGTACTATATCTCTATACTTTAGGAATTCGACGAGTCTGCTTTTGATATATAGGATTATACACCTAAGTCTACCCTCCTGCTGAATCGAGTCGAGGAGCAATGGAATAAGTACGTTTGCTGCTTATCCAAGCCTTTATATAAGTTCTTACCATCCGCTGCCTAGGTACTACGCCTATATTAAACGCAACCTACGCGAGTGTTTCGAGTCCGTCTCGGTTAAGCTTCTCTATACGTTTTTCGACTAGCTTCTTAACCAGAAATAGGGAAAGGATGGAAGGAAACTATAGGGGACTAAGAAAGCCAGCTCTCTTAGAACTTACTGGAAGGTGTTCTGGCTTGTCTACGAGAGGGCTATAATAGAAAAGCTTGATATAAAGCTAAACCGCCAAATGCATAGGGTATATATCACTGTAGTACACCTTCCTAACAGTACGCTAATAGCTATAGGCCCTTCGAAGCATAGCAAAGAAGCATAGCTTAAGCAACGAGAAGCGCGAGAAGCGATGTATGACGATCGAGGACCTAAAGAAGCAGATTGACACAATCGTTAGCACGATAGACAAGACTTTCCATGTCGGCGAATGCCGCGTGCTCTATGCCTTTTTCTACGAACTTCTTGCCCCGAGCGGGTCCCGCCCAGAAGCCCTGTTGCTACTACAGTTTAGGCATGTCTGAGTATGCCTAGCCTATAATCCCGACGGAGGGCCCCACCAGATTGTCATCTGCTTTACACTCGAGTATACAAAGGGGTACCTTAGCGCAAAAGACGCGTATATTCCATTTTGATCACCTGCGAGAGCTATGCTAACTATAACGTTAGCAACACCTTTCCTGTGCCCGAAGTCTTATAGGACCCCTGCCTCCTCCTCAGTCCATATGTCTTCCTCCTAGGTGTCCTCTTCGCCAACCAGGCCTTCGAGGCGCCAAGTCTCATATCTCTAGAGAAGCTATACCGGCTTGATATTCACCTAGGGGAGTAGGAGCTCCTATTACCGCTTAAAGAGAGTCTAAGCAAGACATTTATATTCCGTAAGGTAATCAAGACGTTGCTCGGATATATGATATCCAACGAGCGCATCCCTTACTCGACAATGGCCGAGTAGATCAAGCGAGTCGGCAAACTCACTGGATTTAAGATCTCGACTATCCTATATAACCTCCGCTATAATGCCGCCAGCGAGTTCGACAAGAGCGGTAGATATATATACCTATAGGATAGCGGACCTCTCTACTGACCTATAGATAAACAGCAGATGTAAGCGAAGGGCTCCGAAATCTAATCCTCTAGCACTCGGACTCGAGGGTAATATTAAAGTATTACCTCTAGCGCGAGATTAACGCGGATACTATAGGCATTATTCGAGGTCTAGAGCCCTAGCGCAGCCTTATAAAGAATCTTTGCAGCTTAGGTTCCTCAATTAGCAAGCGGCGGCCGACTAGACTGACAAAAGTATAATCGGCATCGGTAAACTAGGACCCTTGCATTAGGGAGCTTGTCTGGCGTCGAGACGTTCTCTACGCGCGCTCCCGGCAGTCGGCCGAAGTACGACGCAAGTACGAAAAAGCGGCGACGAGAGTTACTAAGGAGAAACTAAGGCTGAGAAGAGCTCTTAAGTCGCAAATCCGAGAGGAGTTCGATACTTGGCAAGCCATAGAGGATATCGAGAGGCAGTTAGCCGGTCATAGATTCCAGGACATGGTGGCCGAGGCCACCGCCGATGACTAGCTCCCTGCCTAGAAACATCTTGTCAAGGTATTATATGCCCCGATAGACTACAAGACCGTCGAGGAGCTATATAAGCGGCGCGATACTATAATTAATGCAGTAGCTACGTACTGCAAGGTCAAGGAAGGCTGGCGCCTACAGCTCCTGTCCGAGAAGAAGGCTTCAGCAAATATAGCACTTGTCAAGACCTATACAAAGGATCCACTAGAGGGCAGCCTACTACAGGAGGCGCTACTATCTATGTTTAAGAAGAAGATATATCGGTGTTTCCTTTGCGTTAGGAAGGCTTACTCCATTCGGGTGGACGACCTACGGTTTCCGCCGCTTATCCACGAATTCTACTCCCCTAGGGACATAACAAAGTACTTCCGATGCAAACACCTATCGAATCTACAAAAGGACAAGGCCATTATATATACTGCTTGCAATCTAAAGCTTATATATAAGGAGTACCTCAAATGCTATGCCATTAATATATATAGAACTGTGCCTTGATTGCCAACCCAGGTAAATATAAGCTGTAAAGTCCTAGAGATTTTGCCTTATAGTCAACTATCTTTAAGTGTAACTATAGATAGCTATCTAGGTCCAATTATACCCTAGCAAATATAGAGGAATTTTGCAACTTATTGTATATTATCTACTCCCTTATATTAATTTTATCTTATCGCCTTCTATACTACTATATATTTGACGTCCTACGACGAAGACGAGAGATCTAATTGTGATTCTTCTTTATATTTAGGTGCCTATATACCAACTAGAGTATACTAGGTGTTATCCAACGTTTGGTTAGTCGCCTTTATATATATTAATTTGTGGTTTAAATCAACTAGGATTGCCTTAACTAGCATTAGTAAGTCAGTCTCTATAATACTAGCACTAGAGCATGTCTACTTCCGGCAACTCGAGGGTGCTATAGACCTAACTAAGGGACGCTTGGACTCGGCTATTTCGGGAGAAGATACGTTGAGTTTCTATCATCTAGGAAGGTACTATCTCTGCTATTGGTACGTATAATAAGCTAAGCCTAGAGTAGGCCTTAGTAAGTCTCGCCTAGCTCTTATAGGAGCATGCCAATCTGACCCGGCCTTGTTATAAGTATAGCCATAACTATAAGTCTAATAGTATATAGCAGCTGGCGTCAAGGTGCGCTTATCTTATTTGATCGCAAGAGCTCTTCTAGTTTCTCTTCCTTTCTCCCTATATTATAATACTATATAATATAGGTCTTTCCGTAGCTCTGCCTCGGCCAATAGCTCTCTACTTGTAATAGCGGGCATATTATATTTATAATCCTTGGATAACGTGATAGCCATTTACCTACGTACCTTTTCTACTATCCTGGAAACTACGTATCTTTCCTACCCATTTATATATATACTCTTTCTTCCATTTAGATATATATCTTTCTACCGGCAGGAACGGTATATACCTAAGTAAAGAGCTGCTATCTAGATATATACCTTTTCTGCCATTTAGATACGTATCTTTTCCGCCGGCAGAAAAAGATACGTATCTAAATAGAAGACCTTCTATCTAGGTATGTAGCTTTTCTGCTATTTCAATATATATTCTTTCCGCCGGCAGAAAAGGTACGTACCTAAGTGAAGACGACCGGAGCAGTTCGATAGAGTAGATTCTCCAGCTGCTTATAACTTAGAATCAGCGCGTGACTAAGATCGAGCACCGCCAGGCTGCTGAGAATGAAGTATACCAAGCCAACTCCATAGAGGTTCTAAAAACAGAAGCCAATATATGCTATGGATCAACGAGAGTAAACTTGACCCCCTGTTTGGCTAATCACGCCTAGCTAAGGCAAGAATGGAAAGATGACTGTACTTTAAGAGCTAATTCTAGCTCAAGCCGAGGCAGCGGTCCTCTACAGTAACCCTTGCTCGCTGGACTAAATGGTTTGTACTTCATAGCAAGGCCGTTTACAGCTCTAATAGAAAGAGTATATACCCTAGTGACAGAGTTAGCTTAGGGACGATAACCCTCGCAATTTTGCAAGCAATCCCCACCTTTGTCTTAGAGCCCGAAACGGCTCTGGAAGAAGAGGCTTCGTTCGTATGCGGGAAGACTCCCTAGCTCTCGCCAAGCAGCGTATTATTCTATATAAAGCCGTTTCCGGCCCTTGCAAAGTGAGGAATCCTTATTGATCCTTGCTGCCTACGGAGTATTACTGCATGGAAAAGCCGTTTCCGGTCCAGCAAGAGCAGTGATGCCGGACACGATACTTGTAATATCTTCTGCCCCCCGCCGGGTGGCTGCGCGCTAGAAGCGCCCCGGAGCATGACGGTAATATGCAGTGCGGTTGTGGCCTTCTGAAGCCGGTTACGGCTCTGGCAATAGTAGGGATGACGGGCCATAATTCTCGCAGGCCAAGCGTTCTGCCTAGGCATCAAGCGGTTAGTCCAGGGAACTGCTGTCTTGGCTGAAGCTAGAAATGGCTGCCCAGAAATTTTCCCATATCTTCATCTCTGGTGCACAGTTTCTTCCATCTAGCGGGTGCTTGACCCTAAACGGCAACTATTCCTCGTCTCCTCGTACATTTCCTGAGTCCTCCCTTGTCTTCCTTCCTTATCTTCCTCGCTGTCTTTCTTACGGTCCTCGCCTGCACGTCATTGATGATTACACCTTCATTTCATTCTCCTGTGATACAGTTATAAGCATAAGTAACTTCCTCTATGACGACATTCTTTCAAATTGTGGGAGAGACCCACACAGTGTTATTGACTGAGATCCAGACAGTATACTCATTTGAACAACCCGAGTACAAAATGTTGGCCGGAATATATTTCTACCGGTAAGTCGGACCCCCCTAATTCCGAACACCCCACATTCCGAACACTTTGTAAGCCCACACCGCTTTTTCGACCCCCTCAGTTCAACTTACTATAACTCCGTCAATTCTAAGTTAAATCACTTCATTTTTTGGGCAATAGTATCGTCAGTTTACGATGGTTTACTCGGAACAAGATTTACAAGATGCGGTTGCTAAGTACCGTCGCGGTGGCTATTCAGCGCGAAGCATCAGCCGGGAATTCGGCATCCCAATGACTACCTTATACGACCGCCTCCACGGCTCGCAGACCCATTCTATTGCCGCCGAACCGCAACAGACTCTTAGCCGGGTATAGGAAGATCATCTTACCCGATGGGTCTTAACCCAGGCCGCCCTCGGTGTTCCACCAACCCATACCCAGATCAGGGAGTTCGCCAGCCGAGTTCTACAGGCACAGGGAGCCACCCGTACAACTATTGGAAAGGGCTGGATAACCTGGTTTCTTCGTAGAAACCCGGTTATCCGAACCTAGTGTGACGAAACCACAGGCAGTCCTGCCTCTGAAAGGGTTCGCCGGTCGAAGGTATCTGCTGGTCGGACTGTAGGTCTCGGTGAAGCCAAAGGGTTCACAACAATGCAAGTCGCAATGTCTGCACAGTAATGTAGGGCTACCTTACTGCTTGTATTGCTCACTGGAGAACTCCCAGAGTCCTCCAGAACGAGTGACTATATACTGGCTATCTTTGGGTGCTCTCATGTGCTCTATAGAGCTCCCTAGAGCTCGGTGCTCTGTTGACTCCATCGAGAGCTTCCATTTCCTCACGTTGATTGGCTTAGCTCCTGAAGCTCTCGTCTGCTCTCTAGAGCACCTTAGAGCTCCTTCTTATTGGTCCTAAATGATTGGTTCGGGTGCGCCCTGCGCCACCCGTCGGGTTGTCCCACCTGCAGCTGTCCTGTTGGCTTAATTCGTGACACGATGCCCCCTCTCCGAGGTCGACGCCTCGGCGACCTTGCTCTTCCTGCATCCTGAAATAGCGCCAACAGTCCTCAATTGTAAGTGTTTCTCCTTCTGCATCCTCCCATCCTCGCCAGTCATGGCTGACCGTGTGCGAAAGCGAAAAACTCAAGCCGGGTCAAGTACTTAGCGCCGGTCTTGTCTCGCCAATTTTGCTGCATCTTCTAGATTCCTAATGCCCAAGTATTCTTACTGCCACGAGCACAGGCTCGATTGTCAGGTGTCTGGCACCTCCAAACGTTATAGTTCCTGCAACCGTATGAACCGCCCGTCCTACGATGTCTAGGGCATCGATCTGGGGACATATGAGTTGGTTTTCGCCGCTGCCCGCCGTTGGTACTAACAGTGCTTAGTTCGCTCCTTTATTTCCGAGAAGGACAAGATTGAGCGTGAGGAGGAGGAGATTTTAGCGAAGCTGCTTTGTCTCCGCAAGCAGAAGCGTGCTTTGGAGGAGAGGGTAAGGAAAGCGGTATCCCGGGAACTTTGGGACATCTCGGACTTGGAGCGTAAGGAGCGTGAGGAACGTGAGAAGCGCGCAGCTACTCCCGCACCTGCTTCGCCAACGCCCCTCGTGCCGGATCCTTTTGTGGGGTTCGACTGGTTGGATGTTCCTGTGGACTTGGGTGCTGTCGGGGAAGGTCCTTCTTTCTTGGCCACACAGGGTTCTGGCGGTGGAAGTCCTCCGGTTTCCCAAGGTAGTAGGGGTTCGTAGCTGGTGGTGGTCAGGCCTTGGTCGCGCCTGCCGTGCGTGTCGTATTATAGCGCTACTGCCTGCAGCCGTTCTTTCCTTCCTGGGGTTCTTAATCTGGTTTTTGTTGCCTGTTTCCCAACAAATGAAATAGCTTAGTGGTATAGCTTGGTTATTACACCCGAGTGAATGCTCTAGGAGACTATAGGTTCGAATCCCATCTGTGCTTCTTCTCTATATAGGTCGTGTTACTATAGGGTAATGCAACCCGGCCGGAGATTTTTATGCTTCCCTCCTGGTCGGTCTGGGTTCTGCCGATGGAACTCCTTTAGTTTCTCTATACAGTTAAGGTGTTCTACTGGTTCCTATAAGTTATCTTCTGATCCGAAGTCGAGCCATTTAATCAAGTACTCTAGCCTTCCGTTGGCTGTTCGTAAATCCAAGATCTCCTTAACGTCCTATTCTTCTTCTTCGTCCTTGGCTTCGATGTCTTTTATAGCCCGTACGTTCTTAGGTGCTAGTTCGAGGAGCGAGATATAGAATATATTAGTATATAACTTTATCGTTGATAGTAACGAAAGTCGATAGTTGGATGTCGAAATTCTTGCATCGATTTTAAATAGTCTAATCTTCCTAAAGTCGAGTTTTTGGCTTGGCCGTTTCGTTTTCAGATTTCGGGAAATAAGGTAGACTATATCTCCTCTCTTAAGGCGAGGTCCCTCGAGCCGATACTTGTTATAGTACTCCTTCATTCTGAGCCTAACGAACTCGAGTTCTTCCTTTAGTATTATATATAGTATATGTATTTTTTCTGCCTTGACTTTTGCTCTAGGTACTATAACATCTGGTCCCTGGCGTAAATCTGCTTTATAACCAAAGTTCGTAAAGAACGGAGTAACCTTTGTTGTTTCCGTTGGCGTTATATTATATACAAGCTATGCCGCTGGCAATAGATCAACCCAGTCGTCCTATTGGAAGTTAACGAACGTTCTAAGGTATTGTTC